CTTGATCATCTTAAAGCCCTCTAAACTCATGAAATGACTGTTTTGTTTGAGTGATAGTAATTCTACCACAAGAAATGGTGAAATACCTATGAGTTGAATTTTATTCGATATTGGTTTCTTTATCATGATGCTCAAGCCGTGTTATGATGACTACTTGTAAAGCATTCTAAAAAAAAAAGCATGGCGAAAGTTTCTTTTTTTACGACCTAAATGGTCCAGGGCGACTACACTAAGAAGAATATTACTAAACTCGGCCCTATTTGTCAGAATCAAGCTGTTAAGCCAACCTTTTTCAACCGAAAAGATACTTCAATATTCAGTAGATACAATGGCACAGGTATTTAGAACGGATATTTGCTTAGGATCTCCTCACAGTCCAATCAGTTTTCCCCCTTCCCCCCTCAAATATTTAATAACTTGCCAATAGGAATCCTATTTATTATCAATTCGTGTCCTATTATTATCATAGCTAATATTAACACTGCTATTAAAGAACTTTCTCGATGAAAAAAAAAAAAAAACCCCCTTAGTGTGAATTATATCCCTATTGAAATGCTCTCTCATCTACCACTGATACATTATCACCCCTGCTTTTACAGCAGTCCCTTAGAAGGTAGCACATGTTATTTCTATGCACAAGGAGAAAGGCACAGATTCTGGTATTGACTATTATCACCTCATTAGCTTGACTTTAACTTTTTGTAAAATCTTGGGGGAGAGAGGAAGAGGATAAAAAACGTAGGTATCTCAACCTTGTCAATGACAGGCCAAGTCTTGATATTGTCCAAGACAAATTTTGTTCACTCCTGTAGTATTGGATCTTTGTCTCGTTAAAATCAATTCAATCATTCATCTTAACAACTGCTAATCACGCCTACATTAGCTTTCCTACAAAATATTAGATCGGTATATGATACTATTAATCAAGATTATATCTGAAGAAATGCAAAAACTGTCATTACTTTGATTATTGCCAAGCCTTTTGAACAAAGGTATATACATATTTTTATATATATATATATATTAAAGCCCTTCTCTATAATATTACCTCCTGTAGAATCTCTCCGTCTACAAGGTTCTATTCTTTCCCCATTTGTGTCCTCAGCCTGAAATCAACTAGCTACTTGTCCTTTTTCGTACTTATTCTTTACTTGAGGAAGGCTGATATCTATAATATCCAAAAAAAAAAAAACTTTGTTCCAGCCATCTTATTGTTTTCTTTACGCTGATGATGTTGTTCTTATTGCTGCTTCAGCACAACCAAGACATTACTAAAGCAATGTAACTATCACAATCACCGTTAGAGCACATTTTAAAGTGCGCTATCTTTGCTCCTGCTTCAGATAAGCACATCTATTACTACGCAGAGGAGAGAATTTATTGCGGTAAAGAATAGCCTGCAAGCGAGATCACTTTGTCACCTATCAAAGTCAGGTTTTTTTATTTTTTTTTTATTTTTTTTTTTAGAAGAATTAGAAAAAGAAATTATATACATTCATACATATATATATATATATATATATATATATTCATATGTTATGATATATGATTGATACAGCTTGAATTAGGCCTCTCCCATTCCTTGTTTAAATTTGGTTTATAATTATTACTTCTCACTTTTCTTTCTTTGATTTAAAGTATTAAAAAGAACCCATATATGATTTAGATGTATAACCATTATATCCAGGTCACACTATTACACAAGTATATGTCCTCATGACAAAAATATAATTTTTTATTGGATAAAATAGTTTCTGTCCTTTAACAAAAAGACTTCATTCCAAAAGTGCGCATAGCCTGGTGCAGCAACAGAGTTAAATGAAGTATTTCAAGGCTAATAAACCAGTCATGTAATCGATGAAAAATAAAATAAAATAAAATAAATAATAACCCTTAAGATACTATGAATCTTTATCTAAAATACGATATAAAGTTAATCAAACGGATCTGGGCCCAATATTCATAGTAGCTAAAAGGAAATAAAGGATAATAGAGATAGTCCAATGGGAATAACTACACTAGTTTGTTATTATCATGTGTATACTATGTGTACTTTTTGTAAGCGTACAAAATAAATAAATAAATAAATAAGTAAATAAATAAATAAATAAATAAACTAGAATAAATAAGCTAGAATGACTTATAATTCATTTATATACAGTCGGGCTGGTGAATGTTGGCGGTTACAAAAAAAAAAAAAAAAAAAAGTGATTAGCAATCACAGAAAAATGAATATCGTTTTATTGTCAAGAGACGAGATTTACTTTGTCGTTCAAATACCGAATATAAAAAATAATAAAATAAAGATAATACTAGGTTTAATCCATTGTACTTAATAATAGGGTGGGTTAACTGAATTACTATGTAGCGCTTTGCTTTTTGGCAATGTTTTTAAGGAGTTATAATTTAAAAAAATAGTAAAATATTCTATTCAATGAAAGGCTTAGAAAGGAGTTCGAGTATAGCACTTTACAATTTGTCGTTTAGAATGGTGGCAAAAGACATAGAGATCGCTAAAGCGAACATCATTACACGCATCACCAATTATAGAAAATAGAGTCTCCGGTGGGGGCAGCTTCTTCGTTGTTGACTTCAGCTGCAGCTCTCTTCTTTCCACTGTTACCCCTTTCTCTTCTTTTTAGTGGCAGTTTATGTTGTAGATTTCGGAGGAGGCTTCTTCAAAACAACATAAAGTAGGGCAGACAAATGGATAGTACCAATAAGTAAGTGGGAGTTTACCCTTTATTTTTGGTGTCTTTATTACAGCTCGAGTTCCAGCTGGTGATCGAACACTCAATTGTTTCTCATATTTATATGGAATCTCGCTTCATCGATAAATACGCATTTTTTTTTTATGGGTATAGCCTAGATCTTTGTCCTTCAAGTTAATAAACCACTTGTATCTTATCTCCAGATTGTCAGTAGAGTTCCTGGCTTCGGCTTCAAACTGAGGCTTTTTGACGATAACTTGCATAGTACTCCTCAAATGATGACTAAGCTGCGACTTTGATATAGAAAAGTCCTGAAACTGTTTAGTCAATTTTTCTATAATACCGTCAGTAAAGAGCTAAGAATCGTCATCTAGCAAAATCCTTGATGTAGTCCTCATGTTCCACAGTAAGGAACACTATTATTCTTTGATTTTTTTTTTTTTTTTTTTTTTTAGCCGGTGTACCTCTCCCGTCTTTTCGTATGTTTTCCATTATCTTTCTGCAGTGCGCGGGTTTAATCAAAAGCTCATTGACAAATTTAGTGATATTTTTTTTTTTCTCTTCAGGATTTTCAATCATTCTGTCAATAAAAATCCTCTCTTTATTTATCTGTATAAGTGTTGTAAACTACTGGTTTAGCAAGCTTAGCATCTAAATCCTTTGTTTCCTTAGCCTCTTTCTCCACAACATTCTTTTCAGCAGGTTTATTAGCTAAATAAGTCTGGCCGGCTTGTTATTGCTTCAAACACAATGTTTGGGTGCATAATCTCGGTCAAGACATCTTCTATAGGGTTATAAGCTTTTTTTTTTGCCATGCTCATCCGAAATAAAAAGCGTTTATTATTGCATAAATCTCAAAAGTTTGAACAATATATATATATATATAAAGGGGAGGGGGGCGACAACTTGTTTTGGCACTAAACTGATCCAACAATCCTTGTTTCCTTCGACTCGGACTCCAATGTGGTAACATCTCGTCCATAGTATCTCTGGTGGAAGAAATAACACTGCTTGCTTTATTTTACTTGATCCCATCCCCGAAAAAAAAAATTAAATTCAACGCATCTTTTGAAGGTATAAAGGAAAAGGAGGATAGAAAAAAAAATTCATAATTGTGTATATATTATCTATTAATATATTAAGAAAATAAAATGCTGCTCTTGAAGCATGTTACTACATTTTTTACTTTTTATTTCTTACAACCAGTCTCTTTTGCGCATTGCTGTTTTTATTTTGCATAATTAACATCCAAAGATAAAAATATCTAATAATGATATGCCTTCTGAATATATGCATTGCTTTAACGTTGTTGACGAAATTCTCAAGTTCGATCTAATGGTAGGTAGAAGGGCAATGCCAAAGGGATTTGTAATGAAGCCACTACCCTAGAATGGCATGAATGACAACCAGGTGTAGAGGCGAAGAAGCCTGCAAAAGAACCTGTATGAGACTCAAAGAGGCTCATGGGTTTGGACAGTTACAGGAACTTTTGTAAGCTTCATAGGAAACAGTCATTTGTTATTCAGCAAGATTCAACAACAGTGATCCAGCAAGTAAAATGTGAGTCTAAATTAACGACTAAGACTGCGACTACTAAAAAACGCTGGTGGCCCTTATCGCTCTTATTCTTCTGTTCAAATACAAAAATTGCTTGACCTTGTCATTGAACAAGGAATATCTACAAGATAAACATGATTAAACGTAGACATCGTTGTAATAGCAACTCAACATCATGAGAAATTATACAAGGGTGATGAGGAGAAGCATTTGCCAGATATCAAAAAGCTGCTACGTTTGAGAGGAAACAATAGGAAGCTTGAGGTAAAACACACAGACTTTCTTTGGCAACTATTATTATATAGTTACTGCAGTTGCTCTGTGGGAGATAAGAGATGTACTGCTTTCTGCTTTTCCGGATATGAAGTCAATTAGTCTTTCTTGGTCTTTATAAGCATCTCTTTCATCATACATCTTTTACCCTTAAAAAAGTTGGACACAATTATGGTTGCGAGAATGTCTGAGAGTACTTTGAGTTAACGAAAGGAGAAAGTGCTAAAGTGGATGGGGAGGGGAGGAGGAGGAGTAAGGGAATGGATTGATATAGCAGTTGCGTTTTTATTGATAACATATTAGAGTGTCCTTGACTGATAGTTAAAAAAAAATTCGTAACAAGCTTTAATATCTGTCCTCCCTACCATTATAAGGTTGATGACAGTTCAGTAGCACTTGTGCTGCCTAAAATACTATACAAATATGATAACTGTATTATTTAAATAAAGAAAAGCTTGTTTTTGTTCACTTTTTTTTTTTTTTTTTTTTTTTTTTTTGAGTTTTATTATACTAAAATAGCCCAGACCAGTTCAAAAATGCAGATAGAGAAAAAAAACCTTCATGTGCTGAAGGAAAAAGGATAATAAAGAGGAAGAGAGGGGAGTCTTAAGATAAAGTAGGCATGACTAAAGTATCGTAGGGAACACCATGCTGTATCATGTCAACTTTATAGAGGAATCTTTGGATGGCATCCCAGTGTATCCGCCAGTAGGCCTGTGTATGGAGTGACTTAGGCGGTCGAGAAGGAGTTACTTTTTTTTTTTTAGTTCCTTACTGTAATTTGAAATAGAGATTGGATATTGGTTATAGTCAAGGACAACCCGAAATATAAATTCCGGCACAGTAGAAAGACCTAAACAGGAAGTATCTACTAAAAGCGTGCTTCTGGTAAACATTTTCTATAATTTAACAATGGTATTATTGATTCACTTGGTGCGCATGAAACATCAGTCTGTCAGCTCATCCTGGATAATGACGCTATACACAAGGTTTCTGCTGTTCAAAATCTAATCGAAAGCCGCAGATACAAAGTGGTTTACTTGCCTCCGTACTCAGCATTTCTAAATTTAATTGAATTATTTTGGTCAAAAGTGGGGCCTAAAGTAAAGAGAGACGACCCACTGCAACCGATAATTTGAGTGCTAGAATCATTGAATCGGCAGAGCAATTCAGTGTTGATGACGAAAGTCAGGGTTGAATTAGGCATTATGTTTCATTTATGATAGATGCTTGGCCGTTAACCCGGTAAAAGCCAAAAATTAAACAAAGAAAACATAATTCAACAAAGCACTGCACACAACACCACTTAAAGTGTACAGATATTTTTTTCAAAAAAAAATTAGAGAAAGAAAACTTATTATAAAGAATTTATGATAAAGTGTGACAACCCATACTCAAACTTCACCATAATGTCAATTAAAGCTGTTTTTATGGTAAAAATATAAATACTACAGAATTTACATGATGAGATAATATAACTAACGTCGAGTGTTTAAAATCATGCTATATGATACAGTAGGTAAAAGTTGTTTTTTACCAACCATAGCGAATTCCTCATTGGTATTTGTGTTATCATCCATTTGCAAAGACAGGTTCATCGATTTCTACACGAAGCAGTTAATACCATGTATCTGTATTATAAATTGATAATTTACCTTTAATTGAATCAAATCCATTAGCATTTTCTCTGTGCATTTGTATGTGGTATAGGATGTAGACATCAGTCCCACAGAGATTCGCGCATAAGGATAATATCCATCATTAAAAGTAACCATATAAATTTCGTAAGATAGACCTAAATTAATAAAGTAAGCATCAGTCATTCTCCTTACATTGTACTTTTATTTTACTGCTCTATTTACCGTATATAAGTACACCAAAAGTTACAGCTTCTCTCAATGAGTTCGCATTCCTCAATCTCAAATGTAACTGTCTCTTACAAGTCTCAAGTACTCTGGTACGAGCAAGGTCAATAGACGCTTTAGATGTATTGGGGGGTTTGACTTCCCCGTTTCCTATTTCAAATAACTTGGTAGAAAACACCATATCTGGTCTCGATGAAACTGTATCAGGCATTTTTTGCTTATTTATCCACGTCGTGAGGTCCCTGTATGATGATATGTAGTTTTAAGTCAGTATACACGTACAGTATAATATATATATTTTTTTTAGCATACCATGAAACTATTACTTTATCGTGAGGAGACCATAAAGAGTAAAATAAACAACTTACTGATCTAGCAATAAAATCATTTTCACCTGATTTCCATTCACTTGAATTTATGGAATGATTCAAGTAGATATTCAAGGTTATATGATGAAGAGCTAGTTCTTCAACACTGTTAAGTTGAACTCCTTCTACGTTCATAATGGTGTTATTATCCATAGCCTTTTCCATTGATTTTATGCAGCTGATGATGTTTTCTGGTAATCGTGCAATAGGTACTAAATATTGTTTCATTATTTCTGATGATATGGGGCAGTCAAATAAAGCAGAAAGGAACAGCCTTTTATCCATATCTCCTGGTTTCAAAGTCTTGTTCATAGCATCCTTATGAGCAGCATCATACATTGACTTGATTTTTTCGTTGGTGGTGGTCATTTCTTTCTTTCCAAATGAAGTAATATTTACCTCGCTCAGGGTCATTGTCCATATATAGCCTATCACGTTGGAAGAAGAAGATTCTTCCGTTTCTGTTCCTGATTGCCTGTTTTTATAGGAGCTGCTCAGTTCACTTTCATTGTATATGATATCCAGAAAAGGAACACTAGTATCAGTCTGAATTTCCTGACCACTATCTTGAGAAAGGATATTCACATTTTGAGACTCTTGAGAGCCGACACCTGCATTTGTTGACATTTCCTCTGCATTTTCCATAATAGTGTCTTTCCGGAGTACATTTTCATATTGAACAATATCTTCCATAGTTCGAAGTGCTTTTTTCCCCTTGCCTTCCTGATTAAAAATATAAATACTTATTTTCTATATAATTAAAAGATATAGTGAATACTTCTTGGGATACCTTTTCAATAGAGCCCTCAGCTTGCCTTTTAGCTATGATTTGTCCAACCTTTTCATATTCTTTTTGATAACTATCCCAAACCATAAGGTTTCTTTTGTTTCTAACTGACTCCTCGATGAATTCTTTGGACTTTTCAATCCCACTCTCCAGCAGTTCCGACCAATTTACTTTCTCAGAATCTACCTCTACTCTATCTTCATTAATTGTCGCCGATGTAAATCGATTATTCCATATTCTTTTAACGTCAATCTCTGATGTGCGTCTGTTTACAACTATATCGTCTATTATCAACTCTTTGTTCAGCTGGATAAATACTGAAAATTTTATAAAAGTGTTTAAACGACGTGTGTACAATATATATCTATTAAGGGCTTTTATACTAATTAATTTACTGAAGCTTTATTTTTCATATGAAGAAATTTGAGTTAACCTTCTTTATACGCTTCTGTATACATGAGATCTGTTATGCGAATCAAATACTTAGCAATCAGAAGTGACTACTAAATTATTATATTTTAGGGTTTATAATAAAAACAACAGCTTTATTGGGGTTAATAATGATAAATAAAATATGATACTGAATATACGTACTTTTTCTAATTCTCCTGTAATTATTTTATGAGAAATAAACCTGAGAATACATGAAAATAACTTGCTTTTATACAGGATAAGATTTAACTGCTTTAACAATTTCCTCAATAGATATATAATGAACCTAGAAAAAATAAAAATAAAAAGGGAAGGTATCACAGATTTCACTATTCAAGCACTACTAAAGTTATCGTCTATTTTATCCAATCAAAAAATTTTGGGTTCATTTAGTGAGTGCTTCTTTATAAAATTATAATGGTCACATCTAACGTCATCGTTTATTTGTTGATTATTTAAGGCAACGTAATCTTCTCATAATAAAAAAAACATTTATGTTCTTTGTCAATTGAAGAATTCATGTTTAACATGTTTAACAAACCGTTAATTAGTTAATAGTATTTTGAATCCATCAAGTTCAAGATAAGTGTAAATATTTATATCTTTTCCACCTTACATCCTTTCCAAGTACACTCATTAATGATACATACGTTAGGGCCACACCAGTCATTAGAGCTGGAGCTTACAGCAAGGCACGTCAGGGATTTGTCATTTTGAGGACAGAAACTGCATTGTTCATAAAGTTAACTTTGCACGATCTGCTCCCCATCATGATAAGCGTTTGGTTTTTTTTTTTTCTTTCTTTCCTTCTTTTTTCTTTCTTTCCTTCTTTTTTCTTTCTTTCCTTCTTTTTTCTTTCTTTCCTTCTTTTTTCTTTCTTTTTTTTTTTTTCTTTCCCTTTTTTTCTTTCCCTTTTTTTTTTCTTTCCTTTTTTTTTCTTTCCTTTTTTTTTCTTTCCTTTTCATTAATCATGCACGCCTGGTTATGATCCAACGTTGGAGCCAACCAGTCTTTAGAACTGGAGCTTACAGCGAGACACGTCGGGTATTCGTCATTTTCAGGACGGAAACTGCATTGTTCATACAGTAGCTTTGCACGGTCTGCTCCCCATCATGATGAGTGCATTGGTTCTTTTTTTTTTTTCTTTTTTTTTTTCTTTCCCTTTTTTTTTCTTTCCCTTTTTTTTTTCTTTCCTTTTCATTAATCACCTTGCAAGCCAGATTATGATTCAACATTGGAGCCAACCAGTCATTAGAACTAGAGCTTACAGCAAGACACGTCAGGTATTTGTCATTTTCAGGACAGAAACTGCATTGTTAATAAATTTAACTTTGCACGGTCTGCTCCCCATCATGATAAGCGTTTGGTGCATTAATATTTCTTGATTATTGATTTCTTTATTCAGATACGTATTTGAACTCTGTATTATATAGTTATTTAATAGAAAATGAAGATGATTTCTGCTTGACTGCTACCGCTCAAAACTACAAGAAAACCATTTGAAACTTCTATCCTATTGCCATAATAATCTGATCGTCGGCCCTATTCTCACGGTACCAATGACAAGAAGTGAACGGTCTCGTTGCGTACGATGGCGACTTGATTGGTTACCTCTTGGTAAAGCCAAGCCTGCCCCTTCCATCTAAATGAACTCCTTACATGCTCACCTAGTTTTTCTTGTTCGCATATGCATATCCGCCTTCAGACTGTCATTAGCTAACTTATAATGTCATGTTTCTTGATCAAACATGCAGATCATAAATTTATTCAAAGAACTCCATCTAGATCCTCTTGAAACTCTCTTAATCCACTTTATCAAATAATATTAAAATGACTAACACTTTTCTGATTCACATCTTATCTCAACCTTCTTTAAACAATTCTTATAAATACCTCCATTAATTTAAATTCATAGATAAAGTGATTGATACTAGAACCATTGTTTGGTCTCGTTGACTTCTTCCGTCTTTTTAATATTTTTATCAAGTAAAATTACAGTGCTTAAAAATAGCTTAATAAAGTTAAACTAATATTGATCTTTTGCTAACTCATCTTTACTTTAAATTTACTATTTGAATTAATATTGATGAATTGAACTATGTTAAATGAAAGATAGTATAGTATGTAAGACGTCTTTATTATTATGTATGAGTATATTGATAAAGATAATTCAAGAATGTTTAAGCTATTTTAGACAAATTATTATAGTAATAGCCGTTTAATAAAAGCAGTGGAGGCAAAATGTTAGGCTTCAAATAAAAATAAGAAACGCGCAACAGCAATAAAAAAAAATATATATGAATATATAATTAAATGCACTTAGTTTTCTTTTTGCCCCTCTTCATAATAGAAATAAAGAAAGTCAAAATAATAATAAGTTTGTAATAGATTATATATTACTATAAGAGTTATTATTCTTTTTTTTTTTTTTTTTTTTTCTTTAAAAAAAACACATAATCATAATAAGCTTTTTTATTGAATTTACTAACGGCGTTATGACAGATATAATCCATGCTGTTTTAACTATTGATGCCATTTAAAATGGATAATTTATTATTTTCATTATTAAAAGAAAGAGATATATGTGTATTTAGAGTAAGGTAAATTTAAAGAAGTAAGATAATAAAATACATCTTGCATAAAAAAGTTTTATGTCATTATGGCTATTTCATTATTATTTTTCAACCGCACTTTCTTCATCTAACAAGTCATTCAATAACAAACTTTCTATAAAAGGTAGATCAGGTTTTGATAATGCAAATGACGATTGGTATACGTAGAGCCCTATTTGTTCAATAAAGAATGCCAATTGACGTATAGAGCTAATACTATGCATAGTTAACATAGGTCGTTTTAAGGAACCTAAAGAGGGTTCCATATTTGATTCAATTAATGAAAAATCAAAGGCATCCTATGCATGATTAAAAATAAAATAAAAATAAAACGTTAGGAATAAATACTAATAAATTATTATTAAACATACTATTGGACTGTTGACCATCTTGTCATTTAATGCTTCCATTATGGGTATAGGTCCTTCAGTGTGTGTTTTAATTAATGTCTCAATTGTATCTCGAATGAAAATCCATTGATATCTATAAAAAAACACACGCTTAGTCATATATCTTTGCTACCAATATAATGTAAGCACTTACATTTGAAAAGCATCAAGTTCCAAGGTACACAAAAGATCTAAAAATTTACAGCCAGCTAATGCAATTTGAGCTTCTTCGGGTCGATCTTGAAAATCTTGGGACATGAAAGAATTAAATAATCGCATCTGTAGATACAAAAAAAAAAGTTAAACTTTCAATTATTTCTTTTTTCTATTTTGTTTAAATAATTTACCAACTCTGTAATTAAAACAGGCCAAAAATTCATCAAATGCTTTTGTGAAAAGCGTATCAAAATGATACGTAAACACAAATAGATCTCAATATGAACCATCTCACTATGACCTAATTTGAGTAATTCTACAATCTTTTCCTGCACAATAGGCAATTGAGGCACATATTGATCTATTGTACCTGCAAATAATACAAACGACAACCGACGTAAATTTAAAGAGCGATTAAGGGTCTCTTGATCTTTACTAGAAAAAAACGTGTTGGAAGGTGTAGTCGTGATACGTGCCAATAATTCTGTTATTCTTTCTTTTTCGATGGAGAATGCTGTTTGAATAATCTGACTCCATTTTTTAGCCGTTACATTGTTCATATAAAAGAATCGGTTATCAATAAAAAATTCCCAAACTTCTTTTCGCCAAGTCTTATAAGTAAAAGGCATATGGGCCATTTCACATAATTGGTCCAAAATAATTGGGCTTCGACTATAAAATAAATATACAATTAAAACCTTCATCTACTTTTTTTTATATGTTCAAAATATATATATGTACTTACACTTTTGACTTTAATGAAGGACCAATGACATAATACACTAAATTGTTGAGCAAAGAATTAATCTTGTCATTATCACCAATAAGTAGACGTAGTCGAGGTATAACTTGATTAGCAAGATACTGATTTACATGGTTAATCATAGAATCTTCTTTTAGCTTCCAGATTGTCTTTTTCTCCATTTCAGATACACTATTGATAGATACGTTACCAGTCGTCTTTGTGTCCGTCGATTGTTGAATAGTTGGTATTAAAGCACCACCCAGATTGCTATTATTTGTCAACATGGTATGTCCCTTGTAAGTATCTATAGAATCTACTGTATGAACAGATGCATTGTCATCGACAGGCTCATCATAAATAGCTGATCTTCCACGTACCCAAAGGCTTTGATCAATTGATTTTCCAGAAATCAAAATACAATAATCAATGCATCTTTGATACAAGTCTTGGGCATCTTTTCGAATTCGTTTATCTTGTTCATAGTTAGTGGACTTGGAAATTTCTTCCAGGGACACAGTCAAGAATCGCATTAGGCTCGGTAATAATGCTTTGTATGTATTAGCTTGTGATAAATAATCTTTTGAAAAAGAGTGAATCATTGGCCATAATAATACAATTGATTCTGGATCCTTAATGTGGCTACAATAAATTTCAGCAAATCTTAAAATAGAAGTGTCTGTCCTAATTTTTTTTTAAACAAAAAAAAAAAAAAAAAAAAAAAAAGAATTAGCATTTCAAAACAATATATTCTACTTTTTTTTTCTTTTAAGAAGGAAAGGTAGAGACATCTGTGCTTACAATTTTCCTTGTCTTAATATTCTTCGACGTCTGGTTCTACTAATATTAGGCGTTCTTTGACGAATACTGTCTAAAAGTGTGGAAATAACATGCTGAGGTGTATTATTAGGTGTAGAATCGAGAATTTCCAAGGCAACTTCATTCAGTTGAGCTTCTTCTAATACTGTTTCATCAAATTCAAGAGCAACAGGATTTTCAATATAAAAAATCTCTGTTAATCCTTCAACAAAGTCTGCCGTCGAATATTTAAAAAGCTTTTCAAAAATAGATTGAAGTCTTTGCTTTGCTTGATCTGCAGCATATGAAAAACTATGCAAAATAGCGTCCACTTTGACATCGCCTATGGAATGCATTACTTGATGATCCCATTGAGGCTTTCGAAAAGCTTTCCATATATTTATAAGGATTTGAAGCACAACAGGTAAATGGTACATGACTATATCTCTTGATTTTTCAATAGGGCCTTTTATATTCAAATCATTGCTCATGCCATAAACAGCCTGCGCAAAACCCACCAATACAGAATTTTCTGGAATACTTGGAATAGGTAATTCAAGAGGATAAGAAACATGAGTAAACCAATTATCACTCAAATGATGTTCAGTTAGACAGAACATTAATATCTTTTCCAGACCCATAAGTAATACAAGAACCTCCTTTTCAGCAGAGATACATGAAGTCGTCTGTGGCTTTTCGTGAATCATGGTCTCAATTGTATCACAGCGCAAATTAAGTTGTTGACATATACACATCAAAATAGGTACTATCATATAACGAAAACCAAATTTAATATAAGGTAGTGCAGCAAGTACGAAATCCATCCAATGTTGGAGCATAAGTTGATTACTGCTTACAGAAAAGGCATCAATAATACATTTGACAAAAAGATCAGATGTGTTTTGTATTAACATGATGGCTTCGTTCACATTTTGTGTTGGAGTGGTGCTAATACTATCAACGGATGCATTTTTTTTATGCCCTAAACGAGAATTGTTGGCCTTTTCTTGTTTATGCTGAGAGGCAGCAGCAGTAATAGCTAGACAAGCATGCAGCAGATGTAAAAGCTTTTGCTGTAAATCCAAGTTTTGTGTACTAATACAAAATAGTAATTTATTCAATACACTTGTTTGGATTTGCTGAACAAGTTTCATATTGACATAATCAAGTTTTGAAATAATCAAGTAAAGCAAATCGGCAGAATGAAGTTGAATACTATGTATTGTCTTTTCCATTTCTTTTCCCGAATGCGTGCTACTAGATTCCGTTTCTAAAAATCTTTATATACATTATTTAACCCCTCTATCTTCTCTTTTGTTTTGCAAACAATAAATATAAATATAGGCCATCTTTACACTTACCTAATAGTTATCATCACCAAAAGATCTAACAATTTTGTAGGTTTATCCATATCGGGAATAAATGAAACTCGAGCAGCCTTAGCAATAGAACTTTCATTATCAATGGTATGATATTTACATGACTTTAAAACGTTCAGACCGCCAAATGTAATTAATGTAATTAATGTCGTAAACATATAGTCAATAGATTCTGCATCAAATGGCTTTATATAAAAAAAATACGAAATTTTTGTAATCTTGTCTTCCGTAGTTTGTGTTGCTTTTTTCTTCAAAATTTGATTTTTCCATTCAATTTCTAATTCTGCTGGACGACGTAAGATATGCTTACTTAATAATGTCAGTATGAATGGCTCAAGAAGTCGAGCATAACTCTTAAGATGGCAACGAATCCATAGATCCCCTGCTCTGCGATCTGAAGGTGATGCTCCGTCTCTTAGCAAATCTAACATGATAAACAGAGGCCTTGAGAATACATTACTTGCTTCAGGAACATTTTCTGATAATTCCCATATAATACCAAACTTTTCATAGTTATTCGACTTTTCCTCTTCGTTATCCTGTTGAATGAGATAATTGGAGATTATTGTTTCTATTTGATGAGGTAAAGAAACATCAATCAATAACCATAAAAGCTCAACTGTACGCACATGAAGCAGTTGCATTAAAGGCGTTAAGAAACCCCACAACTTGTCTACAATGTCTTTCACTTGTGATATCTGTTTCAAAACAGATAAATCAACGAATTGTTTCTGTTTGAGCAAAACTGTCAAGGTTGATAATGCTGCATCTACGATACCAAAGACCTTAACCTGTTGACAGCATTTGAGTAAAGTATGTGTCAGTTGTTCTTGCCGACCTAATATGAATTGTTTATCAGCATATTTTGCAATAATTGCAATAGCAGTACAAACACCAAGGAAAACGCGTTCTAAATAATGTTCAATATGTTTCAAACGCTTGCCCTCAACACCAACATCAACCCCGTTCAATAAATTTTCAGGTAAAATAATATAACTGTTGACAAAGTCCACAAGAAAACTGGTAAGATTATCAGCAACTTCCTTTACAAGTAATTGACCACGTAATGGATCATATTCAGGGCGAGTCTGATACTGAATATATTGAACTGTGTTGCTCTTTTTCATATTTATTGAAGAAGATAAATCACCGCCCTCTTCTGTTTGTTCATTTTCAAGATCATAGTTATCTTCGCGATCAAAGTTTGTAAGCTGCTGTATTGGCTGACCAATTCCATAAAACTCACGGGTATAATCAACTATATTCATACCAGTTTGGAACTGTTTACGCTCAAGTCCATTTTTATTACTACTTTCTTCACTCTTATTGATATTCATGGGAGGTGTAGAACGATTCAAAAATAAAGTGTCTGGTAATTGTTCAAGAATTTGAAGAATCAAATTGATACCTTGACTCACTAGAGATAAATTCTCGATAAAATTAGGACTTTTTAGAGCATTGTTTAATTTTTTAGTTAATGCAGCAAGAATCAAAGGAAGATGAATATGTTTAACTTCGTCATCTGTAAAATGAATTATATCCAATGTAAATTCAACCAAATGTATATTTTCCGAATTAGTTGTATTCTGAACTACTTTTTTATTCGATGCTGTTACACCAGGAAAAGATATATCAATCAGCTCGTATAATTTCATACAAATAAGATGAGGTTCGACCATATTAATCCACATATTTGCTGTTTTCATGATATCGGCATGTCCAGATTGTATTGATTCAAGACTAGATATGCAATCAACAAATATATTACTCACAATAGGTTGACCCAACTCCCATTTATCCATAAGAGAAATTAAAATTTTATATGGCCTTTGTTGCTCTTCTATGATTATATCCTGCCTTTGTTGCTTTTGCTGTTGTTTTTGCTGTTTAATCATACTACGTATAGCTTGAGTAGCAGATTTCTCAGCATATGTATTAAAATAAAGTACTTGAGTTTGAGATGTTCCTTCAGTACCTAGCAACCATGCATATAATCGTCTATTCAGCGACATATCCTTTCGAAGCACAATTCCCAAAGCCGCTTTCATTAATATTACTAAATCATCATATGGAATCATACGAGTCTTCAACATAAAATTCTGTACAAGCAGTTCTAGCATGCTTCGTTGTACTAGTAATTGTTGATCATTGAGAGTGGAAGCGAATGCTCTGACCATTAAACTTACATTTTCTTTTCCACCTAATACTAATGCTACAGCTATGACATATATAAATCATTAAATAAGAATAATAAGAATGACGATAAACTTAATATGCGTACATTAATATATTTATGTGTGTAGTCTAACCTTCTTTATCTGTTATTTTAGGTAACTTTCGTAACAAATAATTCAAAGCAGGTAATCTTAGACTAGGACTATTGATCATAACTAACCACATACAAGAATAAAAGAATGGAAGTTCTACCGTTTCTGATAGATTTTCAATCAAAGAAACAACCTACACTGCCATTTTTAATACAAATTTATCAATTTATAAAAATTGACTAATTTACCTTATCAAAATACTCACTTCCATCTTCTTCTAATGCGGGTAATAAGGCGATAATAAATCCACGCATAGCAGGGCGAATTCTACCTCGTAAAGGAAGATAATATGTTTCGAAAATTGACAATAATTGTGGCTATACAATGATGAAATAACAACAAAATAAATAAAAAATAAATAAAAAAAAGTTTAATACATGAAGCATTAACATGTGTATAAAATATACCTTAACATGCGTTGCAGCATATTGTACGAAAGGGAATAATCCAGTTGACCATAAAGCCAGATCTTCTGCAAACTGATCCGACTAAGCAATAACTTTGTTAATCAAGTATTGAATAATAAAGAGAGAAAAATGCACACACTTACTCCAATTGTTTTTAATATATAAGCATAAACTTCCAATGTTTTTTGATGAACACCAGCGGGGAAACCTGGATTCAAACATTGGGCCAATCTTTTAGCAACCAACTGCTTACGCGGTATAACTGGGAATTGAGGATAAGCTTGAAAGGACTAAAAAATATGTATATATAGGATTATATATGTGTATATGCACCTTGTTATTTTATCAATTTTCTTTAAATTCACCTTAAGCAGTCTACCAAGAAAAGATATAATATCTGCCCATTCATTAACTGCATCAAATGATTGTAAATTTTTTTCTATAAGCTGAACATATTTTCGAAATCTCGAGTCATTTTGATATGCTATATAATTAGAAGAGTCATGATTAGGTATTAGCTCATGCATATATATATATATACATATATATGTATAACTATATAAATCTGATATGTATACCCTGTTCTTTTAGATGATGACCTTCAATTTATAGAAAGAAAGAAAAAAAAAAAGTAAGCTCGTGTTGTTTCTCATTGATTTGTCTGTAGCTTACTTGTAATCTCAGGAGAAATGTCCATATTGTTTATGCTATCACTAGATTCAGAATTAGAATCGCTTAAAGCACGGTTAGATATCTTTTTTAATATTTTATGAGGAAAAGAAAGTAAATTTTCATTATCATTCATTCCACTTTTCTTTTCTTTTTATTAGAAAAGTAAAAAAGAAAAAATAAAGGAGAAAGGTAAATTGATACATTTTCTTACAAAAAAAAAAAAAAAAAAAAAAAAAAAAAAAAAAAAAAAAACGCACAGTGACAAAGCTCCGATAGAAAAATGATACTAAAATTTACATAATCCTTTTATTTTCTACAATCTAAAAATTATGGGTACGTTTCTTTTTACCAATTCGTTTCTTAGATGCGTTTGGATTTTTACGGCCATAACCAATCACATCTGTACCAAACATATTGTTAGTGATTTCTTTGGTATTAGTTTTACCATATAAAGGAATAAAGTCAGGATCAAACATATCCACAACTGTCTTCTTTTGTTTTCTTTGTGTAGCCTTAATGAATTCACGTTGATCTTCTCTTAAAACAATATTATTCGCTTTACGACCTCCTTTTGGAGGAGGGATATCATAGACTGTACCACGAAGTCTATATTGATAATTTCTTTTCAAGTGGTATGCAATTTCACCTTTACTATTGGTACTACAAGTGACGCGTTGAAGAGTAGCATTGCCACATTTAGGGCAGAACTTCTTTTCCATATCATTTGTAACACTGTATATGTATAGATGTATCATAAGTAAAAAAAAAAAAAAAAAAAAAGTATATACATGTATATATATATTTGTATTCAACAATAGTATTATGCTTATAGCTTAACTTACGTGAAACAAGCATGACATCTCATAACTGAATTTCTGATTTTTTTAACACGATATCCACCTGCAGAAATTAAATTCAGGTTCATTTGTAACAACACATTTTGCATAGCAAAATCAGCTGTCATACAGCCTACTGACATTTTAGCTTTTTGTTTAAGTTCATCAGGAGTAACGCCGATTTCTGCTGCTTTATATTCATCTACATTATCAGGTGTAATCCATTCACCACCATCTTCGTCATCTTCTTCATCTTCAACTAACTCTTCAGCTGTACGATAAACTTCCGTCACTGGTTCTTGAATAGTCACTTTTTCAACTGATTCTGCTACCTTATCAACATCTAAGTTATTGTTATCTTCTTGCTTAGTAGGTTCTCTTTTTGTTGTGTTTTTATTGTATTTTTTAACTGATTTGCTTGGCTTAGTCACAATTTCCCAACCATCTTCATCTACTTTTTTTTCCTCAACTTTTTTATAAACAGGCTTTGGTGGTGGTGCACTTGGAAGAGCTCCAGTAGGTCGTGTCTATAAAAAATAAATAAATAATTAATGCCTTTACATATACAGTTAAATGCTTTAATTACCTGAAGTGGTTCTTTACGAATATTGGCATCCCCATTTTCTCTATTTTCAAGTGTATAAGTAAGCGCAAGAACCTTTAAATCAGGCTGAGAAAGTACACCATAATCACCCGTCTTTTTAGAGAATTCAGTAACTATTGTATATATAAAAAAAGAACTTATCTTTTTAAATAAAAGTTTTTATTTATTTATTTATTTATTTATTTATTTTTTCTTTACCTATCTTAAGTGCCTCTTCAGTTGGATTCATTACTTTAATCTCAAAGGGCAGACGAGATAAAAATTCCCTTGAATGAGCACTTCGTACTTCATAAAGTACTTCAGGACAAGTATAAAACTCCTCTGCTAAATTTCTAAGAGACATGCCATTAATAATAGCATTGGTATCAATAACAAGACATTTGAGATTAGGTGAGTTGAATTTAATTTCCTGTTGATTTTGTCCTTGTTGTTGCTCTTGATCCTGTTTCACTGCTTCTTGCTGCTTATCTTTCAAAGGTAACTCTGTTGATTCTGACATTATTCGTAAATAGATCTTCGAATCAAATTATAACAAAAAAGAAGAAGAAAAAAAAAACTTAAATGGTAAAAAGCTTTGAAAGTAAGGTGCGGTCACAAGTAGTCACAATCACTATTCACCTGCTTTGGTAATAATCACTCGTTTAATGATAAAAAATATTGGGGGAGACGAGTGCATATTTCAATTTTAAAATCGTTTATTAATCAATGGAATACCAAATTGATGATGCAGTACAATTTTATGGTGTCATTAAAAATGTCAAACACATGTTAAGTTTGATAAAAGCAGTGAATATTAAAAGTGTAATATATAAAAAGATGTTTAGTTATGATTTGGAATGACGTTTGATTTGTTTTTTTTTTCTCTTCTTAGGTGGCTTCTTTCTACATCCATGAAGAAGGTTTTATTTTAACTGTTGAAGATCAAAAATCGGTTAAAGCTATTGCATATTTCAAACTACATTTATTTCATATTTACAACTTTAAAGAAGGCACAATTATACCCACATTTGCAATACCTGTTGATACACTCATGAATTGTCTTCGAATCATGGTACCAAGAATGGATCCTTCAAACACAACACAAGGCACAACTGATTATTGCGAAATAAAATATGATGGAACAGGATCCTATCTTACATTGAGGTAAGCAAGAATTGATCAAGTAAAGTAATAGATTAATTTATCATGTTACTTTAGACGATTCATAAAAGAGCCACATAAAAATCATCATAAAGCATTAACTTGTGAATTAATTCCATTCGAACCTGAAGAAGAAAGTACTCAATTACACTTTGATGAATCTACAGGAGCAGAATCACAAAGAATGATAATAAAAGTAATAAAAGCAATCTTATTTGTATTCTTTAATATTCATGCCAATTCCTTTTTTTTTATATTTTATTTTATTTTTCCTTAATTCATATAAAGTCTGTCTGGTTTAAAGACCTTATGAATGATTTAGATAGTCGTTACGATAAAATTAAAATGAGAATTTCGCCTAATGACCCACCTTTTAGTGTAGTTGCAGAAGGCTCGGATTTATTAACTGAGTCTGATTATCCGCAGGATTCTGAACCTTTCATAAATTTTATTTGCGATCGTGAACTGACATACAGGTTTGTTACACATGAATGAAAAAAGTAATTTATAACTGATTATCATCTACTGTAATCATAGCTATCTTTATTCCCATATCGTACAATGTAAAAAAGCACTAGATATCTCAAATGAAGTCTCTATTGAAATGTTTAATAACGGCTCACTCAGAATGTTTGTAAGTTCATTTTAAAGCTTTATTAGGCCTATATTAACATGTCTTTATTAAGTTTCAAATTGAAGGTCCAGGCAATAAAGTTGATACTATTCAATTTAATGTAAGTAAAAATATATATATCTAAAATTAACATGATTGTTAACCCTACATTTGAAGTTTTTACCATCTACAAACTTTACCTGAATAGTAAATCTAATTGAGATTAAAACACTTGAAGGCTTCATCCTCGAAAAGATCTTGTTTATCATTTTAAAGTTTCATCCCTTAAAAAACCAAATAAATAATCACTCCCTATATTTGTTTCTTTCTTTTCTTTTTTTTTTGTTTCTTTCCTTTCTTTCTATATCATATATATTTGTATACACATATATATATTTAATAATCCCACTAATACATAAAATGACTGCTACTGTTAATATGCCTCACCTCTGGCTTCGTTCTGAGACTAAGCCTATGGAACATAGAGCTGCATTGACACCAGATACTGCTAAAATTTTATTAGAGAATGGTTTCAAGATCACAGTTGAACGTTCTGAGGAGAGGATTTTTGATGACAATGAGTATACTCAGTAAGTCGATAAATATATACAGATATATGTATATATCTAACTTATTTCGTGTACCTATTAAAAGAGTTGGCTGTACACTGGTTGAAAAGCTTAGCTGGAAAAAAGATGCACCTAAAGATGCTTATATTATCGGTTTGAAGGAGCTTCCCGAAAATGATAATTCTCCATTACAACATACTCATATCTTCTTTGCTCACTGTTTTAAAAATCAAGCAGGTTGGGAACAATTGTTACATCGTTTCGACAGTGGTCATGGTACTATTCTTGATCTCGAATTTTTAAATGATGCTAATGGTAAGTTTTTTTTTTCTTCTTCAAAAAAATAAAAAGTTATAAAAACATGTACACATATAAAAGGTCGTCGTGTTGCTGCTTTTGGTTATATGGCTGGTTTCGCAGGTTGTGCTATTGGCATTGATGTTTGGTGTCACCAAAAATCTAATTTAAATAAAAAGTACGGAGCTATTCATCCTTATTCTAATGAAGATGAATTAATTACATATATCAAAGAGCGTTTGGCTACTGCAGGTAATGTGTACATGTATATATATTTCTATTTCTATATAAAAAAAATGTATACTAAAATGAAGTTTTTTCTTTTAACTCATGTATGATTATAGTCAAGTTCAATAACAATGAATATCCCAAGGTGATGATCATGGGAGCTTTGGGACGCTGTGGTAATGGTGCCCGTGATTTTGCTCGCAAAGTAGGTATTCCAGAAAAGTTTATTATTCAATGGGATATGAATGAAACAAAGACAGGTGGTCCATTTCCTGAAATCTTTAATGCTGACATATTCGTCAATTGTATTTATCTTAATCAACCGATTCCACCTTTTTTTACTCAAGAGATGATTGATGGAGAACGTAAACTTTCTGTCATTTGTGATGTTTCTTGTGACACCACCAATCCTTATAATCCTATCCCTGTCTATTCAGTGAATACAACATTTGATAACCCTACTATTCCCGTGAAGACAAGTAACCCATATCCTCTTGATGTCATCTCGATTGATCATTTACCAACTCTCTTACCAAGAGAAAGTTCAAATATGTTTTCACATGATCTTTTGCCAACACTATTAGGTTTAAAAGGTCGTACGACTAACCCTGTTTGGATGAATGCTGAGAATCTGTTTAAAGAAAAAGTAAAAGCTTCAAGACATTTTTATTCTTAAAAAAAAAAAAAAGAAAAACAATACAAATATAAAAATAAAATAGCATTTTTTTTTTTGGCAATAAATAAATAAAAAGAAGCAAGATAAGTTTTTTGTTAGAAAATAAATATTAATATATATAACAGGAATTGTGAGTAGAGCAACTGTTATTTATATATTAAGCCTTAGGATTGTTAAGATTGCAAGCGCCAGGATGCTGATGACAGTATTTAGGTTGAACAGGTTCTGCTTGAATACCTCGTGCTTGTAAACGATAATTCCAGTCATAAAAGCGCTCAGAGACTGTCTTGACTGTACGTCTTTTAGCCTTTGTATCGTAGCTACCAGACCAGTAAATTTCAGCAGCAGCAGCAGAACGTGGCCAAAGACGACCGTCGATTACATTCTCATCTATTTGTTCTGCCCAGGCAGCCGTTTCACCTCCTAATACTTTACCACCGTGAGATTTTTCAATGCCATGGGTCATGTCAAAGCTGTAGATACGTTGCCACGTCTTGAAAGGAGCACACCAAGAGCCACCACTACCACCATAGTTAAAAACATCATCTGATGTCTCAGTTTGACTAGAGCTTATATAACGTTCATCTTCACCAACCCAACCTAATTAAAGATAAGATAGTAGTGTTAATATATAATAATAATGAATAGAGATTTAAGAAAGGACTAATCCTTACCACCGTGACCACAATCAAGATAAAAATAATCATAATTGCTCACTATAACATCATAACCAAGCTTAGTATATGTTCCAGGGGGCTTAATCCAAGCTTGCACGACAGTATCATTAGAATAGCTTCCACCATCTTTGATAGAATCTTCCCAGATAATAGGTCTCTTCTTGGCCTTTGAGGTAATGAAATGAAGTATATTCTTAGTAAATTCAAACCAGATCTCCTTTGTAGAAGAAAGACGATGCGTCTTGACATAGTTTTTAATACCTTGATCTAGTTCCCAACAAGCAGTATTGATCTCATCACCACCGGAATGAAATAAAGTATCAGGGAAAATCTTGGTACCTTCTAAAATTAAATCATGAATAAGATCATAAGTAGCGTTGAGAATAGGATTTAATTGACCAGCAGGAGGTTCAGCAGCATAATCAGCCCAGAATTCATTCCCACAGAGAATTAAATTAGGATGAGACTCACCAATAGAAGCGGTATGAGCAGGCATATCAATTTCAAGAATAACACGAACACCAAGTGATTCAGCATAGGAGATGATCTTTTTTACATCTGAAGGACTATAGACTTCCTTACTAGAATAAGCACCCTTCTCTGAGAGCTCTGGATGAGATCTAAAGTATAAAGGCCAGGATTGAGAATCAGTAGCATGCCAATGTAAGACATTCATCTTATTATAAGCCTGAGCATCAAGAACACGTAAGATAGAATTAACAGAGAAGAAGTGACGTGAGGTATCTAATAAGATACCACGATGACCATAAGTAGGATAATCAGTAATGTTGACAGTATGAACAACCAGCTGATGATCATCATCATCGTCATCCTCAAGAACCAATTGTGAGAATGTTTCAAGACCACGAAGAGCACCAACCCAAGTCTTTGCTTTCAAGGTAGCATACCCTCCTAATTCTGGCACGATAAGAGAATAAGACTCATCAATACCCATATCAAGTTTAGCAGAGTTATCTTCCACTTGAAAGTGGATACCCTTAAGCTTCTTTTTTGTCAATACAACAGTACAATTATCAGTAGTCACTTGTACAGCTCTCCATCTTTCTCTTTTGATTAGACTCAAATAACGATTAGCAGCAGACTGAACATATTTGTTTTCAATACCCATAAAACGAAAATCATTTGAAAGTAGAGTCTTGGTTCCAAGCCATTCAACTTCTTGAGGGATAGGAAACAAAAACGTTCTTGCTTCAATACAAGTTGAAATCAAGATACAAATAGTAGCTAATGAAAGTAACTTCATTGTTATACAGTTCAATGATTTTATGTGTGTGTGTGTATGCTTCTTTTTTTTTCTCTTTTTGTTTTTACAAGAAAAATAAAAGATAAAAGAATAAAGGTAAAAAAGAAAAGAGAATTTAAATCCAATACTACGATGTACTAATGTGAACTAACGAATCTTGACCACAAAAAAAAAAAAAGAAAAAAAGGTCATACCTCAAAACATTATTTCTATTTCTTTGCTGGTACACAACAGAAAGTAATATATTATATTTGTCCTTTTATAGCATTCATATTACAAACTGTAACAGATAAGATAATTATTTGATTAAAAGATATCTCAAAAAAAAAAGAAAAGACAGACTAGTATAGGTTTACATTAAAAGATGAATCATTTTTATTAAAAGAAAAGAAAGAAAAGTATACTTAATATTAAAGAATCACTATGAGGAATACTTAGAAAGCAATATAAAGGAAATTTGACTTGTTTCCACTTAAATAAAGCTGACTTGAATCAGAAACTACCTTATGTATAGCAATATACTTATACGTGTAAAAATAAAAAAAAAAATAAAAAAAGTATTCATATTTTTACTCTTCTGTCATTTGTTATAATAATAATAATGGGAAAAGATATACTTCTTGCAGTTAGTTATATTTCTAGTAAAAATTGAGAGTTTTAATAATACTCGAGTTTCCTTAAATATTGAATTCATTATTACGTAAGTATTTCATATAATACTATTGGCTGTGATATTCTATCCGCCTTCCTCATCCCTTAGAAAAAAAAAAGACCCTTTAAAGAACCCTGTGTATACGCATTCTAAATATTCATCATGTATATAAGCGGCCTCACCTAAACTATATTCTATTTAATCATATATCCATATGTGAATGCATATTTTTTAAATACATAATACATTATGAATTTCTTTTACATGTGTACTCTTTATGTAAGCAGTACACTTTGAATAATAAAAAATATTTTCGCACTTTGTATGTAATTCGTTAATTTAAAAATATATGTATATAAATGGCAATAACACAACTAAACACGTTTGTTTGCCAAGAGATCTTGAGCCCCTGGAACATTCATCGTAGTTTAAATAGTAATTATTACTGCTGATAATGTCTGAAATGTTAAAAAAAAAACTATATTTAGAAATTGGACGATCATCCTTCTTTTTTCTACTATTCAACTTATGTAACAATCCTACATATACAAGTTATTTTTCGTTAGTAACATACACTTTTCTTAATTTTTATTAGTGACTTTTAAATCATAACAATTTATTCACTCTTTTTATTAGTTAAGCATCTGCTTCTCTCTTCAGCTATTCTACAATGCTTTGATAAAGTGATAATAAGTAATTTTTTTTCAGGAGATTTTTTTTTCTTAGTAAACCAAATTTGTAAAGAGCTAATTTAATATGAAACTTGCTGGTTTTATAAGGAAAATACTAGCCAGTTTTGTTAAAAGATAATTTATTAATAAAACATTGTGTTTATTTTTCTAAAATCGTAAATTGAAGAATCTCAATCATTCATTCATGGTATTTACTGCTTTTTGTTAATTATAGCAGTAAATAGGATTTAATTTGATTTAGAAAATATATAGTTCTATTTTAACTATTTTACTATAAAGCAGTAAACAGACCTTTCATTTCTTTTCTTTTTTTGTTATTTTTGTTGTTTTTTTAATGGATCGTTAATTTATATTTAAATTATAATTATATAGGTTTAATAAACATGAAACCAGTAGTGATAATAACAATAACACTCAAAGACGCGAAAATATATAAATACAGGATAAATTCAACAATACTTCCATTATTTTTTTTTTATTTCTTTATAATTTAACTTCATTCGATTAATAATCGCTAGCAATATGAAGCTTATCGTTGCGGCCTCTTCCTTTGCTTCTTTATTGTGTTTGACTCAAGCTCTCAACATTTCTCCTTGTCAAGAGAAATATACTGGTAAGTTCTTTGCGGGTTTTTTTTTTATCAGTCAAAGGATTTTTTTTCCTAATTAGGTTTTTATTATTTTAGCCACTGATGGTGACACCTGTAATTCAATTGCTTCTAAAGTTGGTGTTTCCCAAAACAGCATTGAAGGATGGAATAAAGACTTAAATCCTCAATTTGATTGCGAAAATATTCAACCCGGGGAATCAATTTGTGTCAAGGTAGGTGATGAAATTTAAGATATTGTACACATGTCATATTCTAATTGTATAAAATGTTTCAAGTTCGTGGGTTCCAAGGGAAATAGCCATGATTTAGAAGATGCTAGCCTTCTTGAAAAGAGAAGCAAGAAGGATGATGATGACGAGGATAAAGCTGACAAGAAGAAGAAGCATCATAAGAATAAATCTCACAAGAAGAAGAAGGATGATGATGATGATGATAACGATGATGACGATGATGACGATGATAACAGTGATGATGATGACGAGGGTAAAGCCGACAAGAAGAAGAAGCATCATAAGAATAAATCTCACAAGAAGAAGAAGGATGATGATGATGATAACGATGATGACGATGATGATAACGATGATGATGGTAGCGATGATGATAACGAGGGTAAAGCTCACAAGAAGCATCATAAGGAGAAATCTCACAAGAAGAAGAAGAATGAAGATGATGACGACGATGATAATACAGCTCACAAGAAGAAGAGTGCTGCTATGAAGACAGCTCACAAGAAGAAGGGTGCTGCTCACAAGAAGAAGACTACCACTACCAAGGCAGTTCACAAGAAGAAGACTACTACTACTACAAAGGCAGTTCACAAGAAGAAATGTCACAAGAAGAGATCTTATGATGATGAGCTTAAGAAGCAAGATAAGCAGAACGATGATAATGTCGATGATAAGGACCATAAGAAGGACCATAAGAAGGGACATAAGAAAGACCATAAGAAGGACCATAAGAAGGGACATAAGAAGAGCCATAAGGTGAGCCATAAGATGAGCCATAAGATGAGCCATAAGAAGGACCATAAGAAGAGCCATAAGAAGGACCATAAGATGAGTCATGATAAAGATATTAATATTAACAATATGAAGGGACACAATAAACAACAAGATGTTGCCACTTCTACCACTACTGCTGCTACTACCACTGCTACTACTCATAAGGGTCATCATCACCACAAGACAGATACCACCACTACTGCTGCTACTACCACTACTGCTGCTACTATCACTATTACTCCTGCCACTACTACTACTGACGCTACTTCTGCTGCTACTACTACTACTACTACTACCGAAGAGGGTCACCACCACCACCACCACCACCACCACCATAAGACAGATACCACCACTACTGCTGCTACAGCCACTACTGCTGCTACAACCACTACTGCTGTTACTACCACTACTACTCCTGCCACTACTACTACTGCCACCACTACTGCCGCTACTACTACTACTACTGAAGAGGGTCACAACCACCAACACCACCACCACCACCACCACAAGGATCAAAATTAGTTTTTATAGACGTATCGTATCTCTGTCTTTCATTCAAAGACAATTCGTTTTTATTTCCCCTTTAAAATAAATAAAATAAATTAAACTTATATTCATAATTTATATTGATATTTGTAAATGAAGACCGATAAAAAAAAAGATGTCTGTATTATCGGTATCATATAACAATTCATTTATTTGAACTTCATTGGCTATTTATTAATTTTATAGCATAGGTGCTTAAGGGTTGTTCATCATATAAATAAATAAATAAGGGAAGTGTATAAATGTTTAAAAAAAAAGACGTCAAAATTAGTACAATTTATATTTGTGGAAGTTATAAGTCGGTGTTGATTTTTTTTTTTTTTTTTTCCTTTATTATATCCACTTTGCTATGCAATGAAGTCTGATTCCTTCTGACGTATGTATGTATGCATTTTATATTGGAGATCATACAATGGAGATTCATTTTTTGCAAGATGGTTATAATAATCAGCTTGTTCAGCTAAGTAATTTTGGACGTTAACCACAAGGTGAAGCAGTGAATCATTTTGATAATAATCATAGTTTTGCTGCTGTTGTATTTCGGAAGAATATTGCAAACCACAAAGGTTGTTGTTTATTTCCTCAATCTCTTCTTCGTATTCACCGTCAGTATCATTCATGTATTCCTTCTGAGACTGATACCATTTTAATTGTTCGAGACAATAGTAGTAATAATCTTGAAGATTAGCTTCAGCAATGGTATCCAGCATACTGGAATTATATTGTATGTAATCTTGCCCTTTTATAGTGTCATAACAAGCTTCATGTCGTTCTTCCAAGTCATTGCTATTAAGTTCGTTATAATAGCTATAACAGGCATACGAATTAGAATTGCTATCTTGTTGAATACAACGAAACACATTAGAATTCATTGTATATAAAGGAGAGAAAGGGAGAAGGAATCTTTAGCTCAAGATGTTAAAAAAAAAGAAAAAGAAATAAAGAATAGAATGAAATTAATCAATATTACAATCTGTAATGTATAGATAAAAGATATCCTAACTTGTTCTTATTTTCTTTTAATCTCTTTTTCTTTCTCTTTTTTTTTTCTTCCAGAATAAGTTCACAAAAGAAAAAAAAAAAGAAAAAGAAAGGTCAAGCTAAAGAAGAAATAAAAGATAAAGAAATGAAAGAAAATTCAAAACTGAATTTGCTCTCCTCTTCCACCCTTTATATTATCGAATACGATAATAAAATAAAGTTATTGCCGTCAAGGAGGTATAAAAGTGGTATGATATTGTATTTTGTTGTACGTTCCCTGATAGGGCGGCATAGGTGCGGAAGAAAACAATTCTCTCATCCTAAACAGGTTATCTCAATTTTGGATAGTTTTTATTTTATTTTTTTCTTCTTCCTCTCCTCGCATAGCCTCTATTATATACATAATAAGCGTAGCTAGTAAAATATACATGATGTAAATCTGAAAGCATCTTGTAATTAAAAAAAAAAGAGATAGGAAAGTCAGTATAGGAAACATATCCCCTTCTCTTCGTAAAAACGATAATCCCTTCTCCTGAAAATATTTTTGATAAATTTGATATTGACTGATATCTGTTACTTATATTCTCCTACTTTGTCTATCAAACTTAAAAATATCATGAATTATTTTTTTGTTAAATTTCTAATATTCGTAGACATAGTTTATTATTTGATCAAGCATCGCATCAATACAATAGATATCTATTAATTAGTTCGTGTAAGGGCACCTTTAAAGAAAAAAAAATAATAATAATCGAAACAACCAATCATAAGTTAGTTATGAGGGGAAACGGGAGGGAAAATATTTATAAACATTTATTTTTTTTTGTGCTCGCATCGGCTGTTATTTACCAGCAAGTAATTAAATTGAATGGATAAGTGATATCGTTATTAGAGAAATTATAAAAAAGAAAAGAGAAGACAAAAGATGATATAAATTGAGAACAAGCAAAGGAAACAATAAATATTTATATAAGAAAAGGAACAAATTCTCTATTACAAGAAAGACCAACTAATAAATTAATATTACTTAAATACAAAAATTTACTCAAAGGAAATAAATGTAAATAAATTCTTGATATTTTGTACACTGAATGTGCTGCAATTTTGTTTTAGAATTCATATTATATAATGAACAAAGTTTGTACAATAATTTAATATCAGATTTATTTGGAAAAAAAAACAAAGGAGGAAATAGTTAAGTTTTAATAATTATATTCTTTCTCTTTAATCCATAGCAGATAAACACATATTCAGGAAAATAATAATTTAGTGTACAGTGGTGTTGAATATTTAAAGATGTGCGTAGCTTTGTTGGTAATGTTTTTATATGGGGAAGAGGAAAAAAAAAAGGATATTTTATGACAAAATGAATTTTGTGTGTGTATAGTTTGTTTGAATAAATGTGTATGCATATATACTCGGTAAAACACATCTAAATAAACATAAAGATATTCTACATAATAATTTAAAAAAAATCAGCCTTGCTTGGTGGCTCAGGAAAATCTTCCAAATTTCGGAGCTTTTCATGCATATTAGTTCTACGCAGCCTTGTTGAATACGAACTGATAGCTGTGGCGAAATATATCTAAAATTAAAAAAAAAAAAAAAGTTACTTTTTATGGAGCATGTTTTTTTGTGGCTGAAATTGATTTGTACCTGAATGAAATTCGCAACCAATGAACTTGTGCAGAAAATAATTATAAGATTTCTATAGCCTACAGTACAAGTGTCCCTTGTTAAATCAGGATATAATGCAACACAATTATCTATAATAAGTGTTTTCTGAATCGCCAGCATAATTATAGCAGCAATAGTAATAATAAATTGTAAAACAACTACTATCCAATATGACACTTTGAAAATACCAATCATTCTTCTATGTTGCTTTATAATTGAATTATATATAAGCCATCTTTCTTTCTCTTTTTTTTTTTTTTTGTATTTGAAGAATAATAACAGTATATATGCATTCCCTTAATATTCGAATACTTACAGTAATACACCCAAGAACGCCAAAAATCGAAGTAAGTGCAAATATAATTGAAACTGCAATCGACGTATAATAAATTCCATTGAATACTTGATAATTAATTTCAATATTATTATATGATAATCCTAAACATATATTAATACATAAAAATTCTAACGCTATATATGTATATCATTATCATACCAGTGGTTGGTTTATTTAAAAAAAGACATACAGTAGAACCAATATAAATTGCCTGAATAAATAAATAAAAAGAAAATTAATGAGGAGCCAAGATAAGACATTTTATGTCAATTTATTTACTGCAGAAAGCAAAGCAATAATTAAAACACCAGCTCTAGAAAGTATTAAGTATGATGTTAGAAGAACATATATGTATTTATTTACTCATATCTAACTCTACCTGATAGGAATACAACAACAACATTTATATTGTCCCATTTTAATATATGTATATAGTGTATTAACGACAAAAAAAAAGAAGATGAATAAAATAAACCAAAAAATAAAATAAACATTGCTTTAAATATGTTTATTATCATTTTGCGAAGCCTCATGACATTATGTTACAAAGCTATTTTAAAAAAAAGGGTTTACTAATAGATAGTAGTAGTAAAAATAATAAGCCCATTCATATGTTACATATTACTTATTTTAATAGCTAGCATTATTCTATTTGGAGATAGGCGTATAATTCCTTAGGATAAAGCCATCTGTTTAAACAAATCACTAGTAAAAAAAAAAAAAAAAAAAAAAAAAAAAAAAAAAAAAAAATGATGAGGCTTAAAAAAAAAAGAATAGCAGTTTTGGCTGATTACTAAAAATAAAGAAAAAAAAAACAAATCGAACCTCTATATCTATATCTATAAATATATACATATATTCATAAATCTACAACTAAAATAATTGTAAACATATTTAAAATATATAGGTTCATATGAAGTGGCATATATTATTTAGACATTCTAGCAAATATATGTGGGTTATTCATTAGCAAAGCCCTATATACAATACATATGTTTCTTAATAACAGCCTTATATCATACTGTTTAAATTGTTTCACAAAAAAAAAGTATATGATTACCTAATTGAACAATTAAAGTCCTTACTTCTTTATTATTTTGCTTTAACGTAAGTGTATTCATATTTTACAGTTCGAGTATTTTGATCAACAATAACGAACTAAATTATTAAATACTTTAAAGAAAAGAAGAAGAAAAAAAAACAAGTAGTAGTAATATTTCTACACGCATACTTCATGACAAGACATAACAAATTTAAAATACTCTTTAAACATAGCGTCTGAATTCCAAGCTATTTTTTAAATTTATGACTTGACAAATATATCTATAGTCTATTGCAATGTAATATATTTAATAAGAGTTAGATTTCAGAATATTACAAATAATTTAAATGAACTTTATCAAAGAATCTTTCATAAGGAAAAGAGTACCTCTAACAATAATATCATATATATATTTTATTGAAAGAAGTATGATCGATTAAAATAGATGAATCTAAGTTTGCAAAAAAAAAAAAAGCATATAATAGAGAAAGGATCTAAAGTTCAATACTTAAAATTTAAATATTAAGACTTTGCTGATTAAAAAAAAAATGATAATTTTAACAAACTAGTGTTTAGAATCAAATCAAGAAATATTACAATTAGCTCTAATACGTGTGTTGATATTAGCAAGATTATGTATGAAATCATCAAGTTAGAATAATATGCATATCATTCAAAAGTAGTTATTTAGAATTTATACAATACTCTATTTTTCGTAAGTTTGGCATAAATTTGATACTATGCACTTTACTATGAAAACGTAAAATTTTATCACTAGCATAAATATAAGACTATAAAGCATTTTCACCCTAAAATAGAGTTGTAAAGTTACCCTCTTAAGAAAGATACTACCACAAAGCAGATACAATATATCCGCACTTATAAAAATTTCGAAGGGTACTTGTTCAAGGCTTCAGTAGTTCTAACTCTCAATGAGCATTTACTGCTTATATTCTTAAATTTAGTAGCCGAATAGATTTATAAATATATCTATTGTTTTTCCAATTTTGTTAAATCCAAAAAAAAAAGGCTACCATCTAGAATTATTTTAAACCTAATAATAGTCATTATAAATTCCAAGAAAACGGTTTTGTTCTTTGGAAAGGACAATAATTTAGTATCAAGTTCCTCCCCAACTTGTTACCATTTTACTATTGGCTGAGATTTATATCTTATAAATAGAAATATATTTCGTTTTGAACTGTACCTTGAAAACTTCTTTATATAAGATAGGAGTGAAAAGAATAATATTATAATATCTCCACTATTATTGCTGCAAAGATTAAGATATGATATTCCCTCTAATATTATTTTATATCAAATATTTGATGTATTTTCTAGTTTAATTTGTCCAAGATATTCGTTCTGTTGTACAATATTTTAGTTTTAAAGCTCTCAACCAATCTACCACTTTTATACAACATAATATTTTTCTTTTTTTATATTCGAAACAACGTGATAAAAAAAAAGCTTTTCTCCCTCTTGATTTCTTATCTTTTTCTTTCTTTTTTTCCTTCTTCTTCTTCTTCTTCTCTCTCTTGTACAGCATAAAATGAATTCAATAAAAACCCATCCCTATTCATCTTTTTTACCTCTATTTCTTTTAATAATTTTCAGTATCCAAACAAATGCTCAATACGATGATTCAGGTAAATAAATATTGCCGATCACCCTGTTATAATATAAAGATTTTTACTGTCTTTAAAATGTATAAATATATTGACAGCTTTGTTTCTAATACATTTTTTAAAAAGGACAAGAAGAAGATTATGATAATGAAGAGGAGAACTATGAGGATAATGATGACAATGATTATGAAGATGATGATGATGATAGTGGCAATAATACAACTACCTATGATGATGGAACATGGACTTCACGTATGTAAACAGCATCTATTCAATATATATGTATGTACATAACATAACATTTTTTTTTTTTGCTTTGTCATATAATACAGAAGCAACTACTACAACAGATTGGTGGGATACTACTACAACTTATATTCCTTCAACAACAGAAACAGATATTTTAACTTCTACTACTACAACAATAGATACGACAACTACAACTGACGTTACAACTACAACGACTGATACTACTACGACTACGACTACTACTACTATTGAAGTAATCACTTCAGACATAATGACTATAACTACAGGAACTTTTGATCCAGCAACAACACTAACACTACCCACAGATAGTTCCATTCTAAATATATTAACTAGCTCAAGTATCAGTCCTACACCTTCTCAAACAATAACTCAAATTAATAACGTAATGCCATCTAACAAACAGCCCACTAATACTGGTGCCATTGTAGGTGGAGTAGTAGGTGGAGTAGCAGGCGTAGCACTTCTTGGTGCACTTGCTTTTCTACTTATTCGTCGACGAAAATCTAGATCAACAGATGATCGTGAAGTCTTTCATCCTCAGGATGATGATGATGATGACCAACAACAACCTTTTCAACAGAGTACTGAAAATGTTTGGAATCAATCTGATTCAAGCTATCCACAAATGTCTTATGTCACTCATTCTCCATCTTCGATACCTCCCCATCATAGTTTCCTTGAAGACCGACAAAAGTATTAAGGGAAAAAAAAAAGAAGAAGAAGAAGAAATGGAAGTGACATTATCATTTCTCTCCTTTCATTAAGCATTATATGTAATTAGAATACTATTACTATTTTTTTTTTTGTACTGCATTATAATGTTAATTGTAATTTTATTTGTATTACATAATAATCTGCAGGAAAAAAAAACATTACTTATAATAGGAGAAGGCATACATAATTTTCTTTTTTATATGAACTCCTAGTTTCAATAAATAAAATAGTTATCTTTAGAAAACTTCTTTATGAATACAAATTCCATTACATAAATTAATGCAAACGTACGTGATCCCCTTTTTTTTTCCTTCTATAAAAGAAAAAAAAATGAATCATATAGAACTTGAAAATTTCATCTAAACATGCCACAATTTTTAAGGTTTAAAATGAACCTATTAGGCAAGATAATTAACGTATATATCACAGTACAACGATGATAATAAGGCCTTAGTTCAGTAAATAAAGTATTCAAGTTTGAATGAACAGACATACAAAAAAAAAAAGGGAGAAGGTTAATTATGAAAAACGAGTGTCAAAAAAGGCAATCAATATGTAAATATAGATTTGTTTGTCATGTTGCAAAGCAAGATAATTAATGTTGCCTAGCAGAAAAAAAAAAGAGCTGTAGTGGATGATATTAATAAATATTCGAATAACTAAAGTGACCGTTATTTGAAGATACAACAAAAGAAATTCTTTAATCTTTATTGCAACATCTATTCTATCTAGAAAAAAAAAAAAAAAAGGAAAAAAGAAAAAGAAAAGGAAAGAAAAATGCTTCTCATAGGGAATCTTTCTCTCTTATTCATCACTTTTATTATTGTTTCCTTTATATATAACGCTCCCCCTTTTTTTTTTGCTAAGAAAAGATTCTTATTAGAACTAGAAAATAATATCTTCATCTTCATGATCCAGCATGTCAATTTGACCTGTTTCATAAGCCGCTTGAAGAATTGGTGCTATTATCAATTATTAATACAAATGTACTCATTCTTTAACTATCTCATTTTACCTTCATGACCACGCTTTTCAGCAAGATCTGCCTCTTGCAGTCTGATAGATTCTTCATTTTGAGCACGCTCCTTCTTCTTACTTTGGACTTTCTTTAATCTTTTCATTTTAATAGAATATTAATATAAAACACAACAATGGAAAAGACAGAACTTTTACCTGAAAAATTCTTCTCTATCTTGCTCGTCTAATTCAGAAATGATATATTTGATAGTATTTTCATAACGAGGAATAATAACATGCTCAATGGCATTTACACGTCGATTAGTTGCTTTAATAACTTCATCCAAGATAACAAAAGCTGTCTGTTTGTACATAAATGTTGAATTTTAAATCTTTGATACAAGTCATTTATTTTACCTGCAAACTAGCTAATTCAACCAATGTTTCTACAGCTTTTGTATAAACTTCTTTAGTCTTCTGGATTTGCTGACCACCACGACCAAGACCAGTAAATTCAAATGCTTTTTTTTTTAAAAAAAAAGAGAATAAATAAACTTTAACCTCTGATTGCAATAATAATAATAATAAAGTACCATTTCCTCCTTCATTATACATTTCAAATGCAGGAAGCATAACACCGGAGACATTTTCTTGCTTAGCACGAACACGTAATTGAGCTGTTTTAGAGGCTTCTTGAATTTGGTAACTAATCACGTATGTAAGCGTATATGTCAATGATTTTTTCTTCTCCCCCCTTTTTTTTTTCAATTATTATATATACTGAGTGATAATGTATTTACCTAATATCGCCAGTAATGTATTGAACCTCAGCAAGAGAAAAAGAAGCAAGCTGCATAACTTGACCCATATTACGTTTAAGCTAGTTAATGTAAATAGTCATTAATAAACTCGATAATGTAAAATGTATAATAGGAAGAAGAAAAAAAATTTAACTACACTAGTCTCTAATGCTTTATTTTTATTTTCTCTGCTTTGTTTTGTTTTTGCTTTACCTCATCAATTTTAACTGTAATTCCTCTAAAACGTTTAGACAATGCTTCAGATTTACGTTTCAAAAGTGAATGACCAGTTTGAGCACCTTTTAATTTCTGCTTCATATTTGTAAGAGCCCTATAATATATTATTAATTAAGCATTCATTTTGGATTGAAGGAATTGATTAAGGAGACAAAAGTTAAGATGAAAAAAAAAAAAAATGCATACATTCGCGTAGGAAAAATATTAAGACGTGCATTAGATCCGGACATTATAACTATATAAATGTATATTTATTTGTATATATTTCTTTTAATTATATATATTTGCTGAAATCGTTATATTATAGTTAGTGAACGCAATATATGTGTATATAAAAAAAAAGGGTAAAGAAAATAAATGTATCAAAGTTCGAAAAAAAAGGGGGTGTGCAAGAAAATGATACAACATAACAAAAAAAAAAAAAAAAATGTCGGGACAGGGCGCACATAGCAAATAATAAAATCTATTTAATTTATTAAGACATACTTTCACTTCTGCTATGTATATGGATATATATTTTAAAGAAAGGCTTAGTCATAGTAAATGTAGTAATAACAATATAAAATGAATATATGATACAACTTAAATTCAACTCGAAGCATTTCGAAGGGAAGGTTAATTAAATAAAATAAAATAAATTAACGTAAAGGCAACGAATACAATAAAATGCTGTTGTACTTACTGAAATGTATCTTGATAAGTCTAGTGACAATTGGGTAGGAAATGTGTATCAGTAATATTAGGAACAGAGGCAGTGCAAAACTTTATTTTCGTATCTTCTTTCTCGCCATTTCATTTTCTAGACTAAATCTATTCTTGCAACAGAAGAATACTGGAGACTATTTGAGATACGGCACTACTTGCTCAAATTAATCGAACGTCAACAAGTATATTCAAACAAGCAACAGAGCCTTTGTTGTATAAACTGTCAGCAATTTCAAAATGATTGGAATTGATTCTTTAACATTTTTTGATCGTTACGCCTATAACTATAAGATAAATAGAAAATAAAAATATTTACATGTTCTGTGAATTTCATTAAGAGATAATAGTTCCTCGTTTATTTTTATTTTGAATTTCCAAGAGATCCCTTCGCGATCAATATGTTCTGTCATTTAGCATCTTACAATATCATTCTTGTATTTTTTTTTTTTGAAGCCTCTTTTTCATAAGACATGTTTAATTTAAGTATGAGCATGTATTACATATATTAAACACTTTTTGTTAAAGCTAACTTAGCATATTAACTAATATAAACATTTGAAATGCTTAGTAAAACATTGCTTTTCTTTTATGCGGACATAGTTTATTTTTGTAGCCAATAGAGCCTTAAAATCTGTAATAAGCTATGCATATCGTCATCAACTGTATTTACCATTTATCACAAAATCTTATCTACCTTTTGCTGTCAAAAAAGACATAAATAAATATAAAGAAAAAGTAATCCTCAAAAAAAAAGTATTCCTTGATGTCATTGAGTGCTGAGGTGAAGTTAAAAGTATTTATTTATTTGGTGGGCAATTTACATATTACAGGAACATGAGTGAATTAGAATAATAATAAAAATGAGAACAAGCCAAGAATTTGCTTCTTAAACACAAAACACTGTATTGGGGTGAAGCAAGATCTAATACTTTGGTTAACAATGACCCCATAAAAAGCACAGCCAAGTCCTTCGTTGTCCTCTTGATTAGATTCCTAGTGATGTATCTCGGCTGTGTCCTTATTATCCGTGTGGTAACTTTACCTGTGAGCACTTTTATCAAAAATCTCTATGTGGTACCTTCGACTTCATATACCATTGATAATCAGCTTTCCTTTTTCCTTAACCAGATGCAACTAACCTTTCCTTGGTCCCCTCTTGACTCCTCAGAGGTTTTTATTACCTTTTGTTTTTTTATTTATTTATTATTTATTATTTATTATTTATTTTTTTTAGAACTGACTAGGATAATACAGCATTAGTCATTTTTGTTTTGTTTTTTATTCTTTTTATCGTATTAGGGTGCTATTTCTCTACATGAATGCTTTTCAATCGTTTGAGATTAACACTATACTTTCTTCAGCTAATCAGCAACGTCAACAATCATTTATAATACGTTAAAATATACCATAGTTGCTTAGTTCATCTGTTAACATGATATGTTTATTTGGAAAATGGTAGATCCAAATAAATTCAATTTTGTTTAAATATGTATATCCATCTTTTTTTATTATTTATATAGGACGCGTAATCACAACATTTTTATTAGATAACGTATTATAATATAAAGCTTTTTTTTTTCATTTTCATTTTTATTAATATTTTATAAAAAAAAAGATGCTTTTCTTAGTTCTCAAATCTCTTTAGTAGAAGAGACTTGATACTAACAGGATTAACCACGAGAAGGTGAAAGCATATCTAATCCCAAAAATAATATTACAACCCATACACAAATTGATACGGGCTGTAATTTTTTCTTCTCCCTCTAAACTTCTACTTGAAAGATAAACGTCCAATTTCAACTAGTAGACACTTGGCAAAGTCCAACCTGGCCCAAGCCTTGCTAGAAGAAAAAGATAGGATTCCTCACTTCCTACCCCAATAAAAAATACAGTTGGATGTAAGTTTCACTGGAAGCCGGGCTAAACATTCTGACCTGTAGCGTGGCGAAGTGGAAGGAATCCAGATATATAAAGTGCACGACTTGACTATTGTTTACCTGAGAATGTCCCTTCTTTGACCCCTAGCATCTACTTTTGACTTAACAGTAAATACAAGTTGGGATTCTTCACCTAAATGAATAGATGAAAAAACCACGGTCAGAAACGTAAGCTGTGCATCCTTATCTATTTTTATTTTATAAGCAGCAACTAGATAAAAATAAAAAGAAGGAAAAACCTCCAAAAAGAAAAACAGAAAAACTAAACCTTGAGATAAGCCCTTTCAATGGTGCAGACAAAGAGTACGCTAATCTCCCTAAAAAAGGAACAGGTTTACAATTTCCAACCCCAAGTATCCTTTTTATTTCCCTCCTCCTTTGGAAATAAATCAAACTTGAGCAGTCAAAATTCGATAAGGTCCCATCAATTATCTAAGGTTGCAATAACCCAAGGTGAAGGCGGATATGCATGTAGTAACCAAAAGAGAGTCTAGGCCCTCTCCTTTAGCCATGTTATAAACGGACAGTTCTACAAACTCAAGTAAGCCAAGCTATGTGACTTGAGCACACTTCATAACCCTGACTTTCTCTAACTTTAGGGAAAAAAAAAGAAAAAAAAAAGGCAACATTTGTGAAGAAAAGAAAAGAAAAGAAAAGGAAAAGAAAAGATAAAAAAGATAAGAAAAAGTACTTTTTTCTCCTTTATTTTTAAGGAGAATGTATCAAACTTTACTTTATCTTTTTTTACACACGCATGTATAAATGTTGTTTACTCTTCAAATTAACAATGTAAACAAACGTATAAATTCCCTTTTTCCCCTTTCCTTTCCTTCCCTTCCCTTCCCTTTCCTTTGAATATTCTTTGAGGCTTCTGAATGTAAGGCATGAAATAGACGTGCATATTACAATTAAAAAGAAAAGAGATTTATCTTTGTTGTATCTTTTTTGTTGTTGTTGTTGCCTTCTTGTTGTAAAGTAAACAAATACTTGGCAAATAAGTGTAACACAATATACCAAAAAAAAAATTCTTCTATTCTTTCCATTTCTATTTTGAAAGTCTGATCGATCTATTGTGTACAACAAGTTTCATATAAAGGAATGAATCTATTTCCCCTTGCACACTACCAGGCAATTGTCTTTCCAACTTGACTTTGGCACATTTATTTACAAAGTAAAAATAAAATAAAAAATAAAAAATAGGGAGACGTGTGAGAGTTTATTTGGCAGAGTAGATATGCAATGCAGTCATAAAAATAGAGTAGTAACTCTATCCAAGTCAAACCATTTGGAGTGTTAGACTCATTCATTTTTATTTATGCAAATCATTTACTCATATATAAGCTTTAAACGAATAAACGTATTGAAAACAAAAAAAAAAAAGAATAGAATTTATGTACAGCTAAAGAGACGATAGACAGGTGAAATATAGCTTAGTCATTTGTATAACTGGTTTGCACGCTTGGAGTATGATTTCAATTAGCTGATATAAATTTACTTGTTGTATTATGTAATAATAATAAGAATTAAAATTCAATAATGGTCTTCTATTGTATTGAATCCATTGTGACTGTAATAAAAGATTCATTTCCTAGAATAGAACAATTGTATTATTCTTGATAACCCCATTTACAGTTAAAAATATCAATCAAGACATTTTATTCAATGATTAATAAATAAATAAATAAAATAAATAAATATTTCTGAAGATAAATAAAAGGACACGTAGGTGATTACTACATTAAGCAATAAATAGATTGCATAGGTTTATTATTTTTAAACCCTTTTTATACGGTATGAAAGATCCTTTTTGAATAAATTTTAATCGGAATAGACTACCGATAAAATAAACTGGAAATAAATTTTGTTTTTTTTTTTTTTTTTTTTTTTTTTTTTTTTTTTTTTTTTTTTTTTTTTTTTTTTTTTTTCCTCAAAGTTACTACAAGCATTATTTCTCCCCTTCCCGTTTCCCTTCTTTTCTATATTTATTCATTCATTCATTACCAAAATAAAAAGGAACGATGAGCAGTATTAAAAGCAATGAAAGTTACACACGTGAAAATCATAACATCAATAATATCAAAATTGTTCATCATCCAGAAACTGTTCCTATTCGAATTAAATACGCAAATGAAATTAGTGTACCTTTTCATGAATATTTAGCACAAACATGTCCATCTCTTTTCGGTCCAAAGGCACAGTATGTTCCTACTCCTTATTTAAGATCAAGGCATTTACAAACCATTTATGCTTCTATTTACGACTCATCACCGACAAAAAATGATATTACCTATGAAAGGTAAAAACGACATAGATGTGTCATGGCTTTTGTGTTTTTTTTTTTACAATCAATTTTTAACTATTTTATAGACAAATATTAGAATTTAAGAATGGTGGAGTTGCTTCATTAGATTGGGCTTTCCCTTTAAACCCTATATCAGAAGATACACCTACTGTTGTCATCTTGCATGGTTTAACAGGTGGTAGTCATGAGAACTATATTCGCGGTTTACTTCAAATTGTAAGAAAGATTTCCCCGCCTTTTTTTTTTTTTTTTTTTTTTTTTTTTTTTTTTTTTCATTAACAATCAATCTAAATATACATACATACGTACATACATAGATTACTCGATCACCTATCAATTACAGAGCTGTTGTTTATAATGCTAGAGGTTGTGGTTTTACCAGTATTAATACCCCTCAATTATTTAATGCTTCTATTACGGATGATCTTCGAGAAGCACTTTCTCATATCCAAAAACAAATTGGTGAAAAGACACCTTTAATTGGTATAGGCTTCTCTTTAGGTTCAAATATCCTCGTAAAGGTAATTAGGCTGATGATCGTCATGAATAATAAAGATGTCTTGTTGATTTTAACCTATCGAAATATAGTATCTTGGTGAAGAAGGAGAAAAGACGCCGTTCATTGCCGCGGTTTCCATAGCAAATCCATATGATTTATTAAGGTACAAATAAAATAATAGATTAGATGATAGTGTACAAACTTTAACTTTAATTTTATTATTATTATTATTCAAAAGTTCTGGTCAAGTATTGGACCAAGGATATTTCTCTCGACATGTTTATTCTTATCGTATGGCACAGAATTTGAAAAATATATTTTTAAGGTATAAAAGTTTTTTTTTTTTTTTTTTTTTTTTTTTTTTTTTTTTTTTTTTTTTCTCTTAAAACTGAAATAAATAATGCTTAGAAATAAAGACATCATGTTAAGTCGAGGAGACATTGATATTGATGAGGTCTTGGCAGCAAAGACAATACGTGAATATGATGATGCTTGTACGAAAAAGATGTCGAATTACACAACAGTGAACAACTATTACCGAGATGGAAGTTGTGTACGCTTCATTGAGAACGTTCGTATCCCGTTATTATGTATCAATGCATTGGATGATCCTATTTCACGTGCACATTGTATTCCAGTAGATGAAATTAAAGTAAACCCTTATATCATCTTGGCTGCTACAAAACATGGTGGTCATTTAGGCTGGTTTGAACATACATATCGTCCTTCAAGATGGATACATAAGCCTATTGCTGAATTTGTTATTGCCATGTTTCAGGTAAAATCATAAATATGAATAATAGAGAATCATAATCATAATCATAATCATAATCATGAATGGCTACCATTCATAGGCAAATGATGCTCGTAAGGATACTAAAAAATTAGATACCGACGTAGTTATTCGTAGTGAAAAGGCAATCAGAAAAATTCGATTTTCTCCATTGAATAACCCTATACCTCCCCTTACAAAGTCTTTATGATATCTTTTGTATTTTTATTATTATTTTTTTTTTTGTTTCTTTTCTTACAAATAAAAAAAACCATTAAATTATACTATATACTTAATGAATAACAATAAGATGTGAATTATCAACTTGCCAAATATCAAGGCCACTGTATTCACGAATAGCTTCTTCTAATTGAATCTCAGTATATCCTCTTGATATAACGCGTTGTCTAATAGTAGATAAAGCTAATGAATAGCCATATTCATGGGTCATTTCCTTTACAATATTGAAGATGGCTGTCATAGGTGATCTATCTTGACGATGATCACGCTTCTGACTATCATCGGTCAACGACGACTTGGAAACATCAATCAATCTTAAAGCTTCATCTACATCTATTGGTTCAACAAAATCGGAAAGTCGAATACGGGCTAAAGCTTGTGCCATACGAATAATACCTAATAAGGTACGAGCTGATGCATATGTAAATTGTTGTTCACGATCTTCATCAAGCTTATACTGACGTCTTAATCCAACATAAGCACTTGTAATATATTCTGAGACTTCAGGAGTCAATACAGGTCTCTTTGTTCTAGCATGTGCAACATAATGTCTATTTTTTTTTTAGAAAATATTAGGACATATATACACATGTTATTATTATTATTATTACCTAATCATGTGTGGCTCTAATGCATCTATATCCATTTGAGGTGGCTTGTTATGTGTGTGAACATAAGTAACATGTTCAGCTAAAAGACGATCCATATCATCTGAAGGTTTATCAAGAATCAAATAGAGAATATCGAAACGTGAAAGTAAAGCAGCAGGTAAGTTGATGTTTTGTGTAGGAGAAATACGGGTATTATAGCGACCATAGAGAGGATTTGCAGCAGCCAAGATAGAGGCACGAGCGTTTAATGTGGTGTTAATACCTGCCTTTGAAATACTAATGGTTTGTTGTTCCATGACTTCATGAATAGCTGTTCTATCTGCTTCATCCATTTTATCAAATTCATCAATACAACAGATACCATTATCAGCTAAAACTAATGCACCTCCCTCTAAAACCATTTCATCCGTAACTGGCTCTCTCATGACTGCAGCTGTTAAACCAACACCTGAGGAACCACGGCCCGTCGTATAAACACCACGAGGGGCTACTTTAGCAATGAATTTCAATAATTGTGATTTAGCTACACCTGGATCACCCATAAGACAGACATTAATGTCACCACGAATTTTCATACCATCGCCAACTGTCTTATTGACACCACCAACAAGGAGAAGTAGTAATACTTTTTTAACATCATCATGACCATAGATTTCGGGAGCAATGCTACGAGCTAAACGGTTATAGACATTAGGATCTGTCTTTAATTGATTAATCACTTGCTCATCTTCAGCTGACATTTCAATTTCATCATATTGCTTCTTAAGACGATGAACATGTTGTACTTCCATATAGGTGTCTGTTAAAAGGCCAGCACGAAGTGCTCTAAAGCCAGTATAAGGCATAGGTAAAAAGATACCAGACACATTGGCCACATCACCAGGTGTCAATTGACGACAGGCAGCACCAAACAAGTGTAAAGTCATTGTACGAGGTATATGACCCACTGGCACTTGATCTGTTAATTCTTGTAATTTTACTTCTTGGAAAGCCAAAAATTTGGAGGCTCTTGTTTGCATATATAACTTGCCTCGAACACCATTACTTTTACATTCTTGAGATACACATTCAGTTAAAGGTGTAAACTGTCTTTGCTTAATTTCCTGGAAAATTTCATAACCACATGTATCACAACTGTAAGTATTTACTTGAAGGAAAGGCTTCACATCAGAAACACGAGTGATGATACCACGAACAGTGACAAGGTGACCTAATTGAGCACCATTGACTTCACGTACAGCTTGTGCCTTCTCATTGCTTAAGGGCTTGAAGAATACTTCACTAAAATTAATTAAAAAAAAAAAGAGAGAGAGAGAGAGAAATCTGTCTTAGTTGACTCATGTTAAAATATATGTGTATATATAAACAAATCGAAACTTTACTATCGACGTGTTAATGATGGAGGGAATGACTCTTCAGAATCGCTTGCTCTGTTTGAATCACGAATAGTTCTTTGAAAAATAATAACATCAAGAACACTATCTTTATATGTTAAATCAGGATTGTTAGGTGTCTTTTCAGAAAGAATTTTATCAATAACAGTGGCTGCAAGATCGAGATAATGTTTAGTATTTCTTTTGATGCGTGCAACAGTACGATGACGAGAATCTTCATACTAATATCAAAAAGATCGTTTAAAGCAATGTACATTTCAAGTAAAATATATATGTGTATATATTACCTTAGCAAGATCGTCAAGTTCAATTAAAATTACTGATTCTTTTCTATCAACAATTTTTTGCTATAAATGTAATAATCGTCAATTTAATTTCCCTCCTCTTTTTTTTTCATCCATGTTGTGCATGTAATGTTTTACCAATAAAACGTCATATTTTAAGATGGTCTCTTCTTCACCCATCTCATTAACGATCGTCTCTTTATGATTCAACAGAAAGTCGCGAAGATTTTCTAATTATATGAAACATAAATAAGCAAATGAAAACTTAATAGAATGTGACTGATCTACCTTTATCTTCATCGTAATTGACATTACTGAGCTTAACAGGTTGAAGTGCTGCCATCTTTAGTTTTTTTTTCCCTTTTAAGTGCTATAGGCCAAAAAAAAAAAAAGGAACACTATCTATTAAAGGGAAAATGTATGAACGCCTCTCAAAAAAAAATATTTTTTTTTCTTTATTTTCAAATCGCGTTCAAGTCGCGACAATAATTTTTTCACGTCATCTTCTCGTGAACATGTCCAATAAAACTGCCCTAAAGACGATGCATATTAAAAAAAAAAAAAAAAAGGTCAGTATTAAAATGTTATTGTTTAAGAAAGTAAATTATATCATTGAAATGTTAGAAATAAAAAAAAAAAATGTTTTACGTCAGCTATTAAATACAATGATTTTAAGTAAAGTGGGACATTTTTCAAAACATATGTGAGAAGTTTAAATCTTTATTACTATTGCTTAATAAAGCTTCACGTTCTGTCAAAACCAAAGATTTGATATAATTCATTACTATCTGAATCAATGAATAGATACATTTTCTTTATGTAGGCTCGATAATCTGATGTATTCACAGCTGCTTATTGCAATAGCCGCATCAGATTAGAAAAAACTAGCCATACTATTACAGAATCTAAAGATATTCAAATAAGCAAAATTACCTTCTTTATCAACTAGTAAAGAGAGAGAGAGAGAGAGAGTATGAAATGAAATTAAAAAGTCCATTTTTTTTTAATACAATTGTTGTGTCAATAAATAGGTATAAAAGGTTATTATATTACGTAATGTCTTGTTTATTATATACTAGCATAATTTCTTTTTTTTTTTGAAAATTTATTTATTTATTTTTATTATTATTATTCTTATTATTACAATTATTATTTCTTCAATAGTAATGTCAGGTTAGAGTTATGAATAATGATAATCAAACATGTTTATATGCTCATCATGTAACCATACATTGTTATAGATTTCTTAATAAAACGTTCTCCTGATGATTTCGACTGGACCACTACTATTTGTCTCGTATATACATACAATACATATATATATATATATCAATAGATATAATACAATACTAAATGTCTTTTCTAGTATGTTATCTTGATTATATTAGGAATTGGCATGTGCTTTTGTTTAAAACGAGCTAATCGACTTATACCAAACCGCTTCAGTTTCCCACTAGTAGATAGAGGAAATACTCATACTCGATTATATGACTTGAATGAAGAGGAAGAGGGATTGTTAAGTCATTATAGTGATGTAGAAAGTGAGGATGATGCTGAAGTTATTGATAATCAAAATGGGCTTCGTGGAGAAGTAAAAAATGGAGATGCATCACAATCTAATCAAGCAGAGTCAATCGATAATACTAACTTTCGAAAAGCGAAATAAATACATTTATATATTTATAATATTCAAGTTGAAATGATTATTTATAAGTAGTTCATCATTCATGGGCCTTTATTATTAAGTAAAAGTGAAAAAAAAGGAAGAAGAAGAAGGAGCTTCTCTTGTTGATGAGCTGTTAGCTTTGAAAGGCAATACCATTTGAAACTCAACAATTTGATAATCATGGTAGGGTGGCTTACTGCGATTATGTGTCATACTTTCTTCTCACCTACTTATTTCAATTCTCTTTTTGAATTTCTTTCTAGTAATTAAATTAAGTTTTGATTTGTATCAAGCAAATAAACCCATTCTATGCGTGTTATAAATCAATCCTCTGGAATAGTATTTTTTTTTTTCTTCTTTATCAGCTTGTCTGACTTTGTTTTTATTTGACCAAAAAAAAAAAAAAAAAAAAAAAAAAAAAAAAAAAAATAAAAAATAAAAAAATAAAATATTTTTACACTACACAGTTTTTTTTTTTTTCTTTATATTATTAATTTTAAAATCAAAACCTGTCATTCAATAGTAAAGAGTAAAAGCAAATGCAAAAATTAATAATGTTCATTAAATAGTAATAATAATAATAATAGTGGACGATATGAGTAGCGGATCTGATAGTGACTATGCCAAGTATTGGATTGACTGGTTTTTGGAAACAAAAGGAAATGAATATTATTGTGAAGTTGATGAAGAATACATTTTAGATCGATTTAATCTTACTGGATTAAATCTCGAAATTCAACAATATTATGCTGAAGCATTAGACATGATTACTGATAATTTGGGTAATTATATAAAGAATAATGTAAATAATACATCATCAATAATAATAGTAATTAAAGCAATACTATATTATAAAATAAAATAGACGAAGAAAAATATGATGACAGAACAAGAGAGCTAATTGAAAGGACTTCTCGTCACCTATATGGATTAATTCATGCTCGTTTTATTCTTACAACTCGTGGTTTAGCAAAGATGGTAAGTTTTTTTTTTTTTTTTTTTTTTTTTTTCTAAAATAAAAAAAAGGACAGGCATTATATATCAATATAATCTCTCTTTTTTTTTTTTTTTTCTTGTAGTTGGATAAATATAAAAAGGCAGAGTTTAGTCGTTGTCCTCGCGTGCTTTGTCATATGCAGCCTTTACTTCCTGTTGGATTATCTGACATTCCAATGACAAAAACAGTTAAATTATATTGTCCTCGATGTGAAGATATTTATAATCCTAAATCGGCTCGTCATGCCTCAATTGATGGTGCCCATTTTGGTACTTCTTTCCCTCATATGTTATTCCAAGTTCATCCTAATTATTTGCCTACAAAGTCAATTGAACGTTATGAACCTCGTATCTTTGGATTTAAGATTCACCAGATTGCTGAACAGCATAGATGGCAAGATCGTGCCCGTGAAGAGTATGAAAAGAAATTAAAAGAAAAACAAGAAACAGCATAATAAATAAAAAAAATTATATTTTTATTATGATTACGATTATTCAATATAATGTATTTGGTTATTTATCTACTCACAAGGGAGGAAATAAGAGCATATTTGAAAATGCACTTTTACTATTATTTTAATAAAATGTGTAGTGCTGCTAGTTAGTAAGGTGAAAAAAAAAAAAAAGTCCATAAAAAGATATCTAAGTTGAGAAACCTCCTCTGATTTTTATCTATTGAGAAACGCTTGACTATCAAGGACACTCTATCCGGTAGTTGGAATAAAGCCCTACATTATTTATTAAAGCTTATAACATAACGCCCTTTAAGCTACGTGTGCTAAACATCGTAGAAGGCCTCATAGTAAATTTGACTAATGATGAATACCGAGTTTTTGTTCGAAAAAGAGTGTAACTATCAAATACATTGTTAAATAGATGAAAGGATGGAGGAGGGGTCTATTAGCATAACGTCTGTCTATAAACCAAAACATGATGAAGAAATAGGTGTATTATTCAATAAACAAGATAAATAAAATAGGATAACAGCTATCAAATTAGATACAAAATAAATACGCATTTATAAACAACATACATGATCTGCCATATGTATTTATATGATCCTAAAAAAAAAAAAAAAAAAAAAAAAAAAAAAAAAAAAAACCGATTAGTATAAGCATGCTATAAACCAGCAAAATATACGAATATGGTAAAATAGAATATTATATTTTACTTAAAAAGGTAGTTTTCCGTAAATCATCAAACATGTATTATTGCCCCATTTTGTTACAATAGACTTATAATACCAAAGTTAAGGAGAGGGTAGAAAATATATAACCATATCCTTTCGTTTTATACCTCATCCTAACAGTAGTTAATTGCTTTGAAAGAAAAGTAGAAAGTAATATTAAACAAAGAACCTTAGTCTTTCAAGTTTTATATTTTCTTTTCTCTCTCTCTCTCTCTCATCTCAAAGAGTTACTCCCCCTTTTTTCATTATTTAAATTTTATATGATTGTGAAATTAAACTACTCATCTCTAATATTACATTCAAAGTTTTGAGGTATTTCTTAATGCTTCAATAGGAAAATAAACGTTGAAAATCCTTGTCAGCAAGAAGAAAAAAAAAAAGATTTGTTTTTCTTTTTTCTTTTGTTAAATGGGTAATATAGAATAGAAGATCCCATGTATTGCTTCAATAAATTAATAAAGGCACAAAGCCATTTTCATCAGCAAAGAATGATCAAAAATACTCTTCTGTGCAACTGTAGATTTGCTTCACAAAAAAAAAAAAGACAAATTATGTCAATGGGAATTTTTTTTCTTTTCTTTACAGATTATTAACAAGAGCGACTCATTTTTATTTATTATTTCCTCCTCTCTCCCCCCCCCCCAATGTAAAAAAAAAAGCGTTGTCAAAGATATAAGACTTTTATTGCAGTTAATTTTTGGAAAAAAAAAAAAAAAGTAATAAAAGTTACTAAATATAGTCAAAACTGCTTTTTTCCATTTACCCCTTCCAACTAATTTGAATCGAATCAAGAGAAAATCAGGTACGCCATAATACATATTCTACTTTATTAATACACGTAAACTAAATCAGATTTTTCAAATGATATAACTGCATTCTCAACGAAAATACATTTTTTTTTTCATGAACAAAACTATTATTATTTACGAGAGACTTATTAAAAAAAAAAAGACTTTTAGTCATATCCTCTATTGCAGAATATAATTGTTTTCCTTATTATTTTATTGCTTGTCGAGTACATCTATTTATAAAAGGAGCAAATATGAATGAGAAGAACACAAACTTGTATATAAATAAATATTTTTTTTTCTTTAGAAAAAAAACAGTAAAAGATATTTATTATCTTCTTTGGTTTTTTTTATTTCTTTAAAAAATAAATAAAAAAAAAAGATACATGAGATTTTTTTTTCTTTTTACAGTGCACAAGTCTGAGAACTTTTTCATTATAAACAAGTTCTCTGCTATTTGTTACCATGAAAAAAAAAGAAGCCACAAAAATTATTGGGTACCTTGTTAATTAATAAAGAGAAGAAAATGTATCACCAACAGTTACACATTTACTCAATTTAGCCTATCATTGAAATTAAAGTATAGAATTCTACAAATTAATTTTGTTGTTCCTGACAACAATACAATGGTTACCAAGGTTATTTTTTTTTGTTACATTATATATAAATAGAGGAGAGGCGGAGGAGAAAAAAAAGAAAAAAAAAAGGTAGAAAAATAAAATAGCTATACTTTTTTCTTCTTCTTCTTTTTATTATTATCTTTTATTTTATTTAGCGTTGATCGCATTTACATATACACATATTTATATATTATATATAACTATACATAATGAAGCAGGCTTCAATAACTATCTTTATTTCAATCACACTTTTTGTTTATTCAATCATGGCAGTACCTTTAATCATCGATAAACGGGGTATTTCTAAATGTTATAAAAAGGCTAGAATCACACAATATTGGATTCCAAAAGAAGGAGACAAGGATATGACTAACAATGGTAAAAGGGTCACCTTAAATGGCCCCAAGACAAAATCTTTGAAGGATGAAGATGGCAAAACGATTGCTAAGGTTTCAAAGAGCACCTATGAAAAATTTCAGATGGAGGGCACTGGTTTGCTCAAGTCAGGTGTCATGGTCAACTTGGACGGTGATATGGATGAATTCATGAAGATTGATCGTTCAAAGACGCCTTACGGTTTAGGCTCCAATAGTAACGGCTTGACTCCATGGGTGAGCGTGGCAACAAATGATATCAAAAAGGGGACAACCTTATACGTCAAGGAATTAGATGGCTTGAAATTACCGGATGGTAAAACTCATAACGGCTGTGTTCGAGTAGATGATGAAGGCTGGAGTCTTAATGGTTGTCAGCTCGATTTCTTTGTCCTTCAATATAGCGCTTATCGAAATTTAGTCGATAAAATTCCGAGTAAAGTAACTGTAACTGAAAAAAAGTGTACTATAAAAAATTACGTTACAAGTGCTGTTAAAAAGTGGGCCGTTCTTAAAAATTAATTTTTTTTTTCTTTATTTTTTTTTATTTTTTTTTTTTTGTGTGTATATTTACCCGTTCCCCCCAAAAAAAAGAAAAGCATATAAATAGTGTATGCATGTTAATAAATTTAATATTATAGTACATAGCCTTTATATTGGTTATCTCATTAAATATAAAAAGGTTACCATATATGTCCTTTATTTAGTTAATTATGTAACATATTCATATGTTATATCATGAATATGTTACTTTAACAAAAGTTGAAGTGTATATTTCAACTTTTTATATGTGTACAGATGTATATTTATATATACATATAACAAAAAAGCAATAATTGGTATATTCATTAAATTTTGGCTTGATGCCTAAAGTTGGAGGAAAGGGTATCTATTTTCGGGTTAACCAATATAGTGTAGCTTAGATCTATTTATAATAATTTGATCTATTTTGTGGTATTGGAATTGGAACACCTTTTTTAAGTCGGTCTCCACTTTTTACAATAATTGCTTTTTTATGACGTTGTCTACTGCTTCCCTTTTTTCGTTCCTGATGCAACCATGTAGAGGACTTTATTTGTGAGGATTCTGTTGTTGCCTCTAAGGAGAGTTTGGATTGTTCTTGTAACAAAGTCTCTGGTGTGGGAGAAACTTTATCTGGTAATTCTTTTTTACCTTTATTTACAATGGTTGTTGCTGATATTAGATTCGGGGTAAAGGAAGGCCCTTCTTGTTTTTTAGTTTGTTTATTTTGTTCATTTTTATTTCGTTTAGCAACAACCGCACGAAGTATCGGATCATGACTCATATCAAATTCCCATATTTCATCTTTTATGACTATATTTAATAGAATTAGTATTTAAATCATAATTCTTTTTTTTTAAACATATATAAATGATTATAAAAGATCACATTACAACTCGCTTCTTTTATATATCCTGAGAATTTATGCTCAGTAGACACTATCGATGATTTTACTTGATGTTTTTCACTTACTTTTTTACCAGGGAAGGCCAAAGTTAATTCTCGATGGTCAAAAGGAAAATTTGAATAATTTGTAATTAATCGCTTCATGCTTCTATTTGATTTTAACATATCCTTTATGGGATCTATATTCGTCTCTTCTACTAAAGACTCAATCTTCATTGCAGATTTAATGACAGAAATTTTCTTTGCAGGAGGCATGACTTGGCTTGTCTCCTCTTCTTCATTAAATAGTGTTGAATATTTCCTTTTATTAGAATAACCCTTTACCTCTTTAGAGTTATTTAGTAAATAGGAAACTGAAATCCTTTTAGCTGATCGATTACCGGGTGTGTTGAGAACTGATGCGAGTGAAGGCAGCATGTTACTACCATTTGGCAAGATCGAGCTAGAGGGGGTCAATGGCTGCAGTTGATCACAATTAAATTCTTTTTTACGCTTGCTTGACTGTTTCTTACCCTTGACTTTTGGAGTAGTAGAAGTCAATTGTGATAAAAATGACACTTCATCTTTTGCATTACCACGTCTTCGGCGTGATACCGTTTTTGTTGTTTGATGATCAAAAGGTGGCGTAAGTGATGTACGGGAGGGGCTTCTTTTAGGTGTACGAGATTTTGATCGACTCGAGGAATTAAGATAGTTAGGAGAAAGGGGTGATGAGGGAGAAGCAGGAAAGGACGATAAGATAGGAGATGATTCACAGTTTGAGGTCCTATTTTGAGTTGAAGCATCAGTAGATGGTGCCGATTTAGATCTCCAATGGGCTTTCTTCTCTTTTCGAAGTGGCCATTCGAGATTAAATATTTGTAAATGACGATAACAACGTGCACACATGAATTGATGATCGTCTATTTTAACAGTAGGAAATTGGGATGCTCTATCACAGCAATTAGCATATTGAGCTTCAGGGATATCAATGCTATCTTCAGATATATCAGATTGAGTTTCCAACCAATCATAAAAAGGGGATAATGCCTTGTTTTCTTCTTTTATGACACCCTCCATTGTTCTTTTTGAAGTAGACCAGCCCTTTTGAAATTTATAACTATCTGAATGGAGAGGAGGATAAGGTAAGAGGATATGTTCCCCAGGAGTGTTGGTAGAGGAAGCCTTTCTGCAATATTTCTCAAAATTAAATTGTTCTTGACAAACTATATCTGTATATTCTTGATGAACCGAATATCTTTTTGGGTCATCATTGGCAGGCATATAGATCCAGTTATTTTTACATTCTACAGGAGTGATATCTTTCTTTGTCTTTTGTCGCTTATTCGGTTTTTGTATCTCTTTTTTTAGTTCTTCTTGAGCGGATCGCTTCTCTCCAACAATGTCAGGTTCATAATATTCTAAACAGGAGATGATGATGAATATTATATACTAGAATGTAATATATGACATACATAATGATATTTACTTTTGTAATCTATTTCCTTTTTAGTACGACTACTACGACGAACATTTCTTTCTTTGGAATTAGTCTCTATTTCATCTTTCTTACTTTCTTGTACATATTCTTTTGACATTTTGCGTCTAAAATTATGAAATATTAATATAAAAGTAAATCCTTAACAATGATTAATTACTTTTCACAAGACATGCATAAACATTCACAATTATTTTCACCAAAATAATCAGCACCATAGAACACAGTCATTTCTTCACCACAGACAATACTTCGTCGAACCTTAAAGGTAACTGCTTGATTACCGATATTCATAAACTAAATGTAGTGTCAAATAAAATAAATAAAGAAAAAAAAAAAAAAAAAAAAAAAAAAAAAAAAAAAAAAAAAAAACTTGGATAACTAAAATCGTACCTCACAATTAGAGTTACAATCATGCTATTATATAAAATAAAGACAGGTTAAACATATATAATTCATTTCATATTACATAATAATAACTTACATTCATAAAACGTGCAGGACCAAGAAATAATGATGTGCATTTTCTTCTAGTCGAATACATTACACTAAAATCACGATCTTCACTTTTTAATTTGGCATCTTCATTAGGACTAAGATACGCAATAGCACCTAAACAAGCTGTGACTTGCTCACCCACTTTCCAATCTTTAGTGGCTATGATACACGCTTCCATTTCACCCGTATATCGTGTAGTTGAACAAATTTCAAACCCAGCACTATGTGTGTACCTGACATCAATACAAAATAAGCATATTATTTAAGCGCGTTGAAAAAAAAAAAAAAGTCTATTAAAGCTTCTGTTATAGGCTTACAGATATAAGTAGCGACGTAAATGAATGTCAAAGTTATGTAGTTCTTTTTCAGGTAATGAGCTGATGATTTGTTGAAAATAAGGTAGTCTAAGGAAAGATGAAGGTAATGAACAAAAAAAAAAAAAAAAAAAAAATAAATTAATTTTAAATAACAACTAGTTAATATAGTAGGTATTTTTTAATTTATATACACACACATATATATATATGTGTGTGTATGTGTATGTATGGGACTTACTCTAAAAAGGCTTTAGAAGCTCTTCTTACACCTTCAGGAGCAGATGATCCACCTAAAATTAAATCTTGAATAATCTTTATTACAGACTTTTGATCTACATTTGTGCCAATAAAATCACTGTGCATGCGTAATGTTTTAAACCATAGATATAAACTGTCCACAAAGTAATGAGCAAGTATATCGTCATAACGTGATAATACGCTAAAATCCATTTTGTTTTATGATTATATATATTTTTTTTTAAAAAAAAAAAAAAATCTGAATTGTATTAATGTTTAATTGAGAAAATAGAAATATAAAATTTTAAATAGATGAATAAGTATAGATCAGAAAAAAGATGACAATCTTTTCTCTTGCTTTTTTTTTTTTTTTAATTGTCAAAGATGTGAATTAAACTTTTTTTTTAGAGACAAGAAAGATATAAGACAGCAATAAAGATTAAAGAAGTGTATAAAGAAATGAAAGAAAAGAAATTCTTTTGTCAAAAAAAAAAAAAAAAAAAAGAAAAGAGGCGGGGAAATAAAAAAATTAAAAACAAAACAAACAAAAAGGTTATGTAACATTAAAAGAATCAAACTAATTCTTTCTTTCTCCTTTAATTTTTTAAAGTTAAATGTCATTATGACTTTCCTTTTAGAATTAACTCATCTTCAAGCGAATAACTAAAATGAATACTTGTTTATTGCTCTTTAATTCAATCATCTAAGGTTCTGTACAGAATAACCCTTTTCTTGTATAATGCAAGAACAACGTGATTGATTGGTAGAGTTGTACACTACAAACCCCGTTCAAAATGACCCTTTATTATGCAAGCAAGACGTGATTTCGATTTACATAATGATATCATTAAAAGAAAAAAAAGGGGGGAAATTTATTACTATTTGCATTCACATTTAATAGGAAAAGGGACACATTTATAAACTTGGTAATAATAATAAAAAAAAAGGGAGAATCTTGATTACCTTGAATTAAGGGAAATGGTTAGCATACAAAAAATCGACTTTGATTAGATGACTCACATTATGTAATCAATGACTAGATATTTTCCAGGATAATAACAGATGGACTTTTACTAGTAAAAATAGTCGTGATGAGATATAAATCTGTATCCATGACTGAATATGTAATAAAACTAACGTCTTTTGTTTTTGACAGGGTTTTTTTTTATTGTTAACGTGTTTTTATAAACAAATTTAGTAGATATTATTCTGCAGCGTAATTAGATATACGAGACATATCCTTATTCTCTGATATCAAGAATAATAGAATAGATTCTACAAGTACTTTTTATTAGTTTATCTATCCATGACTTGTAGAAGTTTATAATCTACTTTTTTCTTATCTTTTATTCTTTTAATTAATCAACAAACAAACAAACAAGCACAATTTTTTTTTTTAATTTCAATAATAATATAAGACGCGTTTGTTGTCATCATTTGTAGTCCCTTCTTAATTAGTATTATATTTATGTAAACCAATCATTTTGCAGTTGAATCATCACAAGCTTTTTTGTAATTATTTTTATTTCCCTCTGAGACTAATTGTGTACAAGTTAAAGTTATTATAACATTCGATATATAATAATTCCTTGAAGGGTACTTTTTTTATAGTAAAAACCAAATGAATGGAATGAATAACCTCTTATTATAGTTAATGTGGCCTAAGCAGTACTACTACTAATAGAAAATAAAAAGATGTCATAAGAGTTTTATTATCAATTAAATGATATCAAAGAAGGCTATTAGTAGTGGAATTACGGTATTTCTTTTATTCTATAAAATAAATTGAATTATCCAAATGTGGTCAAGCCAACTTTGTCAACTACTTTATTAGGTTACAATACCAACTCTTATTTGTTTTCCCAAGTAATTTAATCTTATCACTGGTGGTAATATTATGAATAGGAAGTGTATCTTTTATCTAGTCTTTTATTCTATTATTATTAAATAAAAATACAATTTATACGTGATTAATAGGGAGAGAGAATAAAGTAGTTTGTTGAATATTCTCATTTTACATTATTCTATTTGATAAAACGATGATTGACTAACATGTGTATCGTGGATACTTTTTAAATTTGAAGTTAAAGCGAGTCTTGCATGTGTTTAGAAACCATATAAGATTGGGTCTAGTTAAAAGCATAAGACTATAAAAGATAATGATAAATGTGAGAAAATAGAATACCACGTATTTATCTACTATAGTCATATATAGTAGTCATGATATGCTGTTGCTGTTGTTGTTCGTCACTTTTCATTTATGCGTTACTATTGATAAGATGGTAGTCAGAGATTTGATTGGCTGATAACAATTGCTCATAATTCAACTATTGGTTTTTTTTTTCTTTCGTTCCTTGATTTTCCGTTGTTGTTATTTCCCCCCTTTTTTGCTGCTTTTCTTTTTTTTTTTCATTTGTAGATCAAATTTAATATTTTATATATTTATCTGTTCTTTTCTTATTAAAATTTATTATGTCTTCATTTAAATTTTTCTCTTTAACACCAGAAGAAGAAGAAGAAGAAGGAAGCTCTTACAGTATTTCTCAATTATTAATAGAAGAAGAGGATACATGCATTTCTTGGATTGATGACTCAGAATGCCAAGAAAACCTATTTCAAATTATTTCTCTTACTCCAGAAGTAGCTATAATTGATAAAGAAAATCATATTGTTCACTCTTCATATTCGTTCTTTTTTAAAGAATTAGGCTATTTTACCGAAGAACCTGAACCAATTGACCCAAGTTATGATTATGAACTAGAAGCAAAAAATTTTCTTCTTCAACGAGATAAACAAACTCGTAAGAAGCACATCTGTCTTTCACGTATACCTTCTCTAGAATATGGTTGTCCTAGATCAGGCCTATCTTCTTCTTCTTCTTCAGTACATCATGAATCTCAATTAGTGGATATTCAATCACCTTATTTTATGGGAGTATTATCCTACCCTTCTTCTTCTTCTTCTTCTTCTTCTACTGCTACTAATAATAACTACCATTTAGACACTAAATGTCACCCTTATCAATACCGTTCAAATAGAGTATCTTAGAAGAAGAGGAAAATATATACATCTACATCTACATCTACATCTACATCTACATCTACATATTCTAATATCTCCTTAATAAACATTATTATGCATATACCCTTTTATCTTTTATTAATTTCTCATAAATAGAGTAGTCCGTTTTTTATTTTATTTTATTTTCCCTGGTTAGTCATTAACATGTACGACTTTAACTAGCTAGCATAATTAAATAGAAATAGCCCTTATCATTCTCTTTTTAGTCATCCTATCAGTAACACAAGACGTATGCATGTGTTCTATGGCTTTACATGAAAATAATAGTAATTGATTATTCTGTTGTACCCCTCTGGAAAAATGATAAAACTTGTACTCTACAAGAATATGGAGTAGACTTATAATTTTTTTTTTTTTTTTTTTTTTTTTTTTTTTTTTTTTTTTTTGCAAAGACAAGAGATACATAGGACACGGTACAGAACATGCTTATAAATAAAAAAGAAACTTGTGATTTAACAGTATTTTCTACAAGTAATAAAATAGGGTTCATATTATATGCGTTTGTCTTCTTGTTCTTCTTTATACTAGAGTACAAATCTTGACATTGCTTTCATTAAAAAGTATGGGGTAAAGCGACACGAAATTACATAATATTATATTCAATATCGAGTTTTACTACTTGTTTTGATTCAAATACAATAGGATGAAACAGCATGGCTTACGGAGTTTTGACAAAGTAAAAAAAAAAAAAAAAAAAAAAAAAAAAAAAAAAAAAAAAAAAAAAAAAAAATACAGCATATTTCCCAGTTACAAGTGGTTACTATTTATGGCATCCCTAGATACATTTTTATTTTTATTTTTATTTATTTATTTTTATTTTTTTTTTCTTTAAATAATGTTTCGTCGTATAACATCGATTGTATTGTTATCCACATTCACTTTATTACCAATGTCAACAGTAAATGCACAAGAGAGTGTAAAAGCACATCATGATGGTCATAAATTTAGAAATCCTTGGCCCTCTTTTATCCCCTTTGGCTTTGGATCTGTCATCAAGCTACTTGCTACGACTGACATTAGGAATACGACTAAAAGGATAACAGCACAAGACAGAACGAAGAAAGTAGAAATGAATTGGAATTTAATTAAACAACAGGAACAACTAGATAATATAACTGTAACATGGCTGGGACAGTAATGATGATATATAGGATGGAATAATTCTTAACAAACATGGGATAATAACTTGAATCTATTATAGTGCTTGCATATTTTTACAAATGAAAGGATTTAATATCATTTTTGATCCTATATTTTCTGATAGGTAATCATGTTGCCATATAGTATATACATGTATTTTTTTTTTTTTTTTTGATCTAACGTGACTTTATTTATTAACAAGATGCGCTCCATTTCAATTTATAGGGCCTAAACGATTTACGGAGCCACCTTGTGCTTTAACAGATCTACCCAAAATTGATGCAGTCATTATTTCACATAACCAGTAAACATAACAAATTTAAATATTTAGATCTTAGTACCACAAGCAACTATATATATATATTCACTTTTTTTTTAACATGTATGTTATTAGTTATGATCATATGGATGCTAATACGATATCTCAAATTGATCAACATTCTCCTGACTGCAAATTCTATGTTCCTTTAGGTAATAAGAATTGGTTTAAATTGTCTAACCAGCTTGATAGTCAAGGACATGAAAGAGTGATTGAATTGGATTGGTGGGATACGGATATCCTTAAAAAGTCTGGGGCAACCCTAAGATTCACTTGTACACCTGCTCAGCATCAATCTGGAAGAACATTATTTGATAAAGATAAGACACTTTGGTCTTCTTGGTGTATTGAAGGTTTAGATAAGAATGAAAATCCAACAGAAGGGAGAATATTTTTCGGAGGGTATAACATAACATGATGAAATAACAACGGGGGGGAGAAACTGTGAATTAAATTATCTATGATTAGTGATACAGGTTATCGTGCAATTCCAGCAAATACAAAGCCTGAAGATGAATATAACTATGAATATTTAGATACTTTGCCTCATTGTCCTGCATTTAAAGGTAAAACTTGATTTTTTTTTTTTTTTTTTTGTTCTCTTATCATCATTGTGCCTATAGAAATTGGTGAAAAGGTTGGACCATTTGATTTAGCTTTGATACCTATAGGAGCATATTCTCCGAGATGGTTTATGTCTGCTGTACATTGCTCGCCAGAAGATGCAGTAGACCTTCACAAAGATATCAACAGTAAACATTCTGTAAGTATCATACATATACATATATATATATATATTTTAATAAATAAAATAGACAAATAAATAAATTAAACTCTCCTATCTTTAGATTGGTATACATTGGGGAACTTTTGTTTTAACGGATGAACCAGTTCATGATCCTCCAAAACGTTTAGAAGCAGCATTAAGACAACGTAAAATAGACACAAAGGAATTTCATGTTCTACCTTTAGGTGGTAGTTATACTGTGTCTATAAAGTAGTGCTTAATCGTCAACGTGATGAGCTTTATTGAAATAGTTGATGTATTTTTATAAAATCCATATTTATATAGTTTGAATAATAAACAGTAAATGACCTCGAAAAGCGGGGAGTTTTTCTAATTTAAAGTATCTTTGAATTTCATGTAGATAGGCTCTAAATCATTAGCATAATGATAATTATGATATATCCGAGTAATAAGAAACATACAACAAATATCTTCTTTAAAAAAAAACAATCCTATTTTATATGATACATAATATGAAATTAGAGTTTAAAGACTTTGATAGAGAAGAAAACTACCATGCTGATATGTTGTTAGTTATCCCTCCTAAGTAGAAGATACTCTTACAAAGATTTCTAGTTATACAAAGAAAACCCAGTGATTATCAAATCGTATAGATGTGTATTGCAATATAAGTTAGTGAAAAAAAAGACAGTCTTTTTATTTTATACGAATACAAGGTTTCCATATCGACATGTTTGGATTGCATTCATTTCAAGTTATATGGATTGAATTAAAAGAAAAATGAGATTTATTTTTTATGATAAAGAGCCCTTTCTCATATTATATCGATAAGCGACTAATAAAAGAATAAAAGGTAATTTGTCATTGAAAAGAAAAGCTAATTTGACTCAATTAAAGACATATTCACTAACCAAAAACATAATAAGAATAGTTGAAAGTAGTTGTAAGTGACTTTTTTTTTTTTTTTTTTTTTTTGAATTTTTAACTTTTTCATTAACTTTAAACTTTCTCCACTTTTAATAAAAAATAAAATAAAAATAAAATTCTAATCATGAGTATAACTCATCCAGACATTGACTACTCAAATAAAGTTATACTTGCACCTATGGTTAGTTAGCTTTATAATTTTCTCTCTTAAAGAAAATAAATATCAGTGATTATAATAAGAATTTAACTCTCTCTCTCTCTCTCTCTCTCTCTTTTTTTTTTTTTAAATAGGTACGAATTGGTACCTTGCCCATGAGATTATGTGCATTAGACTATGGTGCAGGTAAATAGTTAAATATAAGAAATAAATAAATTTATAATCTATTCATCTTTATTTATATATTTTTTTTTTTTAAAAAAAAAGACTTGGTTTGGTCAGAAGAACTAGTTGATAAACGTATTATTGGTTCTGTTCGTCGATATAATTGTAAATACTCTATTAGATATTAATTAACCATTTTAGATCTAATATTTATTTATTGCCTTTTTTTTTTTTTTTCTTCATAATTTAGCTGCCACTGGAGCCATTGAATATTATAAAGGCAATTCCTTAACATTTAGCACCTGTGATGCGGAGAAAGGTAAAGTGATTCTTCAATTAGGCACAGCAGATGCCGATTTAGCTCTACAAGCAGCTTTGACATTAAAACAAGATGTTGCTGCTGTGGATGTCAATTGTGGCTGCCCCAAAAAGTTTTCGATTCAAGGTGGTATGGGTGCTGCCCTTTTATCAAATCCAGAAAACCTTCAAAAGATATTAACAAATTTAGTCCAGCATTCGGGTATGCCTGTTAGTTGTAAAATCCGTTTATTGGAAACAAAGGAAAAGACACTCGATCTTGTGAAAATGATTATTTCTACAGGTGTCAAAGCACTTACAGTGCATTGTCGCACAAAAGAGCAACGTTCAACAGAGAAGGCAAATTGGGAGATGATGAAGGATATTGTAGATACTGTCAAATCGATTCGTGATATCCCTGTCATCGTAAATGGCGATATATTTCAATGGTCAGATATAGAAAGAGTAAAAAAATTAACATATTCGGATTCAGTCATGATGGCTAGAGGTGCACAATGGAATCCTTCTGCATTCAGGAGGGAAGGACTTTTACCATTTGAAACAGTTGTACGAGCTTATATTAAAAAGGCCATTGATTATGATAATCTTTTTCAAAATACAAAATATGTGCTCTTGAGTATGAATACGGAAGACACAACTCATACACGATCTGAACTATATACTAGAATACAAAGATCTAAATCGATGAGAACTATCTGTGAGCTCTTTGATTTAGTGGATTATTATGAAGAAGCTATTAAAAAACAAAAGTCCAAGTTGGAAGAAGCTGAAAAGACTAAGGAATTACTTGAAGAAGGAAAGAGAAGTAGAGAAGATGATAGTGTGATTGCTGAGCCTGTAGAAAAGAAATCCAAGAAGGATTAAAAAACAAAAACCTATATCATATAGATAGAATGTGTACATACATATAAAGATTACCTTAATAAATAGAACAAGCATATTAAGCTTATAATATATTTGTATATTTATTTATTATATGAAACTAATCATTATGTAGATATTATAATATAACTTGTGTGCATATAGATGTATATATAAATGAATAAGGTCCTCATTATTTAGACACTTTGAGCAATACGAGGCCAGGTTTGACGAATCTATTCATATTATTGTTATTCATTCGTTATTTATTTATATATAAATCTCTATTCTATTACATACCTTTTCATATAACTCTGGCTTTGTTCTAAGAGAGAAAAAAAGAAAAAAAAAAAAAAAAGAAAAGAATGGAGATTAATCTCTGTTGGTAGATGTGTGATACAATATGTATTACCTTCTTAATGCTTCAGGATCTTCAGCAAGGCAAACAAAGGTAGTTGCTACACCACTAGAGATGACAGTTGCAATAGTAGAAAACATGGAAGCACCGATCAAGAAGCACATCATAATGACAACAGGTGTCATATTTCCAGCTTGATTAAAAGTTGGTTTAGCCACTTCAAGATAAATAAAACCTAATAAAGAACAAAGTATACCGACAAGCAAACCACCTAATAATAAGAATAGTTATTAAAAAGAAAAGAAAAAAAAAGCGATAAAGAGAGAGAAAGAAAGAAATAGTAGCAAGTGCTATACATACCCATAAATAATACATTTCCTATTAAATTATCGTTAATCATTGCCTCTATACCACGATCTTTGATCATGGTCCATGTTCTTCTAGCAGATGGAATAAAGGCTTGGCCATAAATAGCTACGCCACTAAATGCATAATAGTTGAACCATTCCTAAAGAAATAGAAATGAATACATATATATTTTATATATATATATATATGCAACAATCGTCGTGATAATCATGTCATTCATTGTAATACTTACAAATAATCCAGCTGCACAGTTAACTATGCATTGAATGATGCAAATAAAGAATGCTGTGCATGCATTGTCTGTATTCGACCTTGCAATTTGCAAAAAGTATCGAATAAGATTAACAAAGGCAATTAAAAGGGCACCAAAGCAAATAGAACCAAAACTGGTAGTTAAAGCGCGTTTAAGGCTCCCCCAGATTGGATGTCGAACACCATCATTCAAAAAATAAACAGTGGCAAAGATACCGGCTAAAGTGACATGCGTAACATAAGATATGACTTGTGATGTCCAATAAAATGAAAATACTAAAAACACCATAGCACAATTAAGTTTAGAATTATTACTACTAGAACTATACCAAGCTTGATAAATGCCGATAACAGTGAACATGAATAAAAAGTTGAAAGCAGTCTGAATAATTAACGAAATAAAGCCAATTACTATTGTTGAAGGATATTTTCGAGTAATACTAGTAATGGTTTGTAGCATGACTATTTGTATATATTCAAATTAGGTTCTTTTCTTTTCTTTTCTTTTTTTTTTTTTTTTTTTTTTTTTTTTTTTTTTGTGAACAAAACCTGTAGCAAAAGGAATTCGACTCTTCCACCAAAAGAAACAAGCAACATAGAGACATGCAAAAATTAAAAAGACGATAGCAGCAGAATAATAATGCATTACAAAGTAATAAATAGTAACACCAAAATAAACGATAATAGAACCAATAAAGGTAACGACAATCAATGGCTTCGGGAAACTATAGATGTATACATATATATTAATCTTTTTTTTTCTTTTTTTTTTTGCTTCTTTTGCATATATATATATATTCATAAGCTACGTTACAGATTAGCAAATATCAAATACAAAAAGCTAATACCAAATCCAACAATAGCAGAGAGTCCAAAAATTTTAAATGTAGTAGTATCAAATGTTAAACCTGGATATGCATTCTCTGATTGTACACCATGATAAGATCCACTATGACTTCGATAGGTCCTTAAAGCAACCACAGCTAATCCAATAAAGGCCCCTAAATTACATAACCAAAGAAGAATTGCCCAAATATCTCGCCAACCTGAGGCCTGCTTGATTCCTTTCTCACCTGTTTCCCCACCATTTTCATTATTATATGTCTGAGTCGGTGGTATATTATAAAGAGGAGGCTTTTGATGATCATAAGATTGACCATAAGGTTGGCCATGGTATTCAGGATGATGCGTTTGATCTGTCTGGTTTGTATTATAGGGTTCATTGGGAGGAGGCGGATAATATCTATTGTTATCAGAAGTAGTTGGATATGTAGTTTGATTCACTGGAGGAGGTGGATAATGTTGATGGCTGTCATGAGCTGGATACATTGTTTGTTGATTTTCGGGAGGGGGAGGATAATATCTGTTAGTATCATTCATTGGATAAGTGGTTTGTTCATTTAAAGGAGGAGGAGGATAATGTATATTAGTATCAGCTTGAGGATATGTGTTAGTCTGTTCCATACTAATCTTTATAAAGAAGAAAAAGAAAAAAAAAAGAAAATGCGATAAATTGATTTTTTTTTCTTTTTCTATATATATATAAAAAAAAATTATGCAGTTTATTGCTTCAAGTAATACAAAAATCTTTAATGTACATAAATTAAAAGGACATACGCATATATTAAAGCTTGTCATTAAGATTTACAGCAGCACTATTGGTATAATCAAATAATGATAGCTGTTGCTGCTGCTGTTGTTGTTGTAACTCTAGTGATGTCGTTACAATAGGAATATTATTTATATCTTGAATCCAATACTCACTGTTATTAGTTATCCAAGAATTGTAATAAGAACAACTTTCTATAGATGATTGTAATAATTCTGTTGCTCCTTTTTCTTTTTCTTCTTCTTCCTTTTGTTGTTGTTGTAACAATGATGTCATGAGATAAGTCGTTGTTATTTTCGGATCTACATATTGGCTTGTAATGTCATTTATCATCATAGGAGGAGGAATATTAAAATACTTCTCATCAAAAGTATAACTACTACTTATATTTTCAAAAGTAAATGCAGGGTAGTTTTCCTTCAAGAAAGAATGGATAGTAGTTTGTAATGGTATAGTTATAGTCTTCCAATTATCCCAAATAGAAGGCATATCTAAAATTATCTCGGCCATTTTTAGGTAATATTGAATTTTTTCTGATTTTTCCAATTGATATGCATGCATCAGTACCTGCGAGGCAGCATCTAGAGTATACAAAATGATACCGTATGGCAAGAATCTAGGTTGATTTTGATAATTAGTGGAATCACTTAAAAATAATAAACATTTTTCAATTGCGTCTATAGCTTTTGGCATAGCAGATGTTATAGCTAATATATGATTTGTATCTGTAAGATCAAGTGTAGAAGGAAGATGATGCTCATGTAGGTTAAAAGGATCTTGCTTTCGTTTCCTTTCAGGATTCAATAAAGTATCCCGTAAGAATAAAAGACATATTCCAAAATATAAATGATATAACTCCAGAGTACATGCTTGAAGGCTTGATATATTTTTTCTATTATTTTCTATCAACTCTTGAAACTCATCAAGTACTTTCCTCATTTTCTTTTCAATCATATTAATAGTAATATCCTGTCCTTGGTCATCTTCAATGACAATAAAACTTTCCTCCTTATCAAGTTTAGAAAAAGATGACTTTGTGACTGTAGTAGTATTTAGTATATGCGGTATTTGCAATATTAGCTTAGAAGTTATTTTTGATATGATTGTTTTTACGTAGAATGCCTCGACTATATAAGCATACATTTTACATGTTCTTGGATTGTTATTTTCTCTATCATATTGATAAGACTTGGATGAATCGATATTAGGTGGAGGATAAGGTTGATGATGAAAAGTGACTACTCTTGGAACTTTATCAACTTTGAAAGAAAGCATGAAGAAAAAAAAAGAAAACAATCAGAATTTTATCCTATAAAAAGAAGAAGAAGAAAAAAAAAGAAGCCTTACATTCAACAGATCCACGTATTGTATGTTCAAAAGCAGACCAAAAAGTAACTAAAAGTAACTCTTTTTCAACAGGATTTAAATTAGTACTTAGGGTAGTGGTGTTGCTATCAAAAGATAATCCTAATTTTGATGCTATAGAATAGGATATAGCAATAAGTGTTGTACCCCTTTTTGGAAAACCAAAATTAACTTCAAACAAAGCTAATAATACAATCGCTTGATAGCTGCTTAATGCTGCCTCAGCTGAATTTTTTGATAGCAAATAATAAGCGTACTCTAAGAAAGGATTTCTATCTTTTTTATACAGTCCATTCCAAAACTCGAGTGGTTTCCCATCTAAAATTTGTGACTTGTATAGGGACGTACCATAAATGACTGAAAGCAATAATGGATCAGCTGTATCTGTCCAATACGATTGTAAGAGTATTGTTTTGTTTACAATGATCGAATAAGGATCGATTGAAAAAAAGCATTCAATTAGGTTAATAGCTTGCTGAGGTGGTAATGAGTTAAGCGGATTATTAATTGAATGTAAGTAGCAATTGTATAAAGAGGGTTCAAAAAAACTAGTGGTAGGGTCATATTTATAAAGAATAGTTGTAAATTTCAAGTTGGAACAAAAAGGGAAATGAAGTTTTGAAATGCGTTTCAGCAATATAGCAGCAATATCAGCACTGAACCAAATAAAGCTTTGTGTCAAATCAAATATCTTAATCCTCATGCTAAATTTAGAAGAAGACTCGTTGCACGTTATGAGTTGGTAATCGTCATTTTCTCCTAAAAGACTTTTTTTCAAGGTTGAATTGATAAAATAGGTCGAAAAGATGTTATTTATGTATTGAGTAAGATTGAACTGAGTTGCACTGTTGGAATGTTTCAAAGGAGGAATTAAAGATGTAACTGATGCATTTTCAAAAATGAATTCTCGACAAAAAGTAGTGGTTGAGCGTGTATTTAAATTTGTTGTGATTGCTGTTAATTTATTATCAACACCTGTGGCAACTTGTGAAAGTGCTAATTTATTTACAACGGCATTTTTAGGTGGCCGTCCAACAGCTCTATGCTCTTGATACACACAATTTATTTGTCTCTTTTCGCAACGACTGCATGGCTTTCCCCCATCGCATTTTACTTTTTTTGTTCGACACTGTAAGCAACTAACTTTTCTTTTAGCCATATCAAAAAAAAAAAAAAAGAAAAAAAAACAGCGGGTGTTATTGATAATAAATTCAAAAAAAAAAAAAAAAAAAAAAAAAAAGCGGCAATTAATTGGACATGTCAAATAATGGTCTTAGATCTACGTTTCACTACGGCATCATCAATGATAATAAGCAGATTCTCTGGTCTAAGCTTAATGAATAACATATGATCGATTATAATGATAGTTAAATATAATCTTCTTATTGAAAAGAAGGCCCAATACTGAATAGCCTGAATAACCTAAAGCATTTGTAAATAAACCCTAAGCATAGAGTATACTTATTACTGTTGTGTATTCTAAAGTTATTAAAGAGTTGTATGTATGCTTAGTTTTAGGATAACTTTAAATAGTATAGCTAATAATCATAAAGAGTAGACAATTGACATGATCATTAATTCAGGATTAGTTAATAGATTGTTTTGCTAATAGAAAACTTACAATTTACTTGTAGTAAAAGAAAAAAGTATATTTTATATCAACAGTATACATCTAGAATAGTGTTGATATTAGTTGTTACACATTCCCTCTTTTTCTTTATATTCGTAGAGGATTTGGTGTTATCAGCACTTCAAGTTTTATACCATTAACTAATTACTAGATTAAAGAACTGGGTTCTTTAATAATAGATTCACTTTTTATGTAGGTAATATCAGCATACAGAATTATAAATGAAAGCCTATAAATTGTTGAATCACACTAGATATCTTTAGCTATATATCACATCTTTTGTTTTTTCTTATTGATTCTACATTTAGTACTACTAGTAATAAGTAAGCTAACTTGGTTGATTCGACATTAAAATACTTGGTAGAACTAAACATACTAGGGAGCACTAAAAGGATATAATAAAGCTCCAAAAGAGAAACTCTAATCGGCACTGTCTTATCATAAATCATTCCAATGTTTTACATTACAGGTTATTAAAGTGTCTATTATTTATATTAAATAACAAAGTCATTATATACCGGCATTATTCACTTTTACAAAAATGCTATAACTAACTTTAGTCATGGACTTGGAATAATGCATAAAAAAAATTAAAATAACGTCTAAAAATCCCCAAATATGCTTTATCTTCTTTGTTTTTTTATTACTTTTTTTTTTTTTTTTTTTTTTTAGGAATGCGACCTTCATTGTGTAATAGTAGTAATAGCCGCGAAAATGATGTTAGAAAATATAATAGTGATACACAAATAAATAAAATGGAGAAAATAGATTTCTTTCAATTTAATGTGACCGAACCTTCTTCTCCAACAAAGAAAAATAATCAGATCAAAAAATGTTGGGTCATAATGGAAAAGTTAGCTGACCAAATTAAAAAGATAAAACAACAAGCGTCGCATTACAGAACAAGCCATCATGATAGCGATATGAATAATCCGTTTGTTTTCTTGGAGACTAGCTCTTATTTTAGGAATTCAATAGAGTTTTCATATATTTTCAACTATTCCGAAGGTAACTTAATCTGTAGAATGGAAATTATAATATAAATCATTCTTCTTTCTTAAATTAGTGAATGGCTTTCGACAGTCATTTATATTGAATCCAGATGACGGGCAAAGAGCAGTTAACAAAGTCAAGCACAAAAATGGCAAATCTAGAATAAAACAACAACAGACCCATTTTAAGAGAGAGAAAAAATCAACAAATTCGTTGATGATGTCAACACATGCAAAAAATTTGATTAATTCGTATGTCTCCTTTACATTATTATACATATTTGCTAGTAAGAGTCAATTTGTACCAGCAACAAAAGATCAAAGAAAAAGTCAATTTCAATTTAATTGTCTTTATCAACAACAACCTCAAATAACACTTGTAGATAATAATCCTAAAGCTTTATTAAAAATAAGGCAGCAAATACTAGATTTCGAAATACCTGCAGACTGGACGCGCATACCTTTAGAAAGACTTGTTGATAAAAAAGCAAATAAGCATAATGACTAGTAAGATTATGTCTTTAAAATAGTGAAAAAAACTATTCCAATTTTTTTTTTTTTTTGAATTGTAGTTTATATCCAAAAGATGCATTTGATTTAATTAAAAACTTAAGAAACAAAAAGAAGAACATAGAGATTCAAATTAAACGAATCGAAGAAAGTAAAGAATCAATATTAGAGTACAAAATAAAGTTAGATATGCTAGAACAGAATAGTCTTCAAGTTATGTGACAAATATATATATACATAGAAAGGAAATAGGTTATTAACACTTTGAAATAGATACTTGACTATTTTAAAGAAGAAGAATTGTCAAAAGAGTTAATGTCTCCTATAGAACACAATATATTTTTACTAGAAAAAGAACACCTAAAGTGTACTTATCTAATCAAGAAAATCAATAATGAAATTAATATGAAGAATCCATCTATTTGTTTGGATGATATGCAAATTAAAGTACAAGCTCTGCATAAATTACTTTATTTATGGTTTCTGTTAAAATTTTGTTTATGTCCATTAAGTAGTAAGATATTAATTGAAAGTTATAGTCTTAGTTGCTTGACTTCTAATCTTTTTTTTTTTGCAGTAGTTATTTTAGGCGTTATAGTTATTTTCATGCTTTATTTCTGATTTGCATATGTAGCACTTTTTAACATTTATTTGTTTGGAATTTCTTTTTATATACAAATATATAGAAAGTAAACAAAAAATGACGGAGTACAAATCAGATGAAAGGCTTAATATTTTACTTTCTATTGTTTATTTTAATGAGAATTTGTTCTTCGTCTTATAACAAAAAAGGAGAGGCTTCTTATAAATATGACGTTGTGTAACAGCATAAAAATAAAAGTAGCGTATGATTTCATAATAATAAGAAATGCATGTGTAATTGTCGTATGTGGCATTTTGCAGGTGCATTTTTTTTTTTTTTTTTTTTTTTTTTTTGCATTATAAATTTTATATAAACTTTTAAATATTCCTTTTCTTCTTCTTCTTTTTTTTCTTTAATATTTAATCTAGTTTTTTTTCATTTTACTTGTACAGTTACCATTATTAACTCATGTTGAAAGAGCCGCAAACGAGTACAAATTTCTTGAAAAGGAGTAATGAATTTACTTTCCCCTCTCCACTCTTAGCGTCACCTCATCAATCACAAGGAAAATATAAAACTAAATTAATAAATAGACGGCAGTCGATTACAAGGAATACAGCATCAAGTCTTGCAAAGATAGTGCGTCCTAATTCAAATGAAAAGCAAAATACGACTGTAATTCTTCCTGATTCAGCTACAGTAGTTAATCAAAGACAACAGTCATCCACAATGAAAACTAGGAAACAATCATTGAATGTGATAATCCCAATAGATAGCAAACCATTAACAATGATGGATCATGTTGGTACGACTGATAAAATTCAAAAAAGAAGGCAATCTTGGTCTCCAGTGAAAGCAGGTGCTTCTTCATCGCCCAATCCAGTACAGGTCATAAATGAAACAGCACCAGGAAATCCTTCTTCTAATTCACCAATACCAGAAAGAAAGGTCCTTTTGACATTAAAAAAAGATAGTGATGCCAACAGTACAATCTCTTTTGCTAGTAATAATACTTGTGATAACCTTTCTATTAAAGATTTGAGTAAAAATACACCTAAAAAACCAACATCAAAAACTTCTTTTACCGAAGATATTACCAACATGAAGCATGCATCATCATCATCATCATCATCAACATTAACAATATCATCATCTAGATATTCCTATAAACAAACATCTAAAACATCTTCTCGAAATAATCCTATCACTAATAACATTAAGAAAAATTCAATTACTGAGCATGCAGGGAAAAATCAATCATTAAATTCCCTTGAAACTCCTTCTGCATCTTTATCACCAACTCCTGATAATGTAAGTAGTAGTCTATTATAAAGTTATAGACAAAAAAAAAAAAGGTTGTTATTATAGATATGAGTATAGATTTATGTACGGGTTTTATTTATTTATTTTAGACTTTCTATAATCCTTCCTCACAAGGATGTACATATTTTGAGTATAATAAATACATTTCGGATGACAATGAGCAGTTGCCAGGTTACATGAGACGTCCTATTTGTGTAGCATGCAATCGCAACGTTAAAGTTACGTCAATTTCTGAAAATACGGCACACAGTCATTACAACACTATGAACAATAGATTTTCAAGTACAATGTCTCTAAAAAATAATAATAGTAATAGTAGTAGTAGTAGTAGTAGTAGTAATAAAAGAAAGTCTTCCTCAATTTCTGCTACAACAGTGACGAAGAATCATGATCATTTTTCAAACGACATGAATCCATTGAAATTTTGTATTCCAAATAATAATAAATACAACATCGTGACGAAAAAGACAAAAAGCTCTGAGACTATTACTGAAAGAAATAGCAATGTTCCTATTGATCATTCGGATTCTACAACTCAGATGATAGAAGCAACATCAACAGTGTGTTTAGATACGTCCATGAGTAGTCAGCAAAGTGATAAAAGTATACCTAATAATAAGAAAGATGAATATTCTCGATACCCTAGCAGTAGTAACGATCATCAAAAAATAAACTTTAGAGCAGATTGTCCTACATCACCCATCCCTACCGCTACCCAACGAAGAACAAATGATGTTACTCTTCAAAGAACGAACTTCATTTGTTCATCGCACCTTGACAGCCAACCTCAAACTTCCTCAAGGCAGCAACTCAAAAACAGAATATCTGATCCATCATTATTGCATCTTCCCATTACCACCATTAAAAAATGGGCTACACTCTTATCCCAGCAGCAACAACAACTTCTTTTTATTCTTATGCAAAATGGCAAGAATGATGAAGATTTAAAATTAATCCGAAATAATATCAAAGTAGTAACAAATCAGGAACAATTTGAAACGGCCCTATTCGAAACACAGTTAGAGATTTTACAAAAATTTACCACCATGCTACAACAAAGAAAAAAGGAAACCTTGTTTTCTTCACCTATTACTACTATATACAACAACAACAACAACAACAACAACAGTCATGGATTGTTATCTACTAAAAATGATATCCGTGAGGAAAATGAGGCGGTATTCAGGTCACTGATGAAACCAACAAGTTGGCAAACAAAATTAGAATATGGTGCTGTTCGTTTAAAATGGAATGTAAACCGATGGATAGGAAATTTGATTGTTGGCACAGGTGATATTGAGGCACATGAATATGATCCACTTGGGTATCCTAAAGATGTTATTATTTCTGGTATCTGTGTCACTACTGAACTTGAATTACTTCCAAAGGTAAGCATCCAGTTCTTCTTCTTTTTTTTTCCCCTTATATAACTTACATGTCTTCATGTTTAAAGAGCTTTCAAAAATATTACAAACCAAACCATGATGGTTCAAGAGAGATTATTTGCCATAAATACATTATAAGGTTAAATAGAGAAAAGCGTTTAACAACTTTTCAACTATTAGAAAAAGGAAAATGGGCAAAAGACACTTCCGTAACAAAATGTGAATTTTCAATGAAGGATAAAAACGAAAAGACAAAACAGTGTCATGTCAAGTTTGGTCTATTTACTCGGCGACATCATTGTAGAAGGTATATATTTATATATATATTTGTATGTATAAGATAATAAAGAATGTTTGAAATTGATTTTGCCTATTGTCTTTTATATATATACATATATAGTTGCGGACATATCTTTTGTCATACTCACAGTTCAAATCTTTTACCTCTATTTGCATCTAATGGTGAAGAGCGTGGTGAATGGTCTCGCGTATGCGATCTATGCTTCTTTAATCGCATTGATGCACAATCTTTAACTAGATCATAAAGAAATTTACTTATATATGAAGAGAAAAGAGATACTTATTTAAATAATAACATATGTATATTACTACGTTTCAAAGAAGTATATTTTTTTTTATTTAATATAATATTTTACAAAATTTTTTAAAAAAAAAATTAACACAAATAAAGATTAATATATGCTGTTTTAAAGTTTTTTTTTTTTTTTTTTTTTTTTTTTTTTTTTTTTTTTTTTTTTTTTTAAAGAAAAAGAAATTAAAAAGAAAAATCGTTATTTACCTAATTATAGCATCACAAACTTAATTATTTGAGTCTAGAATATGTCTTGATTATATATAGACCTTCGCGTAGAAAAAAAAAGTGGCATAAAATAGAATTTCTATTTTATTTTATTTTATTTTATTTTTTTTTTTCAAAGAAAAGTACGATGACTGCTGAATGGAAATTTAATATGATAAGCATCATATGTAGAGGTGAGACTATCTTTTATCAATTTATGGAAGTAGTTTGACAGGTTCTCTTGGCATGTGGTAATAATAATAATGCTGGTTTAAATTACCGATATTTACTATTTCCTCGGATCATCTACCACAGTTATGCTGCTTATTGTATTTATGCACACTATGATATTATAATAATATTAATAAAGCAAGTTGTATACATATATATATATATACAAAAAAAAAAAAGGAAAAAAAAAGGCAATAAATGAACGATAGCTGACTTCATTAAACCCATATATTGTCATGGAAACTAATTTGTACAGAATTGAGGTACCTGAAAAATAAAGTAATATTAAAATAAAAAACGTGCAACATTAGTATACTGTTTTTAGATATTTTAATTGAGGTAGTAGTATCTTTGATCTTCGGTCTTTAAACTTAGAATAATAAAGCTGAAGTATTTCTGTAAGTTATATTGTCAACGATATGAAATGAATAATAAAAAAAAGTGAAGTGAAACAAAATAAATACTGCATTTTAGTATAAATGCATATGTCGTTATTTCATGATAAAAATATTGCAGCTTATATTAATAGACTTATAATTCCTTTTTATTTTTTAATTCTATGTTATATATAAACTTATTAATATCTTTTTTTTTTCTACTTAATTATCTGAAGTTAGAAAGCGATGTATACTTTTTTTAACATCATATTAAAAAAAAAGAAAAAGAAAAAAAAAAAAGACCACTCTATTATATCAGTAATTAAGGCTCCATTTGAAATATTTGAAAAAAAAAAAGATCTCCTTTTTTTTGGGTGTAGTAGTAAATGAGGGAAACTAGTCAAGGTGATAAAAAATTTATTTTTATGAAGAAATGATATTAGGAATAGGAGTTGATATAGTACATTTATCACGAATTGCAGCTATCATATCTAGAAGAGGAAGAGATAGATTCGCAAGAAGAATCCTTAGTCCAATTGAATGTAAAGAATTTCAACTAAATTGCTCATCATCGTCTTTTGATGATCAGAAACAATTAACATATTTAAGCTCGAGGTAAATTGAACAGTGAAGTCATTACATTTTATACAGAAAAATTAAACTATTTATATAAAGATGGTGTATAAAAGAAGCGACATATAAAGCTTTATATCCCATACATAAGCTTGAATGGAAACAAGTAACAGTGATAAAGAAAGAAGGTAGTTTTTTTTTTTTTCCTTTTTATTATTATACAATATATAGATGTAAATATAATGATATGAAGAGTTTTAACCTCGAAAATAAAGGTAAACCCGAAATAGATATAGTGAATAGTGAAAAATATGGAATACAAAAAGCCCATTTATCTTTGTCGCATGATGGAGAATATGCTATCTCTCAAGTTATACTAGAAGGAAAGTCAAAATAAGCCCATGTGTTACGGCACCAAATTAGGATACTTTGCGTTCCTTTTTATTTATTTTTTTATTTTACTTTGCCCTAAATGTTGTAAACATAAAATAATAAATTAATATATTTTTAAACACAAACTATTTTGCTTGATTTAAGGGCTTTCTTCTGTAATATTTTTCTATTTTCCCCTCCTTTTTTTTTTTTTTTTTTTTTTTTTATAAAAATATATCTATTTTCCCCCCTTCATTTTTCTCTTTATTTTTATTTATTTTTATTTTATTTTTATTTATTTTATTTTTACTTTTATTTTATTTTTATTTTATTTTTTTTGTTAGTGTATGAAAGCATTTAAATTAAGCTCTTAGTACATAGAAATATCATATACATATACATATATATATAAATATATATATAATATACACATATATACACACATATATACACACACACACACATATTTATATATATACATATAGAATATATAATATATACATATTTATATACAAATAAGCACATACTATATACCTACTATAAATATATATAAACGTACCTTTACTTACATACATACATACATACATACATACATACATACATACATACATACATACATACATATATATATATACATATATATATACCATGAGTCAAGAATTAGCAAATTTAACTTCTGCACCAACCTCATTTACATCTAATGCAACCTCTACTCCAATAATTAACCATGCCATTACTTGTTTGAAATGCGAATTGCCTCTGGGCGATCAGCTTGTTAGAGCATTAGACGGTGCGTTTCATCCAGATTGTTTTACTTGTTGGGTAAAAAATAAAAGAAAGAAAAAAAAAAAAGAAAAGAAAAAGAAAATAAAATAAAATAAATGTACCCTAGGCATTGATTAGAAAATACACATGTATAAATAGGATTGTAATACACCAGTTGCTTCAAGATATTTACCTCACCCTACTGAACCAGGACGACCTTTATGTGAAACAGACTATTTTAAAAGACTTGGGCTTTTATGTGCACAATGTAATGAGCCTTTGCGTGGAACATATATAATTGCGCTCGATAAAAAATATCATACGGATCATTTTACTTGTAGTGAGTGCTCTACTGTATTTGGACCTGAAGATTCATATTATGAACATAACTCAAACGTTTATTGTCATTTTCATTATTCAACTCAATTTGCCGTATCTTGTGTTGGTTGTGACATGGCTATTTTGAAACAATATGTTGAAATTGAAAGAAATGATGTAGTAGATCATTGGCATCCAGAATGTTATATGATTCAAAAGGTGAATACATGTCTAAATATATACAATACTATCATGTTCATCGTTATTCATCTTTTCCCTTCTTTGCATAGTTTTGGAATGTCAAAGTAGCTCATCCTTCTCTAAAAGACAGCGATTCTATAGCTACAAAAGGTAATAAAGGAATACATAGGTTTTTTTTTTTTTTAAAAAAAAATGTATATATTGTTTATGTTTAAATTTGAATAAGATTACAAGCTGCTAGAGCCATCAGCATTATTTCAAGTTCAAAAAGATATGGAAGAAAAAGTGATAAGTATTTGGTCAGTTTTATCAGCATTTGAAGGTAAACAATCTAGTTTCTATATAAGCTTGTTTAATCCATATTAATTAATCCATTTTTTTTTCTCTCCTTGAATAAAGAATCATCTGCTGTTTGTATATCCGAAATGTTACTTCATGTTTCTAATGGAGCATATATCGAGAGCATCTGTTTATCAGAAAGATTTTTAGTGCATGTAGAGGCATTATTTGCTGGAATAGACAAAATCCATTGTACATATGAAGAATATAATCAAACGGGTAAAATATATCGAAAAAAAAAAGAAAGTTACAATATGTGTACTGACTTGTGAATTGTTAGAATTTAAATATACAAGAGAGGCTAAAATGCTTTGCAAGAAAATTATCAACTTCTTTTCTTTATTATCTAGAACAGGCGATATGGAAATGAAAAAATTAGGAATTACTCAAGAATTATTATCCTTAGTGACAGGTCTAGCCCATTATCTAAAAATTTTAATACGGTTAGCATTGACATCTGCTTTACGTCTGGTAAACGATCTTTTTATCTATCTTAATTGAACCAATGTCATATTCAATTTAAAAGTTCTATTTATAGGAAATTATAGTTGGGAAGCCTGTCGTTGTTTCTCGTTTATTAGCTAAATTGATGGAAATACCTGGAAAGGAAAGGCGAAGTCGTGATTGTCAACGTTTAATTAAAGCAAAGAATACGGATTATTGTCAATTATGTAAAAATACAATTGAAGATCAATGTATACGAAGTGGAGATTATAGGTGGCATATGCATTGTTTCAAATGTCAACAATGCTCTTGTTCATTATCTATAAATGAAGGTGCTATTTTTAACTCAGCTTCTTGTACTCTTCATTGTATTCAATGTTCTGGGTTATCTGCAAAGGACGCAATACCATTTGAATATATCACTAAATTAACTCAATATAGTTTCCTTTTACGAGTTGCTTTAAGTCGACTTTGTAACTTATTGCAAATAACAGGTAACAGACTACTCTCTCTCTCTTTCGTTCTCTCTCTCATTCTTTTCTTTTCTCCTAATGATTTAGATGCCCAACTCTCTTCAGTAGATTATTCGACTAAATTAAAACCAAGTCAACATCTTTTAAAAGATACAAGTACAAATATCCAATTATCACCGTCAGCAGAAAAGCAATTGACTTTAATACCAGAAGATAAGTTAAATAATGTGGATATTTATCCTACAGAAATTATGGATGCTAGGAGTACCGTATCTTCTTCTACAACTCATTTAGAAAGAAAAATATCACGATCCTTTAAAATGGCAAATAAACGCTCAACTATTCTCGGTAATGCAGATCTGACAGCATCACTTCGAACCCAAACACAATCTTCTTCTATCCCACCTGTTCGATTAGATAGTTTACAACGTCGTATTGACCACCAAAAAGATTTACCAGATTTACCTCCAAATCCGAATCATGTAACACGTCATAAAGCAACGCGTAGTGTTGGTTTAGATGATTTACCACAATTAGCAGCCGCAGCTGTAGCCTCTAAGAAACAAATGATAGCCCATTTATCTCATTCAATTCATATCCCTACTACTGCCTCAGGTCGTCCTCGTATTTATCTTTCAGAACTATCAGCTTTACAATATATGATTATTCGTTATGTAGCCGTTGTTCATATTGAACAATATGTTAAATCCTCCTTTTCTTCAAGTGAGCTTTTAAATCTAATCGAGACTAAAAAGGGATCTATCTGGGGCAAATTTTTTACACCCTTTAAAAAGCAAAAGAATCATGTGACTAAAGCAAAAGAGGAAGGTACATTTGGTGTCCCACTTGACATTTTAACAGAGAGAACAGGAGTTGAATCCAATTTAGGTTCAGGGCATTCTCCAATAAAATTAGCTGCTTTTGTAGATGATGCAATTACTGCTATGCGACAAATGGATATGACAGCCGAGGGTGTCTTTAGAAAGAATGGTAATATTCGACGTCTAAAAGAGCTTTCAGATGCTTTAGATCGAAATCCTAATGAAGTGGATTTGACTCAAGAAAGTGCTATTCAAGTAGCTGCTTTATTAAAAAAATTTCTTCGTGATTTACCCGACCCATTATTAACTCATAAACTTCATCCTTTATTTCTATGTGCTGAAAGTAAGTGAAAAAAAAAAAAAAAAGAAAAAGAGTAGCTGTTATAAAGTTTTACTTGTATTGAATTCAATGTAAATAGGAATTGAAAATTCTTTAGAAAGAAAAAGAGCTTTACATCTTGTATGTTGCATATTACCTAGATGTAATCGAGCCACTATGGAAGTTTTGTTTGTATTCTTAAGATGGGTTGCATCCTTTTCTCATGTTACAGGTGATGTTGGTAGTCGTATGGATATTCCAAATTTAGCACGAGTTATTGCACCTAATATTTTAACAGCTAACTCAAAAGATCCTTTAAAGGATGACTCATTTGCAGCAATTCGAGTTATTGAAGTTTTATTAGAATCTTATGAAGAATTTTGTTTAGTAAGGAAGACCTTTTTTTTTTTTTGTTGTATTTCATTTCAGTTTTTAACTCGTTTATAAAGGTGCCAGATGATTTAGAAATATTTTTAGAAGATCCCAATTTAAACGATGTTGATATGTCGCCTAAAGAATTCTTTAAACGAGTAGAACAAACAGTGAAGCATAATATGAATACACATAGTAGTGCAGTATCCTCTAAATCTAGTATGTATTCAACTAGTCAAATGACGAAAGAAGGTTTTAAATTATATGATTGTACAGTGACAGATGGTCGTCATCATCCACCTACCTCTATCTATGCACAACCTCAGTTTTTACCTTATACCAATAAACATCCAAATTCAGATTATGTGCCTAAACAATTAAATATGAGATATCATCAACCTGGAGGATCCATGCCTTCACCGCCACGACGTATGGAGAGTCATGAATCTTTTACATCTATTCATTCTTCTCCTCTACAGAAAGACTCTCATCCAACATCCTTATATCGTTATCCACATTACCAGCAACAACAACAACAGCAATCATCACCTTTAAATCCCACGCCTAACTCTACTACTTCAGCTGTTGCTAATGCTATTTCTACTCCTACACTATAGAAAGAGCGATTTTCTCATTCTACAATATCCATATCCATATCCATATCCATATATATATATGTATATATACACATATATATATTTATATATAATACGGTCATTTTCAACTCTTTCTCTTTCTCTCTCTCTCTCTCTCTTTCCTTGTCTTGATTTATAAATAGTTTTGCTTATGAATATAAAAATGAATATCTATGTTTTTATATATTTTGATCTTATAGATTGAAAGGAAGGAGAGGGAAAGTTCGTTATTATATTTAAAGAGAATAAATAATGTATAATACAGAAGAATAGTCTATTTTTATGAGTCACATTTTTTTTATTTTATTTTAGATGATGGTATATGAGAAGTTGCTTTTTCTTTCTTTACTATTACAAATCACGAATTCTTTCTACTCTACCACATTCTAGTAAATGGGAGCCTCTATATTTAATAAGATATTCACCATTAGGCCGAGCAATCACAGTTTTATTTACAGAACAACCCTAATAATAATAATAATAATAAAAGAAAAAGAGAAAGAGAAGGAGAAAGAAGAAACGTGTGAATATTGTATGAAATTCATATGTCATGAATAATTCGGGCAAACTCGTGAACCCCCAATTTCACCCGTCGAATCCCGTTTTTTTTTTTATTGCTATTATCATCATTATGGCTTACTTACTTTGTTACTGTTTGAACATTTATAATAGATACTTTTACAACCCGTCTTCTTCTGTACTGTGTTTCCATTATTTTTCCAAAAATAATTATCAATGTAAGGAAATTCTCTTGTTTCTACAATTTTTGTGATAGCTTGCATTTCCCTTCTACGTCTTGATTTCGTGTTGCTATTTGATGTTAAAGGTTTCTCATCTACTACTACTGTTGTTGTATGATCTGACATGATAATTGTACTTTATATGAATACATAGTTTATTAGTATATTGAATTAAAAAGTAAAGAAAAAAGCAAGCACCCTTTACTTACTTTTGTTCTTCTTCAAAGAGATTTCCTCCCATGGCCAGCATGGCAGCAGCAGCAGAATTACGACGTTGATCCAGAATATAGTTTTCTTCTTCTTCGTCGTCGTCTTCTTCTTCAGAAGATAAAGAGGACATGGAAGAAAATGAAGAACGGTCCTCGATATCAACACGAGAAGAGATAGGATGTGATTGAGGAATGATATAAGGCGAAGAAGATTCCTGTTGGTGTATCTTCTTTTTTGTATGAGGAAGGATTTTATAAGAACTGTTTCTTATTTGATATGAATCGTTTCCTTCTTCTTCTTCTTCTTTTCCATTCTCTGTTGAAATAAAATTTAAATGAGGAGGACGATGATGGTGTAAATAAAAATCAAGTTCCTTTGCACGTAATCTTGCTTCCTCTGCTCTACGTTTATCTTCTTCTACTTTGCTTGTTAATATTAATTTTAATAATTCGGGTTGTGATTGATATTGTTGAATTACATCTTGTAAATCATAAACTGAAATTAGAGACGTTGAATTCTCTTTTATATTCTTTTGTTTATTAAAATAGTCTTCATTTGATAAATATTGACTCATTCTTTATATATAAAAAAGAAAGCTGAAAAAAAAGAAAATAAATAAATAAAAAGAACATAAAATTATTCTCTTTTCTTTTTTCTTTTTCTTTTTCTTTTTTTTTTTTTTTTTTTTTTTTTTTACTAAAATAAAAAAGGCGGAGGTACATGTATGCGTGTGTGTATGTGTGTGTGTGTGTATGTGTGTGTGTGTATATATATGTGCGTGTACACAACAGACTCGGGATTTTCACGGAATACATTCTAATTTCTTATTTATAATCATAAAAAATAAAACTATTTTGATCTGTTGCCAAAACAAGGCTTTGTCTTTTTTTTTTTTTTAAATAAAGATAAATTATTAAGGATTAAGGACAGGGAACAGTTGAGGTAAAATAAGCATGATATTTTTTTATTCTATTTAAATAAATGATAGTATCTTTGTTTAAAATAAAAGATATATCACATGGGAGGGAAGAGTGACATATTACTACTACTACTACTACTACTATAATTACGACTATTACTTTATTGATCTGAATTTAAAATCAATATTTACAACAACCCTATTCTCCCATGATTTGCCGTCAATTGCCTAATATGTAAATATACCAAATTAATAAAATAGGGTTAATAATAGCAGGTACTACTACTACTACTACTATTACCATTATTATTTATTACCAACGATTATCCATAAATTGGAAGACGCGTTGTACAACAATCGATTAAACAATTAGCCTTGCGCATAAACCAATCAAAGACAATCCAATCTCTTATTGTTTTAAAATTCAGGGCTATTCTCATCATCAGCCAACCCACGTACTGTATCAATAAAGAACCTCTTGAAATAAAGAGAATAATTCTATAAATTGAACACAAGTCATTTTAGAAAAGTTTTTGCTTGATTAATATACCTTATTCAATTGATAAGGCTTATCTTTGTTGTCATTGCAGTATCAATTATATGTATTATTTATTTTTTTTTTATTTTTTTTCAAAGAAAAAACACACACCATGTTGAACTCGCATGATTTTCTTTTTCAGTTTCTGTGATTGAAAATTTCCCCGCATATAGTTTGTTGAACGGGAATACAACAAACTTAGTGTGGAGAAAGATTCATTTTACTTGATATTAAACTAGCGAGTTTTTTTTTTAAACTTGTTTTGGAAAACAAGTGGGTCCTGAATGACCTCTTCCATAAACCATCAACACACGAGTACCAAATTCAAAGGGTGATTGATTATAGGCAACAAAGCTTGCTTTACCTCCCTTTTTCAAGTTACCAATACCATATTCTTTTTCCAAGTCAAAGATGACTGCAGCATTCCATGTAATCAATCCTACAGCATCTTGTAAACTGAAATCATGATTATGTGCTAAATTCCAACCTGCTTCCCAGATTAAATTACGAGCATCTCCATTATCTACATCTGTACTACCTAATGCAACTCGAACACCACGCTTTAATAATAGATCTAAACCCGTATAAGGGGTTACAGGTGGACCTGTCAAACAAAATCGAGATTGCCACGTGGTAGGCATACACCGTGCTGGCATCAAAATGACAGGAACATCAAGTCTAGCTAAATGTTCTGCAACAAGGTAAGATTCAGAACCTCCAAGAATAACTAGTTTCAAATCATACCCATATTCTGACGCAATTTTTTGTTTCATCAATAAAAGAGATGTTATTTCATCTTTATCATCCACTTGAACGACTACAGGTATCAATCCTTTTGCTGCACGTGCAAATACATTATGATTTGGCTCAGAATTTATATTCGAAATAAACAAGTGACGAATAGTTGCGATCTGCTTCGAAATGGGCATAGTTCCTATTGAATAAAAAATAAATAAATAAATATGTATATATAATAGGTTCAACATCTCGAGAAGCTTATTATTTACCTGAATGTTGAATAACAAAGTGTAAAGCTGCTTCTTCTTTTATTAATCCATCTTCGGTATCTAATAAAGTATTTTCTACACCTGTATGAAACGCAACTGAGATTCCTGCTAACAGTTCTGAATCCACCATGGGCTGGGAAATAGCTGTAGTAACACCTGAAATAAGTGAAAAAAAAAAGAAAGAAAAAAAGACAAAAAGAGTACAATTGAATATCATATATTTCCTATCCATATTTTATATATAAAATAGGTTACCTGCTTTAAATGCTTTTTGAAGATGTAAACCATTTAGTTTAAGTCCATCTACAGCCCTTGTTATTTTCTTGTATAAATCTGAATCAGAGATATCATTTTTAGCATAGCCATCTTGTGTTGTTGCTTCAGATTGTATTTCAACTAATCCAAGAGGAACACCCATTGATACAATACCCTTTCAAAATTATTTTGTGTCATGTCAATCCAAATAGTATTATTATTATTATTTTAGTGAATATATGCTTACTGGAATAATCACAGCGCCACTCATTTCAAAGACTGGACTCGATACTGGCCAATCAAAGTGATCTCGATCACAATGAATACCAATACATGTAATTATATTCTTGTCAACAATCATATAAAGTCCTTGTCCATGATAATCACTTGCACGTAAAGTAAAACTAGAATTCATATAAATTTCACTGATATTACGCAACACAAATGTATCCGTTCCTTGAGAGCAAGCATCTTGGAACGAGAGTGGGTTATCTAAACCATGATCTTCTAAATGCATTGTGTTTTTGGGAAAAGGAGGTAAATGGTGACGTTTTTTTTCATATTCATTATGAACGGTAGACGATGCTTCATCTTCTTTTAAAACGATATCTTCCTCCTCTGTTACTGTTTTTGTCCATGATTCTTTAAAGCTCATTTCAATACCATCAATAAGAACATGCTTAGGACGTGCTCCTAAACGCAAGGGGTGTCGTTCCCAAATGACAATATCAGCATCCTTTCCAACTTCAATACTACATAAAGGAATCATATAAATTTAATATATTTTCATCTTTTGTTTTTCCCTTTCCTACCTTCCAATACGATGTCCAAGCTTCAGTGAATGAGCAGGAACAGTTGTAAGGGATGCAAGTGCTTTGTGTTCATCAAATCCATAATGATATGCTTTCTGTGCTTCATATAAAACATCTCGCTATATACATATATGTATATATAATTATCCATCATAAACAGTTAGAATTTAGAGCTTATCTATATAACATGAATCATGGATAGATAACATAGATACTTTACAGCATTTGTTACAGGGTGATCACTTTTAAAGGCAACAGGAATTCCTGCCTTATCAAGAATCTTTGGAGCATGAACATTTTGGTCCCATGCTTCAGCCTTTATATATTACAGCAAAAAGAGAGAGAGAGAGAAAAGTTAACTTTCTAATTTGCATGCATGTATATATATATACATCAGTCTTATACCTTATAACCCCACATATCTACATTCAACATATAATAATAAAAAAAAGGTTAGACTAGATATTTTTCTTTTCTCATTTATGCCTGTCTATTTACCGCCAAATGTGGCAATTGTTATATTTGTTTTTGCACGTTTAATAACATCAGGTACTTGCCAAGCACTTAAAGCATGATGAAAGGCAGCAATTTCAAAATCAAATTCAACTGAATGACGAACCATAGCTTCGAGGTCATGAGGAAGATAACAGTGAACATTTAAATTAACTTGTTTACGTAAAAGAGCTACTAAACTTTCTAAACGTAATTCTTCTGGATAGGGTTCAGCTAATCGCGTTATCTTATTTTCGTTAATAGCCTTATTTTTAGGAAATGTTTTCAAGATTTGAGTAGCTGCATCACACCAATCATTTTGCTTTCGCATTAGTTTTTGTGCCTCTTCAAATCGACGACGAAACAGATAATTTTCACCAAGACCTATGTATAAATAACGATGAGTGAGTGAGTGAAATGGAATATAATAAAATAAACATACATACATACATATATATATATATATCTATAATTATGCATACATACGTGTCATAGGCATTTTATTCAGAGTACCTCCATAATAAGACTTTGGGTTCTCACCGCAAGCCATTTTCATATAACGCCAAACAAACTCTTTATCTTCTTCTGAAACACCAGCACTAATCAACATATCTTGATTAGAAAGAGTAGAAGTAGGTCGCAGCTTAATTACAGCAGCTTCACCGCCCATCAAATTACCAGAGCCTGGTAATATCAATGAAGTCGTAATACCTCCACTAGCCACTATCTTGATACCAGGATCAGTTGGATTCAAAGCATCAATGACACGAACCTAAGAATTAAATAAATAAATAAATAAAATTGCATTTACGTGTATATGTATTTATATACTTACATAGGGTGTAGTAGGTGTGGTCATTTCATTTGTATCATCACTAGCTGATAAACCACCCATAGCATCAACAGCTAAATGAGAATGCATATCAATAAGACCTGGAGTTATGACACGATTTCCCGCATCAATAATACGTGTATCTTTAGGCACATCCAAGTTTTTTCCTACAGCAGCAATCAATCCATCTTTAATATAAATATCGCCATTCTTTAAATAGTGGTCCTTGAGCCAGATATGACCATTACGAATCAAGACATTAGGAGCATTAGGAACAGCACGAGGATTACGATGTCTAATACGATTTATATTTGTATTTGCTTTATTTTGCTCTTGTTCTTTATTATATTGACATTTAGCAAGACCGTGTTCGAAAGAGGCTAAAGAAATACCTGATGACACGACTTTTGTCATAGTTGGGTTATTATTATCCCAAAAATGGCTTGTAGTCACTGAATCCTGTTGCAAAGTAGCTGTAGTAGGTAAATACTTGGAAAGATAAACACAAGTAATTCCAAAGAATGATAAAACTGAAGCAATGAGGACTAATCTTACTTTTTGCTGCTTCCGACTATAAGATGTGTTTAATGCATTAGGATTCAATAGTGGCTGATTAGACAAATTCTTTCTTCCTGAAAGAATCATGTTTGCCATTATTAAAAGAAGAAGGGAAAAAAATGTGTGGGAAAAGGTAAAAAAAAAACACACACACACAAACACATTACAGTATTTGTTTTTTTTTATACATGCATATTTTTTTTTATCAAAGATTAAATCCATCTATTACGTATCCATAATAGGGAATAGGAAAAGATCTTATGTTTTATCTAATCTGGTTCTTTAAAACAATAACTCTACAAGAAGATGATGAGCATATCATGCCTGAAGAATTTACATAATGAAAGCCCTTCAGTTTATAGCTGAATTCAATATTTTATAGTAAAAAAAAAAGAAAAAAAAAGCTATTAAAGTATAAATTATACATACTCTTTCCTTAAGATATTAGCATAAAATCATTTACACATTCAGATGTACGAAATGTCAAGAAATTATTTACATTCATTCTCTTTGAGCATATACATTTTATTAGTTAGTTTTCTTTCTTGTAATAAAGAATTCATTCCTTTTATATACTTTGTTTCCTGTTGAACCCATTCCTGTTTACCAATTATATCTTATTAAGTTGACCCCTTAATTAGCGGTCTTGTCAACGACTTTTTTTTTTATATATAACTAAAAAGTTTTTTTCTCAAGCATATGATGCACATGTTCATAAATAAAAGAATGCATACGTAATATGTTCAAATTGATTGGATAAAAATATTTACTCCTTGAATGAATTTACTCCTTAAAAAAAGGGAAAAAAAAGGTATAAAAAGGGGGTCAAAAAATTGTAAAATTCCCTTTTTTTTTCTTTTTTTTTTTTCTTTATGATCATCAACCGGCTATTCCACGGCCGTGAAATGGCTGGGCCTGATCAGCCTGGAGTGTCTCTTCAGTTGCTTGTACGCCCTCAGGAGGTGTGAGGGGGTATACTTCTGTCGTTCAGATGCGTCCATTTCAGAAATAACAAACACAAATGAAAAAAAAAAATATGATAGCAGCATATTTTATGATTAGTTATGCTTTTAAAGCTTAAATTGAGTTTTAAAAAAAGAAAAGATATGTTGAAATCTAATAAAACCAGTCACGTAGAAGACGGTCATTCACTTAAACAGCAATAACGATAAAAAGATAAATATATATGCATATATAAAAATACACGACATGTATACATCTAACTGTGAATGATTATAATTGGTGACAAGGACATGCATTAATTAAATCATTGCATTCTAAGCTTATTTATTATGATATCTTTTCAGAATAAATTGTACTCTAATATTTACAAAAAAAAAACAGATTGATCGAAACTAATGAGTTTATTAGTTTAAATACATCTCAAATACACAACTTCACTTTATACTTTGGCAATTGAGTTTGTTGGAATAGCTACGTTATTTACTCTTTTTTTTTTCTAAAAAGACATCTATCTTTTATCTTTATATAACTAAGCTTGGTTAGTACATCACTCCATGTTACAAGCTTATAGATTCATTGCGCAATAGAAGAGGATGATAAAGCCATTAGAATGTTATTATATAGATCAAGATAAAGTGTGTCTTATATTGTAAGGTAAAATAGGATATTTTTACTCCATGTTTAAAGTAGTCTTCTTTGATTGTAATAATACTACTTCAAACTTTCACTCAAACAAAATATTGGAATAATAAATAAGGCTCTCAGAGTTCATAATGATATATTGTATGAAGGCCTTCAACAAGTGTAATAAAACAATTATTATATCTAATTACTAGAAAGTATATAAATAGGAATGGTATTATTATAAACATACATGTCATATTTATTAGTACAATTTAACTGTCAACTACTTACAAAGAAGTGATAAGTTTATTTATTACTAAATGCATCATATTTGCTTTCATCAATGACTTTCCTATTAGTAAATGCCATGTATAAAACTCTATCTGTCTTATCAAAAGCATTATGTTGAGTTGCTTCTACCAAATAAATCTAGGAAAGTCTACCAACATGAATTGAGAAACAGTCACATTTTTACATGACTGAATTTACTTTTTTTTTGGGAAGCCACACATTTTTTTGACCAAGTCATGTAACTTTTTTTTTTTTTTTTTAATATACGCTTATATAATTGTAGATTCTTTTTCTTTTTTTTTTTTTAAGAAAAAAATCCTCAAAAATAACAAAATGGCACCAAAGAAAAAGACTTTAGTAACTTCAAAAAAAGATAGAAATGATACAGTAAAGGAACAACCTAAGCCCATAGCAAAATCTTTAAAGCGTAAAGCTGTTGAAAAAGAAGTAGAGGAGAGCGATAGTGAAGAATTTGGAAATGTCAACATCGACATGGGCTCTTCTGATGAAGAAGAAGATAATAATGAGGAAAACGATGAGGATGAAGAAACTGAAGCTTTTCCTGAAATCAGTCTTAGCGATGATGAGGAAGACGATGAGGATTTCCAAGCTGATAGCGAAGAATTAGAGGATGAAGATAGTGAGGCTGAAGATGTTGAAGAAATTGAAGACGAAGATATGGATGATGATGATGATGAATTAGTAGAAGAAGATTTGGATGAAGAGCTTGAACGTGAGCTTGAAAAAGAAAAATTAGAAGATGAAGCAGAGGAAGAAAGCGATGATTTCAAAATGTAGGCTGTGATTTATTTTGTTTTATTTTTTTTTGTCATGTTTAAAACTGACAGAATATTTATAATAGCCCAGCACCATATCGTCAACATTATGATAAAGAAAAATTGCCTGAAATTGAAGCAAATTACGAAAGTGATAGTTCAACAGAAGAAACTGAAAACACAATTGGTAATGTACCTTTAGAATGGTATAAAGATTTACCTCATATTGGTTATGATATTGATGGTAAAAAGATCTTAAAACCTGCAACGGCTGATGAACTTGATAAGTTCTTGGCTACTATGGAAGATCCTGATTCATGGAAGACAGTTAAAAGTGATAAGGAAGGAAAGGATATTGTTTTGAATGATGAAGAATTGGATATTATTCAACGACTTCAAAGAGGTATTATTCCCGACTCTACATACGATCCTTACGAACCTACTGTGGAATGGTTCACTTCAAAGACCGAAACTATGCCACTCTCTGCTCGCCCTGAACCTAAGCGTAGATTTGTTCCTTCTAAATGGGAAGCTAGAAAGATTATGAAGATTGTACGTGCCATTCGTCAAGGCCGTATTATTCCTCGTAAGCCTAAGGACGAAAAACCTAGATTTTATAATCTTTGGGGTGACGATGATACTCCACGCGAAGATCACATTATGCATGTTGCTGCACCAAAAATGAAATTACCTGAACATGATGAAAGTTATAATCCTCCTGCTGAATATCTTCCAGATGAGAATGAAATTAAAGAATGGAATGAAATGGATGAAGAAGATAGACCTAAAAATTATCTTCCAAAGAAATATAATACTTTACGTCACGTCCCTGCTTATGATAAATTTATTCAAGAAAGATTCCAACGTTGTCTTGATCTTTATTTAGCTCCTCGTGTCCGTAAGAACAGATTAAATATTGATCCTGAATCTCTTATTCCTAAACTTCCAAGCCCTAAGGATCTCCGTCCTTTCCCTACACATCAATCTATTTCTTATGAAGGTCATACTGCTCGTATTCGTGCACTTTCTATTCATCCCAACGGTTTGTATGCTCTCTCAGGTTCTGATGACAATACCTGTCGACTTTGGGAAGTATTAACAGGTCGTTGCCTTATGATGTGGAAATTCGATGCAGTTATCCATGCAATTTCATGGTGTCCTAATCCTGATGTCTGGCTCTTTGGTATCTCAGTTGGTCATGGTGAAGTGCATTTGATTTCTCCCCCTAAACTCTGCTCTGCAGAACAGGCCTTGACCACTGATCAATTTACAAAATCAGGCTTTGCTACATCTACAGATGAAAGTGATGCTAAACAAACTGTTAGTTGGATTAAGCCTAGTGAAGCAGATGAAGAAAAATATGGCTACAAGGTACGAATTCAACATACACAAGTTGTTAAGCAAATTACATGGCATCGTAAAGGTGATTATGTTGCTACAGTATCCCCTGACGCAAAGAATCTTGCTGTTCTTATTCATCAAGTTACGAAACATCAAACACAATCCCCTTTTAGACGTCTCAAGGGTCTTGTCCAAAAGGTTGCTTTCCATCCTATTAAACCCATCTTCTTTGTTGCTGTAAGTATAAACATTTTTTTTTAAAAAAAAAAAAGACGTACAAATCTGATTATTTTCTTGATAGACACAAATTTACGTTCGTATATATGATTTGATGCAACAACAATTAATTAAAACATTACAAACAAGTGTGAAATGGGTTTCCAGTATTGATATTCATCCTGGTGGTGATAATGTAATTATTGGCTCATATGATAAGAAGGTCTGTTGGTTTGATTTAGATTTAAGTTCTAGACCTTACAAGTCACTTAGGTAAGAAAGGCAAAGAAAAAAAAAGAGCTCTTATTAGATAGCTAATCCTATTTTTAAACAGATATCATACAAAGGCTGTTCGTCAGGTCTCTTTCCATAAGCGATACCCACTCTTTGCTTCTTCATCTGATGACGGTACTATTCAAATCTTTTATGGTATGGTCTATAATGATTTATTACAAAATCCTTTAATTGTACCAGTCAAGATTTTACGAGGTCATGATGTTAAAGATGGACTTGGTGTTTTAAATATTGAATTCCATCCTACTCAGCCCTGGATCTTCTCTACAGGTGCCGATGGTACATTTAGACTTTGGACATAAATTCTTTATTGTTTGTTATATATATATAATTAATGATATTACAAGAAAAAAAAAAACTTGTATCATTTCTCTCTTTCTCTCTTTTTTTTTTTTCCTCCCTCCCTTTACTCTTTTGTGATATATATAAAATGCATCTATATTATATTTCTACAAAATATTTTTCAGGAACCTAGACTTGAGGTTTTATAAATATCTATATTGTTGACTAAAATGAACAGTTTATAAACATTGTATTTGTTCGTTGTATCTTTATATAAATAAATATTAAAATCATCAAAAATGCATGGGGATTTAAGGAATGAAAGCCATTTAAAGCTCTTATATTAAGAATATACAGTGTCTTAATAATGATCCTAAAAGCTTTCTCTTTTGAAGACTGTGTATGACTCTCAACTGACTAACATGGTCATAAAGATTGTAAATGATAAAATATGAAATGATTATATACAAGACGTTGACCAAACTATTATTCAACTTTAATTTAGTAGATAGCTGTTCAGTTAAAAATATGTATACATGTATATATTTATATATATATATATTTTTTGCATTTATTATTTTGGGGTCTAACAGTATGTGAAAGTACTGGTGATTTAATGATGATCATGAAATATATAGTCATGATGGTTCATCTTGAAGACCATACGTAGCAACTACCTCTTGCTTCAAAATAGTAATAATAACAGGAACTCTAATTACGAATAGCCACTTATTTAACTGAGTTATACAAGATAAAGACATCCGTCATTGTGACATTCGCCCAGAGAATATTCCGTACACAGACTCAGACCATTTCTTGGTTGATTATCGATTTGCTATAATCTTACACACGCATTCTCTTCAGTCATTGCCGTAACAAAGGCAATCTTGGGTCGTCTACGTTATATTGCTCCAGAGGCACATCACGGTTATCTACACAAAAAAAATAAATAAATAAATAAATAAGATATTGATAGTTTAGGTATTATTATTTGACAATTTATTAGTAAAGTCTTATCCTCATCGCCTAATATTCTTTTAAATGGAATTAGGAAAAAAATTAACAGAGTACAATATTGAAAGAAGAACCAAGATAGCAAAGCATCTTTGAATCTTACTATACTTCTTATAAGGTCAAGGGGATATTCACCTTCATCTGCTAGTCGTTTTTACACTGTCTCTAATTTGCCTCTCACTCAAGGATTTATTACATCTTTACCTTTTGAATATACATCGTTTCAAACATGATTAGGAATTTCTTTCTAGTATCCACTACCTTCTCCTTCCCCCCCCCCGCTCAACATCTATTAAGATGAAAGATACTTGTTTCTTATTCTACTATTTTTTATTGGGATAATAATAACAAAAAAGAGCTCTATTACTTGAAGAGAGAGAGAGAGAGATGAATATAAGTCCATGTTTTATAAAGAGAAGAAGAAAAAAAATTAAAGTTTAAACATTTGCTTTGACTTTAAACAGAGATACATTACTGCATACTGCACAGACATCCGTAAAGGTTATCTACAAATTAAAGCTGCAGTAACTTTTTTTTTTTTATTTTTTTGCTATCATAGTATTGAATCTCAGATAATAATTTAATTGGATGGTTCCTAAGGAAATTAAAATGATTAATTTACAATAGCAATATCATTTATTCAGGAAGAGTAGTGGGAGAGAGGGAGAAGGGATATGGAAAAATAGAATAGAAAAGAAAGGAAAAGAATAGAATAAAATAGCATAGAATAGAATAGAATAGGGATATCAAATAAGAGTAATAATAAGAATACCAAACAAAAATTTTTTTTTAAGGGCATTTAATTTGAGCAGTTTCCCAAAAGAGTTGCATTTGTTTAAGCTTCTTTGTTGATTCTAAATCCAAATCATCTAAGCCCCACATAATTTCTTTAACTCTTTCTGCTACTTCACCCTTTTCTAATACAACAGGATCTTCATCATCTTTTTCTTCTATAAATTTATTTATCCTTCGCATGTCCTTTCTAACTTCATGAACTGTTTTCGCAATAGATCGAAGTCGAGAATTTAATTCTTGTACTTGTCGTTTGTTAACATACATGATTTCTTTTAATTCCTCAAGTGATTCAGTAGCTGCATTTGTCTCGATTGTTAGACTTCTTAATGAAGGTAAAGGATTTTGATAAGAATAATTAGAATCATTTAAAGTAAGTTTAATAGAAGCTAACAGAGTCTCCATGTCTTTTAACGCATCTACTGACATCCAAGTCGTTTCCTTTCGTAAAGTGCTATCTAAGCTTCGTAAATAACTCGTTTGTCTTTCACGGTCGCGCGATTTACGTTCAACAAGATTAATCACTGATTGAATTACATATTCAAGTGGTGGAGCAAAAGTCACGAGGTCTTGAAGTGTTTCATCAGCGGTTAAAGTCTTTAACAATCGCTTGTGCAGCGTCTTTGTTTCCCATACTGCTGTATTCAAGTCTTCAAGTTGTCGTTTTAATACTTCAAATGGATCCTCTTCCTCAGGGTCATTAATAGAAGACCATGAAGAAGAGAAAGAAGATCTTCTACTACGAATACCAGTAGAAGCAGACCATTGAAGTGGCGATAATAGAGGACTTGTTACTTCACAAGATAAGGGACGTCTATCCATTGCCACAGATGCTAATTTAGATGATGGTATCTCTGTTGAATGAGTTAACATATTAGTTGTATTATCATTATTATCTACTACTATTTCTTCATGTGTGGCTGATTGAAGTTCAGCTGCTAAAGAAGACCCTAAAGGTATTTCGTTCAAATAACCTTTTCCGAGAAGTTCATCTTCTAAAGATGGACCACCATTTAAAAATGTTTCATCTTCAAATAATGTTGATTCTTCTGTCATCATGTTATTTGTATATATTTATTAATATAAAGTAGCTAAATGAGTAAAATATATATATATATATTATATAAAAATGTATATGTGTATATAAAAGTTATTTATTTATTTATATACAAATATGTTCTATGAATATATATATATAAAAGGGGAGGGGCGGGGAGGAAAACAAGTAAATGAAAATAAAATAAAATAAAAGTGTAATTAGGAGTTTATTTTTATATAAATGATTTTTTGTTTGCGCATCATTACTAAATTTTTACATTCCGAAAGAAATTTTTTTTACGCTTACAAGATTAATTTTTTTTTAGTAAAAGAAAAAAAAAAAAAAGAACAACAAAGAAAAGTAATCGTTACTTGTACAAGTATAAAATACAAAATATTCTCCTATATAAAATAGAACAAATTTAACTTTAAAAAGAAAAGATAGAATACATTATCATTTAGAAAAAAAAAAGATGTATGTTAAATAGACTTTGTAAAGAATTGAACTTGTCAAATTATTGTTGTTCCTTGATTTTGATTTGCGGCTGCTGAGTTTTTTTTTTTTTTTTTTTTTTTTTTTTTTTTTTTTTTTTTTATAGATTATAATTTCTGTACAAAATATTTTAAAACTCATTTGAGCACATAATAAAGTAATTGTGTATTGTCCGGCTCAGATCAAAAAGAAGAAAAAGAATAAACGTTTTGATAGTCAAAAAGAAAAAGAAACAAAGAACAGCATGTTCAAAGACTAGATTAGTTACTGCATAACCAGTTGATTGAGTCAGTATCAAGAGAATGCTGGATGTCAGGTGGGAAGTTTACCAAGCTGAAGGTAATCAAGTTTAAAAAATATACTATATATTGTTAGCCAGCGAATAATCCATGTAGGAGTAAGGGAGCTGTTTTGTGAAAAAAAAAGTAGCTTTCTATGTTAATTAGGAAGGTGATTGAATAGAGGAGATAAAGCATTAGCCACAGTAGTGGATATTTGCAATCAGTAGTGCATATTTAAACAGACAATAGCATAAGACCGAGTGAGCTTTCGTTAGGATGATAGAGGCATGGACTTGAAATACCACCAGATTCTTATCCGAGACGCTAGCATCAATCACTACTACCTTCAGTCTGAGTTATTGGTAACTTTATTCTACAGTATTTTCTGATAAAATTGAGACTAATCGCATTTTTTTTTGATCAATTAATACACATTTGAGAAGAAACAAAAATCGATTTAATCGAAATAAAACTAATTTTTAGACAAGTTTGCCTGTAAAAAATCTTAATTTTTCGTCAATAAAAAAAAACCGTGTTTGAGATGGCAATATTATTGTTTCTAACAAGAGATTGCAGAGGAGCAATCTGGGCCAGTTAATATCCCATTAACCTTACCACAGAATCCCACAATTTTTTGCAAGCTAAGACGCCATGAAAAAAACCTATTATTGAAGGCATGAAATTTCTTTCAATGTATAGATGACAAGTCTATTTTATATAAAAGCAAATGTGTTAAATTGGCGTTAACAGAGCAGTAATAATTTATTGCTTTGGAAGTTCTAAAGTCATCCACAAAAGATACAATCAAATCACCCTAATTTTGTCTATTTAACAATTTTTTTTCCATCCTACGTTGATGACTCTTGTTTAAGCGCCTTTAAATTTGACAGTATTTTCATTGAACATTTGATTCCCACATGTTAAAACTAAAATGTTCATCTTATCTTGATAAGAGTCTAATTTACACTTCTTTGTCGTCCATTATCACTTACAAAATGCCTGTATTTATTTTACCTTGTCTCTTTTATATCGTCTGAAACTTCCTGGGCCTTTTATTCTTTACATCATCCTTCTCTTTCTTCTTTGAGGGTTCTATTTTTCCCCTTCCATTTACTAAAAATATTCACCATTTCTTGCTTAGCACGCTGTATACCTTGGTACTATTACATGATCTCTAAGCAATTTTTTTTTAATTCTTCATTTTGTTGTTGTTATTGTTAACTTATGGTTAGGGCATAAAGAGGACTTGAAGCTATCATGTTCATTCTCGTGACATCTAGTGCAACTTTGTTCTTCAGTACTATGACTACTATTTTATATATATATATTGGCTCTTTCGCTTTTGCTGTTTCAATACGCTTGTTTCTAATTCTCTCATTTTCGCTCTTTTAAAACCAACTAATTTAATAAATAAATGAATAATATAACCATAATAGTTTGTCTAATATCTTGAATAGTTAAAGGAAATTCAACCTTTTTCACATTTTTTACAAAATTTTGAAAAAAAAAAAAAATATTCATTTTGCTCACAACCTTTGCATTTAGTCGCTGACATGAAACATTGATCTTTAATATGTGTAGATATTATATTCAATACTAGAGACAAATAGATTAGATGAATACCCTTCAATGCTAGCATACTGTGCTTTTAACCTTATCCGAAAATATATTAAAGATACAAAACTATTCATTTAAATGTGTAAAAATAAATATATTTATTACTATGTTACATATTAAAATAGAATAAGAGTATTCTCTTTCCTTCTCTCCTTCTTTTCTTCTAATAAAGAAAAGAAATAAAAAAGGTCTCAATATAATCTTTTGTAGAGTATATAACTATACTCGTTTTTTTGGGTCATCGAAAAATAAAAATAAGGATATCTTCTTGGTACTTTTTGTTACCAGCTTTGTCTATTACTCATTGACGTATTTTCTAATCGATAAGCTCGAAGATCTTTTGTATAATCTTTCATTCTTTTACCCCAATCTTTTAATCGTATGACCTATTAGAAGCAAATCAATATATAGATTCTACATACATAAATAGAGAATTTTTTTTGTTTACCATTGCAGTTGCATTATCATCACTTTGTAATTGATCTGCTGCATCCACTAACTTTTTAGCTGACAAAGAAGGTTCCTTGTATTGTTTAACCTATACAATGATAATAAGTAGGCATTGTTAGTTTCTTTACAAAAAGTAAGAAAGAGGGGAAACATACCAAATCGACGATTTCTTGGTCCGACATGACTGAAGTAATACCATCTGTTACAAGTACCTACACTAGATATATTAATATGCATCCTACTCCCCCCTTTTTTTTTTCTTTTCTTTTTTTTTTCATCATTATTTACAATAAATGCTGCAGAATTTGATTTTCTTATACGATATCGAACAATATCAGGCTCAGCAGATACGCCATAACGTTTCAATTTAGCATCACCAAAGGCACGACTTGTGGCCAACATGCCCATGATACGTTCATCCCCCCATGAATCTGTTGTCACAAAACCAGCATATTTTCTTAATCGATCTGTCTCAACTGGATTCCCTGGATGATGATCACCTGTAGTTAATGAAATGTATTCACCTGTATGTGAATCACATAATAAAATACGTGTATCACCAACATGACCCACTATAATATCATATTCATCACTTTCCCAAAATGGGCATTTATCTAAGGGTTCAATAATAGCTACACTCCCTGTCGAACCTTCATTCGCTTCATGGGAGTCATCCAATTCACCTTTTAATTGTTTCAAAACACATGCATCTGCTTCTAAAAAGGCCATTGTCAAACGTTGTTCGATACTAAGATCATACATATTCGTTCCTGGTATAGGTCGACCCTGTCTTTGATCTACTAAATCTTTAATTACGTGTGGGATAGGAAATCGTTTAAAGTAGCCTTGATAAGTTCGTAAGAATGCTAGAGTGTGTTGAAAGTTATCTAAATTCATATTCTCTATTCGTTCATGTAAATGCTCAGCCAACCTATATAAATATACAGATATATATATATATATATGTGTGTGTGTATATAATACATGTATATATTATGGGCTAAATATCATGTAAATAGATATAAATATCTATGTATATCCCCATTTATAATCTCTATCTCTCTCTATTTACCATTCAGATACAACAGATCCACCATGTCTAATAGGATTTTAACTTTATTAGTAAGAAAAAGATAATGATAAACACATATATACCCATCAAATATGCCAAAATAAGCACGATTGGCTTCTTTATCCATGGTCAGTAAACTTTTACTCTCAGGTAATTCTAGCGTTACTGCGCTATATTTATCTTCATTTGATGCTCTTGTCCCTCTTGAAGTAGATACACCCATTAATTGGTTTGTTTTATTTAAATTAATTCGAAGTAAACTATCTAAGTATTAATAAAGATATATAAATAGTTATCTATCTGTATATAAACGGTATTACATAATCAAGTTATTCTATTTAATTACCTTTTAAACCTTTTGTCAAATAATAATCTTTATATTTTAAATGACTTGAAACTGAAATGTATCTTTTAATCGTATTACAACTTGTTGACTTAAACCATCTCATTATACTATTTGAATTTTAATGAAGAAATAAAAACAAAGGAAAAAAAAAAAAAAAAGAAAACTTGTAAAAGAATACCGTTTTTTTTTTTCTGTCTCTCCACCCCCGCATTATTATTTTAATAAATATGATTTTTTTTTTTTTTTTTTTTTTTTTTTTTTTTTTTTTTTAATAAGTGTGAAAAAGCCAACTTAATTAAAATAAATGAATGAATGAATGAATGAACGAATGAACGAACGAACGAATGAATGAACGAATAAATGAATAAATGAAATGTGAAAATATGAATAACTTGAAAGTTTTCTGTTTATTTGCTTCTATACATTATATAATACAGTTTTCCTTTTTTTTTTTCTTTTCTTTTTTCTCTTCTTTTCATTTCTCTTCTTTCATTCTTAATAATGATTAAGGTACAACCTGAATACCAACACTTTTTGCAACTCCAATAATACTACTTGAAATACTCTCCAAAGAAAGATGCTTCAAATTATCATCTTGTTGTTTAATTTTAGCAATTTCGTATACATGCTTCAGACTGACTTTACCAATCACTTCAGAACCTGGTGTTTGAGCTCCCTTCTTAACACCTGCAGCCCGTTTTAAAAAATAAGTAGTAGGTGGTGTCTTTACGACGAATGTGAAAGTACGGTCGGGCTTGATGGTAATAACGGTAGGTAAAGGTGTATCTGTTGCAATATGTTTTGTCTTGTCATTAAACTGTTTACAAAAGTCCATGGATTTAACACCACGAGCACCTAATGCTGGACCCACTGGAGGGCTTGGAGATGCTTTACCTGCTCCTATTAAAAGTTTGACAATCACTTCTGCTGCTTGTGTTTTCTTGGACATTATTTCTTATATTATAAATAAAATTAAATAAATAAATAAAAATAAATAAAATTTCAAAAGAAAAAAAAAAAAAAAAAAGGAGGAGGGTTTTTAGGAATTAAGAGTGATATTGACCTGGGGTTTCCTCTTTTACTCTACATTGAGCAGCCCCTTGCAAACCTGTGGCTTATAGTTCAAACTATTTTAAATGCCAGATACATATTATTTTAATTATGCAGCGTTTTTTTTTTTTTTTTATCTTTATATCATACATGACACCAAATGAATTATTAGGTCAAATAAAAGACTAAACATGTATACATGTATAATACTGATGCTATATGTATATGTATGTAGTGCTCTTAAATGAACTTGTATCCTTATTGGACATCAGTTCTATACTTGATAGTGAATCTTTTATTAAAAGAGTTTGGGATCGATCAAAAGAGTTAAAGTTGTTACAAGATGACAAGAAGCTAACTGATTGTGGTTAGATATCCTGTTATACACTACATACATACATACATACTTACTTACATATATAACTAATATGCTTGAATCTATAATAGCTATTCAGTTATGGAACAAGACAATTCAAATAAAACTTGATTTGAATAATAAGCAAGTATTGAAAATATTAGCTATCTGTAAGGCATATTAGACATCTACATGATATACACTTATTTGACTAGAAAACCTCTTTATATAAATATATATATATATGTATATAGTAAAAAGTATATGTTTTCATATATTACATAAGAATACATTATGGAAGACAGAATATAAATGGGAATATTTACAACTGACAACAAGTTTATTTAAGCTTTGGTTAGGTATATAAATATGAACCCTATAGTGTATATCAGTATCATATACAGCCAACCGATATATATATATGTATATAGATTGTGATCATAGTCATCATAGTAGAACAGAATTATCACTTATTATGAGTGAAATAAAGAGAGTAAATGAATTTGAAATCTTACATCAAGTATAATTATGTATTTACATATTTATATTCTAGTTTAATCAAGATTACTACCAAACTGAACATATTCAATGTCTGGCCTCCTTTCAAATCAAAACACTACTTAGAAGTTATATGTATCAATCAGAATATGTAACTAAAATAGAGTTAAACTTGGAAGAGGAGATGAAAACTAATTTATCCCTTATTCTAGTCATCTCGATATGAAAATTGGTCCGAGTCAAAGTCTTTTTTTGACAAGTCTTCAAGTAATATTATTCTATTGTTGTAATAGGAAGAACAAGCTAATAATTAATTTTTTTTATTAAAAAAAAAAAAAAAAAAAAAAGACATGTTATCAATGCTATCTTCAAAAGATAGGCAAGGAGAAGTATGTACACATACACGCATACTATGTACTAGAATTTATTCATATATATATATATATACATATTCATAGACTATTTATCTTTATTATATTACTCTTGATATTGGATATGCTCTTGTAAAAAATAATTCAAGCTATAACAAAAGATCATCTGATATACTACATTGGATAATATGTGCTTTTGATAAAATATTCAATTCTTCCAATGGAGGAACGGAAACTATGCTCCCAGATTATCTTTCTGTTCGTATCATATTATATCTATTTATATGTTTATATACAAAATAATCATTCATTATATACATATAATTTATAGCAACGTTTCATGAAGCTTATAAGTAAACAAAAAAAAAAGGAGAGGAGGGAAGAAAGAGTACACTGGCAACTGTAATGATGATGTGCATTAACATCCATCTATGATAGTATGTATCTGTCAAAAGGATAACGATATTTTACCAGATAATCGTATCTATTCATCGATTAATACATTTGATAAAGTATTAAATAGTGTAAAATATTATATAAGAAAAGGAAAGGAAAGGAGAAAAAAAAGACTAATTATATTCTAATATAGGAAAATAAAACGACAACTGTCATTTATTACTTGGCAAAGATTCAACTCTTTTTAAAGTCATTATCCTCATCTTCTTCTAATGATATTTTAAAGAACAAATTCGAAAAAGGTAATTGTATAATAAAGTTAAACTTACAAGTAATAAGTTTTTTTTAAAAATTCATATTCATGTAGAGTATTTCAAAATGGTTGAAAATATCAAGATAGGGAATCATCAAGATTTAGCCTTGTATTATGATGTATTCTATGACTCTATTATTTAACCTTGTTAACTCCTTATGTAATATATAGATTATCGTCTATTATTCGTAAAATAAATCAGCATCAATATATCAAGTGAATACAATACAATACAAGTCATATAGAATTGCTAATAATCATTGTTTTCCCTCTTTATTTTATTTTAGTGTCTCCAACTTGATGAGTAGTTTGGACATTTTAATTCATAGAACAGAGAATGAAACGAATCAGACTTCAATTATAGATAGTAGCACGCTTTATTTATTCAAAATCTATCTTCTTTCTGAATTAGTTTTAGAAAACCATTCGCGTTCAATTGAATTTAATAAAGATATTCTAAGACATGCCATGGATGGTAAGATAATTAAAAGGGCATACATTTTTTTTTATGTCATTATTTCATGTGATAGATATCTATTTGGTGAAAGAAGATATTCAACTTGTAGATTTATCTGCTATTCAATTGGTATACACACACATATATATATATATAAATATATATGCATATACATACTATGTAATCAGATCGTTTTACTCGGTTTTTATCTCTATTAGATATTATGGAAAACAGGAGATATCTTTTATCATGTACAGCACATATGATTGATCCATTTATTTTATACAATTTATATTCATTTTTTCAAAAAAAAAAAAAAAAAAAAAAAAATAGAAAAAACTATATGACCTTGCTTTACCATGGTATCGATATGCTTCAAGTATCTCAGAATCTACTTTTCAAGGCGTAAATAATACCATGATTTTAACTAGGTAAAAAAAAAAATAAATAAATAAAAAAGAGATTTAGATTTTTATACAAGATAAAAGTAACCTTACCAAAAAAAAAAAAAGAAAACTTGTATTCTGTTATATTCATTTAAATGATATCAATTCTACTTACGATTGCTTACGAAAGGCAATCTATTATATGAATGATGATGATGATGATGATATGAATAGCACAATACAAGTAGAAAATTCTATTTTGTTTATTAAATATAGTTTATTACAAACAAAAGAAGTATCAAAGAGAAAAGAAAGTAAGTCAATAAATACATATAAATTAGCTAAATGGTACTCATTTTTTAACAAAACAAAGCTTTAATTATTCCAATTCTGAAGAATTTAATTCAATCTACAGAATTTAAATTAGATTACTTTGAAGACATATTTGAATACTGCTATCAAGTAAGTTATAATATTAATATTTTGTCTTGTTTTGTTTGTCTTTTTTTTTTCTTTTTCCAAGTTACATAACTGTAAATATCTAGTATGCTAAGGAAGGCTCTGTTGTTAAGGTTATCTTGAATTATCTATTTGAATATTTCAGTATGATAGAAAAGGATAATAAGAATGAAAATCAAATATTATTATTATTTATTCATTTACTTGTCTTTGCATTAAAGTAAATTTAACAAAAAAAAATGTATATTCTTATAATATTCACGCTATAGAATAGATGTATTATTCATATAAAGACAAATGTATATGAATCAGTCAAAAAGGATGGAAAGTCAAGAACTGGGTAGGGTGTATTTATGGATGACACTTGTTGTTTTAACTATCTTTTTTTTTTTCTTTAGAAAATTAAATTTTAACCCCATATCTTCCTATATGAATAATGGTATTTTACTTTACTTTTTTTCATCCTATCTATTTATTATTTACTCTTGATATTCTAGTTTGTCAATTGCTTGTTACAATGAATTTAGATGAAATGAATAATGAAGTTAAATTGATAAATGATATCGAATGGATGTTACAAACTTCTTGGAATTTAGGGCTCTTTTGTTTTAGTGCTGGAAGACATGAAGAAGGAACATTATTATTCAATATCGTGAATAAAGTAAAAAAAAAATTCATTATTGGTATCTTCCAAGTCTAATCCTTATTCTCTTTAGCTTTTCCCTTTCTTTGATATCTTAACAAAGGGTTTTACAGTAGAACAAAAGCGTGCTCGTACTTTTCTTTTTACTTGTGCATTTTTATTAATATGCAAACATGATGTAAAGGTAAGAATGATTACATTCCTCTTCTGTATACACATGTATACATACCATTTTATATAAAAGGATACAGAGTTTTATAAATTGGATGAAAAAGAAATTTTAAATACACTTAAATACTTGAGAAGTTCCGACAAGGTCGGTGAAATGGATGCTATTTCTATACTTGCAAGCTTATTTGAAACGGAAATCTATGTTAAACAACATCAATTTCATGAAGCCATTAACATGTTTAAGGTATATTTTATATTTCCTATTTTCTACTTTATATATTAATATAGAGTATTATAATTTAGTCTCTCGAATCTATGACTGAGTCTTCTTTTTCAATATTGGAACGAATGGCGGGTAATAATGATAATAACGTTAGATATTTTTTTTTTTTTTTTTTTTTTTTTTTTTTTTTTTTTTACACTGTACGCATAGGGATCATATTATTGGATACTGAATGTCCTTTAGATGGTATCTACATATACATATAATGTTATTTTCAGGATTTAACTTTATCTATATAAGATGCATTTCTTGTATTGAAGGTAAGATTTATGATGATATCAAGAAGACCATGATTCCCGTTTATCTAGTTTAATCATATTAGATTTTACATTCTTCACCTTTAATCCTTCAAGCAAATATTGAAGATTATGCAAAATGGACATGCTTATTTATATCTGTAACAGTAAAAAGAAATGAATTGAATGACTTGTATGAAAGTTTAAAGACTGTCATAGATCATCAAATGTATAAAAAGGTAAAATAAAAATAAATAAGCAGTATTATAAAATTTAATAAAAATCTAGGCAGGATTTCCTCAACATGAGCTTTATTATTTAATTGCTATTGCCTGGAATGAAGGAATGACTTGCTACTTGAAGTAAAGACAATAATTACTTTAAACGAAAAAGAAAAAACTTATTCTATTTTAGATCGGATCCATTAGGAAAATGTTGGTGTCAAATTGCATTCGAATTGTTAAACAATTTAAAAGATAAAGATAAAAGAGAACAGCTTTCTATACAAGTATGTAAACATCTTTCAAAAGAAATAGAAAAAAAAATTCCCCCTTATAAAACAAAATTACTTGCTTACTCTTTTTTTCTTTCCTTTTTTTGTATAAATTGTTTCAAGATGAAAGATGCATGTCAATTATTTCAAATCGATTAACTAAGATTGAAGAATGTACTTACACTACCCTTTATACTAGCTATTTTAATATTATGTAGAATTAACTTTCATAATAGCATACAGCAACAAAAAAAGTGATATAAATAAAATTATTAATCAAAGAGGCATACATTGGAATTTTATTATGATTGGACAGGTTTTATTTTATTTCAAGCATTAAATTTCGATTATTAAGTTTTTCCCCGCTTTTTTATTTTATTTTATTTTATTTTATTTTATTTTATTTTATTTTTTTTGTGAGTGTGTTTGCTTTTACTTTTACCCTCTTTCTTTCATTTTGATTTAAATAAAATAGAAATGACTCATTTTGGTTCACTTCAAGAAATATATGAAATTATAGAACAAATCGGTGATGGTTCATTTGGAACAGTTCATAAAGCAAAGAATAAAAATAATGGTAAACTTGTAAAGTAAATAATAAATGAGTACACTTCAAAAAAAAAAAGTAGAGGATATGGATTATAGCATGATTCATATATTCCCTTATTATTTTAGTTTGCTATCAAGATTATGAAGAAAAAATATGAATCACTTGAAGAATGTGAAGGCCAATTTGAACCTAAATTACTTTCTTTATTACCGCCTCATGTCAACATTATTCAAATGTACGATAGTTTTCTTTCACCTACTACTTGTGACCTTTCATTTGTTATGGAATATTCAGATGGTGGTAATTTATATCAACTTATGAGAGATAGAAAACAAAATAACTTACCTTTCAGTCATTGTGAATTAAGAAATATATTGTAAGCTTCTCCTTATACCTTCCTCCTACTCCCTCCTCCTCCTTTTTTTTTCTTTTTTTTTTCTTACTTACTTCTCCTAATGAATACATTTTATTAGACATCAAATATTGTCAGCTGTATCACATATACATCATCATCATATATTTCATAGAGACATGAAGCCAGAAAATTTATTATTAAATTATTCTACAGGAAAACCAATCATAAAGCTTGCTGATTTTGGTTTAGCTCGTGAATTTTTAAGTAGTCCGCCTTACACAGAATATGTCAGTACAAGATGGTAAAAAAAAAAAGTTGCTAATATTGATATCCTATTTTTATTTTATTTTATTTTATTTTTACTTTTTGAACATTTATTCATTTATATACATGTATATGATAGGTATCGTGCACCTGAGATACTTTTACGATCAACAGAGTATTCAGCATCAGTCGACTTATGGGCTATTGGTACTATATTTGCAGAATTAATTAATCTTGAACCTCTTTTTCCGGGAGAATCGGAAATTGACCAAATATATCGAATTTGCAGTGTATTGGGAAGTCCAGGAAATAAGACAGGTATAGTGGGTCAAAAAAACAATCGAACGTCAATGCGATATGATAAACGCATAAGTCCTGGATTTGCAAGAAAAAAGACAAAAGATTTAAATGATCATGATTTACATTCACTTCATATCAATACAAGTACTGCTTCTACTATTTCTTCTTTAGATGGTGGAGGTGAATGGAAAGAAGGGGTTAAACTAGCCCATAAGATGGGATTCAAATTTCCTAATGTAAGTAGATTATATCCATGTTTTTTCTTTTTCTTTTAAATAAAATTAACTATTTACCTGTAATTTTATTAGCTTTTACCAAAGCCATTAAAATCAGTCATTCCTAATGCATCAGAATCGATGCTTGATTTAATTCAACATTTTTTATTTTTTAACCCTCAACAAAGATGGTCTGCTGATTTTGCTTTAAGACATAAATTCTTTTCAGAGACAGAGGAACCCGTACACACAGTTATACCTATTGATGCTATGATTGAACCTATTACGCCACCAGAACAACAGCAAACAGAAATCATGATAAATAATACAGAACCCTCTCCAATGTCAATCATTACTCCACTTGATTTATTACCAACTCCCTTATTACCATACCAAATGTGTCCAGAATGGAATAATAATAGTATGTGTGATAGTAGTCATAGTGGAAGATCTATCACTAGTTCATACACAACACATATTGATACATTTTTACATGGTACAACTCATTGTGATCACAGTAATGCATGGTTCTCTCAGAGTAGACCCATTTATAGTTCTCATCAAAAAGCCTATCCTGTTCCAGATCATCGACCTAGTTCTTCTCATAACAATAATACTATTGTCTCTTCTTCGTATCATTATGCAACAACTCTATATCATCAACAGCAAAATAAGGGGTCTAAAACCCCACCAACTGTATCATGTTCGTTAGATAAAGAAATGTCTCCATTAAACTCTACAAAAAGATATTATTCTGAGAATGGGATAGAAGGGAAAAATCATAAACGACCTTCATTGTTAGGACATCGACTCTCTAGTCATCATCTAGATCGAATTCCTCATTATGGAACCCAACTTATAAAATGGTCACCTCCTTATTATTTTCAAACATTTGATCATCATCAGCAACCGTCTGAAAGTAGACGACAATGTAGAACTCTACTTTCAATTAAACAGAAGCAGTCCTCTTTGATTCATCTAGCTGAATCCCCTTTTTTACCCGATCCTACATCTACTTTTCCCAAGAAATCATATTCATTAACAATGACTGTACCGAGTCCTACAGTAGTTGATAAACCTCTTATCACATATTCATCTTCTCCACAACTTTGGCCTCATCCGATGCAAAGAAAGATGAATTCAATTACACCACCACAACGGTTAACTTCATGTATACTTGATACTAATAAAGAAGACACCATTCATGAAGATGAATATTGCGAAAGTAAACCTACAGTCTTCTTTCCTTTACCTTTACAGTAATATGAAGCTCAGTAATAACAAAAAGAAAAAAAAAAGAAAAAAGAAAAAAAAAAAAAGAAACGAGGAATAGGAAGAGGGAAGTAGAGAGAAGGAGGGGGAGAGAGAAGGAGGGAGGGGAAGAGGAATTATTTATGTGTACAAAAAAAATATATATATATATATATACCATAACTACTTTTTCTCTCTCTTTCTCATCACAGAGGAATATATTATTATGCATGGATTCAATCTATTTAGCTGATTTATATTATCTAGGCTTATTTGACGTGAAATGCAGGTTTCAGTCTTTTTAATAATTCTTAATAAACCAAGTATTTCTATATTTAAAAAAAAAAAAAAAAAAAAAAAAAAAGATCTCCGTTTATTTAATATGATGTACTCTACTTTACGAGGGGCAATGAAAATATAAATGACGATAGGATGGATCTTTTGTAATTTTTACTACTGCATATTGTTTCTGAAACCTCCCATCCATATTTCCAAGATATTTTAAAAGAACTTGATTTTTTTTTTTTAATTTGACATTTTCTTTTCTTTTTTTTTCCTTGTCCACAATATGCTTAAAAAGTCAAGTTTTTCCAACAAAAAGAATGATTGTGTCGAGTCCGAAAAGAGGTTAACAGAAGAATTCAATCAATGGTATGATAGATATCTTACACTTGTTAAACAAAGGGAGAGCTACCGTCAACTCCTGGAGCAAAGTCAGTTACGACTGTTAGAATTTGAAGGGAGATATAGGATCACAAAGAAAAGGCGTAGGTCTAGCTTTAAAGGACTTTTGTTGTTAGAGAATGGCTTTCAAAGGATGACAAAAGGGAAGGTATGGGTGACGATCGAGATCCATACCTTTCTTTCAGATTTATATCTTGAGACTCAAACTAGATGGCTTTGCACAAAGGCAAGAGAAGAGAAGGAGAGAGTGGCGATTTTAAAAGAAAAAATCAGGTTTCACCACTATACAAAATCCCTTGTGCCTATCTTGTGTACAATGCATCTTTTAGAAATTAAATTACATCAATTAGAACAAAGGAAACTCGAATCTAAAATCGCTACTTATTTTGGGTGAATCATAAAAAAAAAAAATGCTTTTCTCACAAAACACCACCTAGTAACATAGTTTAGTTTAGTGTAACAATAATAATAATAATAATAGAACTCCCATTGTGATTTGCCTCTTACTAAATAAATAACATGGTAAGGGCGGTGGCTTATATAAAACATTATGAAATTGTAAAGAAACGCATATTTCCAATATGGTAGCTTAATGGGTGGAAAGAAAGAAAGACAGAAAGAAAGAAAAAAAGAAAGTACTCTAATAGTAAAATAATAATAATAATCATAAAATAATAAAAAAAATTGCAAAGAAATGCAAAGAGCAATATGATAAATCCATATTCCGAGGATAGGCTATTTTTTTTTCTTTTTTTTTATGAGGGGAGGCATCACATTGTATTTATTTATTTTTTCCTTTTCTTTCTTTCTTTCTTTCTTTCTCTCTCTCTCTCTTTTTTTTTTTTTTTTTTTTTTCCTTTTTCCTATTCTTCTTTTTTTTTCTTTTTCTTATGATGTTAGGACGTGGAGGAACAAATATGGATGGGGATCCAGATTGTACAGAAATATTAGAAGATAATTCTCGTAGTATCTTGATGGGTATTATTAGTCAATTAAGAAAAGATATGGATTTACAGAAAGTGACTTTACCTACATTTGTACTTGAACCAAGATCCATGTTAGAAAGAGTTACTGACTTTATGAGTCATCCTGATTTATTAATAGAGTAAAGTACCCCTATCATATACATCATTCTTTTGTATAATAATAATAAAATAAAAAGACCTATTTTAGAGCTAGTACAAAAACAGATTCTTTAATTCGATTTTTGGATGTTGTAAAATATTTCTTATCTGGTTGGCATATAAAACCCAAGGTAAAAATAAATAAAATAAAAAATATCATTTTAAATAATAAAAGAAGGCTCTTTATTCATTCATTTATTCGTTCATTTTTTTAAAAAAAAACAAAACAAAAAATAGGGAGTAAAAAAGCCTTATAATCCTGTACTTGGTGAAATATTTAGGTGTAAATACATGTATCATAATGGAACAGAAGCTATTTATATTGCAGAACAAGTATCTCATCATCCGCCGATTTCTGCTTTCTATTATGGAAGTCCTGATAATAGCGTTTATATTTATGGCGATCTTCGTCCAAAATCCAAGTTTCTTGGTAATAGCGCTGCCACTTTAATGGAAGGAGAAAATCATATCATTTTTACTCATTTACATAATGAGCATTATGAAATTACTATGCCAAACGTATATGCCAGAGGAATTTTATGTATGTATTGCATGCTGCCCATTTTATATGTATAATCATCTACAAAAAAAAAAAAATAACCTCCTTTCCCTTCCCTTTCTCCTTTTCTGAATAGTTGGTAAAATGATTCTAGAATTAGGAGATAGTTGTATGGTTAGATGTAGAACAAGTGATTTGATATGTAAATTAGATTTTAAAACAAAGGTAAAAAAAAAAAAAAAAAAAATAAAATAAATAAAATAAGCAATTTTTTTTTATACATAAAAGTAAAACTTAACTTGTTTATAATAGGGCTTTTTTTCAGGACAATATAATTCAGTATCAGGAAAAATTAAAAAGGAATCAACAGATGAAACGCTTTATGAAATATCAGGTCAATGGTCAAATGAAATATATATTAAAAATACAAAGGTAAAGTCTATAATAGATATGTATATAAAATAACTAGACACCTGAGAAATAGTATCATTCATTTAGACCTCGAATACTTCTTTATTCTTTGATGTAAAATCATCTACTATTCATCCAAAAATTGTTCAAAATATAGTAGATCAGGATCCTTTAGAGTCTAGAAGGTAGGTCTATCTTTTATAGCCAGTGGTCATGCTCTGGTTTCTAACTCAAAAAATGGATTGATTTAGACTTTGGTCAAAGGTAACTGAATCTATTCTGAAGAATGATATGGATACAGCTACAAAAGAAAAAACAATTATAGAAGAGAAGCAGAGAGAAGACACGAAACAGCGTGAAATGGAAGGGAAGAAGTTTAATCCAACTTATTTTAATAGAATAAATGGAGATCAATATGAATTTAAAGGAATTTCGATGTAAGTGACTCCTTTTTTCTTTTTCTTCTAATGTTTATTTATTATTAAATAGTGTTGATTATAAAAATAAAGAAAAAGCCAAGACTGATTTAAATCGTCTGATATTTTCATAATTCAGACAACCTATCCTGATTATGTAATGTATGCATATATATATATACAAATATACATACATATTTATTTATTTATATAAACACTACAGAAACGAGAAGAACGAAGAAGACATGTAAATCTTTGTGTATACACATATATTTATACATACATACATGCATGTATAGGGAATAGGAATCTATAATAAACATGAATATAGATTGTTACCTTTTGTGTGAAATGTATAGATTTTAATAGTATTCAACTTGCTTTATAGACTGTCTTTCTATTAGTTACATGTCATTATTGACAACAACAATAAAAATCATATCACTTTCTCTTATGTATTACATTCGGAAAGCATAAAGCTCCACATGATGAATATCATATTCAATCTTATTGGCTATTAGCAACAAAAGAGCAAAAAAAAATAAAATAAAATAAAATAAAATAAATTAGAAATAACTATCTTCACCTTTCCCTTCTTTCCTTTCATGTTCTATTATGAGATCAAGCAATTTAATGCCATCTTCAAAGTCAACAACAAATTCATTTTCGACTAAAGATTTATTGTTTGAAAATACAAGTCGAGAATGTTTATTATTTCCAACTTATGCTAAAAGAAATCCTTCTGGTAAAAATAAATTACAAACATTTAATCTATGTTTTATTGACTGCTTTTATGATAGATGATACTCAATGGATCATTAAAGCAAAAGGCTGGGCTTTATCTCATAATAGTTCTTTAACTAAACAAAAGATGGCAATGGGTAAAATACAGAAAGAAAGGAAGAGAGAGAGAGAAGATTCGTCCGTTTAAAAATCACTGATATTCTTTTTTTTTCTTTCTTAGGTATTACAAAGAGTGTTGCTGGTAAATCTTCCGTAGATAGAAATTCATCACGCATGTTTGAAGAACGTTTCAAATACTTTCTTGCAAATAATAAAGGACATAAGCAATTCTTGATTCAAGCTATAGGAATTACAACCCTCAATGATTCATTACCTTCTTTAAAAAATCATTCTACTTCTTATCTAGTCTTGTTTGATTCTTTGAACATGTTGTCAGCTAGTTTAAAACCAATGGTTACGTCACCTGAATTCAACAATCTACATCCTTCTCCTTCTTCTAGTGAGTCAGTGGGAAAGAATACAGCCTTTCATTTCTCGGATACCCCCTTTGTCATACGTCCAGCCAATCCTATTTCATCTGTTTTGGATGGAAATTATCATGATATAGAGAATGATATGGAGAATAATGCATCACTGACTCATAATAATGAAATCATTCTTCAACACATGGAATGCGGAGTTCACTTGAAGACGGAGGGATCTGGATTCTTTTCAGGTCAATTCTTGATACCTCATGAAAATATACTAAATTGGGCTCAAGATCAAAATCAATGCGACGCAAGATTAATTCGAATTCAATCGATTTGTACAGAGGAGGAAAAGGAGAATAAAAAATTCTATTCAAATTATGGCATTGTCAATTTGATAGAACCTTATGGTATATCTATCATTTCAGATATTGATGACACAATTAAAGATACTCAAATCCTGTCTGGTGCACGTAAAGTATTGTCAAAGACCTTCTTTGAACAACCTCAATCTGTACCTGGTATGGCTGATACTTATATGGCTTGGGTAATTTAAGAGATAGATCAAAACACACACACACATCTTAGTCTCACTGTCTTTATTTTATATATATATGTATTAGTATTCTCAAGGTGCTTCGTTTCATTATGTTTCTAATAGTCCTTTCCAATTAATGCCTATGCTGGATAAATTCTTGAGACATTCTCAATTCCCACCAGGTTCAATGCATCTCCGTGATGATAAAAAATTGATAGCACGTCTGGTAGAGACCCCGGGTCTAGCTAAACGTGAAACGATCTTAAAGATCATGAATGATTTCCCTCAACGTCGTTTTGTATTGATTGGGGATTCAGGTGAGATTGATTTAGAGATCTATACACGCATTGCCATTGAACGTCCTCATCAAGTATTAAAAATTTATATTCGAGATGTCACTCGATCTACTCTTAATAAGAGACAACTGCAAAAGAGAGAACAAGGATATCAGAAAAGGTCGGCAAGTGCCTTCTCTTCCTTTCTTTATCATTATCCTAAAAGGAGACCTCACTCTACCTCCTCTGCTCCAACCCTAACTAATAACAACAACAACAACAGCAGCAGCAGCAGAAGTCATAGCTTTTCTTCATCCAACAATGAGAAAATCATCACTAAAAATGATGATGATGACAGTACAGGTTCAGATAGTATCATCTCTAAAAGTCATAAAAAGAAAAAGTTTAGATCACCCCTTGGATTACGTAAAGCTATGAAAGATACAATCGTTGAATATGCAATAGAACCCAGCTTAACCGGTCATCGTAGTACATTTCAACATCATGATCATGAACATACTACGGGTCTTTTAGATCCTCATCGACATCAAAAAAAGATATCTACTTTAGAAGCATGTCAACAATTAGATAATCGCGTAGAGAAATCACGTCTACAAATACCATCGATTGATATCGTTTTATTTCAAGATGCAGAGGTGCTTGCGAATGATGCAGATATTAGAAATGCTCTATGGGATATGTGGGATAATCTAAGCAACTCCGAAAGTACCAGTAGTAGTAGTAGTAGTAGTAGCAGTAGTAGCAGTAGAAGTAGTAGTTTTGGTAATAGTAGTCATGGTGATACACATGCTTTAAGTATGGATAAAAACACTCATCCTATCTATTATCATAAAGACGATGTAAATGTCTATGTACCTTCACCAACTATCGCATTATAGTCATAAAAAAAAACTCAAGAAAATTATTTTATATAATGTGTAATACGTATTCTTTTTTTTTCCTTTTTATGCATATACTTCATTCATTTGTATAATTAAAGCAATTACTTTCTTTAACCATTCATTCGTAAATAAAATTCATACTATTTGCACTCTTTTCTCTTACATAAAAAAGAGAAGATGATCATTATTTAGAAATATGAATGAGTTGACTTTGAGATAAAAAAAAAAAGAGAGAGAGAAAGGTCATTATTATAAACTCTTTAACGTCATAAAATAGATGATTTACACAAGACAAAAGAAAATCAGAAAACTAGAACAATCTTTGTATGACTTTTTTTTTTTCTGCACAAGTTATGTTTTATATATTTCTTCAAGTCATTTGATTCTTGGTGAGTTTTATCACCATTACTACTTCATTTTTTTTTTCTATGAATATTTAATTAATGCAAAATTTAGTTTTTATACTCTTTCCTTTTCTTTTCGAGACTTGTTCACAAATGAGAAATTTGACTGATACTGTATTATCGTCAATTAAGTTTCCAGTTACACACTTAAAAAAAAAAGATCTTCCTCTATTAGGGCATAAAATAAATCAGGAGAGAACATGGAGATAAATTGACACTTCCAATTTGGTATCAGGGGATATAAAAAAAGAGTCAAACCTTTTTGCAGGTCACAGGCTAGTAAATGGGATATTACTACATTATTTTTTTTTTTAAAAAAAAAAAGCTAGATCAGGTGGAAATGTTCTTGAGACAATTCTAGTTATCTATTTCTAATCAGTTGTATTCATCCTACGTTGCAGACTGAATTCAATAAGGAAGGCAATAGAATGGCATAATAATGTTGAAGAATAGCATAACTTTTAACAAGACAACAAAGTTCCTAATCAAGATAATTTTCTTATCGAGTTTGTAGGGGCATCTATCTACTTTTGAACAAATAGCTATTTTTTTTTTTCGGCAGGCAATTTATATTTATGCTGTGTAGTTGTGAAATGTAAAGATATTTAAGTCCTCTTCAATAAAATTGCATTCTTAAAAGAATTAAAAAAAAAAAGAGTTAAAATATGACAAAAGCAAAGCTGCTTGTTATTGTCTTAGATATAGGTATGACGGACAATTTTTTAAAGGAGAAAGTTGAAGAATTTGCAGGATGATGTTACCATAAAGGCCTGACGATAAATTGGTAATTTGACGTCACCTGCGTAAGTATGTAGCTTTATGCCGCCCAAATGTCTTTTACAGATGCATTTATCATATCAAGATATAAATCATCTTTGTCATCATACTGCCTTCTTCAATTTTGGATAATGATTCTATCTATTTGTACGATTTTAATTTTTTCTACAGAGGTGGCAAAAAAAAAAAAAAAAAAAAAAGTCTAACATTTTATTGGTCTAAAAAATATGTGTATATTTTTAATTGTCTATTCAATTTTGAAGCTTAAATGCGGTTTAATTGTCTTTCACAAGAAAAAAAAAATAAACAAAAATGTCATCAAAGTAATATTTTGTTAGCTTCTTTCATCTTCCCCTTTTATTTTTACTTAAAATGGTTCCCCTGTTTAAATGTTTTATCTATTTTTTCTTATTCATAGTTTACGAGATTTAGAAACTTTGTCGGATGATGAAGCTCTTTTTGCCGAATTAGAAAACGAGGAAGATAATGATTTGAGCGTTTTACGTGAAAAAAGAATCAAAGAGATTCAAGACGAGTAAAGCTTATAAACATATAAATTATGGGAGAGTTCAAGCCATTTCTTACTGTAAATTTTGCTTTTATGATTTAAAAAAAAAAAAAATAGAATTAATCGACGTGCAGCTAGATCCGAAAATAATCACGGATTATATACTGACATTACAAAAGAGAAAGAATTCATGGATATTACCACGTCTGAAAAATATGTAGTAGGTCATTTCTATCATAAGGATTTTAGAAGATGTAAAATTATGGATACTCATCTGGAGGTAAAAAAAAAAAAAAAAAAAAATACAAAAGAAAGAAAAAAGCCTAACTGTCTCTCTCTCTTTCTTTCTTTTCTTTTTTTAGAAACTAGCAAAGAAATACTATGATGCCAGATTTATAAAGATTGACGTACAGAATGCTCCCTTTTTAGTGGAAAAACTCCAAGTTCGAGTTTTGCCGTGTGTTATAGCATGGGTGGATGGTTACGCGCAAACAAAGTAATATAACGAAGAAAAAAAAAAAAAAAAAAAAAAAAAAAAAAAAAAAAAAAAAAAAAAAAAAAAAGAGGAGAGCAAATGTTATAACTGTTTATTTTAGAATTGTAGGCTTTGATGCACTTGGAAATACAGACAGTTTTCAAACAGCCGCTTTAGAATTAAAATTAATTCATGCAGGTGTCATCAAAAAGAAAGAGGAAAAAGTGCAAAATAAAAAGAAATCAATTTTCCAATCAAGTTATGATACAGATTCAGAATTAGAGGACGATTAAATTGAGATAAATAATAAATAGTATTGATCATCATAAAGATTGAATAGTGCTTGATTTTCTATTAGTGTTGGTATCTAAGCGAACTTCTTCATCTTCTATAACAGTGGTATTTTCTAAGGGTGGAGATCCACTGTTCTTTTCATGTATACTCTTTTCTTCTTCTACGACTTCTTCTTCTTCTTGTTCAAGTTTTCGAAGTTTTTCAATCGCTTCACTACGTAGCATACGTCCTGTAAACGCAAAACTCAACAACATCATTAATCCTGCAAGCGCTGCTTGTAATAACAGAGCTTGATACATGTTGTTTTTAGGTGTTCCGTTTGTATCTCTGAGAAGATCCATGATGAGTACAATTAAAAAACCGAATATCTGACATCCTTGCCATATAATTGAATTACTTGTGGCATCAGAAACAGGATAAGAAGCTAACAAATAAGTTGAGTCTTTCACATATATATCATCTCTTTAATGAACAATCTTACTTTCACTACTTAATTCTATAACAACAGGAACAAGGAACGATAAGAAAAACTGATTCATAGATAGTACAAACAAGATAGAGGCATAAGCATTACTTTGGACTATAGGAAAAAAAAAGAGAGAGAGAGAGAGATCATTATTAAGCCTTAGCTTGTAAATACATACAAGTAAATATATATAGTTACTTATGAAAATAAAACCAATATCTGTTACAAGTACCATTGGAGCAATCAATCGAAGAAACAGTCTATGTTGCTTAGTACTGTCTAAAACGGGACCAGCAACAGCTTTATATTCATTATATTTATCATTATTATTATTATTATTACCATTTCATTTTTTTTATAACTTACAACATCCTAAGGTGCCAGCAAAAAATGCAACGGCATTCATTTGACCTGCTTGTGCATCTGTATATCCATGAGGTGAAATAATCTGCGTAAAAATGGATCCAAATGCAATACTAAGTCCTACATTCATTCCATGCACTAAAAATAAGATCCAAAAATTATAATTTTTTGAAAGTATCCGGATACCCTTAAAAAAGGAGGGTGTGCTTTCCTCATTCATTGCTCTTGAAGGCGGACTTGGGGGCTTTGAAGGCATAAGAGTAACTGGAATGACAATAACAGCAGCAAGACCAGATACAAGGTGGACAATCATAGGCACTTTTTCAACACTAGTTGCTAAACTAGGTATCATAAACATGCCCAAAATAGCACCATAATTGGATGCTAGTGAACAAAAATAAAATAAAATGTTATTGATATATACATGTATATTTCTTTTAATAGATAGAATTACTTACCAACAAACATGCCAGCAGTTGCTCTCTTGTTTTCTGTAAACCATGTAGCAGCAAACTAGTTTAGATAAAGTCAATATATATATATATATGTATATGTTATTTTGCTTTTCTTACAGTAGTCATAATATTTAATGCTAAAGGGGCAGAAGCAGAACCTACAATTTGACCTAACATGATAACTATAAATGATGGTGGGCTCATTTTAACACCAATTGAACGAATTGCGCATCCTGATGCATTCAATAATGCTGATAATATAAGCTATATATTTATAGATATATAAATAAGAATGTCCCCATCCCCCTCCACCAATAGATTGGTGATTTATAAAACAAGAAATATGTATATCTCCATCTTTTTTTTTTATGAACTTACAGAACGTTTCACACCTAGGGTTTGGAATATCCAACCTGTAAAGAAGCTCATGAAAATATACATTAGACCTTGAACGTTTGCCAGCCAGTTTACACCTGTAAGTGATACATGAAATAATTCACCTGTAAGTGAAGGCACTACACTGAATGTAAATTGGAATACAGATATGGCGGTTCTTAATAAAACGAGGATCAAGAGAGCGAGCCATGCCTGTGGATATGTCTTTAAAGGAATTTCTAATGGATCTACTACAGTTGTACGACCTGAATCCGACTGATCATCATTAACATCTTCCTTACTATGCTTTCGAAGTTTGTCCAATAGTAGTTTCATTTTCTTTACTCTATATTAGAAAGAAAGAAAAGATAAGAAAAAATAAAAAGCAAAAAAGACAAAGGGATATGAAGTGATATTTTGTTTTTACTTTAAGTATTAATTTTTTTTTTTTTACCCCACAAAATATTATTAACGATTATTTTAAGAATTAAATATAAAGCATTATTTTCTAAAGCTATACTTTCTTTAACATGATCTCAAGTCGTAATACAGATTTCTTCCCCGAATATTATTTTATTAGGAGAAAATAAAGAAAAAAAAATATAATATAATAATAATTCGTGATATTTCGATCCTTATTTTACCAATAATAGCATGCATAGTGATTTATTAAATGTATTCATGCTAAAATAAAAAATAAAAATTTGAAAGAGAACTATGTATTATCAGGAGAAAGATAAGTGCGCAATTGAAATACTGTAGATGATTTAATTTACGCAATTATACTTGATCAATCCTATATTTATACAAATGACATCTTCATTATATTACCCTTAAGATGAAGATCATATACAGTTTTTTTTTTTTTTTTTTTTTTTTTCAAATCCTTTATATACATACAGGCTGTTTAGTGCGTGTGTTTTTTTGAAGCATAAATTAAACAGCAACGATAATAATAAAATACAAGTTAAAATAGATCTATCATAACCAAGTTTGACATATATGTACTGTACTAAGATATTATCCTCCTTAGTCCTATGATACGCCTTGTCTAGCGAAATAGATTTTATTAATTTACTTGTTTTATGGTTTAATTTGACTTGACTTTCTTATTGTCATCACTCGTCTTTTGTAAATTGTTACCACCCCAGGTGGCTAACCATACAGCACTAAATACAAGGAAACCAAGGATCATTGAACCAGTAGATGCATAATATGGATATGCAGCTGTTAAGAAACGAGGATATTCATTATGTCTAAAAGGTCTAATAGATACTTGATCTTCTGCTAAAATATAACTAACACCAGTACGCTTATAGTTTACTTTCAAGGTAAAGACACCATAAACGTCAGGAAGGCGAATATTAGCTTCAAATCTACCCACATTACTACTATCTGAGGGAACTTGTTTCAATGTAGTACGGATATAAGGATCCAACATGATTACTTCTAATTGAATATCATCTGCTTTATAAGGTACCCATTGATTATTTTTATATTCGACAATATCGACGTTATACACCTTTTAGATATATAGATATAGGTAAATAACTAACACATTTAACACTTAATAGATAACTCTACTTACAATATCATCTTTAACACGATACCAGTCACGTTGTTCAGTTTCACCTTCTTTATGATGGTGATGTCCAACAATCTTTAATACACCCTTTTCTTGAAAGGTCCACTGAGATAATTGTTTTATAAATTCCTCATTACCTGATTTACTATAGATTTATGTATAAGTCAAAAAAAAAAAAAGTTAGAATAACTACTATAATCATAAAACAACTTACGATGATTTTGAATCAATTTGAGCAGACAAGTATTCATTAGAAAAGATATCTAGTGAGCCAACAAAGGTAACACGAGCAGAATTACGAGCTTGCAAAGCTCCTACTAAAGCAATGGGCTCTACAGAGCTAGCTTTTTTATGATAGCTATCAGCTAAGAATGCATTTGATTCTGCAGTTAAGATAGCGCTTGAGAGAGGAAGTTGACCGATGGTTAAACCAGTACCTGAATAAAGAATAGGTGCTTCAATTTGTTTTGTGTCAATAATTGAAGAAGGTGCAACAAAGTTTGAAGTAATAATCTTATCATGTTCTTCATAATAATTATCATGATCAAAAACGGTTTCATATCCTAATTCAATATCAAATTCAGAAGCAAGAGCGCGCAAATTATCACTAGCTTCAGCACCTGCAGCTATAAGCATATTACCACCATTATTAACAAAATTGACAAGTTGAACGTTATTTAAAGCTGAATGCTGTGAAAGTTCTAAAAAAAAAAGAAGAGAAGAGAAGAGAGAGAAAAAAGAAAGAAAGAAAGAAAGAAAGTGATTAATAATTGATAGTAAAATTATAAATTATTAGAATAATTTAGATAGTTACTTGATGCTTTAGGTGCAAAATGAATAATATGATTATAAAGGGGTTCATTAAAATAGATGAGTGCAGTAGATGTATCATCAGCAGACTTAAAGGTAAGCTCATATTGACGATCTATATTAAATGAAAAAGATAAAAAAGAAAAGAATTAGATAAATATAGATTCATATAAACATGTTCATATACCTTCTAGTTGTTGCCAAAAACGAGAGTATACATCTTTTTCAGCCAATGAGTCTAACAAGACCAAGATACGGTTTCCGCTTACAGATTTCGCTTCTACGAAAACAAATGTCAACAGAGTTAATGCTGTAATGAAGAGAGCAGTGAACGAATGTATGCTTCTCATCTTTTATTAAAATAACACAATTAATAATAAAAAAAAAAAAAGTGTTTTACGAGCTCGCGTTTAAATATAAATTCATACATTGGTTTGTGATAAGATGATTGGAAAAAATACTGTGGGCGTTCTGAGATTAAAAATAGGATTAAGTTTAATTTGGAAAGCGCAAACACGAAAATTGTACCTGTATTATCAAACATACAATTGTTCTTTTTTTTTTTTTTTTTTTTTTTTTTTTTGTTTCCTTTGCTAAAAGTGTGTATATGTAACACATATTAATTTTTATCATTTTACAAAACCAATATGTACTGTCTATCATTTTGTCCTTTAACTTCTAATACAGTGATTTATTAGCAGTAGACAGATTAACATCAAAAGTTCAAAATATAAATCTGGTAATATAAAGTCGTATTCTTCTATTTTAGTGATATATATTTCCTTCCACTTACAATAGAGCCTGTATTTATTTCTTTTTCCTTTATGATAATATTTTTATATAGAAAAGTATGAATGCAGTTGTTGATAAAAGAGCGGTTTTAGTTGCTTTGTTTATTGTATATAGTGTGCATATATTCATTCCTTTTTTCATTAGATTTTTATTCATTAATTGAGGCTATTCGAGCTCAAATATGCTTTGGGAATAGTATGCTCAATAACAATTTACTAAGACAGGATAGTTCATAATAATAAACGATATATGTATATATAATTTCGAATTAGTTAGTTAATAAGATCATATACATATATATGTAAGTATATTTTAAAAGTAAAATGATGCCTGATTCTAATAAATACTTCTTCTTCTTTCAAGTAGAGAAGAATATATAATATAATAAAAAGATAGGGAGATTTTTCTTTGTTGATATTCAAAAAGGATTCGCTTTTTCCTATGATATCCATTGTATTTATAAAAATCTGATGAGTATATAATAGCTCTATAATATGTCGATACAAGTAGATTAAATTAATATTGAAAATGTAGCTTTATTTTTCCTTTCAGAATAGATATAATATTATGTAAGTTAATCTTATACAGAGAAATGATCGTAATACCTCTCTTATCTTTTCTACCTTATTCTAAGTTTTTACAATCTTCTTAAACAATATAATAGATAAGAATAAAACACCTTAATAATGAAGTGTTGATGCATGATTCATTTATACTACATGAACTTAAATTTCAAGCACTTGAAATACATTTATTCATCCCTTCATTATCAGTGCAATTTCCATTAATTATAACAGCATCCTGTGATTTATCTACTTCTATATCAGCTAATATTCTTAGGTTTACAATTAAAAATACAGCAATGACTAAAATAGCACCAAGAGTGTGTTGTAATCCAGGCATAAAATGCTTGCAAATGGCATCACCTACAAGTGCTAAAGGAATAAAAAAAAGTGTTCACATACATAAATATGTATGCTTATGGTAAATAGGACTTCCAATTAAACTAAAGAATTCTATTTAAAAATTAAAAAATGACCAATGAGCACATAGCATTTATATGCTGTTTTGCCCTTGTCAGATCGTTATGGCAAAAAGAACTTATGATTAAAGAATTATTTTATTTATAACAAAAATTTAAACAACCCATGTGAGCACATAATACTGGCAGTATTGGATTGCCCGGATCAGTTCGAGAAAGGATAAAAGTGTACTAAAAAAAAAACCTTTTGATAGGCAAAAGGGTAAAAAAGAAAGAGAAGGGAAGAGGAAAAGCAAGATATATCAACAAATACTAGATTCAGAGTTACGTAACCAGTTTACAAGTTTTGTACCAAGGGGGGGTTCCGGAGGAAGTTTATCATGATGGAGATAGTCAAGTTCAAAAAGTAGAAGACACATAGCAGGCCAACGAATCGTCCAGGCGGAAAAGACAGATGAGTTGAAAGCTGATGAGATTGGTGGCCTGCGTTTTTGTTTATTTGGCAGCTTATTCAAGAGGAAGGACAAAGGGTCGAATTTAGTCAAAGGCATTTGTAATCGTCGATGCATATGTAGGCACCATATAGCATGAGATCTAGTGAACAAGGCATTAGGGTGATAGATGCACGGTTTAGGGACACCACCAGGTAACCAACCTAGGCGCCAGAGGTAAATAGAACTTACAGTGCTTCCAGACCCAATTGGGCAACTTTTTGAAAATTTGGTCACCTAAAAATAAAAAAACTTGAACTTCAATTGGTCACTGTTTTTAAAATTATTTGGTCATGAAGCATTATCAGACTAACAAGGGGTTAGATGGGTAATTTATTCATATAATCGGGAAATGTTTTAATGGAATGCTGAACATAGTTTTTTATGTTTTGGAGCGGTACTTTCTCATAGGCATCCATTATTCGAGAGGTAAGTGTCTTATTGTCCCGAAACTTTTCGATCTTAATGTAGTCTTTTAAATCTTTCCAGAATTGCTCGATCGGGTTTAGTTCTGGCGGATAAGGCGAGAGATGTACAGGCGTATATCCACGGTTGATAATGAGATGATCAATGATGCTATGGATGTGAATAGGAGCATTTTTCCTCACTAAATGATACCCCTTTCATCTCTAGAAATTGATCCATATCAACAATGAACTGCATAAAATGTCCGCCAGTGATTTCTTTAGACACGTTTAATCGATCCTCAGGAACTTTTCTTTTTGTAGAGCAAGCTATTCTTCTTCTTTTCAAATTGTCAGACTCTATGACACTAACGTTGACAATACCAGAAGACGACACTGCACCAAGAGCAGTCTTTGAAATGGCTCTGGTAGACGGATTAACAACAATTGCTGGCTCCCGACGCCTAAACTAGGCCTTTCCTCTTGTCATATTCAAGTCAAAACTCGACTCATCAATGAATATGCAACTGTTATGATAGTCAATTTCTTTAGAGCTCCATTCAGTAACCCAAACTGCGCGAGCTTCAACGGTTTTAGGACCATTTCTTTGAACTGAATGACGAGTAATACATATTATACTAAGGTTGTATTCATCTTTCATAAATTTAGCAACCCTTGACTTTTTAATGACGAGTCCTTCGAAGCTTTTAATCAATTATCCTACACCGTCTTCAATAGTTGCGGTCGGCTTCTTATCGTAAAAATCCACTAATTGTTTTTTATGTTAATCGTTAAGTTATGAGACCTGTTGCTTTTCAGTTTTATTCGTTTTTTTTGGGGGGCACCTGCGTCATGGTTAGCTATATATTCTGCCTTTCATTTATGAGCAGTGTGAGTTTTAACGTTCGCAAGCTTAACTACGGCGTCGTTCTTCAAATTCTTTTCAAATACGTAATGAATATACATTTCCCGTTAAAAGCTGGTGTATTTTGTATGTTCAGTACTCCTACTGTCCTTTTCAGCTATCGTTGCTTCTTTCATAATAATATCAGTATTATTATGAGGAAGTCCTGACATATCAACTGGCGTATACTTGATAAACTTTTGAAAAGTCATAAGTTTCGACAAGCGAAAAGAGGGAGACTTATTAGTAGACATAGCTTTTCTACCACTATCATCGTAAATATTTCCTTGGCTATCCTCAGTGTAAAACGTTAAGTTAGAAGTTATTGGGTGCTACTATTGAATTGTGAAATGACCAAATGAAGTTCAAAAAAGTGACTAATTGAAGTTCAAGTTTTTTAATTTTTAGGTGACCAAATTTTCAAAAAGTTACCCAATTGGGTCTGGAAGCACTGTACATTGTACAGCGCTCACCATAAAACAGCAAATAACACATTTCGAAGACATGACTAAAGTTTTTATTTCTAAATTTCAAGACTTATCATCAATCAAAATTGATTGGGTTAAATTGAGGGTAATTAAACAAAATTCGTAGATTAATAGATGCGGACATAGAATTATTGAGGAAGGAATGTGATGACGCTACAAACTATAATTTCATAAGTATCCATTAACACAAGACTAAAAAATTGTGATGACGTACGCAAGCAACGTATTTGTTTCTTTTTGTAAATATTTTAACTTACTGGTTTGTAGTAAACATTGCTAGATATGATGGCCATTAAAATCGTTAATGGGCTGGCTTTGTGCTATATTATGTAGTTATATTCAAAAGTCATGGTTCATAAGGAAAGTTCCTTTATAGTTTTATATTTAATCAGCTCCCTCATTAACTTTATTTTCCAAATTATTAGATTTGAATGCATTATGGCTGTTTCAAGATTGCATCGGTATACATGTTTTGTGGTTTAGAATACACCTACTAGAAGCATTATACCTACCAGCGTATGTTTCTTTTAGGCGCAAGAACTAGCCTTGCGGGAGAAAATCGTTCAAGAAAGTATTCTTATACCTCCACTGCATGTACTCACGAATATACTACAAAGTCAGTAGCTTACAAGTTGGTAGACTTGTTTGTGAACATTGCTAGATATGATGGCCATTAAAATCGTTAATGGGCTGGCTTTGTGCTATATTATGTAGTTATATTCAAAAGTCATGGTTCATAAGGAAAGTTCCTTTATAGTTTTATATTTAATCAGCTCCCTCATTAACTTTATTTTCCAAATTATTAGATTTGAATGCATTATGGCTGTTTCAAGATTGCATCGGTATACATGTTTTGTGGTTTAGAATACACCTACTAGAAGCATTATACCTACCAGCGTATGTTTCTTTTAGGCGCAAGAACTAGCCTTGCGGGAGAAAATCGTTCAAGAAAGTATTCTTATACCTCCACTGCATGTACTCACGAATATACTACAAAGTCAGTAGCTTACAAGTTGGTAGACTTGTTTGTGAACATTGCTAGATATGATGGCCATTAAAATCGTTAATGGGCTGGCTTTGTACTATATTATGTAGTTATATTCAAAAGTCATGGTTCATAAGGAAAGTTCCTTTATAGTTTTGTATTTAATCAGCTCCCTCATTAACTTTATTTTCCAAATTATTAGATTTGAATGCATTATGGCTGTTTCAAGATTGCATCGGTATACATGTTTTGTGGTTTAGAATACACCTACTAGAAGCATTATACCTACCAGCGTATGTTTCTTTTAGGCGCAAGAACTAGCCTTGCGGGAGAAAATCGTTCAAGAAAGTATTCTTATACCTCCACTGCATGTACTCACGAATATACTACAAAGTCAGTAGCTTACAAGTTGGTAGACTTGTTTGTGAACATTGCTAGATATGATGGCCATTAAAATCGTTAATGGGCTGGCTTTGTACTATATTATGTAGTTATATTCAAAAGTCATGGTTCATAAGGAAAGTTCCTTTATAGTTTTGTATTTAATCAGCTCCCTCATTAACTTTATTTTCCAAATTATTAGATTTGAATGCATTATGGCTGTTTCAAGATTGCATCGGTATACATGTTTTGTGGTTTAGAATACACCTACTAGAAGCATTATACCTACCAGCGTATGTTTCTTTTAGGCGCAAGAACTAGCCTTGCGGGAGAAAATCGTTCAAGAAAGTATTCTTATACCTCCACTGCATGTACTCACGAATATACTACAAAGTCAGTAGCTTACAAGTTGGTAGACTTGTTTGTGAACATTGCTAGATATGATGGCCATTAAAATCGTTAATGGGCTGGCTTTGTACTATATTATGTAGTTATATTCAAAAGTCATGGTTCATAAGGAAAGTTCCTTTATAGTTTTGTATTTAATCAGCTCCCTCATTAACTTTATTTTCCAAATTATTAGATTTGAATGCATTATGGCTGTTTCAAGATTGCTTTGACGTGGAAATTTTTTAGTCTAGATCATTTCCCTGACACTTCTCTTTAGCCGAATTTGCAATATCGCCTCTTCTTTGTCAAGTATTGTCCTATCCTCTTCCTCAAAAATAAATTGCACGACTACAGAATTATATATTTTGCAATCTACTAGGTGTAGAATAAAGTTTGGTTTAGCAGCCATAAATAGCCAAAATCTTAATAACATATTCTGTTTTCTTGTAAATATTTAATCTTTCTTTATTGTTCAATAAGCATCGGAACCTGCTTTGTAGTTAAAGATAATAAATACATTCTTAGCTTACAGCATAATAATCATTAAAAGAAACTCAAGGATCAAATACAAATATAAACTAGATACATTTATATTGGCTCTTTTACTACTGTAGTAAAACTTTGCACAGCTTGTTCTAAAACTCTGAGCTGCCTTATAGAAGCCGGCAAGATGTTATTATAATAACCATATTCTTCTATATCTGTTTTGTTTCACTTTGGTACTGTATCTCGCTTAAACTCGTTAAAAATGGTTTTTTAGAAGTTTTAGAGAATCGAAACCATAAAGCATTAGCTCAGTTAAAAAAATATTTTAGACGAAGAACATCAAAGCAATGTCTTAGTGTATCACTATCTTCTTCATTGACTACTGAGTACCTACTGTACAAACCGAGAGCAAAGCGAAAGGTACTTGCAAGAGACTTTCTCCTCTGTAATGTTTCCAGCATGATTATCTGTACTGCCGAATTATAACAGAAACGCACAGTGAGATTAAAGAACAATAATCGAGACCGCTCAGAAGAATTACGAACTGTTTATAAATCCATTGTTAAGTATTTATCTCATTTACTATCTTGAACACTCAGTTTTCAAGGAGATAATTGAAGCAACGTTATGAAGATGGTTGCTATCTGCTGAAACCAACTCCTGCATTATTGAAACAATTGCCAATTTTGAGTCACCTTTTAAAGGAGTATAAACGCTTCCTTTATTTGTTATTACTTTTACACTATCATCGTTATTATTCTACATTGACCCGCGATATAGTCACCTTAATATAATCAATTTTAGATATAGTTAAGGGGAGGTTTTTTTTTTATTCCAATATAGTCAAGGGCGTTTTTAGCTTAAATTAAAAAACAATGTATTTGATTTTGATATAGTCGATAGATTTTGTATTTCCTATATCATCAGTTCACTGGAATGCTATCCTTTATTATGGAAATAACGGATTCTCAATTCAAGATTGATGCCTTGTGTTTCATATTTCATAAGGCTACTTGAATTAAGCAAGTTATATGCGAACTATTATGTACATGTATATATATCATTACAGCATGACTACATTTATACAATTTATCTGTTCATAAACAATAAATTAAGAAAGTTATCTTTACAGATTCAATTTTTTTTTTAATTTTAATTCACCATAAAGACTTAATAAAGCTGGTTTATGCATATAAATAATATTTATTAAAAAAAAAGAAGTAATCCTTTCATTTTTAAGCCTCATCTTCACTTGATTCAACTTCATCTGTTTCAGTTGTCTGATTGTCATCATCTTCAAAATTATACCATTCAACCACCGAAATATACCCGTCACAATCTTTAGGGTTTTTTTTTGGTTGTCTTTCATTTCTAATTAGGTTAATCTTATCACTAGTATCTTTTGAAAAATTGTTGTAAATGTCATCCAGTTCCGTCATCATGTTCTAAATATAAATCAAAAGATACCATCAGATTCCTAACGACGTAAGTATTTATTGTACTTATACATACCTTGATAAGATCAAGCCCTGTGATAATGTTGTTTATTGCGCCCTTTTTAACCTCTTTAATGGTCTTAGGATAACTAAACGAAAATATATCTTGGGAAAAGTATACATTTTTATCTACAATCTGGAGACAGCTAATGTGACAATTCATTCCCAAAATTTGTATAATTGGCATTTTAATTTGAACAACATCTTCAGCAGTTAAAAGTGGTAGCGATGAAACAAAGTCATTCAAATGTTGCTTTGATGACAAAGTAAGTTTCAAGGCATCTATATAATACTTTGACTTTGTACTAGAAGCTACAGACGCTACTTCACCATTTGCGACGTCCATTTCACTAGTATGCTTCTTAGATATAAGCCTAATGTCGAGCTTGAACAACAACTTTGCTTGCTTGCAGCTTAATGAAATAGTATCTCCCCTAGAAAAAAAATAAATAAACTAAGCTTAACTTTATTTCTTCTTTAGATTACTTACCATTGGAGAAATACATTTTGTTCAGTACTAAAATAGTACTCGAACAGGTTTGCCCAATATCGAACCAAAAGGGTTTGCTCTGAACATTGCTTCAAATAATTATCCTCCAAAGAGGAAATATTGTACGCAAAAGGATACAAGCTAAACAAAAAAAAAAAATGTAAATCTTTGCAACTTCAATTATAAACTTATTGAACCTACATATGTACGCTGATTCTCTTCAGAATGCGTTCATATTCATCTCGAGGTTGATAGATATCTATCTCTTTATATTTTTGCAATAAGGACCTAGTACCATCACACTAAGAAGAAAAAGCTTTAAAATTAACCAATTAACTATAACACTCATAATTCAAATAGAAGCATTACCTTCTCAAAATTGAAAGGTGTAGGTAAGCTCCATGGTTCAGGTTGAGGATACTCGTATTTCTTTAAGAATCCCTTGACGAATGCGCCACCCAAGAGAGCGACTTGGCTATTCTTTTTATTGTTTGATATATCAAGAATTGAATTCCTGGAAAGACTGAAGGGAAATAAAGTGAGTTAAAAAGAGAAATAAGAAAATAACTGATCAAAGCCTTACTAAGAAAAATATTGGCTGCGTTTGTCTTTAATGACGATCTCATCTGCTAATCGGATTAAATTACTTCCAATAGTGCCGTTTAGGCCTTTGATACGAATTTTATCCACTGCAACCTGATAAAAAATGAGTTAGTATTAGCCGGCATTTTCTTTTTCACATATAAGTATACCTTTGCTATTTTCTTTTGTTTTCGAATGTTCTCAACTCGATTTGATTTTCTTTTAGATCCCTAGTAACAAGTCAGTAACAATAATGAAAGCTTTATTTACTTCATTTGAGATACTTACTTCTGCATTAATAATCTAATTGAATGAAAGATTAAACAAATACCATTTCATGAATTTATAGTGTACTAACCTCGTATGCTTCTTCTAAGTTTTGACTCTGTAACTCTAGCTTAATCAATTGTTCTTCTTCTGCGATCTTTTTCAATCGTTCAATTAATTCTGACATACGTGACATTATAACTTGGATACAAAATAAATATTAAAAAGAATACAATGGTAACTTATTATGCCCCAATCATGCACATAATACACTATTTTGAAAAATTACTCATTTTTTTTTAAAAAAAAAAAAAAAAAAAAAAAAAAAAAAAAAAAATACACTCAGAAAAAATAAAAATTGACATCTTTATAGAATAAAATTTGAACTATATTCAAATGCGTAAAATGCGTGAATAGTTTTACATGTATTAGATGGGTTAACGATTTAAGAACTCCACAATTCTAGCCTGTGAATACTTACCGAATCCTCTTAAATCTTCAAAAAGAACTTGATTACAGGCCTGGCTGGTTCTCAGGGTCAAAGTTTCTTTTTCCAATAGCCATTCTCTTATAAATTTACTTTTACAAACTGACCAAAATTGCTCAATTGGATTTAGTTTAGGGGGGAATAGGGTGGAAGATATACACATCCATATCCATGACTTTCAATTAGCTTACGAATATTATCAAGGTTATGAATAGGCGCATTGTCCATTATCAGATGGTACCTTTTTAAACTTATGATGTTGATCCATGATATTCACGATACTGTCTAGAAAATTAAAATAATGGCCTGTGGCTGCACCACTTTTATCTTCCGAGTTTGCTTTACCTCTACTGGCTTTTTGTTTTTTAGAAAGTAGTACGGCTTGGGGCCTTTTGATACAAATATTGAGAATGCCATATGAAGATATTGCTCCCAGGATGTTATGGTTCTTGGCTTTATTTTTAAAAACTTTAACTACTGAGCGCTTTCTCACTTTAGACCAAGAAAAATTTCGTCTCAAATTGATGTGGAAGGCGGATTCGTCAATAGAAACACAATTGTTTGAATAGTCCAAATCTGGCTTTATCCATCTTTTGACCCATTGATACCTTTCCTCAATCTTTTTGGGACTATTTCTTTCGACAGATTCAAAGTGAGCTTTCTGTTATGGTTTACAGGTAAAATATAATAAAAGAGAAATGGGAAATAAAATAAAAAAAAATAAAATAAAATAAAACAGACAGAAGAAGTACGTTGAGACTTGTTAATGAGTTTTATAAAGGTAAAGATAAAAATGAATTCAATTAAATTCAATTATACAAAATAAAGGTTAATAACGTAAGAGTATTTATATATTTTGTGAATAAGGATTGTGATGGAACATAAAGAGAAAATAAAGATAGAAGAAAAAGAAAAAGAGAAAGAGAAAGAGAAAGAGAACAAAGGAAGTATAGTTTGAGACTGTTTATTCAATATAAAGGAAAAAAAAAATTAAAGATAAAGATTATTTCGTGTCTACACAGCTGCTTGTATTTATATTAATGAATCCTGAATTAAAGAAATAAAAATAGCTACAAGAAAGATAAGTCATGAAACAGTGTTAGTATTCAAATATATACGTCTTGTTGATTCAAGACACTGATCTATGGATTATCTATTGAACGTTATAATGATTTTATTTAAGTTTTAGATTGTTTGACCTGAGCGTAGGCTCCTGATGTCTTTTTATATTTTTATTTTATTGTAGCAAAGACGACCTGAAGAATCCTTTATCAAGGTTATAGAAATAAATATTTAGAACTGACGCGATATCTTGTTTAGTTGGCACGTTTAGATGTTTGGATGTCAATAAGTTATATATTATTTACACGATATTATATACAGTAAGATATGATATCTTTTATTATATGTTTAGACTTATATTTTATCATATTTTATGTAATTCATCTTTTATAACATTACTTGTACTTATATCCAGAGCTTATTCTATAACAAATATCATAAAAAGGTTCATATATATTATAACACAAGCGATATAACAAAGTCTATCATTTGATGTTCCAATATAGCTTATTTATAATAATAATAGTAAATGTTAATAATAAAAAAAGTAGTTTTTTTTTTTTTTTTTTTTTTTTTTTTTTTTTTTTTTTAATACATATATATTATAGACTGTTCCATAATCCAATGATAAAAATTACAAAAAAAATAAAATAAAATAAAATAAAAATCAAGTCAAACTAGTAGTGGTAGTGGTAGTAGGTAATACTGGTATTGTGTAGTGATTATTAATATTAGTAAGGATGTGTTGGTAGTTGTAGGTATAAATGGCCGTGGTGGTATAAGTGGGGTGTTTATAGTAAATATAGCCGTATGTGTATCCTCTATTTCTGATGAAAGTAACACGGGTGTTTGGAGAGTGACTAGAATTCGCAGCATATTTAGCCCAAGCCTAGGCTGTGGAATCGAATCACTTCAAGGGTTCCCCACCAAATCAAATGAACCCTTAATTTTTTTAATTATTTTTGTTTTTTGTACTACACCAGCGACTCCTTTTTTTTTCTTTTTACAGTAGCAGTAGCAGCAGCAACATGAATAATGATGTGTTATAGTTATATTCTACCAAGCAACGGTAGTAGATACAGGAAGAATAGTGTTATTATTATTATGTGACACTATTATAGTCAGTTCATATATCAGAAACAACAATCTTTATACGCTCTACTCCCTTTTATATATGTTATATGAATGTATATGATGTACCTTGGTATTATTATGGTCCTCAAGCTATAGAAAGATAAAAGAGTGACTAAAAAGCTTTATTTTAAGCATGTATAGATACAAATCTATAGTTACTATGTTTGATCATAATCAACATCTCATGAAATAATCACAAGTAAATGTAATATACAGACTCTTTTAATTGATTAGCAAGCTTCTCCAGCTAATAATAAATTATGTTATGGCTTACTTAAGAATAGAGACTTAAAAAGCTCTACCAAGAATATTGTAATAATAATCAATATCTCTCTATAAACCAGTGTAAAGAAGAATGATCTCGATTACTTCATAAAAGAAGATATTGATAAATATAACAATTTTGTCACTGTAACAGTAATAAATGCAAGATATTCCTTTTCCAGAAATATTCAACATTTTTTTTTCTTTTATTTTACTGAAATGTTATCTAGATATTGTATAAACAAAATAAATAATCTTAACTCTTCCTTTATCCAATTTTATATATTTAAAGTTCATATTTTGCCTCACAAAATATATATTTGTATATATATGATTATCATGTTATTAGAAATAGACTACGAAATTAATGTTATTTACTAATTTTTTCATGACTTGTTCGTTTGTTAAATATATTTTCTTTGTTATCAAATTTAAGAAGGCAGCTTAACAATAGTAAATAAAGACAAAATATATTATCATAAAAACATACTATTTACTCTATATTTTATTTTAATTGAAGATTTTTAGCACAATATTCAAAATTTAACAAAAGTTGATGCTGGCCAAATCTTGATGAGTGATTATGATAGCCGCATATACATCAAGGTCAATAGCCATGCATCAACGAAACAAAATCTGATTTCGATGGTAAAGCAGTATCTTGTTCCTGAGAAAAAATATATTCTAATCCATAGAACGGATTACAAAATTTTGCTGAACGTAGGTATAGCAATACTTTTTTTTTTTTTTTTTTTTTTTTTTTTAGGAAAAAATAGGCATCATCAAATCTAATTATTCTAATAAATATTTTCATTACAAAAAGAGATATTTATATTGTTCCTGAGCTAAAATGTAGCAACAGTAGAGATTTGAAAAAAAAAGAAAGAAATTTTTGTTTGTTATAAAAATACATTTCCTCCTTTATATTTGGTATTTCATTCTTCTTATCTCCCTTTTAGTCTTTATAAGGTTTCTTTACAGCCATTGTAATAACTGGAATAGAACCGATTCATTTTAATGTACGTTAAATAAAATAAATAATAATGATTATATTGCAGCAAATCTAAAGTTTCTTGATCATGATATGATCTGTATCTTCTTGTGAACCTAATATGAATATATGGCTTCCCACTTTATAGAAACCTTGACGTGTATAAAAGTTAATAGCTGAAGGATTATGCTCCCAAACACCTAACTACACCACATTATTTGTTTCCCTAATTGACGGGCTTCGTCAAGACTTGATGTCATGAGCTGATTAAACAAGCGGATCAAGGAATTCATTGTCTATAACATATCTTTGTATTTAAAAGGGGGTGGAAAATATTACTGTGAATGCAAGTCAAAGATACTTAAACTGGTTTTCATAGCATACATCAAAGAAGCTAAAATTGTTAATCTTTACAACCTCATTTAGGCAAACGATGTATGTGAGTAAAAGAATGATTTTAAGCACAACATAAGGGAGACTAAATGAGATGCATATTAGTTGCCTAATTAGGAAAAAGAAAGTTGATGAGAATATAAACAAAAAAGTGAAAACAAAAGGACATTTATTTTACTTACTTTTCTCTCCTTTAACATAAACACATTTTATATAGTCATAAAGAAGATATAAATTTGACAACATTTTACTATTCTACACATTGTTACTTTTTATAAGAAAGAAAGAAAATTAAATAATGTAACTGTGTGTATTAAATGTGGGGTAACACATATTCTTATCGATTTCATATGATTGTGACTGTAATTTACAACAACGACCTCCTTATTCTTATGAACTATAAAAAAGTAGATATTCAAAGTTATTATTTTTTCCCTTTTTTTCTTCTTCTTTATCTTCTTTATTATTACTATTTCTTCTGTAGGTAAGTCATTAAATAATACTATTTTATTCTTCTTCTTCTTCCCTGCCCTAGGAGGAAATTCTTTTTCTCATGGTTACCACTTATGTAACGCCTTCTGAATCAACAAGACACCCTATCTTGCCCTCCTTGAATTAGGAGGACATTGTAGGGTATCTTGTTGATTCAGAGGGCGTTACATATTGTGATAGCTATGGGTTTTTTCTAACCTCCTAGTAAAAATAAAAAATACAAGAACAAAGAAGGTGCAAAGAATCCTAGCCTCCACGCGGCCACCTTTGGACTGCAGTAAATATTATTATTTTTACTGTTGACGAATTGGGGATTCACTTTTATATATATGAAATAAAAATGAAAATAAAATACAATAAATAAATATCTCTTTTTTTTTACGCGTCTTTTAATAATCTTGTACTTTCTTTAACTATTGTTTGTATAATAAAATATCTTTTTGCTCCAAATTGACTTTAAGAAGTATAAAAACAAGTAGAGAAGTTATAAAATAATTGACTTAAATAATATAGGAGATATAAGATGTAATGTAGTAGTGATTATGTAAACTATTGACTAATATTTTATCAGAGAAACTATCATGATTATTATTCTTCCTTTACAATCAAATTATCAAAAATTAACTAAGATGAGTACAATCTATTAAGGATATTGAAAAAGAGACTTTTAATTTCCGCTTTTCCTAAAACTTATACTACATATTTTTTTTTTTTTTTTTTTTTTGAAATCCCATTCATATAAAGCTTTTAAATGATTTAATAATGAGTGGTTTCTTTGGTTCTAGTGAAGCTACTTCAAAATGGGAGTAGAGATTTAAGCAAGCTATTTCTAATGTAGAAACAACTTTTGATTCTTTTCTCGAGCAACCTATTTCTCAACGACAGTCATCAGCAAACGAAGGTAAATGATGTTCTAATGTCCCTTATTGATCTTCTTCTTTCTTTCTTTATTTTGATAACGAGCACTACTTTGCACTAGTTTTCTACTGAAAAGAAGTATGAGTATATTAACATCATTAGGATTATAAAAAAAAATCTACATAGCAAATTGTTAAACGACTTTAATACCATTACTGAAATACAGTGTACATAAAAGAAAGAAGGGAAGAGAACTCTACAACAAGAGTACTTTAACGAAGATGTATTTAATATACCTAATAATAATGTAACTTTGATGTGCCAAAGAATTTAAGTGGGTTTCACATTTCTACTATACTCTCTAAGAAAAAGTAAGCAAACATAATAAGTAGCCCATTACCTATACACATATACTTTTCGGTAATGACTATATGAACCTTTCTTTTTTTTATCTTCTTTTCTGACAAGCATATGAAGTATGTTTGATCCAAATAATATGACAGAAATCAATCTAAATACAACATGCTATACTTAAGCTGATAAGATGACTAATTATTGTATGAAATGGACGCATGAAGTTAGCCAATTAGCAAATATCGTTCGTGGGTAATCCTTTTGAGAGAATAGACCCTTTCAACAGCGGTAATGTACACCTTGTTTCTTTCTTTTAAAAAAATAAAAAATAATCTGCATTTATACATTTTGTCATGAACTGACTTATAATGTCATGTACCTTGATTAAACAAGCGGATCAAGGAATTCTATCTAGATTCCCCTGAAAAACTCTCTTGATCCACTCCATCAAATAATATTAAAAATTCTAACACTTCATTATCTTTAACATATCTTATTCGGTCGTAACTAACATTTTTTCTTATTCACATCTTATTTGAGACCTCTTTAACAATTCTTATAAACAAATATCTAAATAAAAATGATTGACTTTAGAACTATTGTTCACTTTCCTTGACTCTTTTTGTCTTAATATTATTTTCTAATATTTTTTATTTGATATTTTACAAGTAATATCATAGTTTTACCTATGATTTTAACAGTTAGGTATTCATATTAGGATAACTAAGATCAGGGAGGCATTAGAAAAATATTAGTTACGACAGAATAATCCTACTTAGTATTGTCAGTAGAGTGTACCAACTTTCTTAAGTTTATAAAACATGAGTAAGTATAATACATAAATAAGTTGAAGTCGCTTTCCTTTATATTATTTGCCCAGATACTTTAAGTCTAGAATTTAATAACTCTGACTATACTTATTTATTTCGATGGTCATTGAATTCTTATAAAAAATTTTGTTTGATGATATGAGATTATAGCATATGCATGCATAAAAGGGAAATGTTTTTTATTTTTTCTGAATACCACAATTCGGCAACTATACCTAAAAGTTTGGGTTTATAAACAAAAAAATTGAGGTAAATAAAACAACTTGATCGGAAAGGGCAGCGCCTTTCTGTTGGCCAAGCGGCGATCATGGAGAGATGAACTTTGTTAGCTGTAGATGGGAGTGATTTAATAATAAAATCGGGGTTAGTTCTGAGTTTTAATGATAACATGCTACCTTCCAGGATCCAATGTTCAACACCAGGCCTTCAATGGAGGTCGATAAAAAGATGTTGTTAAATCGCGGGGTAATTTCCTACCATGCAAGAGAGGAAAGCCCGCAGCATTGAGAGAACTCCTGGGAGTAACACGGCTGTAGTAGAAGCAAACAAGAACAGAATCTAATCCACCTCTACACTATAAAGGACTTCCTCTTCAATAATTTTTTTTCTCATATAAAATAAAAAAAAAATGAAAAAGAAAGGAGGATGGGCTCTAAAGTTAATACGTATTGTGTAGTACAATTGCTATAAAAAGTTACACATTATTTATTTAGAACCACTGTCATACTTGTTGCGGTTACAGAATACTTGTAAATTATAATATGTAACAGTAAGGAAATTAGTTTGGTTATACACAAAGACTTGAAATAGAAGAAATATTATGTAAAGAATTGACAAACGAAGAATATATTGCATCTTTCACAATACAAGTAGGATGCTTTCCAATAAATACATCTAAATATTGTGAATGTTACTCTATCAATTTTATGTTATTTCCTTTACATTTAACTTCAGAGGCTGGTTTGTAAACAGGTAAGATTGTTCCACCATTTTTTTTCCCCATTGATCTTTGAACTTATAAGCAGCTTTTCATCCAATGCCAGTTTCCTTCGCAGCTTTAGAAACCTTTAAATTTTTGTTTTGCAACTAGAGAAATAAATTGAGCAATATCTTTTAGTTTATACTTAGTTGGTGTCCAAATCATATTAGGTAGAGGCGTTGCTTCTAAATCAATTTCTTCCATAGCCACTGCTGTATTAAAATCACCATCATCTTTATCCTCGGATGAAGATTTATCGTCTGGAATACCTTCCATCTGGTATAACGACTTAATAACCGCTCCATCTTGTTTTGGCTGATATTTAGGTTCTTTAACACAAGCGAATTCGCCAGAGGGTAGATAATGGTATAATCTGGTTGTGTTGTACATTGTAAGTAACACTATGGCAGAAAATATGGTAGAAAAGTTACCAATATGGTAGCAAAGTTACCAATTTTGACAGTTAGAATATGGTAGGAATGATATTCTATAAGCACCCAAAAGGTAGCTTTTCTACCATATTTTTTTTAGTAGCTTATATACAATATGGGTTGCTTATTTATCATATTTTTATAAATATAAAATAACGCTTTATTTTTTAAAACAGTACAAAACAATAGTGTGATAATGCTTATCTGCTTATTATATATGTGTTTTTTCATATAAACACTGAAGAATATTCTAAACGTTTAAACTAACTTACCTTTTTAAAACTTGGACTAAAAAGAAAAAGTAATTTCTTCATGTTAGCAAGATGAAGTAACAAAGAACTTCCGGCAACACGTGTATTTGTCTTTTTTTTTTGTACGAGTCAAGTAGCGTATAGAGCTTTTTTTTTCTGAGAAAACAATGACTAATGAACAATATAAACGAATGTTAGAATTGAGTGCAAGATTATAAATAGCATAAAAAAGAACTAAAAACAAGATGGAATCTGCTACCTTCTCAAATGAAGAGTCTTCTATACATAATAATGAACGAGATTGAGAGTTATTTTAAATAAGAACCATAATGAATTAGGCTAAAGAGAAAAGTAAAAAAAAAAAAAAAAAAACTTCATGCTTATTACCATCATGTTTACTTACTACTTTGTTTATAGGCCAGATCTATCTATCAACCGAGTGTCTTTAGTACGCTAAATAGCTTTTCTGGTTCTCCTTTCTTTGGCTTGGATGAGCTCCATTTGATCGCTAGAGGCATCGGCAAACAAATGTACGACATGATTACCGTTGATCTTAACCCAAGTCAAAACGCTGTCTTTTTTTATATCCAACAGGATGGCACAAAGGTGTTGGAGAACTACCCTTTTTTTATACCCCAAAGAAGCCTTGTAAACATTGGAAAAAGCATAACAGAGTCAAGACAATATATCCCTACCTCATTTCAAGGCAGTTTTGACAATGTTGTTGCAAAAACCGAAGGAACTCGTGCTGTGGATTGGCTGGACTTTCTGCTCTATATTATTCCAACTTTAGTTACCCCATACTTACCCAACAGAACAGTCCGAAAAGCTGTATTATCGTTAGTGAAAGGTTGCTCTTTGGCCCTTCAATGGGATCTAACTGATGAGTTGATCAGTGAGATGGATGGGTAAGACTCAAATTCTATAATATTACACAAACTGATTAGTAACCCCTTCTGCACTAGGCACTTTAACGACTGGCATAACTACCTCCTTCAACAGGTCAACCATAAACATGTATCGCGCAGCGTATTCAGACCAGTACAACATTACCTAGCTCATATACCTTTCATGATAAAAAAGCAAGGCCCTCTTCGAGCGTATTCAACAAGGTCAATGGAGCGATCGATTGGGGTTTTTTCAAAGCTGATCAAGTCGAAACGTGAGGGCGGAAAAAACGCAAGTAACATCATTGAAAGACTGGCAACCCACAATCATGTCAACCGCGTTTTAAACATTGCTGAACTAGCTAATCTGATTCAACCCAGACAATATACCGATGCCAGCTACATGAATATACCCTATGATGCTAATGGTCCACAATTATGGGAGCCTTTCATCCCAATTTCTGAGCTGAATGATGATCAATTGGTGGAAGGTATACCCGGCAAGAAAATTATAAAAGCTATAAAGAGATTCTACACTCGCTTAAATAATCAAAGACTCCCCATCAATATACCCAGCACTTCTATAACCCTTGCATCCCGCCTTTTGGTTTCTTCAACTGTATATTCATCTTGTATGTACAGGCGATTAAAAAAGAAACCAGTAGAGGGAATCAGTACATCATGTTTTCCTGTTTAGATAACACGTAAGTTTAAAAAAAAAAACTAAAACAACTATAAATTCTTATTTACCGAACATATTATTTTAGAAGAAGGAAACGTTGGTTTGTTGGTTCTGTTCTGTTCTATTTCAAGCATGAGCTTTCACAATCGAATGTACAATTTCTCGCGTTCATTGAAGTCATGAGTCGACATACCACAGCTTCGCATGACTCATCTGTCCCTCTAGTAAAGCGAAGCAAGCCAATAGAAGAACAAACTGGCAATACTTCTATTATATACCCAAAATACGCTGTTATCAGTGTTTATGACATCGATAGGTAAGCTGGTCTTGTACAATACCCTGGAGTTGATAACCAGTTTTATGTTATATCCCCGTACTTTGTTTTCGACATTAATCTTCGCATAACAGTTGGTAACATTTCTTTAATTTAAATTATTATGCTCCAAATAAAATAAAAAAAACCAGCTCAAAGCTTGCTTGTTGAAAAGAAAAAAAATTCAATTAAAAAATTAGAAGCCCGTTTTGGCTCTGACAGAAATTCAAGCGCTGAAATATGGTAGCTAAAATACCAATTTGGTAGCTGTTGCCAATTTTTTTTTTTTTTTTTCCGTAAAAAATTAAAAATCATTATTCTAAAATGAAGTTCATGGCTTAAATGAAGGGAATAAAAAGACACCCAAACATATAAAAATAATCTATATACCTTTTACTATTCACCTAGTTGCTTTTAGGCTTAATTCTAGGGATCTAAAAAACATCTCAACATTGCTAGCCATCTGGGATGCATCCTTCCTTAAATGTGGTTGGCTGGTTCAAAAAAAAAAATTGGTAGCTTTTCTACCAATTTTTCCTCATTTACCATAATTTCCGCCATAGTGTTAATGAAAAAATAATTTACATTAACACCAACAAAAAATGCATGAATAAAGAAATACTTCAATTAGCTGAGGCTACTGATTTACCCACAAAAAAAACCATCTGATGCCTTTGCATCCTTACAAAATAAAATAAATGTTTGCGAACCAAGCACAAGACTATTAAGGAAAACAATCAAATTGTACATTGCAGAAGTGATTGATACTTTCGATCCAATCATTCATGCCGATTTAAATTTTACTGATACCTTGTGTACCCATTTGTAAGTTGAACAATTTTGATATTTATAGGTTAAATATACTAGCAGCTAATGTTAAACGTGTAGTTTAAACATGATTGATAGTCCACGCAACCCATTACTTCAAAAGCAATTAGAAAGAAATGCAGGCTTTTTGACTACTATACCCATCTTGCACAACTTATTTGTATCAAGAAATGACATACTCGATATGCAATGGTAAGTGTTGTAGAATACCTTTCTTTTTTATATACCTTACAGAATATTATAGGGTTGTGAAAAATGCAAGTGCGACAGGCAATATAAAGCGGGATGGCGTTGTATTTGTAGTAGGAAATAAGATGGTGACGCCTATGTTTGTGGAGCTTTCTGGGGGAATTAATTTTAACAGCACTGATAAAAAAGAAATGGATGATGAAAAGAAGCTCGTTGAACAGTTCCTCAAGTTATTGAAAATACAAAAGGCCGAAGGTGTTGAAACACCATGCCAATATTATGTCAGATATTTTGGTAGGTGTTTTATTTTATCTTTTTACTTTTTAAGATTGAATAGCTAATAGCTAACATATTTAAATTAGACATGGTATTATATTTTGAATCATTAACTTACTTTGATGACTATTATGTCAAAAGAACTCATTTTGTTGTTCCTTGTCCCTCAACATGCTCCAAATTAATTGACTTTGTTGCTAAGATACCTCAGATATTTGAATATCGCCAAGGAATTCTTAACTTGATAAAAGAAATGAAATAATAAAATAAAAAGAGAAAAACAACAATTTACTCCTATGGCAAAGTAATCAAATGTAAAATGGAGAAAAAAAAAAGGTATATAATCCAAACCTTTAACTTTTTATTTATCTGTTCCTCGATGACTATTATGTTCATCAGCATTACCAATATAAATAAATCGTTGCCTCCATTAAATCCTATACAATCTGCTGCGTATATCTATTTTTTTGGGGGGGCGGTTCGAATGGTTCTATGCTAATTTCGAGTTGTGTGTGAATTATCAAATGAATTGTTATGGAATTAAACAAGCGTAAGATATGAATGAATATTAAGGTCATGAATTAAAACAAGTACTTTAAAAAAAACATTTGTTATTAACATTATGGCACAACACAATTGTATGAAAACTACCAATAATAATACTCTTGAAGCTGTCTATGAAGCTGCTATATATACATATATAAGAAACAATAATGACAAGCATTTTACAGAAAATACAAACAATATTTAATTTTATTTATTGGAAACATCCTTTATTTGTTGATGACGAATGAATAAATGATAATAAACAGAGAATACATTATTGCTAAATTAATTTCTTTGCTAGTCCCACTATTTACAACGGTCTTGAGTAGCAAAATAAAGAACGAATTTATTGATCTGCACGTCTTGAAAAAAGTAAGTTCATAGGAAAAAGAACTTTGGGACATTATTGGCTTGACACCGATACATTTCATAAAGATACTAAAATAGTATTAGAAATAGTCATGTAGAAATAGGTTTTACCTGCATAAAATATCTGATTGACAAAGAGTTTAAGAAGACTCCCTGCGATGTTGAAGCAAAGGTTAGGCTTTCTTTAAGCATCGTCATTTTGTAATGTCCAAAGTCAATAGCTATACAAAAGTTTGTAAAATGCAAAAAGAAAGGCAAAATACATTCTTTCTATAGATATTTCAGTGGAGCAATTCAAAACTTAGCAGGGGGGTCAATAGTCTTCATGCCCAAATTGTTGAAAAATGAACAGAGAGGACATATCGATGTCTCCTATTATAACAAAACTCCCTGCGATGTTGAAGCAAAGGTTAGGCTTTCTTCAAGCATCGTCATTTTGTAATGTCCAAAGTCAACAGATATACAAAAGTTTGTAAAATGCAAAAAGAAAAGCAGAATACATTCTTTCTATCTGCTTCAGTGGAGCAATTCAAAACTTAGCAGGGGGGTCTATAGTCTTCATGCCCAAATTGTTGAAAAATGAACAGAGAGGACATATCGATGTTTTGCCAACTACAATGTCTAAAGAGAAAAAGAAAAAAAAATCTGAGGCCACGTAATATAACTAATTGAAATTGTGTGACCTACGATAGATCACCTGGATATAATTGATGACGTCTATGTTTGGGTTTCAAACAGGGATACGATTAAGAAGAATTTTATTTAAAAAAATTAAAAAATGACCAATGAGCACATAGCATTTATATATGCTGTTTTGCCCTGGTTAGATCGCTATGGAAAAAAAAAAGGAAAGAAAGGGAAAATGTTAAATCAAACAGTTAAAATGAGAGTTATGGGCGTATTTTAGGTCATAAAAAAAAAAAAAAAGTAAATAGTGTTAGTAATGGCTATTAAAATATGCATTTTACTGTATCATTGTCCTTAATTCTTTTATCTTTTATCATTTAAAGTTTTTGTTATAATAAAATAGTGTACATGTAAATTTTAGTTAAACCTTTTTTTTTTTTTTTTATTAAATAAAGATCTTATATATACAATATTGAATATTATTAAAAGAAAAAAAAATCGATCGTAAAGTCTTGTAATAGTTGTTAATTAGTGTAATAGTATTGTAATTTTTCTTTTTTTTTTCTAGTCTAAAGTTCTATTTATATAGTACATAATTATGCCTAGTATCATCATATAAGCTATATGTAATAATAATGATAAAAAAAATAAAATAAAATAAAGCTAACTAAACCAACTTACAGGAACTGTAACATATTCTCTCTTTGCAAGCATAGCCTTTACCATTGCTTTACGTGATCTTGAATTTCTATTTCTCCACATTCTAGCGCATTTTATCCAAGCAAAGATACTTACAAAAATTAAAATAATAACACCTCCTATGATGGAAGTTCTGATGAGGCCAATGAATTCTTGAGCATTCTAATTGAATAAAATTGATTTAGAAGGATAATAAATAAAATCATAGCATATCCCAACTTACATCATTAAACCACCAACAAGTACCATATCTACCAACGACCCAACAATTATCTATATTATAAGGCAAATTTAAATTGATCCATACTCTATCTTCTGTTATATTTGAATAATCAATAATTCGCTTTAGAATGGTATTTTGACGAGGTATACGAGGTACGTCAAAGACATAATCTTCAGGACAGGCAGTAAGTGATCGTTCATAATTATATGTATGTTGGGTTAAAATCCATGTATCAAGCTCACGTAATTTACGACAAGCTACTCTATATTGATCTACACAATTTGTGGCTTTCCAACGCCCGTTCTCTTTTGACATTGCAGCACAACGTAAATGTGGAATATCCCTCGGCTCATTCACATCCCAGGACCAAATAGTTGAAAGAATATTATCAGCCAAATGAGAACTGTTATCATATGTTGAATAAAGAGAATGGTTATCTGAATAATTGGAATGAGTAAAATAAGGTGAATAGTTACACTGAGTCTAACAACAATATAGACATGTATTTAGAATGAAAATAGGATATATATATACAAATATACATATATAATATGCAATTTCTTACAACATTAAGAGCAGATGTATATGTAAACGGTATTTTATGATCGTTAATAAAAGCCCATGATGTATTACTAGGACATTGCGTTTCAATTGTCGTATTCATAAATCCATTTATGGCTTGAGCATCAAAAATAGTGTCATAATCCATTGAAGTAATACGAAAAGAAGTCGGACCAGGTGATATAGTACCAAATCCTACTAATAGCTGAACCTTTTGCTCAATCAAATAAAGCCATTCGGGCCAAATGTTACTAATATTACTGAATTGTTGTGAATAAGATGGAGGATTATCTCGATTAAATGAGGCATATAAATTAGCATGATAATTGGATAAGTTTAAAGGTGTATAGATTCTAGGGGATTTAGAGGAGGAGGAAGAAGTATAAGATGAAATAGAATTCTGAATAATTTGACCCAAGTTAGAGTCACTCATTTCGACGCTAGTAGAAGATTCAGCAGTATTATTAACGTTTATTGTTGTAGTGCCAAGGTCATGTAGATTGAGAATAAGAAAGAGTAAATTAGTTTTTTTGGAGTTTGTTACAACTTCTGTAGAGATAAGATAGTTGTTGATCGATTCTAAAAAGTTTCTAAACTTATATTTAGAAGAACATACATAATTATTCGGTAAGAATACATCTACAATTGTGGTATTGATATCCTTTAGACTAAAAGGACATAATTGCCATTCCTGTTGAGTAGGTTCCCAATAAATATCTAATACTAGCCGGTTGTATCCCATTTGAAGTACATTGTTAACTTTAGATAATCGTTGTACAGAATAATCTTTACCAAAAAAGGCTGTATTTAATTCTAAAGATGGCCATATAAGCTGATCAATTGTGATATTTATTGCAATATCTCTTTGAACACGGAGTGCAGTGGTGATAATAGGCGATTTCGATGTTTGATTTTGGTAGGGTGTATCTCCAAGATAAGTAAATGATTGTAGACTCTGGTTCTTTTGGTGAACAAATTGATTTACTATTTCTGCTTGACATTTTGATATATATAAAAAGAGGCAAATGAATTCATAATGAATGATCATTATGTGATTTGCTAATCCCTTTTGAGATTTCAGTTTTTTTTATTTTTTTTTTCTTTTTACTTTTTACTTTTTACGGAATCTATAGCTTTTATCTATGACTGGTTTTCTTTATAACAAAAATAATATTATATTCGAGAAACGAAAACAGAAAACAAGAAAAATTATCTTGGATAATTCAATTAAATATATAAAAGTGAAGAACAAAATTCTTTTGTGATTTTATGTTTCTTTATCTGTGTCACACGCCGATTTTTTTTTTTTTTTTTTAAAAAAAAAAAAGAAAAAAAAATTAAATTAGATATTATCCTGCATACACATCATATATTACAATATTTATTACCTCTTCGTAGTGGCTGAAAAATAGGGTTCTCATTTTATTGACTAATAAAATCCTTTAGTGAATGGAAAGATACAAATTATTAGCAAGATACATATTGGACACAAGTGGAGCAGCAGGCCCATTTTAATCTTTTACAAATCTCTCAAAGTCTTTAATGTACCAACTTCTTTTCTTTATCTTTCTCTCTCTTTTAACTAAAATAATGTAAATGTATAAAAGAAAGATAATAAGCTATAAACATGATGAAAATGATAATTATAAAAAAGAGTTAAAAGGGATTCTAACTAATTGTTATAAAATACATATATGTATACATATATAGCATCAAATACAATAGTATATTCAAACTAAAGAGGATTTCTCGCTTTAGAGTAAGGATATTTGCAAACAAGCTATATTTTTCAAAATGATATAATTCGCTTGTTCACTGTACGTTAACTAGTATTATGTTTGCATTCATTCCTGATTAACTTGGTTAGAAAGAAAAGTATTCTATATCACTATATTATTTAAACAATGTAATAGAATATAATGAAATAAATCCAACTGAGTATGAAGCTACTACTACTACTTGTACTTATTTTAATTGCTCTTTTAAATTTTTTTATAGGTATATGAAATATCTCTTCATAAAGAGTTTTATATGTATATGTATAATTATATATAAATCCATTCAATCGGTTAAACTTGGACGGCTAATGACTCTTTATATTAAGAAATTATACTGCTTTTAATAGTTTGATGTTAATAAACCTCAACTTAAAGTTACTAAGAAATGCGTATATTGGTTTTATATAGTTTTACTAATTAGCTCTTTAGTGGTTTGATTTATAAAACTCTGTTTTAAGAATCAATTACTTTATTTATAATTTTTCACATGATGAGTATTTACATAGGAATGTCTTAGATCAGAGAGCCATTATAAAAGTATTTAGTTGTGATTGAACCATATCTATTATTGCTAATGACCTTAAATGTGTAGATCAAGAAGAAGTATATAAATAAACTGAAATCTCTTCTTTTATATTGTTTGTCCAGGTACGTTTAATGAGTGGGAGAGGAGCAATTAACACTGATTACCTTATTTTAATGATTATTGGCTTATTATTTGATATCAGAACATGTTTAATATTACGGGGATAGTAAAATCTTCAAGTACAAGAAGTTGAACATATAACACAAAAACGTAAGAATAAATATACCAATATAAGGATTTTTTTTTATATATCTAATATGTTGCACTTTAGCAAATATATGCATATACATTTCTATCTTTAACATCAAATTCAAAAGCAAGTACTTATAATTGACCAATTTTGTTTTTTCCCCCTTAATACACACTTTTCTTTACTTTTCTTTTTACTGGTAGCGAAATGTGATTAAAAAAATTTGGTTATTCAAGCTGTATTTCTTATTTCGATATTAAGATTAAATTCGAAGCCTTCTTAATAGTGTATATAATATATTTTCATTCATTAATAGCTGTAAAACTAAAATCCCAAGGAGAGGAGAACGTTTGATCCTTGAAAAAAAAATTAAAGACAAGTGATTTCTCTCAACTGGAGTAATAATAAAAAATAGTTGATATATCATTAAGTGGATATCATCTTTCCTTATCTCTCATTTTTGATTCTGATAATTCTGAATAATATCTTAAACAAAAATGATTTATTCGTAGAAGAAAATAAGACCCAAGGTTGCTAGACGATACTAAGTAATATTTACATAAGTTTAACTGTAGATATTAGAAAACTACTTGATGAAAATGAATGCTGAAGGCAATATTATGATTGTAAATGAATAAATATATTTAATTTAGATTGATTATAACATTTATATTCATAATTGTAAAGGAACATGAAAAAGATAATTTGATGAAAGACTAATTAAAGAGCTGATATAGTATTCATAATTAATGCATGTTTGGCAACTTGAAAGGGCTTACAATAAACAAATGAACCCCACTTTGATTAAATAGTCAAATATGTCTGGGAGTTTATATAGTATCTTCCACTGATAAAAGATTCAAAAAAAAAAAGGTTATTGAAGGCGTTAATAATCGTGTTCATAAACTAATGACATACTGATTTGACTTCTTAAACTGAGAAAGCAACTCAAAAAGTGCCGATAGCCTTGAATATGACGCAGCAAAAGTTGATAAAAATCATAATTTAATTAGAAGCAAAGTGATAAAGGAAAGAGAGGAGGAAATTTTAAAAGATATGTTGGATATACTTGTTAAAGAAAAGAAAGATGATTGTAATCACTGAAATACGGTAGGTGTAGTAAATTCAGGTAAAGTAAAAGCTAGCTCTATAGAATATCTATATAAATGGACTGTTATATATTTGGTTATAAATATTTTTATATACTACTTTTTGTTAATACATAAGACTGCACATAAAAATAGATATAACTAATAGACCCAGGAATATGTTACAAGAATTTCTAATGGTAAACCCTATAAAAAATCTACTGACGTTATTAACTTTGTATCAAAAGCGTTATTTATACTAGTACAAATATACTCTTTGAAAGTATGATTCATGAATGTATATGAGTCTGCGAAAAAGAGTGATAATAAACTTACTGGCGTCTGTAACTGGTAAGATCATGATACTGATAAAATACCACTCTAATGATTTATTAGGTATAAGGTATGTAGACTGCAAAAGGAATATGATCACTATACAAAAACGTACTTATAACAGCAAACTATATAGACGAGATTCAACTGATCAAGATATATATGTATATTATATAAACGAAAGACAACAGTAGCTGTAGCCTGTTCAAGTGGTAAAGTAAGTGATATACACGAATATGCTTATGTTGTTTAACTTGTTATTGTATACTCTTACTTATAGAAATTGAAAAAAGAAAAAAAAAAGGAGTTTGGTAAAGAGATGTGAATGCAGTTACTAGCATGATAAATATGGCAAGGAAAGGGAAAATCAAACACGGTTTTTGTTTTGCCTTTACAGGATGTCTTTGTCTAGAATTTCTATTACTTTCTTTGGAGCTAATACATTGATATCCCACATCGTCCAATAAAAGATAAGCACAACATCTGAATTTTATTTTTGACTCGTCTAGAAAAGAACTAACAATATCTAAATTCAAAGTGTAAAAACAGTGAGATACGCTTTTTGGCAATTAAGTTTATTATTTTGGATATCAGGGATCCGCTGATTGGATATTTTTAGTACACTCACTGAAAATCTGCTGGTTAAATTTTGAAATCCGCTATTTGGGTCAGCACATAAACTCAGTAATTTTATGTTTTTTTTATACATTTTACATGTATTTATAGTTAATTCAACACTGATATTTTTACGAAGATCATCTAGCTTCATTGCATTTTTAATGTATTCATAAAAACGTATATAAATATATATATTTTTTTTGATTTACAACTTTTTTTTTCGTATTAAATGTATCCTCAACAGTATCCAGTAATAGACAATACTGTCTATTTACTGCAACAACAACAACAACAACAACAGCAGCAGCAACAACAACAGCAACAACAACAAAAGCACCAACATTTTCAGCAAGCAAGATTACAATCTCCACTTCATGTTATACGACCACAAAAGGAGCCTTTACCAAATGCAACAGATGCTAAACCAAATATTATTTTAAGTCTTACAGAAATAGCTGAATTTTCATCTACAATGGTCTATTTAATGTGGCATGCTAGAAGACAATCTGTTATGGAATTACATTCAAATTCGAAAACAAATACAATGACACATAATAATAATACAAGTCTTGAACAGACTCGAGTAACTGCTGATTTGGCAAATATGACAAGTTCAGCTTTTAAGAAGTATTGTCGCCAGGTAAAGTAGGATAATATATATAATTTTTTATAATATACAATTCTATTAACATAAATATAGATTTTAAGTGCAACACAGCTTTCAGAATCTGTTATTTTGTTATCATTAAAATATATAGCCATGCTATTACAAAACAATCCAAATATTCAAGGCGCAGATGGATCTGAATATAGACTGTTTACAGTGGCATTAATGTTAGGTACTTTAACTGTAGAGTGTATACATATATTACGTGTAGATATCATTCATTTTAATTCATTTTATATTAGCTAATAAATTTTTGGATGATAACACATATACAAATAAAACTTGGTCAGAAGTATCTGGAATGAAAGTAACTGACTTGAATATTATGGAATTGGAATTCTTGGATGTTTTAAAATTTAGATTATCAGTTCAAAAAGAAGAATATGAAAGATGGAGAACTGCACTATTTGGCTTTAGAAATCAATTATTAAATGTACCTATTGAATTACAACGACAAAAGTTAATGGAAACAATGGCTTTATCAGTTAATAATTCTCAACAACAATGGTATCAATATAAGCATTTCCAGCAACAGCAACAGCAGCAACAACAGCAGCAGCAACAACAGCAACAGCAACAGCAACAGCAACAGCAACAGCAACAGCAACAACATGCGGCTGCAGTCGCTGCACATAATTTCTTTTTATTTTCAAAATCACAGCAGCAATATCCTATTCAGCCTACATATAACGGTCCTTTAACAAGAGTTCCTTTAAGAATTCCTACACAGCCTGTTTATCATAATACTCGAACAACTCCATCTGCTCAACCCAATGTTTTAATGTATGATAATAATTTAGTAATACCAAATGCAACAGCTACTGTGTCGACGTCATCGGCACAAAGACATTCAACAGGTACTGCTGCTATTACTAACACTACAAATCGAAGAATTACAACTACAAATGATACTGGATATCCTCGTATGATGACTAATTCATCTAACCCATCTTCCCGAATAAATACTCCTTCTCAAATTTATACTAATCAACAACAAAATGTTCCTTCGTTTACAGCTCCAATATATACTTCAACACATGATAATCCTGCTACTCGAATAGCAAATCATCATACTTCTACTTTACCTCAGACTGGTGAATTGGATTTACCATTGAAACCTAATAAGGTCTCTAACAGTAGCTCATATTACTATACGCCTTCCGCAACACCAACTAATGTCAATGGTTATTCAAATACAACGAGTTATTACGTTGATAACAATAACAATAATAATAATCTACCTACAACTATTCCAGTACCTTCGCCTACAGATTATAATCCTTATAGTAAAACCAATTCAAGCCCAATGAATGCGGTAGATATTTATAATAACAGTAATAATATGAGGCCAATGGTGCCAAGATCAGCATCGTATAAGGTAGGATTTTATTTTATTTTATTTTATTTTTACATACAAAACAAATCTAACATTTGAATTATATTAGCAGCAACAGCAACAGCAACAGCAACAGCAGCAATTACCAACATCTGCTAATTATATTCATCAACAAGATATATATTCACAACAGCCACTTCTTCAACTTACACCTACAAACAATAGCAGTGGTCCAACATTGGAAGATCCTTTAACAGCAGCAGAATCTTATCGAACTCATCATCATTATCAATAATTATTACATATATTTATTTTATTTTATTTTATTTTTTGTTGTATATTTTATCTATATTTATAGTATAAACACGTATCGTCTCTCTTCTTATAAATTGATTTGCTTGCCTTCTTTATCTATCACCTTTTTAAAATATTTGGGTGCAATTATACCTTCAATACCATTGGATAAGATAACGTGATTCTTTGATCTATAAAATATAATACCATCTTGGAAAGAAAAAGAAAAAAAGTAAATATAGACTATTATTACCAAACATACATGTTTACTACCTTGTCTAGCTTTTTCTGTATCAATATAAATAAATATCTCACTTGTTTTTCGAATACCACTTTTAACATTAGGATCACCTGGTAAGCCCACAGCAAAATGAATATGATTACGATTCATTTTTGATAATCCTTTTTCTTTAATGTGTTGCCAAGCTTGCAAGTTAGTACCATGAATTACACATGTATCTATCTTATCTGTAATTTCTTCGAGTAATTCATTTGAGTCAATAGATTTTATTGAATGTCCCTGACTTGCTCTTATGAACCAATTATTAGATGTAGGTGGTAATTCGCTTAGTTCGTATCGTTTTTTATCATTTGTATCAACGACATAACGAATCTGTTCAAATGTCACTTTTTTAAATTTAGAATGTCCTAACTATTGTTCTATTTAATAGACCAGTAAAAAAAAAAAAAAGAAAAAAAAAAAAAAAAAAAAAAAAAAAAAAAAAAAAAAAAAAAGTTTCAGAAATAGATGATTTACCAAATCATTTACTGCAATGTAGCCATCAGTAGAGATTTGTAATTTTTCTTTAACAGCGCCATGTCGCAATATATATGAAAGTAATTTCGATAATTGAATAGCTTCTTGAGGATTCAAAAGTGGTTTAATTTCTGACATTATGAAATAACATATTACATAAATTTCGGAAGACAATTTTTTCTTTTTAAAAAAGAAAAAAAAAAAAAAAAAAAAAGTTACTGCTGCTGTCCCTGAATTTATTGCAAACAAAGGTAAAATACAAATAACCCTTTTTTTTTATTTTTATTTATCCATTAGTCACGTTTATGAGACAATTCAACAGCAAACCCAACGGCAACCTTTGAAAATTCTTTCATATGATCAAATGAGAGCTTATCAACTGTATCGCCTGTAGTATGAATATAGTGATTAGAATCATCAAAGGCACTTTCAATAGTAAATGCAGAAGGATATCCAAGTTTACGCCATGAAGCATGATCTAAAATACACAGTTAGAAGAAAGGGCACATGTACATGTTTATATTCTTTTGTACTTTACCACTACAAGCATAACCACATTGAGTAAGGACATAAGGAATATCAGCATAATTATCAACCAATTCCTTTAAGAAATCCGTTAACTAGAATAATAATAATAATAATAATAATAAACTTTAATATATATGAATCTATTCATGATATACTGTACATTGTACCTTTTCGTCAACATGATCGGTAACAATACCAATAACTTCACCATTAGCACCAATATATCCTGTCATATCATTTTGCAACATGGCCACTACATTTTTACCCTCCTGTTTATATGCATTTGAAATATCTTGACTGCCTAATAAGCCGGCTTCTTCACCACTATACCAATGGAATTCAACGGGTCTTTCAGGCTTGAAACCGTTATGAACTAAGCTGCGGAATGCCTCAAGAATCGTAACAGTACCACTGCCATCATCCTATATGTATATATACATATATATATATATATATAATATAAGTATGTGTATATTATGTGTATCTATTTTTGTATTACATCAGCACCAGGTGAGCGACCAAAACTAGGTAACCACATATTAACAGAATCTTGATGAGCACCTACAATAACAACTTCGTTTTGAAGTTCTTTATTTGAGCCTTCAAATCGAGCAACAATAGAAAATTGATTCCACTAACAACAACAATAATAATAAAAAAGAAGGCTATGAATATAATAATATATGTAATATGAAAGTGTATAACTTTACGGAATGTTCAAATTCTTTTACAGAGACATGATCAAATCCCTCTGCAACATCTCGAATTTGTTGTATCAACCAACGACAAGATTTGGCCCCATAAGTGGATTTATAATAACGATTACGGAAAGAAGTAAACTCGTTCAACACTTCTTTCATTAAGTCAGTTGTTAAGTTTCCAATAAATGGAGCAATCTCATCTTGATACTTTGCTTTGGTGGGAATATCTATAATATAATATATTATAAGTTTTTTTTTTAATAGTTACATATTTTGATTATAAAAGTATACATGGTTGCCAAAGAAGGTTAACAGAAGAAGAAGTAGTAGGATGTTCTGTAATGTCCATGTACTTTACACCTGCACGAAACAAAGCTTCTTTATCAGACTCAGTCATCCATTTAGCTGGGGAATCTTCACTAGATAGTGCATCTTATTTCAGTAACAAAAAAACGTATCTATTTTATATATATATATATATATTACCTATACTGAATAAGACGAAGTTCAGGCTTAGAAGAATCAAATATTCTTAACTGATCAAAAGCAGCTAAAGGACCAGCTTTAACAAAAGCAGAGAGTGCTGAAATTGATAATAAAGATAAAGACGTAAGCTTCATATTATTAATTGAAAATTAAGACAAAAAAAAAAAAAGAAAGGAAAAAATTAAAAAATGAAAAATGAAAAAATAAGACCTATTTAATACGTGGGGCGGCTATAGCCAAACTTATGGAAATTGCCGTTCTTCAAAAAATGAATTGCGCTCTCTCAAAAATAAATGTCGAATTTGGAAAAAAAAATTGTCGAATTTGGAAAAACAAATGTCTGATTTTAAATACGATTAAACAATAAAATACATGACCCCATTTGAGCACGAGATGTTATTAAATACATTAAATTTGTCTAGGTCGGATCAGTTTAAAGGGACAAGGAACGAAAAAACCTCTTTAGGAGCAAGAGGAAAAACGTAAAGGAAGGGAAGGGTGTGATAGGTGTAATGTAAAAATTATACAGGTAGTGTAGGAGAAGGAGGAAGCCAATCTAAAAGACGTTGACCAGGATTGGGTGAGGTAGGAAGAATCGGCTTATTATGTTGTAACTGGTCAAGTTCATGAAGGATAAGGCAGATGAAGTGCCATCGAATGTGCCAAGGGGTGACGGAATGAGATGAGACAGGTTTCTTGGTGGGAAGTTGATTTTAAAAGGAAGGACAGGGGATCTTCTATAGTTTCAGGCATCTGTAACCGACGGTGCATTTGGAGACATATGATTGTATGTCGTCGAGTGGGGCGTTGAGATGGGTGAGTGGGGCAGTATGTGGAGTAACCGTTTGGGAGCTATCCAAGTCGCTAACGTATGCATCGACTGCGTTCAACAAAGGACATCGGTAACCAAAGGATAGGATCTATAGATATAGTAGGTCTGCAAAGAGAGAGGAGTGTAGAGTTATTTCGAGCACTACAACGTGTATTTAAGTTATCTTGTAAAAATTATTTTTGTAACTTTCTAAATCGTTTGTGATCTAAGGAGTGTAGTTCGGAGTGACGGGTCTTCCACAGTAGAGTTTTAGATAGCATATACCATTGTGATCTGCTTGACGAGGTTCGGATGTGAGGTAGAAGTTTCGTAAGAAGAGCATCGTCAGGCAAGGAGAGGGGCGTAGTAGGAATTTAGCTAGTAATATATGAGACCTTTCTTTCATCGAAGGGAGACGAGTTAAGTGAAGCATAACTTGGACAGAGGAGTGAATGGAGCCACCAAAGAGTCTTCGAATGCATTGTTTTTGGGTATCTTCGAGTTTGTTGTATAAGAATGAGGTGAACTTGTTGATGGCTAGACCGTATTCAAGTTGGGAGCGGACCATTTGGACATAGAAGCGAGAGGAAAGAAGTTCGGTAAAGCCCGTGTGATTAGCACATATTGTTGCTAGTTGATTCATAATAGCTATAGCTTTGGTTGTGTTGACAGAAACCAATTTGCTTGAATGGAGGTGTAATTTTAAATACATTTTTTTCACAAAGGATTAGCACATGTATGAAATAAATATTGGCGCATTTTCATAAAAAAAAAAAAAATTAACGTATAAAATAAAAACCTTTATTATAATGGACGTCGGTTTAAATAATCATCAAACCTTTGCGTAGAATATCTACAAAACCCTGCAAGGTCTGAGAAAAGAATTTGATTACAAGCATCTCTGATTCTTAATGTGAGTATTTCTTCTTCCAGCAATACTTCTCGTTTAAGTTTACTTTTATAAACAGACCAAAATTGTTCAATGGGGTTAATTTTAGGGGAATATGATGGTAGATAAACGCAGCCATATCCACGACCTTTAATAAGTTTTCTTATATCATTATTTTTATAGACTGGTACATTATCCATCACAAGATAGTAATCCTTGAACCGTTCATGCTTGTCCAGTTGATCCAAAACTCTCTTTACAAAATTAAAATAGTGATCAGTAGATGTGCCTCCTCCTGCTGATTTTTTTTTTTTTTTTTTTTTTTTTTTAGTGGCGTTGGCTTCCTGTTCAGGTACAACTCTTGGTCTCTTTATACATATATTTACAATACCATGAGCACATATAGTTCCAAGAATAGTATGTGTTGGTGCTCTTGTTTTTTTTGGGGGGGATTTTTACTCGTGCGCAAGCTCCTTTTCTTGACCAAGAGAAGTTTCGCTTCAAATTGATGTGAAACGAGGCTTCATCTATAAATATACAGTTACTTTCATAATCCAGCAAATCTGACTCGATCCATTTTTTTTTTAACCCAGTTGTTGCAGGTGGAATATTTTTGTTGTTATTTCTTGCTGGGTAGTTGCTGATAAACAAAAAGGTAGTTCAAATAGATAAAAGGGAACAAGTAAAAGTCTATGAGAATCCATTAGGATTAAAGTTTATTTTATAAAAGTAAAGCTAGCTTAAAGCTAAATCAAATCTGTATTAAAGCTAAGAGAAAACTAGAATAAAGTATTTCAAAATAGAGTATTTATATATGAATGATTGTTTAATGTTTTAGAATGTTTGTATCATTTTGGCATTAGATAGGAATATTATGATTTATTTGTTAGACGTTTCATGTAAGTGAAATAACCCATTTCACCTAGTGTATTTTAAGGTTCTCTCGGTAACTACTCGATTACACACTATAATGAATCTAGATAAAGATACGTTGTGTTTCATAATATTATACAAATTACTTTATACGCTTTATATCTATCATGTTCATTTATATTAAGTACAAGTGCGTCCACTTGTTTACTTTTATGGCTTGTTGAGGTATCATGAGCGATTTAAATAATATTTGTATTAAGAGATTACTCCACTACAACACTTTTATTTTATAAAAATACAACGATAATGGAAATATAAAGAATGATGCAGGGAAAAAATCAATAGTGAGGGGGGGGAATACATTGGGCCAAGCTTTCCCATACCTTCATTATCATCCTCTTTTGTCAACTTCAAAATTATTGGGTTGATGATAGCGCTGAGCTGGATACATTCTTGAGGATTATATCGATATTTTGCGCTATTTATTTGATGGTCTTTCTTTACTTCTATAATATCTTCCACCGCCTTTTCCAACAAATACTATTTACGAGGTTATTTATCATGTCTGATTCATTCAAGTACGCTTATTACCTTTACGTTCCAGCAAAATTCAATTAATTGTGGAACAAACATAGCCCTATCTTCAAAATCAGGGCGAATTTCCAAACAGTGTTCTCTCCAAAAGTCGTAAAGCCCATCTTGATATCGCACACTCCACAAATGCAATTCTGTTTCTGTTTACATGTATATGCAACAATATTAGAACTCATCATGATAACTGACAAATGATACATTACCTGCGGTATGAATAAAAAATACTTTGACCGAACTAAACTTGTCAGCAGACGCGAACGAGAAATCGTCAGCGACGCATTTAAGCATTGAAAGGACACCGTACATTCCTTTATGGTGGTCCAGTTTAATTTTACCCTTGTCGCTGTTTGTGAAATGGCCAGAAGTTTCGAGTAAAACAAGTTCTAGGTTCTTTAATCCAAAAAGCTTTATCAAGCCATCCGATTTGTTTTGACTCTTCTCGTCGACAAAAAGATTCAAAGCCTTAAGCTGTCTATTCATACTTTCCAAAACAGGCTGTCCTTGTAAGAAATTAGACTTACAGTCATGGGTTACAATGCTCCTCCCAGTGGTATTAAGGTAAGGCCAGACAAATAGTTGGTTGAAGGTATCCTCACTAGATTGATAATCAATATGGGATGTATAGGATGTATGTCTATAAAATAGAATGAGTTGTTGTTAATTTATAGGCTTATCTGATCTAGGGGCATAAAATTTATTCAACTTACACTTTAATCAAAAGCTGTTCAAGGAATTCCATGTTACTGATGTTGTGGTAGATACCTTCTTCTTCCATTGATAGTAATAAGGAGAGAGATCTTATCTCCTTTTTAGCCTTGGCAAAATTATTCTAAATTTAAAAATGTTAACAACACTTTGTTTGAAAAGTTACGCGTATTTGATATTTACAGAGTCAATGTATGCGTCAATATATTTATGGAAGGCATGAGGAATTGGTTGGGTATCGATGGCTCGCGCTTTCATGTGTTTGTTGTATAAATCACGATCAAGGTATGGTTTTGGAGATACCCCGTTGCCAGATCGGATAATGTTGTTTGCCTCTGGACTAATGGAGAATGAGCATTTAGACATATCTTATATTATGATGACTCCACAGGACTTACCTGTATGGATGAAAGGCTGATTCATGCATTTCGAGATAGGGGAGCCAATCTGACCAGCAGCTTGATTTCTAATAAACACGTTGTTAATATGCCATTTATAGTAATTTTTTGTGTTCTATACTTGCATTGTCATTGTTTAAGATATTCTTCTCTGATTTGTCTTCTGTATCTTCTTCATCTCCTTCGACCTTTCGCTTGAGTACATTATTATGTCTACTTGAGCTTGGCTTTTTTGGTGGATTTAAAAAAAAATAATTGTTAAACTTGATGCTAAGATATCAAATAATGAGGAAAAAAAACTTACTTCATTAGTACAGTGAACTTCACCGTTATTGATGCCGTTAATTGTGCCACCACTAATAGGACCGTTGAAAATCACTGTTTGTTTAGTTGACTTTCTTTTCTTGCTGGCAAACTTGGCTACGTTTCTTTTAAAGCAGCTTTTGTAAGCTAGAACTAAAATGGTATTTCCATGTTGTCATGAGCTGACTTATAATGTCATGTTTCATGATTAAACATGCGGATCATAAATTTGTTTAAGAAATTCAATCCTGAATCTCTCTTGATCCGCTCCATCTGATAATATTAAAATTACTAACACTTCATTGTCAACAACATATCTTATTCGGTCATAACTAACACTTTTCTGATTCACATCTTATCCTCAGACCTCTTTAACAATTCTTATAAACAAATATCTAAATAAAAATGATTGACTTTAGAACTATTGTTCACTTTCCTTGACTCTTTTTGTCTTAATATTATTTTCTAATATTTTTTATTTGATATTTTAAAAGAAATATCACACATATTCTGTAACTATGTACTAAGATGCTTACCTTCTCCTGCTTAATTAAAGCAAGTGCATCTTCCTTGATAGCTTTGGGAACTTCTTCTATTTTAGTAATCCAATTGAAGTCACTGTCATAATCATTTTGGACTTTCGCAATTTGTTTGTTCTTGTTGAGATCGTTACGTGTTAATTCAAAGTATGTTTCAAAATCCCATGCTTTTGCACTGTTTGTAGAAAAAAAAAGTGCTTTGACCCTTCTTTGACTACAGGAACCTTTTATTGCATTTCTTTGTCTGTTAAAACCATTGTTATTGTGTTGCTAAAAAAAAAGATGTAAAAAGAGTGGAAGTAACTTCTTTTTTTTTTCAAAAAGATTAGAAAATGCAGTCACAAAGTAAGTTTATTTCACAAAAGAATAAAAAGTCGTTCATAAAAAAATTAAAAAATAGTTCATAAAAAGATTTTAACAATGAACCAATTTATATATGAAGATGATAAAGGAAACCTTCGCAATGGAAGCCAAGCTGCTGGTCAGATTGGCTCCCCTATCTCGAAATGCATGAATCAGCCTTTCATCCATACAGGTAAGTCCTGTGGAGTCATCATAATATAAGATATGTCTAAATGCTCATTCTCCATTAGTCCAGAGGCAAACAACATTATCCGATCTGGCAACGGGGTATCTCCAAAACCATACCTTGATCGTGATTTATACAACAAACACATGAAAGCGCGAGCCATCGATACCCAACCAATTCCTCATGCCTTCCATAAATATATTGACGCATACATTGACTCTGTAAATATCAAATACGCGTAACTTTTCAAACAAAGTGTTGTTAACATTTTTAAATTTAGAATAATTTTGCCAAGGCTAAAAAGGAGATAAGATCTCTCTCCTTATTACTATCAATGGAAGAAGAAGGTATCTACCACAACATCAGTAACATGGAATTCCTTGAACAGCTTTTGATTAAAGTGTAAGTTGAATAAATTTTATGCCCCTAGATCAGATAAGCCTATAAATTAACAACAACTCATTCTATTTTATAGACATACATCCTATACATCCCATATTGATTATCAATCTAGTGAGGATACCTTCAACCAACTATTTGTCTGGCCTTACCTTAATACCACTGGGAGGAGCATTGTAACCCATGACTGTAAGTCTAATTTCTTACAAGGACAGCCTGTTTTGGAAAGTATGAATAGACAGCTTAAGGCTTTGAATCTTTTTGTCGACGAGAAGAGTCAAAACAAATCGGATGGCTTGATAAAGCTTTTTGGATTAAAGAACCTAGAACTTGTTTTACTCGAAACTTCTGGCCATTTCACAAACAGCGACAAGGGTAAAATTAAACTGGACCACCATAAAGGAATGTACGGTGTCCTTTCAATGCTTAAATGCGTCGCTGACGATTTCTCGTTCGCGTCTGCTGACAAGTTTAGTTCGGTCAAAGTATTTTTTATTCATACCGCAGGTAATGTATCATTTGTCAGTTATCATGATGAGTTCTAATATTGTTGCATATACATGTAAACAGAAACAGAATTGCATTTGTGGAGTGTGCGATATCAAGATGGGCTTTACGACTTTTGGAGAGAACACTGTTTGGAAATTCGCCCTGATTTTGAAGATAGGGCTATGTTTGTTCCACAATTAATTGAATTTTGCTGGAACGTAAAGGTAATAAGCGTACTTGAATGAATCAGACATGATAAATAACCTCGTAAATAGTATTTGTTGGAAAAGGCGGTGGAAGATATTATAGAAGTAAAGAAAGACCATCAAATAAATAGCGCAAAATATCGATATAATCCTCAAGAATGTATCCAGCTCAGCGCTATCATCAACCCAATAATTTTGAAGTTGACAAAAGAGGATGATAATGAAGGTATGGGAAAGCTTGGCCCAATGTATTCCCCCCCCTCACTATTGATTTTTTCCCTGCATCATTCTTTATATTTCCATTATCGTTGTATTTTTATAAAATAAAAGTGTTGTAGTGGAGTAATCTCTTAATACAAATATTATTTAAATCGCTCATGATACCTCAACAAGCCATAAAAGTAAACAAGTGGACGCACTTGTACTTAATATAAATGAACATGATAGATATAAAGCGTATAAAGTAATTTGTATAATATTATGAAACACAACGTATCTTTATCTAGATTCATTATAGTGTGTAATCGAGTAGTTACCGAGAGAACCTTAAAATACACTAGGTGAAATGGGTTATTTCACTTACATGAAACGTCTAACAAATAAATCATAATATTCCTATCTAATGCCAAAATGATACAAACATTCTAAAACATTAAACAATCATTCATATATAAATACTCTATTTTGAAATACTTTATTCTAGTTTTCTCTTAGCTTTAATACAGATTTGATTTAGCTTTAAGCTAGCTTTACTTTTATAAAATAAACTTTAATCCTAATGGATTCTCATAGACTTTTACTTGTTCCCTTTTATCTATTTGAACTACCTTTTTGTTTATCAGCAACTACCCAGCAAGAAATAACAACAAAAATATTCCACCTGCAACAACTGGGTTAAAAAAAAAATGGATCGAGTCAGATTTGCTGGATTATGAAAGTAACTGTATATTTATAGATGAAGCCTCGTTTCACATCAATTTGAAGCGAAACTTCTCTTGGTCAAGAAAAGGAGCTTGCGCACGAGTAAAAATCCCCCCCAAAAAAAACAAGAGCACCAACACATACTATTCTTGGAACTATATGTGCTCATGGTATTGTAAATATATGTATAAAGAGACCAAGAGTTGTACCTGAACAGGAAGCCAACGCCACTAAAAAAAAAAAAAAAAAAAAAAAAAAAATCAGCAGGAGGAGGCACATCTACTGATCACTATTTTAATTTTGTAAAGAGAGTTTTGGATCAACTGGACAAGCATGAACGGTTCAAGGATTACTATCTTGTGATGGATAATGTACCAGTCTATAAAAATAATGATATAAGAAAACTTATTAAAGGTCGTGGATATGGCTGCGTTTATCTACCATCATATTCCCCTAAAATTAACCCCATTGAACAATTTTGGTCTGTTTATAAAAGTAAACTTAAACGAGAAGTATTGCTGGAAGAAGAAATACTCACATTAAGAATCAGAGATGCTTGTAATCAAATTCTTTTCTCAGACCTTGCAGGGTTTTGTAGATATTCTACGCAAAGGTTTGATGATTATTTAAACCGACGTCCATTATAATAAAGGTTTTTATTTTATACGCTAATTTTTTTTTAGATAACTTTCTTTAAAGGGAAATCACTTTATTTATTTCATAATAACATAGGTGCATGATTTGTATTTCCTACAATGTCAATTGCTTCTAATCTTCTTGACAGTTCAAATGAGACACATTCATTTCTAAACTGCGAAAGTATATCGATATAATGAGAATAAAACTAAAAAAAAAAAATAAAAAAAAAAATAAAAAAAATAAGGGGGAGGGAGTCTGGTTAGTATAAATTTAATTAAATGTAGATTTTATCAAGTTTTTACTTTTATTCCTTCTACTAAATTGGTTCTTATTTCTTTGAAACGAGTAAAGGCTGATTCTAAATTCACAATGGCTTTTTCACGTTTTTTCAATACATTGTTATTTTCTTTGATAAATGAAAATTGATTTAATAATCCAATCATTGTATTTATTATGTCTGCTTGATGATCTGTATTAACTTGAATTTTTGTTTGAAAAGGTTGATATGCCTGTGAATGTTTATCAAACTCAGTCGAAAATTGTTCTGGTTCTAGTTTTACAAGAAATGATCCATTTGTAAGCTCGTTTGCCTTTGTCAGCAAGGCTTGTGAAATATCATCTTGTTTAGCATATTCTACCATTTCGTTTTGTAGATTTTTGCGCTCTTGAAAAGTCTTTTCTAGTAATTGTAGTTTATCTCGTAAATGAGTTAATAATATCTTCATAGTTGTATAGTCATCATCATATTCTTCATTTGGTTTTATATTTGGTAGATGCTGGATAATTTCTGACTCAGGTTTGGATAGCATTGATATTGCTTTCCCCCAATTATTAATTTTGGCTTGGACAATATGATCTGCTTTTTGAGCTGCTTGAACAGTATCATAATATTTTGAACCAAGAGTAAGTAAGTTTTGTGATAATGTTTGCGAACTTGGACGGCTCCATACTAATGGAAAAAAAAATTTTTTTTTTAAATCAAATAATAATAAAGTTGGTTCTTTACTTACATTTTCCATACTGTTTACTAAGAGTTACATTATATTCATTCTCTTTTTCAAGAGCATTAAAACCTTCATTTATTAAATCAATTGCCTTTAATGACATCTTTTGAACGTTTTGTAGCATGTCCTGAAGCGATTGCATACCACCTTCATGCTGGACTTCTTCTGCATAATTTCTTAATGTTTCAGGTAATGTATCAATGCTATCTAAAGCATATGGTAAATTATGGTCTTCTAAAAATCTATCAATAAATGAGTTAGTTTGTACTTCATTCGTCTAAAAGGAGAGAAAAAAAAAAGAACGGATATACTCAATGTATTACTTTTGATAAATAGCATCAAGTTCATGAATCTTTTTTCCAATTTCTACTTTTACAATATAATCTTTTTTATCAGAATAAATACTAGCAGCTTGATGTACTGCAAAAGGTACTAAATTTTCAAATAATGGTCTTCTTATAAAGCAGTCATCATTGGGTCGATCTGGTAAAGTTAACCAATAACTAGAATCTGATATAAAACTAGGTATAATTGGCTTCACCATATCTGAGCGTAAAATAGGCGCTAATTGATTTGACTCAGGAACGGTTTCCATGTACACAATATCATTATCTTTTTCAGCTCGAAGTAAATCTTGCTGAATAGCTTGATCTAAAGTTGTTATTTGATCTAAAAAACTTTTGTGTAATAAAAGAGAATCTTGTGATTTAATATTTGCTAGGAAGGACTCTGCTATGTGCAGTCGAGCTATCTCTTCACCATAACGACCAGATGAAATCGCTTCATTTGCTTTTTGATAATGAGCGACTGCTTTGAAATATTTAGATTTGGTGTCTGCATATACTTTCCAAGTAGTGGGTATATTACTAGATATATTAAAGAGAAAGGTATTATATAGATCAGAAACTTTCATCGCAAGTCGAGCCACTGTTCCATGCTTCATATGCTCCATGATAGCTTTTTTCCAAACACATTCATGTGCTTGAGCCATCATGAGCGCAATAAATGCGTCTATCATATCAAAATCTTGGTGTGATTTTGCTTGAAAATCAGACAATAAATCTGATTTTACAAAACTTAAACATCCAGCAGCATTCTACATAAATAAATGTATTAAAAAAAAAGGGCATTGATTTCTCTCTCTCTTTTTTTTTTTCTTTTTTTTAAAAAAAAGTTACTATATTACCTGAAATAAATGACATGATTTGCGTGTTCCTTCTGTTGAAATCCAACTTTGTAAACATCCCAATTCACTATATACACCAGCAATTCTGAATAAAACGCAAGCTTTTTCATAATTCAAATTGGTCATGATTTCTATCAAATGAAAATATTAATATCTGATTGACCACGTGTTAAATAATTTGTACCTGGTTTATCTTGAGGTTGGAAAATCGAAAACCATCCTATATTTAAATTTATCTTCGACAATAAAGAAATGAAATTATTAACTAAAATTTAATTCGAAAAAAAAAAAAAAAAAAAAAAAAAAAAACCTCCTCTTCCCTCCTCCCCCACATTTTACTTTACATGTGCTGGGAATCGAGATCCTAGAAATGTTAGTTGATTGTAATAGCTGCGAGAAAAAATAATAATAAATATTTTGTGAGAAATATTAAAAGAAAAGTTGATTCTAATTACATTGATAAATCTTCTAAAGCAAATGGAGCATCAAATGGCTGAAACAATGAACGATTTCGTAAAGAATCTAGTATTTTGCAATCTTCTTCGTACTTTTTTGCATCCTCTGCATACATGATTGAAATATATTCCAGTAAAGTGGGAGTCCATTGTAATCTGCAAGTGTTTTTAAGAGGAATGCTTAAAAGCATTGAGTAAGAAGACGAATTCATTCCTTTTTCTCGAACAAAAGTAAAATTGAATACAGTTCAATAATATATTTATATATATAAGCAAGAAAAGGTATATGTATACCCTATTTTGTGTTTCAAGTTCCTTATTAGTTATTCCATAAGCTAAGAAAGCGTCTCACAATAAAGGAAATTGTAAGACGAAAATAATTATGCATTTGTTTACCAATGCTACAAAATATACGGTTTTATTTCTGGGTTTAAAGGTTATGATGACAAATAATAATGTTCATTCACTATAGAAGTAAAATACTTCTTTTCTCCTCGGATAATTTTGTAGTCGTGTTATTTTGTTTTTTCTTCTGCTTGAGATGCATTATAATGATTAGCCATGTAGATTTCCATTTCATGAGCATATCTAGCTTTATCGCACTCAGCTTTGTGTTTCCAAGGTAGCTGTTCGTCAGGTGACATAGCATGCCAAGCTCTAGAAATAGACTTACTGATTGGGCCCACAGTTGAACCTGGAAACTCAAGTGACATTTGTGGATAAACTGAAGTCAGAAAATATAAATAAGCAGACATGGGATGTTTTGGAGCTAGTGGATGTTTATCTCTCTTCTTTTTACGTCCTCGTGGATCTCTTTGACGACCATCTGACAGAGTATGCTGCTTTCTTCTTTTCTTCCTTTTTCGTGAATTATTTTCAGTCATTGATGATAGTGTGTTGTATTCTGGATAATAATAGTGATTTAGATTTACTATAGTAGCTTTACTAGGCTCTGGTGATGACTTACCTATTTCAATGTATTTTTTAGCTTCTGATATTTCAGCTTTTGATCTTCGAGTATACATGAAGTTAGGATATTTTCTTAAATGTTCTTCTTTTAATAATAACGCTTTTTCAATATAAAACTGATGTTTATCCTATATATACGTATATATAAGTATATATGAATATACATATACGAATATACATATACGAATATACATATACGAATATGCATATACGTAGTTTGAATATATATTTACATCAGGTAAAGATCTCCATTGATCTCCTACTTTTTTACTAATTTCAGCAACTGATATTTTTGAAGATTCTTTCAATAATTTACAACGCATATCTTTGTTAAATAATAAATAAGCATTAGGTGGTTTTTTCAGCCTTTTTGCTTGTGTGAATAAAGAATAATTATCATTAAGATGAGCTTTAAGAAAAGAAGACGGACTTATATTATTATCAGCTGAATCATCATCACTAACATGATCAACAATAACGGTAGAAGAGTATTGACATTGCTTTATTGCTTGAAAAGAAGCAAATTTGGAAAATGGTTTATTTGTAGTTTTACCCATGGCTTCTTCAAGTTCCTCTTTTAATGCCTCTCGAATTGCTTCAGGTGAAACGATATGTTTAGGAATTTGATAGTCATCATCTGATTGATGTGTTGTCTTTATTACCTCCAGCGTTTGCTCATTTTCTCCTTTAATAATAATAGCGCTCTATTACAAACGCATTAATATTCTATATGTATTCTTATTATAGAATCATGTATATACTCGTGAAACATTCTTTTCCCATTGTTGCTGAAGAGCATTTGTTCGTAAAAGATCAGTAGTGGTAGAGTTCGTTATTATAGAAGGTAATAAAGGATGGGTAGTTGTGGGAGGATATTTAGATGTATTCAATACTACAACAGCCTTTAAAAAATTAAAATTAAAATAAATAAATCGAAACACATACATAAATTTTAATTTTTTTTTGTACCTTCCTTTGGTCACCTGCTGTATTTAAGTTCTGTTGGAAATCAAAAGGCATGTCGCTAATGTTGAAATTAGAATGAGCATTATTTAATTTAAATGAATGAAATAGATTTTGTTCAGACATATTATATAAAAATAAATAAATAAATAAAGGGAATAAAAGAAAACATGTAAAAAATGTACAATGTTATTTATCACATTTTTTTTTTTTTTTTTAAAAAAAAAATGGGGTAAAGATAGAGAAATGTGCTGCATTTTCAAAAAAAAAAAAAAAATCTGTATTTGGTTTTGTTTTACTACACTATCTTTATTAGCCAAGTTAACTTTAGTTATTCATATATACAACGCCTTTTGACAAGACTTCTAAGCATTACGACAAGAACCAGTATCTTTTACAAAGACTTTATTATATTCTTTGTTTTGCTATGAACAATTTACCTATCAGTCTTCATATATCCTTTAGCAAAAACAACCCTTTATTTTATGGTCTTGGATAACAAATACAAAGTTAATCATTCGGATCACTGTGAGTTCAATTCAATGGTAAATTATTAGTTGGCTTTATCCAAACTTAGTATTATTTTAACCAATTTATATTGCTCTACAAAAAAAAAAAAAAAAAAAAAAAAAAAAAAAAAAAAAAAAACTATTTCCTTCATGAAAATCAGCTTTAAAATGTTTATCAATTACTATAATCTCAGTCTATAAAAGCCTGATACGATCTTTGATATTATTTCTGGAAAGATTGTTTATAGAATATGATGAAGACTTACAAGGCTACTTGATTGATTTATATGATAAAGAAAAATATCTTTTTTTTTCTTTTTTTTTTCAAATTACCACTAATACAAACAGGCTGAATATAAATATTAGACTTGATACTGTGATTGCATATAGCAGAAATAAAGGGCTAGCTAAAGGGTGGATCTTTATCAATCTTATGACTGATGAGACAAGTATCTCTCTAATGCTTTATTTATAGGGCTCTTTATTGATTCTTGATATGAAATAAGCTGAATGAATCGTTTGTAGATACTTGACGTCAAATAATTATTTAAGCTGTGTGTTAAATTAAAAAAGTTACACACATTCTTGATCATAGAGAATCTGTGCTAGCATTCACTTTCAAATCCTGTTGGCCAAATTAGATATAATATCCTACCCTCTTCTACTATATCAAACTTTATAATCTCTTGAACGTTGCTAGTAGATAAACAAACAAATAATTAGATATCATAGCTAGAGATAGTGTCTGTTATCGAAACTAGAGTCCTTGCATAATTATGCATGACTACATGAGAAGCCTTAGATGTTATATACTTTATGAATATAAAAATTAATATTTGTACCGGTATATAACAATAGCAGCAGCGGTGGCTTGTGCTCATCAAATTAACTAACGTTATGAAATTGAAAAAAGCGCGGTTTAATTTACCTTATTTTATTTTTTATTTTTCTCTTTTTTTTTTTTTTCAGCGTCTAGTAAACAAAGCAATATACTTTCAATAAATTAAAAATAGCAGCAATGACTTTATTAAATTCTCAAATCGCGACATTACAAGAAACAGATGCAGCAGCAAGACAACTTGAATCTATATTAGTGACTCAATTTAACAAAAAAATAAATGTAATTCCTTTTCCCCTTTTTTTTTTCTTTTTTGTTTTGTTTCGTTGTTTGAAGAATTAAAATGAAGACAAAAATATAGGAAACCTTGGAAGAAGAAGAAGCATTTGATTTAGATTATGACTTGATTGGTGAAAACTTTGCAAAACTTAAAGATATTCAAGTTAATGCATATAACGCAGTTAGCGATAGTAAACAAGCAACAGTTGAAGCCAAAAATTATATGAATGAAAAGCAAGCAGAACTTCATGATGTCATGTTTGAAAAGAGACACATTCTAGAAGAAATTGTTAAATGTCGAGAATTTAGGTAAATTTTCCTTTTCATCGAATCAAGTAATTTTATATTTATACAATGTCTATAGATCGGTTTACCAAGATGTTGAACTTATACCACTTGATGAATTTAATGAAAAGGCAGGACCAGAATACCTCGAAAATTCAGATAATCCACACCAATTATTTATTAATAGATTGAAGTATGAGCTAGTTGTACGAACAGAGTAAGTTATATAAAATTATATATAAACCATACAGATAATTAATTATCAAATATATTCTGGGTGTTAGTTTGAAAGAAAAGGAAGAAGTGCTTAAAGCAAAAAGAACACAATTAGTTAAAGAAAATAGAAAAGCTCAAAAGATGGTAGATCAATTTGATAAATTATTAGATGATTTTGTACAGGTAAAAAGATAATATAATCATGTTTCAATAAGGGAGAAGATACTATCAAAATTAATATCCAATAGGCTGCAATTCCTTTGGAAGAAGCATTAGAGGCAGAGATGAAGAAACAAGAAGACGCTAATGTATCCGAAGCATTAGAGGTGGAGATGAAGAAACAAGATGACACAAATGTATCCGAAGTATTAACACCAGATACTGATTTAAATCATATCAACACAGCTGATGCAGTAAAAACCATAGATTTAGCAAATTCATAACTTTAAAAATATAAATATTTTTTTTCTTTTATTTGTAAATACATAATTCTACTGCGTATATTTAAAATAAAAAAAAAAGGAAAAAAAAAAGAAAAGAAAAGAATGGTAACGATTAAATTAAAGTAATTCTATAACACGAGGGAGAAAAAAAAAGATGTTTATACAAAAAAAGAAAAAAAAAAAGAGCTATTGTTCCATAGTAGTAATGGCTTCCTTGTTAGCGGCAATCGATTGTTGCTTAAGAAGATATTTTAGTGTATATTGATTTGAATCACATCTATACAAAATCGTTAGTTAGTATTTATTTTATTTTATTTTTTTCATTCAGAATCACTTACAATGTTGCAATATCGTCTCGAACGCGATTCACGCCTTTATATAATGCTCTGAACACTGGTTGAAATTGACCTCGATGGTCACGGAGGTATCTACCATGAGCTGTCATAGTATGTGTAACCCATAACAAATGGAACTCGATATGAGGACTTGTCTCCATATGCATACCAACAAATGTTAATAATTTATGAAGGTATTTTTCAGGCATGCTACGAGCAATTAGTTCAACTGAGTCAGGTGGGATACTTTCAAATACAGTATGTAATAATGGCTTTTCATTCAAACGGAATGCCATACAAAGTGCTTTTAGGTATTCTTTTTCTGCGAGAGTTTCGCGTACAGTTTCAGGTGTAATGTCAATCTCTAAATCAAATGGATCAAAGATAATATCTTCATCTAAAGAATAAATCATTATGCCGTCTGTTGTTGCTGCTGCCCATGAGCGTCCTGTAGGTGAGAATCGTACTGCTGTAGATTTTACTTCAGGTCTTGTACGTCGAACTGAAAGGTCACCTGTTCTTGTGCCAGGTAATGAGAAGTCTTGACGCTCCTCACGATCTGACCCTTCATCATCTAATTCTTCTAAACTTCCAAATTCTGTCATATACTTGGAATTTAACATTTCTTGTGTACCATCCAATGAGAGATTCTTTGAAATAACAAACTTTTTAATGAGGAATGTAGTTTCGACATCATAAATACAGATATATTTACTTGTACCAGAACCAATGATACTGGTACCATCAGCAGTATAGCAGATTGAATTAAAGCATTTACCAGAGGATGCGTTCTCAGCAGATGTACGATCATTTACCTTACGGCCGCCCATAATATCCTTACGACCATCAATAGTACTAATAATAGTCGCTTCTGAAATATCCCAGAAGGTAATTTGTCCATCCAAAGTTGCAGCTGCAATTTCTTTACCATCAGGCTTAAAAGCAACAGCCAAGACTTCAGTTTGATGCACTAAAGGTTCAACAGTCTTACTACGTCCAAAAACATCCCAAGTACGAGCTGAATGATCCCAACTACCACTTACAAGCATCATACCGGTAGGAGAGAAAGATAATGAACTAATAGGGCCTGTATGCCCAGCCAAGATATCAAGTAATTTACCTGTCTGAACACTCCATACATAAATTTCAAAGGTATCCATTGTACCAGCACATACTATTTCTCCACTGGGATCAACAGCAAGTGATGTAAATTGTACAGGATTAGGGCTTGTAAAGGTTCTGAAATTACGGTAACGAACTAAATCAAATGCACGCACTGTACCATCTAAACTAGCAGAAAATAAAACCTGACCATGTTTGGCAAATTCCACAGCTTTCACACTACTACTGTGATCGCTAAATGTAATAAAACAAAAGCCTGATGCTGTATTCCACACTTTTACTTTACCATCATCGCCACCTGTTGCCAATAATTGTCCATCTGTAGAATATGAGACTGAATTAATATCGAAATAATGGCCTTGTTGCTTAAGTACATATGTTTCTGATTGCCATTCCCAAACTAATAATTGTCCAAGAGCTGCGGAACCAAAAGCAAGCCATTCACCAGTTGCATTAATCGCAACAGAGTCAATTTTCTTCTGTGAAATACTATAATTGATTATATGTTAGTTGCTGTTATGATTATCGATTTATAATTAATTATATACCTTAAGGTATGAATAGTAGTGAAATGAGGGACTTCATAAATACCAAATAGACCATTTTCAAAACCTACAACTACTAAATTACTTTCTGCAAAGAATTGTGCTTCATTTACTCTAATAGTAGTTGTATTAAAGTAATTTTTTTTCTGAATTCTCCACTTCACTTTATCAACACGTACAATTTCATTTCCATTTTCATCAACTTCAACCATTTCAGTATCGGAATCTTCATGCATAGCAGCATAAGTTGAATTTTTCCATTGAAATAAAGATCCATCTCGACTAACTGAATAAACCTAAACAGCCAAATTAAGTTTTCTATACACAGGGAGTTTTTTTTTTTTTTGTAATTAACTTACATTTTTCATATCTGAAGAAAACCAAGCATTCACAATATAATCTCTATGACCAGTAAGTGCAGAGGAAACAAAATCATCAATAGTTCTATCAATTGTATAAATACGACATGTCATATCTTTTGATGATGTAATAAAGTATCTAAATATATACACGTATGTAAGCACTTAGCAACGTACTTTAAAAATATGTATTCCTTTTTTTTTTTACTTTGAATCAGGGCTCCAATTAATATTAGTCACGGTATCATGATGTCCAAGAGCTGTGTAAAATAAAACAAAAGGTGCAAATTCACGAGTATGACCAGGTGCTTTCCAAACATTGACTGTCTTCTCGTTTGTAATTGCTAGATATTTGCCATCTGGACTGAATTTGATTGCTCTTGCTCTGGCTTTAAAGTTCATGTGATGAAGAACAACTCGTCGATTTAGATTAATTAAAAACGCTCTACCATCTAATTATAAATTAATCGACTTTACTGAAGTTTAAACATGTTTAAAATTACCTTTATCAACAGTGATCAAAACTGCGCCATTGGGTGAAAGAGCCATGCGATCAATATTCTGACGCATTTCAAATGGCAAAGTATAAGAAGTGTTACTAATAAATGTAAATAAACAAAAATAAGCATAACTTCCGATGTGAAGATTACAAATTACATACTTGACAAGATCAAAGACTGATACACGATTACCAACAGGGCTTAAGATAGAGTTGCCATCGGGAGTAAAAATAACATTGCCACCAGTATAAACTGTACCTAAAAGATTTGAAAACTAAATATGTACAAAAAAAAGCCTAAGTTCAAGTTTTATAATAAAAGAAATAAATAATAATGAAAAAATACCTTATATGATGATTTCATCGAAATGGGTAATAAAGAAAGGAACTTATCAAAAAATCAATTAAAAAAAGTTTCTGCTTAATTTTTTTATAGGATAAATTTGACAGGTGGCTTATTTTCTTTTTGTTTTATATGTCGGTTAATTAAAATCACTTTTTTTCAAAAAAAAAAAAAGAAAAAAAAAAGTAATTAGATTTTGATCAACAAACAAAAATAAAAGAAATGTACGTAGAGTCTTTAATGACACTGATTATCTTCTCTGCTACATTACCTTTTAAATTGAAATTAAGACTTTTAATAATTATAGAATTATCTTGATTAATGTATTACTCATTTTTAAGGTTTTTATTTTTTTTATTTTATTGATTTTGCTAACAATGTATGGATATTACTTTTTTTTATCATCAAATGTACTGAAGATAGGAGATGAGGGCGCAGTTGTTGCCTCTCCATATAGATTATTATCAATGTCTGCATGCGGATTGAAATTATATGATTCTTTAAAATTATTCCTATAGACGTTCTTGTTAATTATATATTTATATGCATATAAAGAAAGAAAGCTTACATAATTTGACCCAGTGAGTCTAATTTATTCATTAAACTTTTTAAAGCTCTCTTTTTATTATGAAAGTAAACTAAGTTACATTTATATTCATCTTCAATGTTTTCGGATGTCTGTAAAATTGGTGATCTTTATCATTTTGAATTAATAATATTGTATCATGCATAAAATATTTAATTTGACATTTACGGCGATTGATTAAATGAATCTAAACGTACATGCTCATTAGCTAATTCAATTTGTTCTTTTCGAATGATGTTTATTTCTTTAAAAATCCTTTCTGTATCTCGACCTATTACATAACTGTTTACATTATTACACTGAATGATAATAATAGTAATGAATGTTTACCGAATACTCGTAAATCACTGTTAGCATACATTCTATCAATCTCTTTAAATTGAAGAGTAAGATTATTTTGAACTTTTACAGGATGAGGAATATGTTTAAAAGTATTATTAGACATTGCTATTAGGCAATTGATAATAAGAAAAAGGACAAAAAGCAATTTATTTATTTGTTTATTTGAATGTCCTTTTTTTTTTTTTTTGTCTTTGATATCAGCCAATAAGCAGTGATCGCAATTGACGTTTCACCTCATCGCAATGAAGAGCATCGTAATCTACATCCGGAGAACGACAATGTAGTCTAATATCCATTAACCAATTGGTATACTCGTTTTCTAATAACTGAGAATCAATTTCGTTTAACAATTGAAACAAGACTAATGAATCATGACGCAACATAGCAAGTCTTTCTCTACTAAACAAAAGCTCAGTTGCAAACTGATGGTGATATGAACTAAACCAGCGATAGTGCGTGCCTTGAGTTTTATTAGGTAATTTTGTTTCGAGGAATAAACGAAAGCTGTTTTACATTATGTTTAATAGAGTGATTATTTGTATGTGTATTTTATGTTTACCTTTCAGTATGCTCATAAGCAGATTGTAATTCAGAATTCAATAACCCTTCATTTATGTCGCGTAAGTAAACAGCTCGAGAAATAACGGTAGACTGAGTTCCTGATATGTGATTAGAAGTCATAACATCTTGTTGTTGTTGTTGTGAGAAGGTCCAGCTATAGATGAGCCAAGCTAATATTGCAATTGCACCAAGTACCTTAGCTGTAAAGGGCAAAGCGTCCATGAAGTCTTTCAGCATCGAAATTAATGTTTCTACTTCACCATACCATCCTGATAATGTTTTATTGTCGTTATTAGTCCTCTCTTTTTCGTTAATAGCATTAGTATCGTTTTCAGTTTTTGTTGTAGTAGCATTAGAATATTTAATGGTTGCAGTACGTTTCAAGGTTGATAAATTGGTATCTTTCTTATGCAATTGTGTTTGTTTGCTGGCTTCATTCTTGATGATAGGCATGAAGATAGACATGGTTTCATTCATGCCTTTCATAGCTGCTTTACTGATAATTCCTTTAACAAGAACATTCTTTATGAACTTTACACCTGTATAACAAGAAAGCTTACTACGATCATCACTAACCCAAGTAATACAATATTTCACATAAGGTACAAATGCATCGGCATATGGAAGTTGAGCAGACTTTGTAGATGTCAGAACAACATAACGTCTATGTAGAATAACAATAATCGTTAAAAGTTTGAAACACTTGTTTTTTTCATTTATTTATCTTACATGTAATCATCCTTCCTTTCTATTACTTGTTTTTCTATAACTTCAGCTTCTTTTAATTTTACCATGGTATTATTCACTGGTACAACATACTTTAATGTTCGCTCTATTTTACCATCTACTTCTTGCCATTTTGTCATAGTTAATTCTAATTAGAATAGACTACCATTAGTTCTTTTCTTCCTTTCTTTCTTTCTTTCGTATAATTACTTTATGATCTACCTTTGCTCTTATTCTCTACTGTCTTTTTCTCCCAAATACTCATATATTCGGGATTATCATCTGAAAATAAAATATAATACAAATGTTTAGCTGAAATAGGTACTTCAATCTCTGCTTCTAGTTTATCTAAATGATTATCACATTCACAAGATACTGGTTTTAAAGGTATTTTAAAGTCTTTAGGTGGAGCGAATGCTATATATTAAAGTATAAATCAAATTTTGAAAAAAAAAATTAGTAGCAGTCATTATATGATTATGCTTTATATATATATGTCATATTTACGGTTATTCGGTTTTTGAGTCGTATCTGAAATATCACTTGAAATGTTATTATCAGATATTTTAGAAGGTATAGGTGATGCTAAATGCTGATCAATTAAAGTTGGATCTATTTCATCATTTTCTTGTTGCTGCTTTTGATTTAAAGATTTTAATGATGTTGCAGAGAATTTCTTATGATTACGTAATAGATGACGTGTGGGAGAAGAAGAAGAAGAAGAAGGAGGAGAAGAATCCTCTTGTTGGATAATATTTTTTCTAGCGTCAAAAATACCGCTACCACCTGCTACAGTTGCTGCCATCATAGCCGCAGCTAATGCACCAGATTTTGGTTGAATAGGAGCTGGGAATTTACGCGGTGATTTATTATTATTTAATTTCTTTTTGAGGTCTGTACTAGAGAGTTGATCTAGTGGTAATGAATATAAAGAAGCATTAGGAACAGTATTAGCGTTGTCAGTGGTGGTAGTAGTAGTAGTAGAATATAAAGGATCTGTAGCTGATTTTATAACAGTTGTTTTAAAACTCTTTGAGCTAGACTTGTTTCCCTTTACTGCAGTAGACATACTATGAATTACATCATATGTAGTTTGAAGTGATTCAGGCTATAAGAGATGGAATATTTAAATATTATTATAAATACAAATATATCATATTACCTCCGAGCTCTTGGCATTTGAAACTACAAATTTTAATTTTTCTGCAATAATCTCGACATCATCCATTAAAGTAGTGAATATCAATGGCTCATCATTATTATCCTCATTACTACTCAACAAATCAATAGCTATAGCTATATTCGAATTTGTACCTATATTTTGAAGAGAATTATCTCTAACAAGTCGAATAGATTTTATATCACAGAGCCGAACAGCTACTGTGTTAACGCAATTCATCATAACACAGCTATAGAACCAAAATGCTTCTTGAGTAATATAACCGCACCCAGTATAGGCATAACCATAATTAGATAATGGTTCCTTCACACTACTTGGTAATTGACTGTTAAAATCTTGTTCAAGTGTATCTACAGGACTATTGGCTGAGATAGGGGAAGATGACGTTTCTGACTCCTTATGATCAGTTGGATCATGTAAAGGTTTCTTTTTTAATAAACCAACAAATGCTGTATAAAAAAAAAAAAAAAAAAAAAAAAAAAAAAAAAAAAAAAGATTAGGACATATACCTTTTTCTTTTTAAATAAAAAAAAATACCTACAAGCTAATACAACTTCATTTTGACCTACACCACCGAATAAATGTCGTAACTCTTTATTACGTGCCTCTAATGAAGAATGATATCCTGTCAATTCTACTTTAGGGATATTGGAATCATTTATACGAATTGGCCAAATAACCTGGTGCCCATCTGTATCAATAAATGCTGACGTACTTGGTGATGCAGGCGGAAGAATAGATAAATCATTTTTAGTATTATTATTACTTTCATCATTAGGACTATTATTGCTACTGCTATTATTTTGAAACATAGTTGGAACTAAAGCCCAAGGAATACCCCATGATGATACCGAGCTTGTCGTGAGAGTGTTATTATGATTATTCATCGTTGTTGCTATTGTTGTGTTATTTAAATTGTCCTCATCTTGATCAACAGAATATGGAGTATTGTTATTATTTATCGTTAAAGCTGCAGCAGAAAATGATTGGGTAGTTACAGGAGATGAAGGAGTAACGGAAGAAGAGGCATTGCCCAAGGTTACACGTGACGCTTCCCAAATAAGCAATGGTGTCAATGAAGTTGTTGACTGCTGATCATTCTCTGGTGAGGAAGATAGTATGACAAAAGATGGTTTATTTATAGCAGCCAGATTATCCAAGTTATTTTTAGATGTCATTGAATAGTTTTTGTCTGTCAAGGGCGTTGTATCTCCATCGTTACTTTTAAAGTCTAATTGCTGGTTCTGAAGCATTAGTCTCTTTGATTTCTCGAAAGCACCTATCCATTCACGCATTTCATTTTCACTCTCCGCTTGAAGTACAAAAGAAGGTCTTTATATGAAAGAAAGACTAAGAAGTTAATGGATATAAGACTAATAGAGATATAAATCTAATTCAACTTACTGATGAGCACACATAACTTCAAAACAATGTCTTCGATCAATATCAGTCATCGGTTTAATATCACATAATAATACCGAGACACGGTCGCCCATAGTAATAGCGCCTTTAAGTTTTGCTATTGGATTTAAATTAACAGAGCCAAAGCAGCCATCATACAAAAAGAACCAACGTCTTGTCCAATAGTTTCTTGCACCTCTAATAAATAAATAGCCCCATTTACAACTAGCTTGATTATTTAATGAATAATCCAAAGAATGTCGACTATTGTTTAAATGTGTTGTATTATATTTTTCTAAATCTCTAGCAGGACGAAGATTATTTAAATATTTGCATTCCATTGTAATACGAGAAGATTGTAATTGACATAGTTGATAATTACAAGTATCTTTATCCTGTATGTATGATAAGCAAAATATCAGTCTATGTATAACACGTACAGATATAAGCTATTCTTACATCTAATATCCATTGCTTCCATAATGTTAAATTTGGTTTTAACTTTAACCATGAATCAGTACCTCCTTCAAACTCTTTTAAATGAAATGTTGTAGCTAACGTGAAGCGTTCCACAAGGAAATGTTCTAAAATAGAACGGAAATGCAATATACGTACTACATGTTGACCCGACATACGAACATAAGACTTTCTCGCTTCATATAATCTAAATGCCTCTTCTCTTACAGCTGAAGCTTCCTTTGTTTTATTTTGTGAGATATATTTATTAAGTTGAGCTTCATATCTTTCCAATACTTTTTCATGTTGCTTTCTAAAGTCTTTAAATTCCTTTAACTGTGTTTTTATAAACATTTGAAGAGGCTGAATTATATTATCTTCAAGATCCGATACCTTAGGTTTTAAAATAACAGTAATTATTTAGCCTCACAAAAGATCTTACATTAATAATATAAATACTAATAATGTAGCTTGTCTATTACCAATTTTGTCTTGAATGCTAGGCTCATTTGTAAGGCGTCAGAAAAGCTTTTAATAACAGCACCTGTAAAATTAGGGTCTATAATAGATATATATGTATGTATTTATATATTAGCTTATAATAGCAAGTAAAGGTCACTTTTATACTGATGTATGTTACCTATCATAAAATCATCTATACCAACCGGAATAACCTTTTTGCATAGAGTATTGGTTTCAAGATTGAATTCTATAATTTGAAGGTTAACAATCAATCATTAAAAGTATATAAATATATATATACTTACTGTTTAACTTTTCTACATAGGATTTTATGTATTTAGATAAAGATTCTAGCCATTTTTCAAGTAAATCCAATTGGTCATCAAAGTGTAAGCTAGTCGACCTATAAATAGGTGAATCTGTGATAGCATCATATAAAGTCAATAACGTAGATTGAGGATTATTGCTTATTGGGGTTTGCATCCAATTTTATTATTATTTGTTTACAGAAAGGAAAGAAGGGGGTGGGAGGAAAAAGAAGAAGAAAAAGGAGTAATGGGAAATCTTTTTTTTTTTTTAAGCAATTCTTAATTACCCAATCATATTAATATTTGTTTAATTTCAGCAAGCTTATTTCTACAGCTCCACACTTTTTTTTTCTCCCTCATATTCATATTCCACTTATATAAACTGATCAATGTCAAAAGAAGTTACTCATGATGAATCTAATTTAAAAGAACTAACTAAAAGCTTGTCCGATGCTTATTGTCTTGTATTACAATATTCAACACAAAATCAACAACAGGTAAGATGTGTTTGCTGCACATTGTAAACTATATACATATATGATTGTATATACCTAATTTACCGTTTTTTTTTTCACAAAATATAGATTACTAGTAGTTTAAAGCACCTTTCAAAATATAGCAATGATTTACCTACTTCATGGTTTACACCCCAATTTTTAGATGCACTGTTATCACTTGAGAAACGCTTTTTGAATGAGCCTCATTTTGAAACACTCAGCTCTATCTTCAGCTTATTTTCAAGTTGGATGCGTCGTCTGTCTTCAACTAAAGATGTACGACTTCCAATGATAATGGATTCTGTATTAAAAATCCTTTTGGTTACAGATAATAGATATTTATCAATTCAAAAAGATGCATTTATAGGATGGGTATCATTAATAGGGAAAGATCTGGATACTCAACTATTGGAAGGTATGACTAAAGTGTTCGAGTTATACACTACTTTTTATAACGAAGAAAGAACAAATACAATGCTTGAGACTCTAAATGCTAGTCTGGCTCACACTTTAGCCCAGACAAACACACTGAATGATTTTGAAGTTGAAGCATGTCAAAAACTGTTGAATGCATATATCAAATTTGCAGCAAAAAAATGGGATGGACCTCGAACGATGATGACTGCCATTGAGCACGCTGTTGATGTCAGAGCTCAAGAAAAACCTCAAACTCGTGCTGAAGTTGATTTAACTACTTTAGTTAATATGGTTATTGATACTTTAAATGAAAAATACGAAACTCATTTGATGAGTTTTACATCTTTTGCTGCCCTTGCAGGTGTAGTGTAAGTTTCTTTTTTATTATTATTATTATTATTACTATTTAATTTATATCTTTTTATATAGTCGAATGTTACAATTCAGTCAAGGAAAGAAAACAAATAGAATACTGGAATTACGTAAACAATCTGAAAAAGCATTTATTAGACAATTTGATACTATTATTGATACTGTTATGTCTACAAAGTATGTCAACGAATACTATGCAAATCAAGGTACAGAGAAAAACAGAAAAATAAAACGATTTATATACATACTATTTGCATGTAAATACAAACTAATATTGTCTTTTTTTTTTAATTTTAGATATTGTTTCTTTCTTTGCTTGTAGATGTATTATTCAAATACCAAAAGAAATCATTTTGCAATCAAAAAATATATCTACATTATTAAAAATATTAACTTCAAGTTTGTTAACAAGTCCTCATGCTTTTAACAATGGTGAATTACTACATAGACTCGAAAATACGCCCTCTATGGTTGAAGAAGTGAAGCAGTTAATTAATCAACCTTTATATAAAGATATTGGCCGTATTTCTCGAGCTATGGCTAAGCTTATTAAAATAGTATTGATAGAGGATCAAGCCGTTTATGAAATCCAGACCATTTTGGATAGATTAGTAGGATTTTCGTATAATACCTTTTTCGATTGGGATAGATATAAAATAAATATGTCAGAGAAATCGATGAGTGTGGAAGAGTCAAAGAACAAGGAAAATCTTGAAGCTGCTATATGGACACTTTTTAAAAGTATATTGTTTGCATTCACTGTTATTCTTAAGTCAATTGCAGTGGATATACCTATTGGACAAGGTTTTAGTATGGTCTCTAATGCTGCTCAGGACATTATTTCAACTTATGCTAATCTTAACTTTATTACGGAACATTTGGGCGAAGGTGCAGGTCGCCAAGCCTATCAAGAAACGTTAACAAATGCTGTTGCCTATCTATTACATGAAGATAATCATTGCCAGTTAAATAAATTATTATCTTCAGCTTTTAAAGAATATGGTAAGTATGTATATTATGAATTTGACAATTATATATGCATGTATGCACATACTAAATTAATTACTTTAATTATAATCAGCACCTTCTCAATATTCGCATAATGGCAAACCTTCTATCGAGTTATTATCTATAGTCAATCAATCTCGCCTTACATTCTTTACAGATTTAATTGAGCAAGTAATGAAAGCAATTGATGATAAAGTTTTAGAAAATGATATCTTGCCTGTCATTTATCCTATACTCAAATGGAAAAATGTGAAGAATAAAAACTTGTATGAAAGTGTTCATACAGTTGTCATTACTGCCTTTGTTACCGAAAAACCTGTTTCCCGAGAATTAGCTGGTGTGTATTCCAAGATTCTAATTGAAGTAGGTTTAGTCCTTTTTACACCTTTTGATTAATGTCTAAAGTTGTATTTATCCATCTATTTTTTTTTTCATTTAGAATTTCCCTGAACCTATGAGTTTAGACCAATTCCGCTTTGCATTTAATTCGTTAATTCAAACACTTTGCAGTATGGATGACGCATTAGCATGGTTGACTGTAAATCAGTTGATAGAAAAGATATATTCTCTTAATTCAGAAGAGGATATAGTTTTACGTAATGAATATATAACAGCTCTAATTGATTTACTTAAACCACTGTCTTTGGGCCCTTTTTTCCAATCTATTTTAGATGAAATTGAAAAGATGATTTTTGCACAAGAAACATCTGTTATGCAAAAAGCAACTATGAAAATCTTGTTTGAAACTGTTAGTGGGCCTGGTATTTCTGACATGAGAAGAACTGAAGCTGTTGGTTGGTTCCTAAAGTTAAAACGACAATTAAAATTATAAAGCTTTTATTAAAATAATAGTGATGAAAACAATAATAATTTATTTTTGACAGTTCATATTTGAAAGCATTGTTATAAGGATTATGAGATTATAAAAGTAGCAGATGTTAATAGCCATTTGACATATTTTTTTCAAGAGGATTTGGATTTACTATTGACCGAAATGTAATGATACGCGACAATCAAAATCATTGTAACAAGGCCAAGTGAATTAGCAATGAGCGCAAGTTGGGTATCCGTAATCATTGAATCTTTCTTTTTTTTTATAAGAGTAAATAATATAATTTTATATAACTATTTTGCATCCACTTACTTGTTTTTATATGTATATAAATAAATGACAAGGAAACTATTGCTTTAAATGATGGAGAGGAGCTATTAAAATACCACAAAAAAAAAAGAAAAGAAAAGAAAAGAAACTACCAGTAAGCATTAGGTGTGCACATAATAAATTACAAAAATTGAACATGTATTAGCATACAGTACTTCCGATACCAATTTGCGGTGCGCCAGATCCAATTTTTTTTTTTTTTTTTTTTTTTTTTTTTTTTTACAAACATTGTGAAGTTAAGAGATAGCGATGCCTTCTCTTACTTGTCTGAGTCACCACTACATGGCATTTCACTATCCACTTTGCTCTTAATTCCTTTCCACCCTATTTGTCTTTATCTTATGTAATGGAGCCGTTACATTGAAGATAAGAAGCTCGAGTTATGCTTAAAGTTAATTTTGTCACATTGTGCCAGAATTGCTTTGCTGACAGTTACTTGATCGACTAGGCATCATATACTTTGTATTCTTCTTTTTTTTTTTTTTTTTTTTTTTTTGCTTACATAGGTCTACATTCTGTATAACATTAATTCTGTATTGTGTACTGTTTACATAGCTACGCACTTTGGTTGTGATTGTACTACTAAACAGAATACATTTATAAGTACTGAGTCTTCTTTTTGTGAGCATTCAATTGGCTTGATTCAATCAAGATTGCCGACCACTATTATAACGATACCTAATGTCTTTACTTTGGAGCAATCCTGCACTGTCTTTTCTACTATTGCTGCAGCTTGGGAAATAAAAATAAACACTTTACATTACTTACACTGAATTATCTTTGTATATTTTTTAGTTGGTGATCCTACAATTTACCGAAACGTCTCCTTCCCTTCGAAATTTTCCCATAAAATTCATACGAGTCAAAAAGGTAAACTTATTAATGGCAACTTGAGAGTACCCTTAGAGGAATTCCCAAATCGCTAAGGATTCTCAATGCACAAGCTTTGAGTGAAGATGGTAGGCATATCATGACATGATGCAAAAGAGACCATCTATTATTACTACCAAACAAAAAATGCTATAGTAAAGGAAATGGGTTGTGGAAAACTAACTCTTGGTCGGCAAAACGCACATCATGTAAATTGTGGTGGGAGGGTTATTTTTATTTTTTTATCTTGGCTTTTGCTAAAAGTACACATCCATTCGTACACGCTCTTAGATATATGCATTCAAAAATACCTTCCTTTACCCTTATTTTTGTTTACTTATTTATTCTTAATCATAAAACGAGTCAAAATAGCGCGAATTTTTTTTTTTTCAAGTTGACACCTTCAACCTATACTCCTAGTCTTCCATAATGTGAAAACCTATGTTTTGCTTATAATACTTTGATAATCATAGGCAAAAAAAAAAAAAAAAAAAAAAAAAAAAAAAAAAAAAGATCCAAAAAGAAAGTCCACATTTATGCATTATGCAAGATTATGATCAATTAAAAAAAAAAGCCACTCTCTAGAAGAAATGGCTATAAAATGTAACTAATTTCTCTTTTATATCAACTATTATGATTTCTTTACCTTTTGAAATCTTATTAAATATATTTTCTCAACTGGAAACAAAAAGAGATAAATTAGCCTGTCTTTTTGTATGTAAAAAATGGTATCAGCCTGCTTTCGAATCTCTTTATACTGACATTAGAATTAATACATTATGGTCATTTCGATCATTTCTAAACATAATTGCACATGATGACCAAATACCAGGCAAGCATGTCAAAAAAATAGAACTATACAGATTACAAAGATGTAGGCAATTCTGTTTGACGTCAGCTGAGCTTACCGTATTAGCTCGTAACTGTATGAACCTAAATGAATTTTTGTTTGATAATGATTCTCAATGGGAGATTCTAAATAAGTTAGATTTTAGTCATTATTGGAAACGATTACATAAAATTCCTTTTATCAATAATGGAAATCCTGTATGTTTAAATGTATGTTATCAACTTGAGGATAGACTTACAGATCTAAGTCTATCTGGATTTACTAATATTTATGATATATGCACCTTGTTAGCACGTCTACCTCATCTACAATATCTTGTTATTAACGGAAGTTTGCAATTAACTCTAAATGAAGACATGTTGACAAAGATACATAGATCTGCTCCTTTACTTAAACATCTTCAATTGGATACAAACATAAAACTACTAGCAGATAATCATCATCAGGCAATCCAGTCAACGAAGATCAATGGATCTGATAATAAAAATAAACTTGAATCATTACAATGTGATATCCTTGGCCCTCAATCTGCTTGGTTTCCAATCATCAAACTATATTATAATAATCTACATACGCTTTCTTTGAATCTCTTTGATCCATATATACCAGGCGTAATGTCAGATAAGCGTACCTTGTCAAGAGAAGAATCAATGGCTACTGTAAACTCTCTATTTGACTTGATTAAAGATACAAGAATGTCTATAGAGCAGCTTAAGATAAGATTCGAACAATTTACTACTAGTTTTGATTTTATTCGGTATTTTACATCTTGTATCGTGAATGAATACAATGCAAAGCTAAACAAAAGTAATAAAACATGTATCTCAGTCAATTGCTCGTTCCTGAGTTATTCATCTGCTTTTGTTGAATTTTTGGGGCCAAAAAGCTGCTTCCAATCAAGGACAGCAATAAGAGCAAGAAAGGCAAAGGAGCAAAAGATAGTTCATGAATTCAACTATGAGTTTGTATTATTGAAAAGACTAAAAAATGATTATCAGGATGAAGTAGACATCTTGACAGCTATCATCGCAACTCCTCTCTGTCTTTTCACAACTCGTCTCAGATTAAAAATGGAGCTTCAATGCTTTGAATATCATGTTTCCCGTTCCTTCTTTCAGGATCTATTAACAATCTTTGAGCATTTTCCTCAACTTGTAGAACTGTCATTGGATTGTCGATATTATCAACATAAATTTAACCATCATGAGAAGACAGTAGACAAGCAATATTTATCTTTAAATACTCTGTATATAGAGAATAGTGCGTTGGATCTTGATCACTATTGTCACTTATTTAACTTGTGTCCAAATATCTCAAGCCTTCATCTTAAAGACTGGAGCTTTGAAAGATATAATTTTTATTCTCTTGAACGCTTATGTAAGAATTATAACGTACAGCTTTTCACAAAAAAGAAATAAATCAACTATATTATTTAATTATTACATAATAATAATAACTACGCGGCCCGGACAATGTTTGCATGTCTGAATGTAGTAATTGAGCTATGAAAAAAAAAAAAAAAGGCTGCCAAATCATATTTCAATGCAGTCCAAGTATGCAAACTAATGAATCCTCCTCTTTGAATTCTTTAAATTCATTATAATTTTATGTAAGTGTAAAGAAAAAGAAAAGAGGAATGGATTTATTTATAAAAGAAATCATTATGGATGGATGGAAGACTTGAAAAAAAAAAGATATTGAATTCTTACTTTTTTTTGTTTTTGATGACATGAATTAATTTTTTTTTTCTTCACATGATGCATTAGCAAATGGCTGATTCTGCACCGGCCGATAATAGTAAGTTTTTTTTCTTGTAAAGAATAAAAAACGAAAGGACACAATGACTGATGATGAGTGTTTGTTTTATTAGGACGTGGTGGTTTTGGACGTGGTCGTGGACGTGGACGTGGTGGTGCCCGTGGACGTGGACGTCGTGGAGAAGACAAGAATGAATGGGTTCCTGTCACTAAGCTCGGTCGTCTCGTTAAAGCAGGCAAGATCAAGTCAATTGAAGAAATTTATTTGTTCTCTTTGCCCATCAAGGAATACCAAATTGTCGACTACTTCCTTCCTAAACTCACCGATCAAGTTATGAAGATTATGCCTGTTCAGAAGCAAACTACCGCTGGTCAACGTACTCGTTTCAAGGCCTTTGTTGTCATTGGTGATGAAAATGGTCATGTTGGTTTGGGTGTCAAGTGTGCCAAGGAAGTTGCTACTGCCATTCGTGGTGGTATCATCCTTGCTAAGCTCTCCATCATCCCTGTTCGTCGTGGTTATTGGGGTACTAATCTTGGTGAACCTCACACTGTTCCTTGCAAGGTCAGCGGCCGTTGTGGTTCAGTTATGGCTCGTTTAGTTCCTGCTCCTCGTGGTACTGGTATTGTTGCCTCCCCCACTGCTAAGCGTGTCCTTCAATTGGCTGGTATTACTGACTGTTATACCACCTCTCGTGGTTCCACTCGCACCCTCGGTAACTTTGTTAAGGCTACCTTCGCTGCTATTGGTAATACCTATGGCTTCTTAACTCCCGATCTTTGGGAAGAGACTGAATTTATTAAAGCTCCTTATCAAGAGTTTTCTGATTTCCTTTCTCAAAAGCAAAGAAAGTAAATTAATAAATTCTATTCTATAGTTTTTTTTTTTGTAGTTTATAAAGGGAACTTTATATATGTATACATGTTTATATATGTATATTCATTAAGTTATATGTGGAGAAATGAATGTATGTAATTTAATATGTCTTCTTACTCCTGCTGCTATTTAATTAATTAATAGATCGATTTTAAATAAGATAATGAATACTCTATAATTGATAAAGGAAGAATTTATTATTATTATTATTATTATTATTAAAGTATAGAAATGATCATGAAGATGGTGATAGTGAATAAATAAATAAATAGTATAAGATAGTAATAATAAAAAAGTATTATATATAACATGTAAATATCAAAAATAGGCTAACGCTTTTGAAAGTAGTTTTGTATTCGTTTATCTGTAATGATTTTCTTATTTAAAGGATGTTCGATACCTTGTGGTGACATATTGAATGCAACGGGTGCTTCATAGGATGGCTGGTTGAAAGTTCCTCTAGAGATCATTGCAGTATTATTATTATGAGCCTGGAAATAATGAGTACTATCTCCGGATGCAGAAGAATTCGATCTATTCAAATTATCATCGTAATAAGGTGTCATACAAAATGAATTTCTGGCTATCATTTCGTTACTAGCATTTATTGATGATTGGAAGGGATGAGGAGAAGAGATATCTGTTGGTGTCCTATTCCCGTTACTGTCATATTTTTGACTGTTATTATTATTATTACAAGGAACTAGCTCAATTAAGCCTGACATGGGTGTAACACTTGATTTTCTTCTGTTATTTTCACCAAATGTGAATGTAGAATCATGACTTTCTTTTCTTGTCGATACGGGTTTACTACGACGATGTTGGTTTGTTGTAGCCGCAGAAGAAGAAGAAGGAGGAGGAGGAGGAAAGTGACGATGATCTGTAAAAGGTTTCTTATTAGATTTTGATAATCTATTATATGGCATATTATTTTGAAAATTTGTGGTAGCAAGCGGAGGAGGAGGAGGAGGAGGAGGAGATAATGATATCTTTTCTTTAAGGCCTAAATGACGATCATACGGTTTTATTGAACTATAATAGCCATCGTAATATGTATCATGATCATGTCCTCTGCTATCAAACATAGCTATATCGTTCCAAACAGCCAGTTCATTTTGATCCTCTGTAGTTGGAGGTGATAATCTTCTATCATCGTGATTAGAAAATGAGGGCGAAGATAGTGTTTGTCTCTTTTGATTAAAAAATTGAGTAGAATCCTTTTCTTCTTCTTCTTCTGTAGGGTTGTCGTTGAAAATATGAGAGGCGATAAACCAGAAGATCAAGCTGATAAAGGTAAGGCCTATGGTAATACCAAAGATGATGACTTCAATTCCAATTGAATATTTAGCACAATTGATTGAATTACTCGAGTCTGTACAAGCCTGATGAATGGCTTTAGCATATTGATCGTATGTCCAGCCAAAGGAAGTAACGATTAGAACGAGAGCTACAAATAAGAGTCCGACTATCAATTTTCGAAATACATATTTTCCTTGTTGATGATGATTTGCCTTAAGAATCCCGATTAAGAAAGCTATACCAAGTAAGGTAGTAGCTAATAAAAGCGGGATAATTTTGACAAATGAAGATTTTGTCATGACAGGTTGAACTGCATTATGCTGAGAAGATGCTATTTGAAGAATAGTCGGTATATCTATAATAATAATTAATTAATAGGATGATATCATGATTACATGTTATATGTATAACCTGGTTGATATTTCAAATTAGTTGAAGAACAGGTACAATTTAAAGCATAAAAATAACATGATTTCCATAAACCAAAAGAAACAGAGTCAGGTATAGTTAAATTACTACTGATATTTCGATAAAGATGAACTTGATGAAATGACATTGTATTCCTAAAGGCACAACTTTCGATCGAATCATTTGTCTCTAACCAGCTACTAATTATAATGGCTAATAAAGCTAAAAATAAGACACTAATACGAAATGCTGGTAAAAAAACTCGTTCTACAAATGGGCCATAAGGAGATTGTTTCCTTATGGACATCTAGCTTTTCTTTTATAACTTAAAAAAAAAAGAAAAAAATAAAGAAAAAGAAAAGAAAAAGAAAAGGAAGAAATAGATATATTAAAAAAAAACGAGAATGTTATAATTAATGAACATAGAGACACTCTATTATATTTTGTAATACACGAAATAAAATTAGAAAAAAAAATTAAAAAAGGGAAAATCCCTTTTTTTTTTTGGAACAATTAGCTTATCATTCTCTTTCCCCTATGAATTTTCTTTCTATCTATTATGAATCAATCAGCATTTAATTCACAGGAGAATCAGACAAAATGTGTAGAAAAAAGAGAAGAAACCTAATGAACTTCTAGAATAATAGAGTCTATTAAATACAAGTGATAGAAAATAGGAATTTATCCTTCAAATTCGACAAAAACACTCTTCTAGCATGTTATTTGTCAGAAAACTATTTTATTATTCGGTATAAGTTTAAATTATAGCTTCTTCAGAAAAAAAAAAAGGGGGAGAGAGAAAGAGAGAAAGAGAGAGATGGAAGAGGGCGAGTATATGAAAGAACATGATAGAATATATATTAAGAATATCAGCGTAATAAATTAAGAATTACGTGTATTTAAAGTATTAATAAAAGAGGTATTATAGTTGTGAATATGAGTGTATTTGGTAAGATTTAAATAAAACCTGTTATTTATTTGTTATATGTAACTTTATTTTATGTATTATATCTTTCATTGCATATATAGAGTAGTAGGATTAATCATATTCTTAATATAAATAAGCTATATGCCTGTTTATCACCTCAAGAAAGAAGCTTTATTAACTACTTTTAGATCAATTAACAAATTGTATTATGAATGTGTATAACTGTTACACATTAACTACACATGATATTGGACGATCCTTTTTTTTTTCTCTGATATTAATAAAGGCGGGAAGAGAATAATAATATTGTTTATTAAAATAATAATACAAAGTAGTTAGTTTTAGTAGAAAGAAAGTAAATAGATAGTAAATAGGAAAAAGGGAAAGGGTAGGGTTAGGGTATAAATATTAGATTGGGGGTAACAATTGTTTAAATTCATTAAAATCAATAAAGCCATCTTTGTTGATATCTCCAACAGACATCATTTCTTTAAGCTCTTTTGTAGTTAAATGTGTTCCTAATCTTGTCATAACTTGTTCTAATTCTTTTAGACTAATTCTACCATCTTGATCTTGGTCAAAATATTGAAAACATGCCATTATTTCTTCTTCTTCTGTAAGCGTGTTATTACTAGATGGTAAATAATAAAGCATAGCTAAGACAAATACATTAAAATCAATTTTATTATCATGATTTATAGTAGCAAATTGAATGATATGTAAAAGTTGCTCATTTGAGATGCCAAGTTGAATAAGAATATCAGTAAATTGTTTCAGCTCAATAAATCCCTTTTTATTTGTATCATATAATTGAAAGGCTTCATATAAAGTATTTAATTCTTCCTTTGAAAGGCCAAGCTGATAATAATTCTTTTCTTTCAATGTAGTCATCATTTCTGATAAAATAGAAATTAAAAAATATACATGTTATTAAGCAAGTAGAAAAAGAGAAGGGGGAAAAAAAAAGGAAGAAGAAGAGTAATCATAAAATGTCCCTTATATATTTTCTCATAATAAATATCTTTTTTTTTTCTGGTACTGTACTTTATTACAGCAGTAATTAATACAGGGCCGCGGCAACAAATTCTTTGTAATACGTCTGTTGATAGGTGACAACTTTCTATCTTTTTAATTTGTAATTTTCTGTTTAGAAAAATTTAACTTTATTCACAACAAATACTTTTTGTTTTTTTGTTTTTTTTTTTTGTTTGAATAATATTTTAATCTCCGTTATAAAAACTGCCAAATATAGAAAACAAACTTTTTCTTTTTTCCTTTTTCATTGCTCAGATTTGTGGCTACAAAAGAACCTTCTAATGGAGGACTTATGCTGATGATGTGTGCACTCTTTTCTTTTTTTAGTAGTGGTTGTATTTGGTTGTTGCACTCCCATCATAGTACAAAATTCTGTAAAATTAACTGCACCGTCATTGTCCAAGTCAATATCCTTAATTAACTCACGTGCTTCTTCAAGACTTATTTTATCTCCCAACTTCTCCATCATAGCTTGAAGCTCAATTTCATTAATGAAACCATCACCATCTTTATCGAAGGCCTTAAAAGCCTCTTTCAATTCTAACTGTTTTGAGGTAAGACGATGAGGATCCGATAAAGTAGGTCTCATGATTTTCGCAAACTCTTTGAAATCTATACTTTCATCTTCAGCTTGGTTTTCTTCATTACCTCTATGACCTGATCCTTTTTTATTAAACTTTTTATTTTAAAAATAGAACATTTATTCCTCTTTTTTTTTATTTTTTATCTTTTTTTTTTTATTTTCTGTTTGCGGGTAAAAGTAGATGTTTACCATGGATGAAAATGGTGAGCTATCGACCCCCGCTGAATGCAATACTTCTTCCAATTCTGTGTGGGATATTTTCCCATCTTTATCTTTATCAAAACTAGTGAACAAATCTTCCAAGTCTCCTTTTTTTCTACTACTTAAAAAATGGCTTCCAAGACTAATTCTTTTTGATGTCATGTTTATATATAAAAGAGAAAGAAATAAAATAAAATTAAATGAATAAAGATCCTAATTTTATCTCCTGACTTGTGAAACAATAGAAGAAAATACATACAACATTCGTTTGTTTACTCTATAGAAATCCTAATTAGGCTGTCTCCGTGTAGGAGAGAAATAACTATGTTTGAAGTGGTGCTCTGACTTATAGAGAGATGAAGATCTTTTTATATTGCATAGGCAAGACGAGACATAGATATATATATATATTTGCAACTATGGCATCTTTGTTCCAAATAATATTTTGCCTAGTAAATAGAAATATCATCGCTTATCTTAAAATTATGAAGACTGGCATTATAAAAAAAAAAAAAAAAGGTCATCTCTAATAACAACCAGAGGTAACTTGAAATATTGACCTTCTTCATATCTTGTAGGATAGCTTTCTTTATAAACTGTAGTAAATCAAATTATAGCTCTATTGATAATAATAGTGCTAATTACCTTAAATTAATTTATTTTGATAATACATGGCCACGTTATCATAATTTATCTCTTTTGGATAGTATACATATCAGTTCTATTGAGTAAAATAAGCAACACTATTATCAAACGTCTCTGCTGGGAGTTTAAATAATTGTTCTATTTTTATTCGAATCTTTTCCAAGTTGTAAACATTAAAATACAGAGCATCTAACATATTATATCCTATACTGAGTTGGGATGATATAACATTACTCCATTGACACGATCCTTGCTGATAATATCTATATATATATTTCAATCTCGTTAGTATGTAGTTTTTCTTTTATGTTCAATACCTAACAACTTAATGTGTAAAGTAGTATTCAGATATTGATGATTACACAGTACTATCTTTTATCATGATAAGATAAAAATATATATCCTTTTGACTAGGATCAACAATATATGGTATAGTATAGTCTTGTAGTAGTTAATGGTTTTAGAATATTAAAGTCTTTTAAAGAAATTTGAATTGTATTTATTTTTTTTATTGTTGTTGGACTTTTTCACAAATTAAGATCTTTCTTCTTCTTGCGAATATAACCATCAGCAGCATGCAATGGCAAATATATATTTTTAGTTTCTAGCGAACTTATCCATTTTTTCCATGAAGATTATTTATAACTAAAAAAAAAAAAAAAAAAAAAAAAAAAAAAAAAAAAAAAAAAAAAAGAAAACATAATTTATTAGTCATGATTTCAAAATACGCGTTCCTATCATTTGTTTGTTGCGCTATATTATCTTTTAATACTTTTTTTTTTTTTTTTTTTTTTTTTTTTTTTTTTTTTTTATAAAACTCAAGAACAAATATATTTGCAGCTTAAGGAAAAGTCTATGTTGTAATATAAATAAAAATAAACTCGTGACCAGCTAATTCAAAATAAAATAAAAATGGCAGAATTAATATGTAGAGTTTTGTAATCTTGTTCATCCTCTATGAAGAGACATAGAACTATTCAAAATAGATAATTAATGTAGAAAGTTATGATCTACTGCATTACCTGTGTACTATATGCTAGGTCACATTATTACTAGTATAAATGGAAAGTAGTATTTTTAAACTCATGTCAAGATAAACCAGACAAGTTTAAAATTTAATTATGGATAGGCATTTTTTTTTTCAAGTATACTATAATGTAAAGAAACCCATAATTGAATTATACATAACTCTGTACTAAGGACTGATGAATAGGTTTACTTTATTATATAATAGGACAGTAGTTGATATAGAAATATATAATTTATACTTGAATAGTAAAATAAAATAAAATAAAATAAAATAAAATAAAATAAAATAAAATAAAATAAAATAAAATAAAATAAAATAAAATAAAATAAAATAAAATAAAATAAAATAAAATAAAACTAGAAACTAAAAAGCAAATGCCTTGAATGATCATGTAGTCTAAGGTTTGGAAGACATATATCCAGGCTGAGGATAGATATCCATCTGTATTCCTGACTCTGGCTGTAGCGGTCTGTAAAGATCAGTACTTGAAGGTATTGAAGATGGAATGGTAGAATGATTATTATTGTTGTTGTTGTTAGAATTATATATCATAGTAGCAGAGGATGTATGTTGCGGTATATTAACTGCTTCCATTTTATAGTTAGGGTCTTCATTCTGTACTGACATAGGATTGTCCAATAAATGCTCTGTCAAGTTATTATTGAAATTATTTGGATCTGAAAACTGTTGATGTTCTAATTGCTGTTCCCTTTTTTTCTTTAAGGCCTTACGCTTTCTCATCAATCGGAATGAATCAGCACCACAACATAAGACATTAAGAAGGAATTCAGGGATATAAGCAATGTATGCATCTATAAATGCTCTAAAGTAAGACATCTTCTTCGTTTGGCCCATTTTGACTGCATTAGCAATATTATCTTTAGGACCAAAGAATCGAAGCATCAGGAAACTATCAAAGAACATCACAACGCATATAACAATTACATAAAGACCATTCTTAACAGCATCTGCAGGCCATGCAATGCTGCCATGTGTGCCATCTGTCCCCTTAATCACATTACATGTTGTGAGAATAGTCAAAAGTACGTCACCTATATAAAAGATAATCATGATGGGGCCCTTAACGCACCAAAACATGCCATGAGCAGGAATACGACCTCTTTTCCATTCTCGACTAAATACATCTAAATAAGTGAATAGAGCTGTAAGAATAATAGAGAGAGAGTAAAAATTGATAATTGTCAAATATACATAAGCTCCTTTGAAACTATAACTTCCATCACAGTAACGGCCTCTTAATTCAGCAAAAATTGAAATAAAGGAATCAATAAGGGACCTAAATTATTTACAAATTAGTATAATATGTTTAATTTTAGTAATTTTTATTTTTTTTTCCCCCTCGTCTTACCATATAGGATATTGAAGTACAAGAATATCTGTAATTATGCGATAATGCATTCCCCACATTGAGTTTCTATTGTAAAGAATAATAATCACGAGGAATATAGTTAATACAAATAATAATAATAAATATATAATATGTATATATATTTTTACAAGTGACGTTTTATAATAAACATAATTTTTATATCCTTAGCTTCTTTCAAGTTACCAGCTTCTATTCTGTATGGTTTTAGATAAGCTTGCAAAGAAAAATAAAGATTATATACAGCGAATGCTTCAAATACAGTAGCGAAAAACATAATGGTGGTTGCATAATCATATCTTAAATATGAAAACCAAGCTAATGTTGCATATACTGGAGGAAACAATAAAACTCTTAATTTATGTCTCTGTAGTTGCGGCTCACTAATGTAATATATTAGTTATTTTATTTTATTTTTAAAAAAATATTGCTGTTACTCTTGATATTTTTATAAACTTACTAATAATTTTTTAAATGCTTTGTCACTGTTGTAATCGATACAATCCAGGTTATAAATAAAAGAGCTAAGCAAGCCATCCAGCCTATAACATGCCAGTTATCTTTAGGATATTCTCTTACATATGCCCAATCTAAACCTGGATCACTAGGATACTAGTGTTAGCATATCTCGTAATCATGCTTTATCTATTTAGACTTACAATCCACCTGATGTAGATAACCCAGGCTCTGTAGGACATGAAGAATTTTTAGATACTTCTGGTGAACTCATAAAGTTAATACTAAATATGGATAAGTTCAAAAAAAGCAGAAGAAAAAAAAATAAAAAAAATATGTATACAAATATAAATGTCATGATTTAAAAAAAAAAAAAAGGGCTTATCCGGAGGTTTAATTATAAATAGCAGCAGCGGCTAGACTATTCAATAAAAAAAAATATTACTAGCTGGTTTCATTTTATTGTATACGCCACTCATTATAATTTGATATACATAATAACGAACTTCATTTGTATTTAATAAATCAATTTTTTTTTCTTTTAAATAAAGCATTAATTTAATAAAAGATCTATTTAAGCTATAGTATTGCCCTTCCTTTTTTTTTAAGAAAAAAGAAGAATGTATAAAAAAGAGTTGGTTAAATCATTCACTTCTTTTATTCTAGAAATGCTTGGCAAAATAAAATCTATGTTGAACAGTTAGCTTATTAATTCTTATATAATAGTTCCGACTGTAAACAATAGATTAAAGCATGTATTCATATCAATCATTTTATTGTATAAATTTTTATAGAAAAAAATGAATAAACGCGTTAATTTCATGTGTGCCGAGGAATAACAGAGATAAGCTTTTTTGAAGATAGTATTTAAACTATTGTATGTGAACTTTACTTGGTATTTGCAATCCGGTTTTAAAATAACGACTTGCCAAGTTTTGATATTTGTATATTCATATTTTTTTTTTTTAAATTTGAAATCAGCTGAAATAATAATAAAAATAGCTTAGATAATATTAAACAATTAGCACACTTATAATAATGATAAGTTTTTTTTAACTTACTACCATAAACGGAAAATAGGATATTGTTGATGAGTTCTGCAATGAACCTGTGGATGAGGAGAAATGCGCTCTTGAAGACGTTACAAACTTTGATTGATGCCTGCATATCAAATCTCTTGAGCGTAGTACTATAAAGTAGAAAAAAGAGAACTTTGGTTTCTAAGAAAGATCTACTAAAAGGATCAGACAATATATATACTGATGATATAAAAATTACTTTTTTTTTAATATACGAAAAGGATTTAATATCAGATAAAGGCGATTAAAGAGTTAAATATCGCTCATCCTATTACTACTTACAACTGGTACAATGAATATCGAAAAAAGAAAAGGTCAGAACAAGTAGGTAATCAACTTGATTAATTCAGAACAAAAGTTGAAAGCCCAGCTAAGTTTAATAAAGAGTTCCAGCATTGGTTTGGGAAAAGAGTATAGAGACTTTCCTTCAGTAACAATAGAACAGATCATGAAAAGTCTCATGACTAGGTTTCAAAATTTCCAAGACTATATATTACCGAGTAATACATCTTATCTTTCGAAAAAAAAAAACAATATATTTTGCATAAATGTTAATATCTATTACAAAAAACTTTCACTTATTAGGCTTCTTATAGCCATCTAGCGAAGGCCAGACTGGATCCTACTATCTTCCTACATAATAATAATAATAATAATAATAATAATAAAGAGTCAGCATGATGACTTTTAGACATTAAAAAAGAGCAATAATTATACATATACATAAATATATGTTTATACCTCTGTTCATCACTTGCAGTACAAAACAGAAGAAAAGAAGAGAAAAAGAAATTATTTCATCTTTGATTTGATTATATTTATTTTCCCCTTTTTCTTTTCTTACAAAGTAGAATCGTGAAGCACTCATATAACCGATTAGCGCCTTTTAGATCGTGATAAAACAATTTTTTCATGAGAAAAAGAAAAACGATTGATCCTTTTTTTTTTCTCTCTCTCTCTCTTTTTTCTTCTGCATTTCATTGCTTATTCAAAGAAAAACATTTTCTTTTTGTTTTATGTATAGGATATATACATGATATACAACGCAATGGCATTTCATAAACTTTGTGTATCAGATTCATCAGTTATATATCAAAACGGTAATATTAAATGGTTTTGTGTGTGTATATTGTACCTCAAATGAGTCAAATAGTGCCAACTGATTATAAACCCAAAAATAGGAAAAATAAGTTTAATAAAACCTGATTAGATCATGTATTGTGTCATGTTAACGGTAGTTTTTATAAAGAAGGCAGTTTGATTGGTGCGAGACACATTATTTTAGACTTTTAAGTGTACAAGTATTTAAACAATAGAAACATGAATGATCATGATAGCATCAAGTATATTCTGCATTAAAAAAAAAAAGGGAAAGTATACTATGTTTCGTGTATTATTTATATGTTGAAGCATTAGATATTGTAACAAATATAAATTTGTTTAAAAAATAATATGCCATTAATAATAACAAAAGCAGATACGCGTAGAAAAGAACGTTTAGATACATTGTCTTTTTTTTTCTTTTCACTCATTTATAGTACACGTTTAAAGATCATTTGAATCAGTAAGGCCTTTCAAAGAAGAAATTTGCCTCTTGTAATTCACATTATTTTGAAGTAAATAATAGTAATGTATTTCTTTCGTTTTAATGATATATCTTTTCGAAATTTAATACTAGATTAACGCAAAGAGAATAATTAAAAAACCAGCAACTCTTGATTCTTTGTATATTTGGTATAATCTTATATGTACTCATTTTTTATATTTGTTTTTGTCTTATTCTTTGTTCTTGAATAATTCTCTATATTTGTAGAAATAAGATTTGCTTTGATTTGCTGATTTTCAACGTGACGTTGGATTCAGGTAGATTTACATTTTTTTTTCTAAAAAAAAAAAAAAAAAAAAAAAAAGAGCTTAAAGTTCTACACATATTCACGCTTTATATTATTTTATTTATTTATTTTTAAATAGATTACAATGTCTCCTAAAGGTTACTTTAAATATATATAAATATTCATTAAATATTATAGTGTCATTTTTTTAATTCTTAAAGCTAACTTTTCATCACCATCTTTTGATTATAGAAATCATTATAAAACGTAAAAGAGGTAGACCACCAACATCAGCAGCGCCTGCCCCTACAAGGAAACTAAGTTCTAGGATCGCTACTAATAATGATCGAAAGACAATTAATAGACCTGAGATAGAATTACCTAGAAAAAGAGGACGTCCTGCTGCATCTCATACTTATGAAGATTCAGACACGAAACGTAGACGCGATAGAAGCCCTACTTCATCTGAAAATATTGATATTGATAATGATGTATACGAATCTGATGTTGATGAAGCAGGTGAAACAAAAATTGATTCTAATGGAATATTATTAGGAGGTAAAAATAGGAATGAAAAAAAAAAAAGATGTATTGTTTACAATATAGAATGCTTATCTCATAAAAATCTATTCAACGAAACTTTTGTAGATCGTGAATTTAAAGTCCCTACGTTTACATTACCTGATCACGGTGATCAAGTATTGATGTTAGCCATGGATCCAACTAAAGAATTAGGATATCGTGACAGTTATCTTTTCTTCCAAAAACACCCTACTTTAAAACGTATTCGTATTAGTGAAGACGAAAAAAAGATTCTTGTTGATATGGGTTTACTTGTTAATTATTTTAAAAATCGAGATGTAGCCGTTGTTACAGCACGTTCTGTCTTTAAATGTTTTGGACATAGAATTATTAAAAGAGGACAACCTATCAAAGACGATTATTTTGAAACAGAATCTGAAGAACAACAAGATGAAGAACAATCCAATTCATTCCATATTAATCGTAAAAGGGCAGTAACAGACGGGAATGAGAATAGTATAGAGGAAAAGAAAAGAAAAGAAAAAGAGCAAAATGAAGAAGAAAATGATAGAGAATATGAAGACATGAGTCGACAGTCATTAATAGGAAAGACAGCTAGATCAGAAGGATATTCCACAAAGATGCCTTTAAATAAGCAAACGTGGATGCATCATGCAGCACTAGCAACAAGAGGATTTAATGCTCAATTAAACGAAAGACGTATAGAAAAACCAGTATTTTATGATATTCATTCAAATGTAAATCAAGTTCCTTCATCATTCCAGTCTACTGCATGCCACTTTGAATTTTCTAAAAAAAATAAGAATAATTCACATGAGCCTATGATTGAATTTAAAAGAATAGCTAATCCATATAATGCTCCTCTTTATCGTGGAATAGGCAAAGATGTATTAGATTATGATGTAGAAGCAATACTTAAATTACTGCCTGACGATCAAGAAGGAAAGAAGGAAGCAAAATATGTCTTGAAGAGTGATTCCAATACCAGATTCTTCAAAGAAGAAGATGATAATAATTACCCGTTAGCTTTAATGGAAGGACAGTTTCAGGCAGGGTTTTCAATGTAAGTATTAAAGGATGAAATAAATAAAAAGCGCTCAAACATAATAATTGTTTTATATGAAAGGTATCAAACTAGATTTAATTTCCCAATTCCAAAGATACCTGATCCAACACAATTAGTCGATACAGCACAATCATTAACAGCTCAGCAATATTATTTAAGTCTTGTTTACCAAACTGTGAATCAATATACTAATCCACAAAATCAACCCCCAATGCCACCCTCTATGGGTAGAGCGCCACAAAACTTTTCATCTATACTACCACAACCACAACCACAACCACAACTACAGCCACAGCCACAGCTACAATCACAATCACAACCACAACCACAACCACAATCTCAGCCACAACCAACATTACAACCACCATTACAACAACCTCAATTGATGACGCTGTCGCCTAATAGACCACCACCTACAAATGTAATAAAAATTTACCTTATTATATGTATATCCATATTTATTATTTTTTATGTATATAAAAAAATAGGCTATACCAGAAACACCTATATGTGGTACATTACTTTCAGGGAATCAAGTGTGTAGACGTCCTGTACAACGCCCTGAAGAAAAATGTCAATTACATACACCTCCTAAACAAATGTCTGATTTTGCAAAGGGATTACCACCTGTAATTTTTTTTTTTTAAGAAAAAAACAATACATTCATATAAATAGGAAATTTATTAACATTTATCATTATTCATAGGCAATTGTATATTCAGATAATAAATGTGCAGAATGTCATGAATTAAAAGCAGCTGAAACACTCTTTAGTTCACCAGAAGAGCATGTTATAGATGATTTCACTCTAGTAAAATGTTCAAAATGTACAAGAAAATATCATCCAATTTGTGCTAATTTAACGACACCAAGACAAGTAGCAGCAATAGAATCATATCCATGGTCTTGTCCTGAATGTAAAATATGTTGTGTATGTAAAAGTGCAGGTGATGAATCCACTTTAATGATTTGTGATGGTTGTGACCGAGGATGGCATACAGGATGGTAAATTATATATTGTTATAAAGTTACATTTTATCATTCTAATCCTTTTTATTATTATAGTTGTAACCCTAAAGTAGAACGTGTACCAGAAGGATCATGGCTTTGTCCTTTATGTGCTAATTGTCATAGTTGTGATGAACATGTTATGGCAGAAGAATCACCTTATATACATGCTACTGCACCGAAAAGTGAAAGATATAAATATCCAGTCTATTTAGCTACTTATTGCCCTAAATGTCATGATAATTTTAAAGAAAATAGATTCTGTCCTGTTTGTCTTAAAACGTACTCAGAGGAAGGAAATAATGAAGATGAAGATAATGAAATGGTAGCCTGCGATACCTGTGATCATTGGATTCATACAGAATGTGATGAAACTTTAACACCTGAAAGATATCAACTATTATGTGATGATGAAGATGCTAAATATTCTTGTCCTATGTGTGAAGGACGTTTTAAACGTCTTGTAGATTCGAGTACAGCTGAATTAGCATTAAAAGGTTTATCAGCGCCTAGTGGTTATAGTATAGGATTATTAGGAGGAAAGGTAAAATGATGATAAAATAGACCTTTGTATGTATTTTTAATGATTCATATTATATTGTGTAGGTTAAAACAAGAGGAATTATAAAATATAAAACGATCAATGTGGGTGTACCTGAAATTAATGGTACAGGCATTGCAGAAATGCCTAGTTCTTTATAAGTAAGTCACGATTATTAACAGTAGAAAGATAAGCATTCCAACCCAAAGCAACTGTATTTGTTACTAATAGTCTATAATTTAGTGGTGTAAAATAAAAGTTGATAAACTGAACTGCAGGCCAAATCTATTATTTTATTTTATTATTTTTTTATTTTATTAAACAAGCAGAATGATGGACACTACTCTACAAATTTATTATTTACCTTATAATTTCCAATTAAAGCAGGTTTATATCCATTAGATAATTTTTCTTTAATTTGATTGAATGATTTGCCTTCGAATAATCCTTGTCCAGTAAAAAATGCTTTTATAGATGAATCAGTCATCATTTGGGAAGGATAATACTTATAATTTTACCAGCTATAAAAAATGGAGCAAATAAAAATTGGTCTAGCATTACTTTTATTACAAGTCCTAAAAATCCATTATAAATAGTAGGAATGAATTTAGTTTGATTTGTATGTATACCTTGAAAAGCTTTGTTGTTTCTCATATTGACTTTTTTATCGACATAACGATACCAATGACTTAAAATAGGTCCAGCAAATAGACCACCAAAAGCGGACATTCTCATTGTTCGCATGTAATCATGACTTTTCCATCCTTTTTTTTCAACTAATTGCTGAGCAATTACATCTCCTATTATTCTTTTGTTAATTATTAAAGAGTCATCTTTTTTCTTTTTTTCTTTTTTTAATATATCTATTACCTGCACCAAATAAAGCAGCTATTTATTACACAATAGAAATGAAATTTAGAATAGACTCTACTATTTTAGAACTGATGTTATAGTAAATGTATAGTCAACACATACCCGTTGATATACTTTGAACCAATATTGGCCTTTTAATCAAAACTTTATGATATGCAGCAAACATTATTAAACCTTATTTAACACAACAACCAAAAAAAAAAAAAAAAAAAAAAAAAAAAAAAAAAAAAGTAATAATTTTTTCTGGATAGCTAGTTATCCAATCAGAGTTTGTTTTATTACCATAGTAAGAATTATAATAAAAATAAATAAATTTCATGTACACTGTCAGCTTTTATTTTATATAGCTGGGAAATTGAGGCAAGTGATTTTGTAGTAGAGTATGCTTACCTTTTTCTATATATGTATTTTACTGTTTTAAAATATAATAAAATATGTGTGTGTAGTAGTTGGAATATTGCTTTGTTGTATGAGAACTGGAAGTCTTTGAATTTGAAATAGTATCATCATACTAACAAATTAAGATCAATATGTCTTTTATTCATAGAATAATCTTCTTCTTTGCTGCTGCATAATTCTTAATTGTAATAAAATATGTGTATATATGCAAAGAAGAGGAAGGATTCTATTGGTTGATTTCATAATGTTGTCAATGAAATAAGACAGAAACAAAAACGAGCTACTGGATTTAATTTATGCAAATTGTGTAACATTACCGAGTCATTCTTTTTGATTTATGAAGTAAATTTTATTATTATTATTCTTTTTATTTATTTCTTTTTTGTACACAAAAAAAATTGACATGTCTGCAATTTTAAATAAACTTCGACGTCGGCCTTCTCATGAATATGCACCTTATCAGCATTTAGAACAGCATTTTGAATCTGCAGAAATTGTTAGAGATGCAATTATTGGCCTTTCTGGTATTATTATTATGATATGAATACAATGAGACTACGAAAAAATTAAATTATCTATTCTATTAGATGGTTTAACTGTTCCATTCGCTTTGGCTGCTGGACTTTCTTCTCTTGGAAGCTCAAAGATTGTTATTTATGGCGGTGCTGCAGGTTTGTAATCATACATACTCCTATAAACATGTACTCATATTATATATATATATTATATGTATATAGAACTTGTTAGGTATACTTATATATATTTATATGTATATAATCGTGCTAAAGAGGTAGTCATGGCTTATTTTTTTTTTTTGAAGTGGGGCAATATCAATGGGATTAGGTGGTTATTTAGCTGCTCGTTCTGAAATGGAGCATTATCGTACTGAACGTCTTCGTGAAGAGCGTGAAGTAATCGAGTGTTCTCAAGATGAAGAAGAGGAAATAGTAGATATACTCGAACCTTATGGTTTAGATCGAGAAACAATTCAACCTTTAATTGAAAAGTTAAAAAGTAACCCTAAAAAGTTTGTTGATTTTATGATGAAATTTGAATTAAATCTTGAAATGCCTGATCCTCATCGTAGTTGGGTAATGTGTAGTATTCCAAATAACTGCTTATCTTTATTAACACATAATAATTAGATTTCAGCTTTAACTATCGGCTTATCTTATTTTATAGGCGGATTAATTCCACTATTACCTTATTGTTTTTTTGATAATTCCTTACATGCATTATATGTTTCAGTGGCTGTTACATCATTAACACTACTCATATTTGGGTATATTAAAAGTAGACTAGTGAACCCTCATGGTGCTGTTTGGGGTGCTATTCAAACTTTATTTATTGGTGCAATTGCTGCGGGTGCAAGTTATGGCATTGTCTATCTTTTACCTCAGGAGCCTGGTGCTTTATTAATGTAATGTCTGCAATCACAGTATTTAATTGTTAATGTGCATTAAAACTTTTGTTTACAATTATGAATGAATTGAAGAGCGTTTTTTTTTTTTTTTTTTTTTTTTTTTTTTTTTTTGATTCTGTTGTATATATGGAAGATAGTTGTGTAATAAGACCAATATGCTATTTTTGATTTTTGTCCAAAAAGAGAGGGAGAGAGAAGGGAGAGAAAAAGGAAACTCCATATTAATTCTCAATACACACACAAAAAGTGGACTTGTATTTTCTTAAAAATGTATTACCAACCTTGTTGAATTTGTACTTGGGTTTCTGCAGATTTTCCCCTTTGTTTCCCCCCCTCCCTTTAAATAATAATGACTGTGAGCTATTTCCTATAATTTCATTTCTTTTGCTTAAGTATCTTTTGGCTATTATATTGAATGCATCACTACTACTCTATCGTATTTTTTTTTATATGGGGGTCTTTATTTTATTCTTGTTCTGCTTCTCCTGAAGAGCTGCAGATATTATATAATCGAAAATTAGATTTTATTATTCAAGATTATAGCAATAATTTTGAGCAAATACCCCTTTGGTAATATGATTATATATAGAATGTAAATATTAATCTATAAGTAACATATATTTGTAGGTTGAGTACTTTTAATGTTAAAAACGGTACTTGGACTGATGTTGACTATACAAGTGGCTGTCTTGCTAGACGAGCTAATTGGCCTGCTCAACAGCATTTTATTCGAATTGGTATATTATATTATATTGTACGAGTATAAAATTGACCATTGTTAAAAAAAATATGTATATATATATATATATCATTATTAGTTACAATGGCTAGCCAACTTCATACTGATTTAGAGAACATCAATAATAGTCCATTATTTCCAGTGATTTCACAAGCAATAGATTTTTGGTTTGACAATAACTATATACCAGATACATGCCTAGATGAAGGTGGATTATTAAACAGCACTTGTCCATGTGGTACGCCTGGATTTTGGAATACAAATTGGTTTGGTCAGGTAATAGATTGTTCATTATACAAAGAATATAACATCTATATAACTTACAAATATAACATAATAGATGATTTTAATGCCAAAATTAATTTCAAACACATGTTTATTACTCAAATTTAACCTTACATCAGCTCAGCTAAAGAATTGCCAACTCGTTATGCTACGAGTTTATAACAGAATTGATACCTATGTGCTTGGTATTGGACCTATGACAGGCGCCAATATGCTTGATTCAGCAACTACTTTACTTAATCTAGGCCTGTTAACAAATAATGAAACAATAGTAAGAGATGCATTGAATCATTTCTATAGTCAAACCACGATTACACTTGCAACAGGTGTAGATGGCGTTAAAGTAGATGGATCCTATCTCCAGCATCATTCTCAACTCTATACTGGAAATTATGGGAAAGATTTTATCAACTCAGTAGTTGTTGTATACATTCAAACCTCAAATACCTCCTTTGCTCCCCCTTTGGATTCACAAACTTCATTCTTGACTTTAATCAATGGTACAGAATGGATGATCGTCGCTAATAATAGAAATAATAATAATAATATCATGTCAAATTTATTTTGGGAATATAGTGTAATTGGTCGTATGGTATCATTTCCGGTGAATGATAGGCAGGCGAGTGGGGGAGTGGCGTTGAATTTGACTCGAATCGAACAAGCAACTACAGGATGGTCTAACGCAAGTGTTATACATGACGTAGTACAAAGGCTTTCTCATGCAGCTACAATCATGAAGAATCAATCTTCGGTAGGACAACAACAAGGCAAATTGAATGGCACACGTAGTTTTTATACTTCAGACTATCTTGTTCATCGTAGTCCTGATCACGTTACAACTCTCAAATCATTCTCTAAAAGAACATCTAATTCTGAATGCAATAATAACCAAAATCCTTTTGGGTTTCATTTGAGTGATGGCTCCTTATTCACTTATTTGGATGGTGATGAGTATGAGGATGTCTTTGCTGCTTGGGATTGGAATCTTATCCCTGGAACAACTGTAGATTATGATGCGACGCCGTTTGGTTGTAATATGACACAATACTATGGTAATACGACCTTTGTTGGATCCGTGACACCCAATCATCCTTCTTTAGGGTATTCTATTCAAGGTGGTATGGCAGTAATGCAATATATGAATCCTATGACGGGTCATTTAAAATGGGAAAAGACCTTTTATTTCTTCCCAGGTCTTTATGCTGTTCAGGTAGGACCCATTCATTCAAAGAACACCTCATCACCTATCATGACTACTCTTGATCAATCTAATTTAAAAGGTGATGTATACATAAACGGAGAACGACTCTTATCAGAAGAAGTTCTCATACACAGTGGGAGGTCCTCTGAAATACGACCCTCTTCTATCATTGATAACAATACAAATACAAAGTATGCAAATATATGGCATAATCGTATATTATACACCATCCTTGAACATCCTAATTCAACTCAAAACGATAAAAATAACGCATTCTTATTAAAAGTACATACCTCAAGTCATGATGTCAATGATTGGTCAAAAATAGGTATCTCTGAAGGAAAGGCAACTCAACGACTTTTTACAGCTACTTTAGAACATTTACTTTCTAACAGTAGTAGTAGTAGTGATAGTAATGATCATCATGCTGTAACCAGTTACATAGCTCAATTGAATACAGATAAAAAATTAGAAACAAATCATGAATCTTTAATCCAATTTGCTACTCAAGATGATGATAGTAAAGGAAGAGTACGTGGTGCCTATTATGTAAAGGATAAGACGATGGCATTCGCATTTTGGACAGCAGCCTCATTTGTCAGTCCATGGGGTTTGACAGTAATATCTGATGAAGCTATATTGACCTTTTTTACAATCTCTAAAGGGAGGAATAATGACAACCGGGATTCTTATATTCTTACTGTATCTGATCCTACTCAATTATTAAAAAAGGTTACCATTACTGTTATAAAGCAAAAAGGATTTCATAACGACAACTTTCATCCATTTTCTCGTAAAATAGTCATTGATTTACCTCAAGAAGAGAGAGCTGGAAATAGCGTATCTGTTATTATATCATGAATAGTTATTTTTATAATCATAAAGTACATATACAAAATATACCAAGCATAAATATTAGATAGTTTTATTATTTTCATATTTACATGGAAGGGGGAATGAAAAAAAAAAAAAAAACGAAAGAAATAATAAAAAAACAAGCCTATGTATCAATTACATACTTAATTTACTCATCATGTGTTCAACTTGAACACGTTTAATTTCTTCGTCCAAATAAGCCTGGCCACCGTCATCTAAAAAGTTTTTCTGCACATAATCTTCATAAGATGAATATTCCGTTGTATCTATTATATAGATTTATATGATTATGATTAAAATAAAAAGTCATATTTCATTATTCCTTACCTGTATTCACATAAACTTGTTGAAGTAAAGGTGCTAACTGATCCCAAATTCCCTTTTGAACTGTTAATTCATATATTTCTTGAATCGTCTGCGACCAAGGTATTTGTCTTGCTGTATTTGTTTGAATGATGGCCATAAATTGATCAAACAAGTTTGGATCATTCATAATTTCATACACTCGATCCAAATCCAGAAAACCTTCATAATAGCCAGACATCTGTCCTTCTTCTTTATTTATTTTCAAGACATCTTCGCGCGTCAAATAGCCATGATGGTCATCACTCAAGATTTCTCCTACATAATCTCGTGAGTCAATAGGAAGCTGACATAAGAACTGTAAGAGGGTCTCCTTGACTTCCTTTTTACTGACAGGAGTCGTACTATCAAGACAAAGACATCGAACAAATAATTCAAACTGAAGGTCGTTTTCTAGAAAACAAGAAACTCGGTAAATGACCCAATAATGATCAGCAACACGCATCAAAAGCTGATCATAGTCTTGGCTACGAGCTGCACTTGTAATTAGCTGTTGAAAGTCATTTACGACTTGAGGGGCTTGCGCTGCTAATGTCGGTGTCCATCGTCCAATTAACGTCATCACACTTGTAAAACGGGGTGTCTTGAAGGAAAGAAGTAAAGCACTAAATGTTTCTTTAGAACAGTTTTCATGTAAAGTAAATAAAAACTGATAGATTTGCAATGCTGAATGAGGATGTGACATTGTATATTTGAATGTGTTAATAATAATATAAAAAAAAGAAAAAAAAAAAAAAAGAAAAGTGTGTGCGTGTGTGCGTGTGTGTATGTGTGTGTGAGGAAATGATGAAAATATTTCCAAAAGTTGAAGTGTAAATTTATGCATGTATTTTATATAAAATTTTGGCTGAAACCCAAAAATAGTTTTTAACATATTGTTGGTCGTAAGTAGTGTGACATTAGTACTAGTCTAGTTGGGATAAACCAAAATTTAAAAGCAGTTAAAAAAAAAGGCTTCTAATATACTTATCATGTAAAGAAGCAAGATGCTATGATAAAATAGGTTTATTCAAGTAAAGCCTAAATAGAAGAGAAAAAAAAATAAAAAAAGTTATGTATTAGGCTTTTCTTTTATTAACTGTAATAAATCCCTATCAAATTGAAATTACATGCTAAAAAAACATTTATATGTTATCTCACATACTATGTTTAGTATTATGGTTATGGAACTAAGGGTTGTGATGACTTTTTAGAAAAAAGAGGCAAAAAAAAAAAAAAAAAAAAAAAAAAAAAAAAAAAAAAAAAAAAAAAAAAACAATCGTAAGAAGGAAAATAACTGTAGGCTTTAAATATAGAGCATCAAAGGGAACTTGTTTCCAAATTACTTGATAAAAAGTACATGTAGAAAGGGGTCATTATACTGCTATAGTCAATTTACCCTATGTGTATCATTGTAAAAATAAAAGAGAAATATCAAGCCTAGAGGTGACAATTATATAAATGTATCTTCTTTTTTTTTTATTAAGTTGATCTTATAAGAAAGTCATAGTTTTTGAATAAAGCACAGAATTAGATATTAATGACTAGCTTGATGACAAAAAAAAAAAAAAAAAAACGCCATCCCAAAGTTTCCTGCATTTGGTCCGTTCATTAGCCGGTAGTATACCGAATATTCCACGAATTGGACTATATCCTCCACAACAAACCACCTCCTGAACTCATCATTTCTGGCGTTAAACTGGTGAATTGGTTAAATCAATCATAGTAGTAGTAGTAGTAGTTCAAATATTTTTTTTACTGATTTTGTTTCTCTTTACTTTTATACATTTTTCTCTTTTCTTACAAGAGGTTTTTTTTTTCATACAAAATAACACTCAGAACTGGCCAGGGCAAAACAATGTATTCATAGTCACTACGTGCGCAAAATGGTCTTTACTTTAATTAAATTACTCTTTAATTACATCTCTGTCCCAATTTTCCTGCTATTGTCCCAATTTAATTTTTGAATGACCCAATTATTTTTTTATTGGCCCAACCTAGTTTCCCGGACTGTATGTATGTACTTCGTGGACGTCCTTTCACCTCAACCAAAGTAATGTTACACCTAACAAATTTACCTAACATGAAAGATCGTATTTCAATACTCCAAGCATAATTTCTTTTTAGATCCTCCCTTTTACCAAACGATGCATTATTGACGAAATTGCTACCATACATACAGTCTCAAACTAAATCAAAATGGTCCCAACTATCCAAATCTCCTCTATGGATATCAGTTTGCAATGAAAATCTTAACATTACATCTCATAAGGATTTTAGTAGAAAACGAAGACGATTCCTACTTGACAGCTACCACTCAAAACTACAAGAAAAATATTCGAAACTTTTATCCCATTGCCGTAATAATCTAATTGTCGACCCTATTCTTACGATACCAATGACAAGAAGTGAACGGTTTCGTTGCGTGCGATGGCGACTTGGTTGGTTACCTCTTGGTAAACCCCCAAGCCTTGCCCCTTCCATCCAAATGAACTCTTCACACGCTCATATAGTTTTTCTTGTTTGCATATGCATAACTGCCTTCAGATGCCCAAATCTATTGAAAATCCATTCTCTTATCTCTTGAATCTATTACCGTCAACATTCCATACTAAGAAAGTGAGAAAATCAATTGATGACTGGCTCATACACTGGCCTTCCATATGTGTAATTCTGCTTGGAGATGGACTATCTAGCTCACTCCCAAATCCCTGAACCCTCTGACCATCTTGGTGAGCCCTTTAGTCAATCATCTTCTTTCAATACAACAACGATTTTCTGATAGTCAATTATCATCACTTATACATACACTTTAACATTTTCCCTTTTATCCCAAAAAGGGTTTTCTTTCCTTTTTTTTTTCCATAGCGATCTGACCAGGGCAAAACAGTATATAAATGCTATGTACTCATTGGTCATTTCTTTAATTTTTTTAAATAAAATTCTTCTTTAATCGTGTGTATGCACTTCATATAAAAGAAGTAGTGCAAAAAGAAATTTCATTTCCCGTACGTTTTTTTTTTTTTTTTTTTTTTTTTCCTGTACTATGATATTCTTTCTCTTTTATTCCATTTGGGAGGAAAGAAGGAAGTTTCTATAAAAAAAAAATTATAAAATATGACAACAACAACCACTGAAAATGATAACAATAATGGCCTTCCTGTTATTCCTCTTTCTCCTATTGCACAATCCTACATTATTTGCTCGAATGCACTCAAATTAGCTACCGAGAAACTAACTGAAGCAAAAAAAGCAAAGCCTTCTGTTCAAGTTGGTGTACTAAGAAGTCTACTTGAGACTTCTAAAGTTGAAACACATAGACTCAACTCACTTATTCGAAAGATGCAGTCAGTAGAGGGTGCCACTGCCCTCTATTGGGATCCTGATTTATTGGCACGACAGATTGCTGTAATTGATTGTCAACTATTTAATCAAGTCTTTTTAGACAAACGAGCTCTTTCTCAACTTGATATGAAACAAACAAAATTAACTCATCTCATAGATTTCCATCATTACCTTAGTCATAGTTTTGCTCATCAACTTATTTATTGGGTTGAAATTATAAGTATGGACAATAATAATATGGACAATCCTGTTGTGCCGCCAGTAAATCCTACTAAAGATAGTCTTATTACTCATTTAATACGTGTGGCTTATTTACTTTTACATGCATACCATGATTTTTCTGGATTTGCAGCTATCATGAAGGCTCTCATGTTCCCCGAAGTCCGTCGTCTGAATAAAAAATTATGGAAAAATGTGAGTTCTCGTACAAAGGATATGTTTCGTGATTTAGCTCAGATTGTATCACCTACAAAGGATTACTACGCTTATCAACTCTGTCTGCGTACCAAGTTAGAATCCCTTGCTAATTGGTCTAATCCATCCCATTATTCTAGAGAGGGTATGATGATTGTCGTACCTTGGATTCAACCTCATCTCTTAACAATTCGCTCTATTGTCACAGCTTATACAGCGGGTGATAATGAGGGTCCTACTATGGCCGCCACCATGGGTGATGTGATCGTCTTGTCTGCTCCCGGGGTTTATAAACTAGATGTGGAGATCGCCCTATTAGAATTATGCCAACATAACTCAACTCATAGTGATCTCGGCTTAGAAGATATCCTAACTGCCAATGGAATATTTCAACCAAGTAAAAAGAAATCAGCATCCAATGGTAATAATAAAAAGCGAGCTTCTATCTTAGCCAGTAGCAATCATCCTCAACATTTAAAGGCCATTCATCTTGAAGGATTACGAACAGCTGTAATCCCCTTAGGTAATTTAAATGATTTAGCACCTGGAGAACAGTTAATCCACCATTGGCTTGTATCTCGTGTCTATCTTCGCAAAGATCAACTTATTAATGAAAGTATGGAAGTAGAACCCTTAAAGACAGGTGAAACAATCATTTGTGACATGAATGAATTTGATGAATTATTATCGCATTCTACTTTCTCTAAACCTATTCCACAAAAAATATCGAATGATCATGATAATGATAATGATGATGGGGCTAGTTCTGATAACTCAAGTCCTGGAAACGCCGTATTACACTCACATCAATTCGGATCTACTGCTTCTTCTACTCATCATAAATCACCAACACTAGATGAGGCCAAACAATCGGATGAATTGATTGAGCGAGAATTAGTTGATATGTCACATACTGCAAAGAAATCAGAAGGATTTATTAAAGATCAAGACTATAGTTCATTTATATCGCATAAAGCTTTTGCCTCATTAACTCCTAAAAAAGAATCTAGTCATAAGATTGACAAAGACAAAGACGATACAAACGGTAATAACGATAATGGTAATGGTGGTGAAGTAATGAGGACATTAATAAATGAAAAAAATAATAAAAAGCCGAGTACGACTAATACGCCCGTTGAGGAAGTAATGAATCCAACTGAGCAGCAGGAGGTTTTACCATTATCTACTAATGATGAAGTAAACTTCAATAAACTAAACCAAAAGGAAAATGAAATAAAAGAAGTAGAATTAAAAGAAATATCAAAGGAAAAAGATGCTGAAGAGAAAGAAATACCCAAGTTAGTATCTAAAGAAGAAAAAATTCAGCAAACATCAAATGCATCCTCCTCTTCTGTTTTATCTAGTTCAGCTACTACATCTTCTACTAACAGTAGTAAGCTGCAAAAATCAAAATTATCTCCATCTGCTCCAGAATTTATTCCTAGTAATGGTCAACAGAGTAAGAAATCAGAAAGTATTATAACCAACATAACAAATGAACAATGGTCAGGTTATCCTATTCATGAAGAAGGTATGATAAGTAGTAGACATAGTGAGCCTTCTGAAGAAAAATGGGTTGGCTATCCTGTTTCCTCAAATATGGATAATGCATATGAAAATCAGGCAGCAAAATATAGCAATAGTAATGAAAACGATAATGATGATGATGATGATGATGATGAGGTTTGGAAAGGATATCCTGGCCCCAATAGTATTAGTATAGATAGTCCAAGACGTGCTTCATCACAGTCTGAAACATCTGAAGAATGGAAGGGGTATCATGCAACAAAGATGGAAGCCGATTGGCAAAGAGAAAGTGCGTTAAAAGTACAGGAGCATGAATGGCAAGGATATGCGCTTGAAACATTAGATGAAGATGAATTAGATTCAAGTACTATGATGGATGGTGAATTTGAAAAATCACGAAAAGCTCGTGGTCAGCACCGTAATCATAACGGTCAAATACTGGACAATTTCCAGAGAAAGAAATAAGTTTTATTATACAAAAAAAAAAAGGGAATGGATATAACCTATAGTATTTATTTATGTATCAATCTCATTATTACTAAAGAAAATTTATTCTTATATTTTATATTTATCAAAAAAGAAAAGAAAATACCAGGCATCTATACCCCTTCCTTCCTTCCATTTATTATTAATAATAAATATACATTTTCTTTTATTCAAGAATAGTACTTTTTCTTCTATCTGCTTTAGCAGCCATTGATGCTGCTCTTGTATGCGAACTAGTGGATGTATCTGTATCTGCAGTTTTAAATACTCTTATCTGTTCCATTACATCATCTAACATTTCTCTTGCTAGTTGATACACTTCCGTTCCCTCTTTATTATACATCAGGGAATTATTTAACATAAGAACAACATCACGTTCAAACTCTGTTGTAGTATTAATTAACTAAAAAAAATATATTTTTATATTTATATACTTAGTAAAAAATGCTTGCCATAGACTAATGATTGATTTACCCCATCTCTAATACGATTTTTGATTGTCTTTAAATCCATAGGCCTTTTAACAATATCATAGTAATGAGGAGCAATATTCTCTTTAATTGGATTCATAAACATAGCTCCATTCTTATGGTTTGCAATTTCTCGCCATAATAAATTAATATTCTTTTGCCATGATTTATGTCTTTGATCATCTTTACTTAATCCCCTTCTACGTTCTGTTGTAGGTGTAGCTGCATTACTTTCACTGCCTGCAACACTTTCTGTACCGTCTCTTAAATTAATATCACTTGTGTCAGCTGGAGTCGTTCCCTGACTAACATCTATAAATACTATTATTTAAAAACCACCATGAATAAAACGAATGAGTATAAATCTACTACCTGGAGAATAATCTATTCGCGTTGTATCGATAACTAAAGGCTCTATTTCTCGATCAGTGTTATTGTTAATCTCTTCCTCTGTTAAGGTTTCTAATTTGATTATGTATAAATATTTAATTCACTTTGACTAATGATAATAGAATAGAATACTTACCAGTAATAGAAGTATTTAAATCTTCAGTTTTCTGTCGTTTTAAGTTGGGCTCATCCCTATTGTCTACATTTTCTGGCTGACGTTTACGTGATTCGGATATCTCTTCTTGTTCTTTTTTAATAGTTTGCACTAATTCATTATTATTTGTTTGACTAGATGTAGTTATATTGATTTCTGGAATAGATACTTTTTTAATTTCATGATCCTCTTTTTCTATTGAGCCAATAATTGGAGCTAGTGACTCTGCTTCACCTGTTATTACTGACTCTAGTCTTTTCACCGTTTCAAATTTAATTTCATTTTTATTATCATCTTCTTTTCTGGTCTCTGGTGTAACTTCCTCTGACTGTTCTATTGCTGTTGAAGTATCTTCCTGTCGAACTACTTTTGCATTCTCTTTCTCTACTTGATTTTTTTCTTCATTTATGCTTTGATCATCTGCATTCGGTTTTTGCTGTTCTTCTTTATCAACTAATACACTGGTTGAATGATTAGTATCCAATGCGGGTTCTGTTGTAATAGATATAGGTATAGGAGAGGAATTAGTTATGGGTAAGGATGTTGATTGAGTATTTGTCATGACATCAGATTCAGCCTGGGTATTTACTTCTTCTTTTATTGTGTGTGTGTTTATAGGATCTTCTTCTTCTTCTTCTTCATTAGACTGTATATCCGTGCTATTCTGAGAATCTTTTACTGAACTTAAAAGTTTGTCATCCCATTTGCCTGCACGAATGTCGTCTATTTCAGTTACTAAATTCAAGATTTTGTCTTCATCTTCTTTAATAGCTTTTTTTAATTCCTCTAAACGTAAATTGTATAATTGTCTTGCTAACTGAACTACAACTGGCATATCTTGATTAAGAGCATTTCGTCTATAATAGAATTAAAGCATCATTTATGAATTAAATGAACATTCAAAACTTGAATTAAGGATATTACTTTTCTTTACTTAATTCCTCTACCATTAGATAATATTGTAGTGAACAGTTCTATTATTTATAATTGTTTTAATTATTATTAGATCTTGTCTTTTTTTTGTCTTTTTTTTGTCTTTTTTTTTTATCTACCTTTTGATTGAAATAATCAGCAGGGCGATCTAGTAAAGCATGATGCTTTAAATTACGAGCAATTTGAAACCAGTTATCCTCTCCATATTTATAAACTGCTTGTGAGAGTAATAGTTTTTCCAAAACAGTCCATTCTGTAGTTGCCATGTTCTCTGCCCTTATTGTTGGTTTTTGGATTATTCAAAAAAAAAAAAAAAAAAAAAAAAAAAAAAAAAAAAAAGAATGAAAGATAATAATAAAATAATTCTGTCCAATCAGGATTAATAAACGAATAAAAAAAAATCCTTATAATTCCATTTATCAAATGCTATTTTTATTAAAAAAGACTCTTTCTTCTTTACCTTATATAATGTTCTATATCATATATATTATTATGACCATTTTCATATCCCTTTATTCAAATCAACTATATAGTATATATATAAAGGGTAGTAAAATCTACTAATACAAAGAGAGATCTTCTGCACAGGGCCAATTCAATCTATTTTGTTTTATTTGTAGAAGCAGCAACATTTATGCTTAACAGTTTTAAGTTACAATAATACGTATATCATTATAAATAATATTATTTATTCATAAAATACCAGATATTTGAAAAAAAAACAATTCGTAACAGCAGACATAACGGGTTTGTTTGTTTGTTTTTTTTTTTGCCACCCTATTCGCCCCCTATTTGAAGAATGCCTGGAAATTAGATCAGTATTAAGAAAACCTCTCCTTATTAAAAAGAATGCTAACAGAGTTGAAGAAGCAGTCCAAAATATATATTATTAAAACTATCGAGGCTAGATCTGTCGCTTTCCAAAGTATCTTGATATTGAAAGAATATAAAATTGTAATACATAAGGCTTTTGTTTAACTACTCTTTTTATCGGTTATATTGGTTGTGAGATACTTGTGTTTATAATAAACTTTTACTCATCCACTATCTTTAAACGCAAAGCACTTTAATTAGAAATAACAAGTTGATTCTATTCCGTAAACAAATAAATAAACAGAAAAGACGTAGTATGCTTCACTGTATAAATACACAGATAATACTATAAATTAGAATATATGATTTGGACTCTTATACTTTTGAACCCATATTGTTATGCTGCATGAAGGTAACTAAACAGAGAAAATAATGTTTTTTCTCTAACATGATTTTTATTGAGATAGAAGTTAATTGCCAATTTCAGGAGATAACTCTAATACTGAATGAAAGACTGACATTTTATTACCATTATTCATTTCAAGAATTAAATAGGAGATTTAATATCATCAAATCATAAAATTTGAATAATAATTTATGTCCTAAAGAATTAGATATGTAATGGAAGTCTCAATACGGAATCTAATTTAAAGATGAGTCATTAAAGAAATAAGTCATGTTGATTTCTTTTTTTTTTCCTTCTTTATCAATTCTAACTCTAATATTATTACCTTTATAGTGAGCGGTATATAAGAAACAAGTGATTGTATCAAGTTCCTTGACTGTTTGATTAGCAAAATGACGAGAAACAGCAGCTGCTAATTCTTCTTTGCTTGTCTTTGGCTTTGTCTTAATCTTATGAACTCTAGCATACTTTCGAAGGATTGAAATATCCATTGAATTAAAATCAATCTATTTATCCCAAAGAAGAAGGAAAAAAAATCAATTATGTTTTAATGTGTAGATGAACTCTTTTATCATTGTTACAGTTTGAAATTCTTTTCCAACGTTAGTCTCTGCTGCACGTCTCTTCTTTTCACGGTCTTTATCTCTGTCTAATGATTGATTTAAACCATTATTTGACGTTGTTTGTACTGGTTTTTGTTTGACGCCCATGTTATTTATTAAAAAAATGTTGTATAAAAAAATAAAATAAAAATAAAAATAAATAAAAAGTATTATTTTTTTCATTTCTTCATTTTAATTATATGTGACTTTTCTGGCTAGAAAAAAATTACTGCATTTTATGAAATAGAGCTAGTTCTTGTAAAGTATGTTTTTTTTTCTAAATGTCATCTATTAAACGGAAAAGAGTTGATGATAAAAATGAACAACCAACAAATATAATAATTAAACCAACCTGTACCATTTGTCTTCAAGAATATACAAATAGAACTTTTCTTCGACCTTGTTATCATTCTTATTGTTTTCAGTGCATTTGTCATTGGATCAACATGGCATCTTCAATTTGTCCAATCTGTAGACAGGCCATTGATTCTCTTGTATATAATATTGATGATGAAGATAATACGTTTGATGAATATCATTTAAAAGATAAAGGAAACAAAGAATTACATGAACCACCACTTTATAGACGTAAATATACAACGCCAGAAGAAAGACTTCGAATAGAAAGAAAAAATGTTTATCTTGGTAAAGTTAAAGTGAAAAGTTATCCTGATCCATTACCTCGATATCAAAGCCTAACTGTGATTACACCCGAAAATATCCCAAGAGTATTTATTTATTTATTTATTTTATGTATTTATTTGATTTACGTATAAACTAACCATTCTTATTAGACGCGCATATTTTTACAGCATGAACTAAAAATCATTCTTGGGCTAGATGCCTTTGATAAATTCCTTGAAGATCATTTTATAAAAATATTGCTTATACCTTATGAAACGAATAAGACTAAATCATCCACTAGTATAGAAGTGTATGATCCATTTATTATACATAAGTTATCTGAATGGTTAGATGATGATGAATCAGTTGCAACAAGACTCGTAAATGAATTAATGGCATATTTAAAATCAGGTCTTGCCTATAAACATTTTATATCTGCTACTATGTATAAAGAATAACGATTTTTGTGCGTTATGATTATTATGTGTATATATGTAAATACAAGAAGTATGAAATAGATTGATATAAAGTAGTAGTAGTAGTAGTAATAATAATAATAATAGATTTAAACTCTCTGGATATAACATATAAAAATTATACCTTATTATTAAACGGCTTATGTTATTTTCTAGTGTTAATATCAATAAATATGACTTGTCTTGATTATTTTTATATCATCGTTATTAACTGCTTAGGAATAGTTTATTAATCTGTATTGAGGACCTAATTCTTCTTTAACCTAGGATAACGAAAACTTCTTTTTTTCTGTAAGATTCAAAAAATAGCATATTCCATGGTCGATGTGTAGAATTTAATTTTGAAACTTTTTTTTTGTAGCAATGAAAGAAGGGGGTTAATATAATGTTTATAAAGGAACCAGCAGGAGAAAAGAAAAGATACGTTAGAAGATAGTTGCGATAAATTGGATACAAAGATAAAATGAAAGCAAAAGCCAATACTAGATCCAAATTGTAGTTCTTGTAATATGGTAGATTATACGACATCAAGAAGTCGAGACTGTACTAACAAATAATTTCACTTTTGACGAGATAATTGAAAAGGACCTTGGCCCTTTGAACTCAAGATACACAATAAGTTTATCTTCTGTCGATTTCCTCAGAGAAAGCAATGAAACTGCTAAAGAAAAAGAAAAAAACAATTATTGAACGTTCTTCATTTTTACATGTTATCTTCAATGCTCAACTGTTGATAAATTACTCTATTTTGAATGAGTCTGGAACTTTGAGTGTAAATCGATAGAATATGACTATCTATTATTTATCTCCTAATAATCATTTACATGATGGGTTTGTCATTCTTGCTTGTCTTGAAATTTAAGGCATTCTAGAACTGAATATAGCACCTATATTCATCATATACTGATCTGTAACGATTATAGTATATTTTGGAATAGGGATGTTATGATTTGCAAAAACATATTTCTCATTTCAATAGAGATATGAGCTAGCCAGAGATGACCAATATTTTGTGTAAATAATGAAATAAAAGCGTCACAACGAACATGGTTGCCTCTTCTTTAGAGAAGAGATTTAAAGATTTATACAGATAAGATAGTCATTCTATAGCAATAAAGCAGATACCAGTTTATTAATTTATTTATTTTTTTCTCTAATTTGGTATATTTTGCTTTTTCGAGTCGTTTCTCCTCATCCCTCCGAACTTTTGTAAGAAATTTTGCTATGATTTTTCAAGCTTTTTATTGTAATATTATTAAATGATTATTTGGAATGCTTCGTAGTCAATGTAGTAAATATTAGTAAATACCTAGAGGAAAGCACAAAAGCAAATTATTTTTTTTTTCTTACAGAAAGTTACAGGAGAATTTAAAAATTTCGAGGGGGAGGGGAAGTGACTTGAAAAACTACAATTTGCGAATTAAAAAATAAAATAAAATAAAATAAATAACCTACGAACTCGATTATTTCTCATTATATCCTATATAACAAAGATAGTGGTATAAAATTCGTCTCTAATTTATTTAGAGCACTTTTAATGAAGCCATATTTATTTGCTTTTCATGCGGATAAAATGCTATTATAAGAAGGTAATAATGAAGGAATATTATGCTCGTAATTATTAGCCATACTAATAGGAAATTGATGACGAATAGTACCAATATCCCTAATAATACTATTAGCTGAGGTTTCACTTGTATGTCTAAGTAATGCCATCATTAGAGCTGGATCATAAGGTAACGTGTTCCAAATCTCGCCGTACGCTGGTAATGCCTTTACGGAGTTATCTATAGCAATTACTACAGGCAAAATAGTTCGTAATTCAGAAATATTCCTATCTTTATTTTCAATAGATACTATAAATTTTAATTTATGTCGAACTTTGACTGAATCATTATCAATATCACATTGTATCTCTGTTAATGAACTAGGAACTTTAATATCTATGACTGAGGTCCACAAGCCTTCCAAGTATCTCTCATGTGTATCATTCTGTTGTCCATAATAGTCCTCACGCAAATAATGTATAACACGCCCATGTAGTTTATTTTTACCGTTAAATCGACCATGAATAGCATGGCAAGTCATATATTCTTTAAAAGTGCAGCATATATATTTGATTCGTAAATGAGAAGTGAATGGAATAAAATGAACAGAGATAGGAATTGTATCGCCAGGACTATAAACTTTAGTAGGTATTGATATTGCATAATTAAGCTCGTTCCCGCATTGATGGGATATTAAGATTGGATCAAAATAATCAGTCGTAAGTAATGAAGATAATAGCTTTTGTCTTGAAATATGTACCTCCTTCCAGGTTGTATAATTAGGTAATAAGAAACTCGAACGCTCAGCAACAGCTTTTAATTGGTATTGAACTATAAAATATTTAGCCACGTAGGCTGATTCCGGTAAACTTCCGGGTAAAACTAATTCAAATTCATACGTATAATTCCCTGCTTCCAGTAACACTAAGCCATTATTTATACTCTCATCATTATTATTTTGTTGTGTTGCAGGTAAAAACATCCAAGTATGATTTATTAAAACTTGTTGATTTTTATGTTTTCGTTCATTGCCACCACCTAACACTTTAGGATATATATGATGGGCTTTTTTTTTTTTTTTTTTTTTTTTTTTTTTTTTTTGTATATTTATAATAGGTGGATACTTACGTCGACTCCAACTCACTGTCATTGTACCATAAAAGTGTAAGGCTAATGATTGTAACTTGGTAGGTCTATCCAATTCTAAACTCAAGACACCTCTTAAGATGCATCCAGCCGACTCTGTAGACGATCCATACATTATTAACTGATCATTCTCTAAATGAATCTTTAATTCTATACTTCTTTTTTCACTATTCTCATATTTGCGGCATTTAGTATTTTTTGGGAAAATACATATACATATATTATTTAAGTATATAAAGAAGAAAAGAAAAAAAAACTATAGTAGCTCCTGAGATTTTAGTAGTCGTATTGTTGAAGTTGCTATATTAGAGTGTTACTGGTCACATTTACCAAATTTATCAAATCGCTTTTTAAGAAATGTAAAGTCGTACAACTTTATTATAATGAGAAAGATAACTTTTACAACGTAAGAGAGAACGCATAGAAGAAGCACATCAATATTGAATATTGTTATGTAATAATATTTCATATGATAAAAATGAATAATTGATATTAATATTATAACTAGAATATTCATTATGAATTAATATAAATACAATACTTGCTCTTCTAACCACCAGGAATAACAATATTTAATTCTATCTAAAACTAACAGTTTCACAGCTCATCAGGAGATAATAATTGTGCATAATTCTTTATTACACTAGTCTTAGTCCAGATCATATTTTTATTTAATATAACTTACCTTATAAATAGTATTCTTCATTTTGCTATAGTATTTTTAATCTTTACAATATTTGTATTATCAATCCTTTAATAAAGTATATAGATCCTTTACGGATTTGTCTTTTATTTTTTTGTATTATTTCTTTATCTTTTTTCGCTGCTCAAAATACAGTCTGTCAACTTTCATGATCCGTACTTTCAATTCAAAATTTATTATCTTAGTGCATGTTTGTCATAAATATTTGGAAACAAAGTATGAAAGCATTAAACTACATTGACATCTCTTGAATGAACATGGCATTGTTTTACCTAAGTTAGGACGTAGCCAATGCTATATGTGTCAAAAAGGATAGTAAAGCAGCTCATGAACGAATTGTATACTTATTGCGTTTATATTTTTCTGAAAATTTTGACAAGTATAGAGTATATTCACAGTAAATGTATGCTTTTTTTTTTGCTAGCATCCAGCGATAATTCAATTATACGAATATCATTAAACCTAAAATGCCGTAGCAAAAATAGAGTTGTCATTACCTCACGATGAAAAAAAAAAAAAAAAAAAAAAAGCAATCATTTTTTTTTACTACAACAATGTGTATTTGAGTCCACAAAATACTTTAAAATTTCCCACAAGGACGTGGTAAATACACTTAAGTCAATAGCCACTATTGATACCAGTACTAAAATTAAATCTAATCTTAAATCATTACAGCACTTTCTAGCCATGAACACGTTATTATGCAATGAACTAAATTGATAATCGTTAAATAATTTACCAGAGTTTCTTTGGATAGAAAGATTGGTATAAATAGTAAAGTAGCAGAGAAACTCCGGAATGTCATCAACTTCCTATTAACAAATTTTATAAATAACTGCTTAAGTATTACGAATATCAAAATAAAGTAATCAGAGCTCATTATACTTTATTTAATTCTATATCAAAAATACCTGGGCAAACAATATCAAAGAAAAAAATGGCATCAACTTATTTATACGATCTAGGAATTTTAGGACGTTGTATATATCATTAGCAATATTAACCATGATTTGGGTTGTAAACAAATACTATTATTATCCCTTCCTGATCTTATATCTTCTTATATGGAAACCTATTATTCAAAATTAGAACTGTTTTTTTCGACCTTATTGACTTTATTAATCTTTTTACAATTCCCTGTTCATTTTTATTTTTAATATAGAAATCACAATGTTACCCAGAATTCAATCTAAAGAAGACGGTCGGTTCTTGTATTAAAAAAATAAATATATACAAATATCTGTTCTACAGAAATACCAATAAGTTATGATTAAAGAAACAAACCGTTGAATTTTTTTTTGTTATTTGTTTCTTGCCTCAGAAGAACAATTTTATAATTGCAAGGTAGTCGAATATCAAGAGTAAGTTGTGATGTTGGTAGTTCCAGAAAATAATATTAGAAATAAACTTTATATTTAAGCTATTCTTCCTCTCTTCTCCTTCCCTTTTCTTTCTTATCTTGAATAATATATAATATACCTTCATTCAATAATTAATCCCCTTTTTTTTTTCTTTTCCTTGAAAATATCTACCAAAAGCAATAAATCTATTATTTTCACCTCCTCCCTTTCCACTAAACTGAATAAAGTTAGTCTATTATTTTACCGACGATGTTTAAGTTTAGAATAAGTGCCTGTTAGATAGTTTTGTCAACCTGGTGTATTTATATGGTAGATTGTCTATTGCTACATTTGATTAGATCTATTTTAGTATGATAAATCGTGTAAATTATGCTACTCTACTAATATAATACATATATACCATATATTATATGAATGAAATAGATGTAATTTAATCAATTTTATCATTATTAAAGTATCATAAATTACGACTGCTTTTGCTGCTGTATAGTCTTTATTTTATTTCAGATCGATCTGCTACGTTTTATACTTGACTGATGCCCAAACTATCTCAGGTAATCGTGAATGCTTCACCTTGGACTAAATTATTTTCTAAAAATTCTCAGTAAGATTTAAATCAGGAAAATATATACTTGGATAGCTTTCTAAAGAAAAAAGAATATTTCTACTAATATCATTAGTTTAATGAATAGGGCATTGTTTACTACTCAGTAATAGCTTCTTTTTAAATTGATAGATAGTTATCCAAATCATTGAATATTGTCTTAACGAAATTAGTATAGTGATCAATTAGTGTATCTTTTGAAATAATACCGTTACCATTAGCTTATTCTCTTCTTTGAAGGTTTTGATATATGTAAACATATACAAATAACATTTTTTAAGCTAAAAAAATATTTTTAGAAGAATGTTAATAGTATTTCTTATGCTTTATCATCTTTATTTTTATTAGACTCTTCATATGGAAGGATTAACCTTTTTTTTTTCCGAAGAATCAGACTGTAGCTAAGAAACTTGTTGCTGTATTATATATTTATAAGCTTTATTAAATTAATAAATATTTACAATAAAATTTAATCTTTCTTTAACCAAGGGTGCTCTAATATTTGTTGGATTGTATAACGCTTTTCAACATCTCGATTTAACATCTTTTTTATTAGATCCAGTGAACCTAAAATCAGCAATAATAAATAAATTTGATCAAACTTACTGTACTTTTATATATATATTTGTTACCTTCAGACAAAACAAATGGAATTCGCAAATCATGCTCAAGAATTTCATCAACATTATAGAATGGAGTCTCTCTATATATTAACGTATACAATAACGTTCCTAAACTCCAAATATCTTGTGCAGGACCTTCATAGGGCATTCCCTTAAGAATTTCAGGAGCACAATAGTCTAGTGTACCTCCAAATGTATCAAACTTACGACCCTTTTTGAAGTAGGCCGCACTACCAAAATCAATGAGATGCGCACATCCTGTTTCATCTAATAAAATATTTTCATCTTTAATGTCTCTATGAACGATATGAAGCGACTGAATATGGGCTACTGCTAGTGCTACTTGTCGAAATATGCTGCGAATTTCATTTTCTTCTATTTTTTCATTCAATTCAATATAATCAAATAAATCCATACTGCTCGTTCCATAAAGTTTCGTTACAACATAATACATATCTTCGTCTTCCATGAATGTCTCTATAAAATGATAACAAACAAACAAACACACACACACACACGCATACATATATATATATATATATATACTTAATACAATCCTATTATAGTCTATCCATTATTTCCCTTTCCTACCTAACGCGCAACAATTTACTTGAGGATGCTCTTTTAGCTTTTTTAAAATATGAATTTCTAAAGGTATTAATCCAAGTTTTCGATCTCGAATCCAAGAATCAACAACAATTCTAGACTTTGCAATAAACTTGATGACCACTTTTGTCTAATATCATGTAGTATATAAATATACATACGTAAATACATACATACATACATAGTTTATATACCTGTTTAATATCATCCTTACGGTATGCAAGCTTTGCTGTACCATAAGCTCCTTCACCTAATGTTCCAATAATTATATAATCATCCAATGGATGATGAGGCTTTTTATTTTCAGCTACTTCCAATGACTGGGCATCATCTTTCCTTGACTGTTTCTTTTCTTCTTCTTCTTCTTCATTATTCAATCCTTCAGGAAATAATGCTTTATTTCGATCCACTGATCCAAATAAGGAAATACCACGAGGTCGAATAGGTGGTCTTACTTTTGGCTTTTCTTGTTTTGATGATATTGATTTTTCATTTTGAGTCGTTCTATTAGGATCATTTGCTGCTGCTGCTGATGTTGTTGTTGTTGTTGTTGTGGTGGTGGTGGTGGTGGTGGTGGTGGTATGTTGAAGAGAGTGTGAAAGTGTATCGATGGATGTAATATCTGAATCGGATCTGTTTTGTTTGTTTAACTGAATCTTGTTAGAGGACATTATTGCAGCACGTTTAAATCGTTTAAATGAGTAAATACGATCGTATGTAACCCAAACACTGATTAAATCCTCTTCTTCGCTTTCAATCAGTCTCAATTGAAGTTGAATCTCAAATTGGCTTCCATCTCGATGAACTACATAGATTTGGGGTAAAATAGTTTGTCCGTTATTATTAACAGAGGGCTGTCTTTCTAATGATTTTAATGATTCCTTTAAAGAAGTTCTATTATGAACAGAACTCATATTATGAGACCTATCAGAAAGAACCCAACGACAGGCATGATTATTTACTGTGCAAGCGTATTGCAATAGATTGCAGCGACGTAATCCAGCTATGATATTTGAAAATTGTGGTATGATTTGATTAATGTTGACTTTCTCAACAAGTGATTCTGGAGAATAGCCAAACAAATACTTTGAGGGCACAGGATTAATACTCTGTATTTTCCCAGTATTATGATGTACAGTAATAAGTCCAGCAATAGAAGGAAGTGAAACGATTTTGATCATATTGCGTAAAGATGAGCTTGTATTTAACAACATAGTAGGAAAGTAAATACCACTTTCAGATAGACCACCATAAAATTTAAGTTTATCAATATCATCTGATATGTTAGATCCATTCGTAGTTGATGATAATGCTGGTATAAGCTGTGAAATAGGTCTTCCAATAATTTGTTCTGCCTCATATCCAAATAATGATTTTGTTGTGCCTATCATTTCAGTTATATTCCCCTAAAAAAAAAAGAAAGAAAAAGAGTTTAATATGTAATTTATATTTCATATAAACACTTAGTTTACTTTATCATCAAGTTGAACCGTTAATGAAGTTTCATAAATTTCCTCAAAGATCCAAATATAAATACTTTTACCCTCATCGGCTAATTTTTCTTTTAACCAAAGTGATGCAGCTGATGTCTCTCCTGTCATCTTTTTAATTGGAACGACTACACCACATATTAATACAAGTCCTTTCTCTAAACGACTCTCTCTAGTTGTCATGGGTAATTGACTGGCAATTGAGGATAAATGGCGTCTGCGTCTTAAAATATTACTCATCTGTTTCTTGAATGGCTCTTCTAGAACAGTGAGAATGGATTTACCTGCATAGGATTTATCAATACCAAAACAGAGACTAGCCATATTGTTAAACAATAGAACGGTTGCTTCAGCATCTGTTGTTAAAATGGCTTGATTTTGTGGTAGGTAACGAGAAGGAGCATGTAAGGTCCTTGCATACTGTGTATTTTCTATTGCTAATAACTTGGGACTTTCGTAAATAGGTGATAAATTATTAGAGACACCGATCGTTTGTCGTCTTGAAAAATTAAAATTTCCTTCCTCTTCGTCTGTTTCATTAAAGTTGCTGCTTGGAGAATCGATGGGTAATACATTGTCCAATAAAGTAGTCATTTTATTATTGATACTTAATGGTAATGCAGACTGAGGCTCTTTATAATTGTCTTTCAAGTCTTTGTTAATCATAATTGGGGATGGACGGTGATGATATGGATGTTGTGCAGCAAAAGAAGTAATAGTATTTAAATTCAACGAGGTCTCATTCGCCTCATTTGTGAAGGAAGATAAATTCGTATTATTATTATTATTATTATCATTTTGAAATGTATCAGAAGAAGTCCAGGTATCATTGAGTAGAGTATTGCTATTACGATGATAGTCTAAAATACCGATATCAGGCTGAGAGAATCTACGTCTACTTTGAATACGTTGCATATAGTCCAATCCTTGATTCAACATTTGCCTTTTAATTCTTGCCGCTCTATTTACCTTTGACAATGGGGTAAAACTATAACTATAAAGAGACTCAGCGCAATATTCTGCGATTGAATCACTAGGTGGTGGGCTATTAAGAGGTAAAGTGGTTGGTAAGCTACTATTACTATCTTCCATCGAAATAACACTATTTTCTCGAAAACGACTAAATCCTCTTGTTGCTATTTCGTTATTATTGTTATCATCACTGTCCGACATTACTGACTGTGGTGTTGAATTATTACTTTTTCTAGAATGAAGAAATGAATAAAGAGAAAGGAAAAGTGTGTGTCTGTGTGTGTGTGTATGTGACGCTTATTACCTATGATTTATGATGGATTCATTTGATAATTGATCTTGTAAATCTAGCGAATTTTCATCTAGTAAATGTCATTAATGTTGAATGTCATTTAGCCTCGATGCTTTTGCCTTTTTGCCTTTTTGGTTTTTGTTTTTTTTTTTTACCTTTTTTTTTCAACTCAGTTAAATTTATAGACATTTGAATACGTTAGTATTTAAAGAAATATGTTTATTGGAAGAAAGAAAGAAAGAAAAAAAGTAGACTGTATAGTAAATGAAAAAGAAAAAAAGATATAAGGGTTAGTTTACTATAAGAAGAAACAACTGTCACGCTGTGTTTGAAATCAACATGACAAAAAACAAAAACAGAAAAGAACCCTTTTTTCTTTTTTTTTTTTATTCTTTTTCCTCTTCTCCCTTTTGTTGAGAAAAAAAAAAGAGAATGGGGAAAGTAAAATATATTTGGCTTTATTTTGAAGACATGAAAGAAAAAGAAAAAGATAGGCTTTTCTTTAACCTTTTTTCATAATACGAAATCATGTTATCAAAGACAAAAATAAAAAAAACAAAAACAAATTGTTGATGTTATAGCACAGTATTTCTACAAATTTAGACGATGTTAGTATTTTTTTGGACGAATTAAATTAATTTTCAGATAGTTTGTTTACCTTTTTTGGATGAAATTCAGATACAGATGCAAAAATGGGACAAAAGAGAAATTAAATGGAGACAGAACGTTAAATGAAATTTAGAAAAAAAAATTGTTATTTTTTTTTTTTCGTAAAGACTTCTACCTGCAGGTATCTTTAAGCTGTCACCGGTGAAGGTGCAGCAACCATATTGGAGGTGGCGCTTTGTCACAAAGGATTTGATCGTTTACTCGCTACTCACTTCTACACGCAGATAGTCCGACCACAACTCGAATATGGTCTAGCTATTAGTCTACCCAGTGCAAAGAATATCCAACAACTGGGATCTTGTCAAAACACATGCATAAGACGGATATTTGGTGGCTCTCATCGATCATCAGTAAAGGTGATGCTTCATATGGTAAACCAACCATCAATGAAGGTTAGGGTGTCTGTTCTGCAGGCCCATTTCATTTTCCATGCTATTGATTTACCAGGTGATACCTTGCTCGTTAAATTACTTCCTGAGTTTCAGGCATCCGCTTTCAACACTCAATGGTATAAACTCATTCAAACACCATGCTGGAGACTCTGTGCCGCCAATTCCATTCCGTTAGACCAATACTCCTTTTGAAAACATCGTCAAGAATTTCTTGAAGAGAGTTTTCATTAGCTACGTGACGGGGCACGTTCTGTTTTGCTTTCCACTTGCCGCCCCAATCTAATTATTGATCCGATACTCTGGTTACCCATGACACACAGTGAGCGTAGTCGAACTATTCGATGGCGTCTTGGTTGGTTATCCGGAGGAATACCTAAAGCCTGCCCATTTTATCCTTATGTACACTTTTAGTCGGTCACATGCCACTGAATGTTTGCACATGCACACTCGTTTATTCTTGCCACGATCAATAGCAGATCCCCTTTTTCCTTTCTTTTAAATCATCTCCCTCAGCATAAGTACCGGAATTCTCAGGATGCTTCTGCCTAGTTCTATCGCTGGCCAGTTATGTGTACCCTTCTACCGGAAATGGATTACTTAATGCATGATAAACTACCCCCTCCACTTCTTGATCCAGGCAGGAAATTACTCAACTGGTTGTCTCTTTAAACTTGTTAGCAATAATATTCCCCTTTCTTTCTCACCTTCCCTTCTTCCTTTCCTTTACCTTTTTACCTCTTGTCCCATAAGAGGGTTTTTAGATACTTTTTTTTTCACATAATTTGAACTGACCCGGGCAATCCAATATAACGAAGATATTATGTGCTCAGGTCGCTTTTTAAATTTTAATTTATAAAAATAATAAAAAAAAATGTTTACTTGTAATAATCGGCATATTTGTAACTCAGTCATTATGCAAAAAAATAAATTTCTTTTATTGGGGAAATATTTACAAACGTTCATTTTATTATATTAAAATGCCATTGATTATGTAATGACCCTTAATCATATACACATATAAAATAAGGGAGGAGGGGAGTGAGAGGGAAAAATCCCTTATTTCTCCATAACAATAAAACTCTAATAGTAAACTTTAAATATACATATTAATACTCACACAAATATATTTTTATTTGTAAGCAGTATAGAAATATCCAAAGTTTATCGATTGCAACATGATTGATTGATATTTTATGCTATTTTTCCTTTCTTAAATATTCATATTCTATATTTAGCAAACATGCTGATAATAACTAGTATAGATAAAGATTTTTTTCTTTTAATAACAGTAAACGATCTACATAATTTTCACATGTGAAATAATCTATAATATACAAAAGGGAGGTGTGCGTGTATATCTTTATTTAATGCTGTTCTTTTATAAAATGAAATATTTATAGAAGCAGCCTTTTTGAGCCATGTAAATATTCTGTTTATCACACGTTTCCCACCCCCTCTTTGTTTTTGTTTTTTTTTCGATATAGTTTATATAATGTTGTTTTTCTATTATTACTTTGTTAGTTAGTTACGAAAAAAAAAAAAAAAAAAAAACTTCTACTATGATTAAAGTGAGATAATATTTTAAAATAGCTGCTACGGGAAATGAAGAATAATTGATGTCATCATCCAATGCTAAAAATAAGTACTTTTTCTTTTCCACCCCCTTTTTTTTTTTTCTTTTTAGAATAATAGAGAATATTCATTGATGATTGTGATAGTCAAAGATGTTATTAGTGATAATGTTAAAGTTATTATAATTCATTTACATATAACAAGCTTTGCATTTTTGTTTTATTTTTTATAAGAGTTCTTCAGTTACAACTAAACATTACAGTCATGAAAATTGTTTTCTTTATTAATAAAGGGAATTAAATACAGTTTATAGTGTCAATAGAACAAGCCATGACACAGTAAAGTTGATTATCATCATGATAATACTAAATATGTTATCTGATATCATCAAGCAAATACCTAGTTATTTTTTAGGAAGCTTATTATCACATGTTCTATTACTTTTGGATCCTATTTTTAAGAAATTTTAGTTGTAGTATCATTAACTTGAGATAGTTAATAACTAACTAAAAGAAAAAAAAAGAGAGAGAGCGAGTGAATAATCATGATTTTTTTTTGAAATATATAAAGAAACGATTTAAATAGTTAGCTACGACTTTTGATAAATCAACCACATAATATAATTCTAGAACACAACGTTTATGATTCACTCACTATGAATAGCTTAATCCCTTACGCTACTAGATATATTAGCATATTTGAATGTCTTTGATAGAAAACTATGTTACCCTAGAATATGAAACATTCTTACCACAAAGAAAACCTATAGTTTATATAATAGTCCTTCTTCATTCAATTATACTATTATTAAAATTATCATTTTTGAATTCAAATACCTTCTTCTTCTTCTCCAGGAAAAATAAACTAGCCACTTGATGCTGTATCTAATACTCATGCTGCAGTAAATCATTTTTATGCAGTAGTAATTTTACGCCATATTTTTTTTTATATACTCTATTTTATTTCTTATAGCCATAAAAATTATGTATGTCATAGAAACAAAAATAGTTTCTTTTTAGTGCCAACGGCATTTGTAATATATCTTACATCAATGAGTCTCTATTCATAGAAACTGATTGTAATTGATTCAGAAATCTATGCAACATATCATTAAATAGTTTTTTTTTTTTTTTTTTTTTTAAGAAAAAAAAATCAGAAACAATTGAAAAAAAAAAAAAGGATAACATTATAATTATAAATATGACAGATGAATATAAATACGATCAAATAATCTCTTATTTTTTTTTCTTTCTTTTTTTTTCCTTATTTATTCATATTTAGATAATTGAATACAATGCGTATTAGTACTGCTGTCGTTTTTACATTAGCTTATGCTGTTTCATTAGTAGCTGGTCATCCTACTCTAAATGAAAATAATAATGCACAAGTTGATATTTATACTCATTGTAACAGACCTGGTGTCTTTGCTTTAACTTTTGATGATGGTCCTTCTAAATACTCTTGGGGATTATCAAAGTCATTAAAAGAACAAGGCATTAAAGCTACTTTCTTCATTAATGGCAAAAACTCTGTGTGAGTAGTAATATTTATTTATTCTTTTTGTTAAAAAAGGAAGAAAAAAAAATTGATTAATAAATACAATCTGTTTCTAGTGATGTTCTTAAAGACAGTACATTAACTGATGAAGGAGAAAAGACTTATTTAGAAGTAATCAAATCCTATTATGATTCAGGTCATGAAATTGCTAGTCATACTTTAAATCATCAAAACTTGGTTGGACTCTCAGAAGAAGAAATAAAATTACAAATGAATACTCAGTCTGATATTATCTACCAAGCTATTGGCAAAAGGTACATAATAATTTGAGCATATTAAAAGTAATTTTATTTAACATATATGCATATAAATATATATATTAGACCCGCACTGATGAGACCTCCTGAAGGTGTTATAGATGACGTTTCTAGTAAAGTTTTGAAAGAACTTGGCTATAATGATATCATGTGGGATATTGATACAAAAGACTGGGAACATAATGGATTAAATGCTGAACAAGAACGAGTTCGAAAAGTGATGGAGAATGATGTCGCAAACACTTCTATGGGACATATTTGTCTCGAGCATGATATTCATGAGGATACTGTTCAACATCTTGTGCCATGGCTTATTACATATGTCAAAGAAAAGGGTTATGAATTCGTCACTGTATCTAATTGCATTGGTGTTAAACCTTATCATGAAGTTGAATCTTTTGAGGCAAATAACTCAACATTGACGTCTACTCCTACAATAACATCACCAATTAATAAGCTTATTTAATTTTATTCAATATACAATTATCATTTCCTTATAAACATACATATATATAAAATATTAAAAAATATTAATCCATTCATTTTGTTGTTTTCATGCTATGTAAATAATAGATAACAAAGTATAATTTATAATACAAAAAAAAAAAATTAGGGGCGAATCTTTGAAAGTAAAGCTACAAGATTTATTGAATAGAAAGAAAAATAAAAAAAAATCTACTATGGATACATACTCATGTGTAGTATTGTTTCCTATAACAACTAATTAGTTACTGGAGATGAGTAATCAATGATTTTAATTTAAATCTTCTTCACACGTAAAAGAGCAAGAAATAAAGATTAAATCTTACTATCCTTGATATATTCCTGAATGAATGTTAATTATTAATATTTTAATCTCCATATATCCCTACAACTTATAATCATGCTATTATATATGTATTAATAGCCTCTACTTTGTTTGAAGCAAAAAAAAAAAAAGTGATTACGCTAAGTTCTCATTAATCGTATTTGAGTTGGATGCTATTGATGCTTTGTTTTATGAGCAATAGATAAATTTATATAGAAGATAAATCATATATTAGCTGACAAGCTACCTCTACACATATATTTACTAAAAATACATTTCATCCCGGTAAGGATTACTCAAATCAAGCAAAATGAATATAAATAGTTTTGTCAATAAAAGTAAATATAACCATTACTTCCTCCTCCTCCTCCTCCCCGCCTTTTTTTTAAAAAAAATGCGACTCATTTCTTCAACATGAATTACTTCTATTTTTTTATTGCTTTCTCTTCTACTAGTCCAATTTGTAAATCAGATGATGTGACTATCTATAATCATTGTAATAGACCTGGTGTAGTTGTTTTGACATTTGATGATGGTCCAGACATATACACTTATCAGGCGGCAAAATACATTTACGAAAAAGGTGCAATTTTTACCTTCTTTACTAATGGAAATATTTTTGTGTAAGTGTGGTGAATATAAAATCTTTGTTACATATAAACTCTGTAGAGTGAATATAATGCGTCCACCACTAGGTGAAAATAGACGAATATTCAAGTTCTGTCTTGACAGAATTAGGTTATAAAATAGTTTTAACAGATATCGATACAGAAGATTGGATAGCTGATGGTTTCACTACTCAACAAGAAAATGTTCATAGCATTGTAGACAATCATATTCCTGGTGTAACTCCTGGCCATATTGTTATTGCACATGATATTTTTGAAAGTACTGTAAATGACTTGATACATTGGTTAGTTCATTATTTTTCAAGAAAAAGGTTATGAGAATTTGTTACTGTTGCTGATTGCCTTGGTCACCCTGCCTATGTTTAACCATATACATTCTATATATTCAATAAATTTGTATTAAAGATGTATTACATTCTATATAAATCTCAGCGTAGAATTGTATCTATATGCTGTATAAAATAGAATTTGATCTAAAAACAACGCTGCTTAAATTTGGACTGTTATGTCAAAAAAAAAAAAAAAGTGTGCCTCTATTTCTTTTTATTTTTTTTTATAGGCTTTATATATGTCAAACATTTTATGAAAACACAAATCCCACTTACATTACCTTTGAAATATAAAAATGATTCGCCAGAGGAATACTTGGAAAAACTAATTTCATTTTATAAACAGTATCATTGGCTTGTTCATGTATTAGCTTTTAATTTTATAACTCAACAAGAATGGCAGAAATTTCCTCTTGAATGGAGAGAAGCACTTATGCATTATATGGAGAAAGCAGGTGACAATTGGGCTTTTAGCATTTTAGAGCTTACATCGGATAAAACTGACTATGTAAGTTTATCACTATGTTTACTCCAAAGATAAAAAAAAAAAGACGGTTTCTCATAGTATATTATTATGATTAAAGTCCATTTGGCCAGAATCATTACAAGAATATTTAAAAATGGCTCGAGATTTAGCTTTACCTAGAGGTAACATATTATTAATTGCAATCATTTTATACGTATTATCCTAAAGAAAAAAATAAAATAGTTGTGGATGAATCTATAAAGAAGCAACAACAAAGTATTAGTAAACACATTTTAGGTGGCATGAGTGATAAAAAAATTCATGAAGTTCAGTTAATGAGTCAATTAATTAAAAATGTAGCTGATGAAAAGGGAATTACATCCGTGATTGATCTTGGTTCAGGACAAGGCTATTTATCTCGAGCACTTGCATTTGACTATGGAATGGAGGTATTAGCAGTTGATATGTCTGAAATTCAAACACAAGGTGCTTTAAGATTTGATAAAAAAGCAATGAAAGCACAAAGAAGTTATGGTGATGACGGCAAGAAAAATTCACCTAATTTAAAACATGTGACAGAAAAGATTACACCTGAAAACATCAGTCAAGTCTTAACAAAATGGAGTCCGAATTCATCCAAAGATAAATGTTGGCTTGTTACTGGATTACATACATGTGGTGATTTATCTCCTTTAATATTTAATTTGTTTGCAAAGAGTAAAGAAGTATCATGTGTTGTGAATGTAGGATGTTGTTATAATGCATTGACATCTACTGGATTTCCTATGAGCAACTTTTTAAAAAAGAAAAATGATTTATTTGAACTAAGCTCTACAGCTCGCGTCTTATCTTGTCATTCACCATCCCGATGGATAGATGAAGGAGAACAATGTATCAAGGCTTTCGATAATTATTATTTCAGAGCCTTACTTCAGGTTAGTTTTATTTTATTTTATTTTTTTAAGAATAGTATAATATAATTTTAACATGTTTGTTTTTAAAAGGAAATTCTTGTTGAAAAGGGCTTATCAGATATTCATGATCCTCCTAGACTGGGTAGAATAAAGCAAAACAAAGACTTTGTTTCATTTGTAGCAGCTTCCTTGAAACGATTAAAATTACCAAAAGATACGATTTCAGCAGAAGAAGCAGAAATGCAGTATCTTGAATCAAAAAAAAATCAAGTTGATAAGCAATTTGTTGCACTTTGGACATTAAGGGGTTTATTAGCACCAATAATTGAAAGCATTATACTGATGGATAGATGGCTTTATCTTAATGAATCTCTCCAAAATGCCTCAAATGATGGTCTTAAAGGTGTATGGATGTATCCTTTATTTGATTTATCTGCATCACCAAGGAATGTTGTATATGTTGCTTCAAAATAATAAATTATTACATACATAGATTTTATTATTACTACTATTATACAAAGATACACACACACACACACACACAAATAGATGTATATATATACATGCATATACTATTTATTTCTTCTTTCCTTCTTTCTTTTTAATAGTTTCATCATTAATAAAAATACCCTTTTGATTATAAGGTTCTGGCATTCTCCAGCGTTGAATTTTTGCGGCAAATTCGGTTACTTTTTGAAGATCAATACCTTGTAAAATGACACGATTAGGTGCAGGTACGGAACAAGTCACACCTTCAGGTAATTCCATTAGAATGGGATGAGAGTAGCCCAGCTTAAATGACAGCACTTTATTATTCTCTAATGTAGCTCTATAACCAACACCCACTAAACGTAAATGAACTTTATATCCATCAGAGACACCCAAAATAGCGTTATTGATAAGTGCACGAGTAGTACCCCACATAGTACGTTGTTCCTTCACTTGTTCATCCTCAACTGATATTTTTAATATATTTTCTGAAGTAACATCGTCTTTAGATGCAGGGGTTAGATTGATTTTTACAAAAGGTTTAATAGGTAGCTGTAATTGTCCTAATGGACCTTTAATGGTTAATAAAGTATTATTGAGTTCAGAAGGAATGCGAGGCTTTGTGATGGGTGACAGGTCATGTTCAACCGTAATTTCGTTAGAGTAGGTGATAGCTTGACGTCCAATATGTGATAAAGCAGGTGTTGCTTGGTGAAATTGTCGAGTAGATAATAAAAATAGTTTATTCAAAGAATTTACAGTTGAGCTCGACCTTAGTAGATTCATGATTTGTGTCCAAATAAAATAAATGTATGAAAAAAAAAAGGAAAGGAAGAAAACCCAGAATTTAATTTAGTAAGGGGGGGGAAGAAATGCCTTACTGGGGTTATTACCAGAAATCATCTTTATTAAGCAGATAATAACGGTCACAATAATGGCACTTTCAACAACTACCTTAATTGTATGATCCTATACCTCATATAAAATCTATGAAAAAAAAAGGAAAAAAAAAACTATTTCATTTTACACAAAGTAACATTGAAACTTGTTTATATATACATTTCTATGTATATCAAGAAAATAGGATTCTGATCTCATACACATATTAAGAAAGCAAAAGACAAGTACATACTATAGATACAATTGATAATAAACAGTCAAAGTTGAAAAGGCTTACCTTAATGTGACAAATAGTTTAATAAGTTAAGTTAAAAGAAAAGGAGTAACTAGAATTACGCTTCAAGCTTATGACTTGGATAGAATCACTCTATACTTTACCAAAGGAATCTATATCTCGCAAATAAAGAACATAAAGAAGCTATAATATCATTTAATCAAAACGAATATAAAAACAACTGTCTGGAAAGGCAATTAGTTATTATTACTGTTAAGAGAGAAATAGATTCATTCATTTATATGAAATGTGATATATAGGCTTCTATATTAGTTTAGCAGTAAAAAGTCTATTTTTTTTTTTTTTTTTTTTTTAATTGGAGCAGCTAATCATAGAATAGACGCCAACAATAGCAGCAACATTATTTATTTTTAAATTCCGTATATGATTGGAAGAAAGACTAAGTTTATTGAAAAGTTTTTTTTTTTTTTTTTTTATTCTTTCTTTCTTTCTTTCTTTTCATAATCCTTTTATTCACATCAATTAAAAAAAAAAAAAAAAGAAAAGAAAAGAAAAAGAAAGTTTATTAATTTATATGAATTAACATCAATACTTCTTTTCCTTTTATAAAAAGATTTAAACTTTTATTTTATTCTAATTTATACTTTTTTTTTATTTCAAATTACTTTGCATTGTGCGGTTTATAAACTATATTTTTAAAATAGATAAATAAGCATACAGATACACATTTAATAAAAAGGTATACTATATTTAATATTTATGTAAGCAAGCAAGCTATTTGGATTTATATATACATGTAAATGTTTGCATTTTCAATTAACAATCATCGCTAACATTCTTTTTACTTTATTTTCAGCTTCTTTTATATACAATACAACTGCATTTCAACAACAACAAATAAAAAGAAGAAATAAAATGACACATGATAACGATAATAAAGTAAATAAATCAAAAGGAAGAAGTTCATATCAAGACCCTAATAAAACAGATAAAGCAGGAAGAACAAAAATATTTCCTGCTGCGAGTTCAGGAAATTTAGATAAAGTAAAAGAATTAATTGAACGTGGTGCAGATGTGAATCATAGAGATAATGCTGGTTGGACTCCAATTCATGTAGCTGCACTTAAGGGTCAATATGAAATAACAAAATATTTAATTCAATCTGGTGCTAAAGTAAATGTACGTGGCTTTGAAGATGATACTCCTTTACATGATGCTTGTTCATATGAACACACGGATTGCGTTCAATTATTAGTTGATGCAGGCGCTGATGTTTACGCATTAAATACGGACAAGAAAAGACCTATTGATCTTTGTGAAGATCAAGCTTGTATCGATATTTTAAAGAAACGTATGAACCAATTGGATTGTCTTGCTGCAAGAGATACAGAGGGGAAAACATCTCTACATCGTGCTTGTGTTCAAGGTTCAATTCATGATGTATCATCATTATTAAACGGTGGTATAGATACAAACGCAATTGATAATCTAAATAGAACTGCTTTACACTATGCTACTCAATACAATTATCTGGATATTGTTCAACTTTTAATACAACGTGGAGCAGATATTAATAGTAGTGACGATAAAGGACTTACTGTACTTCATATAGCATGTCAAAATGGGCATGACGATATCGTACAATATTTAATAAGTAATGGAGCTGATGTTCATGCTGTAAATAAGAATGGTCAAAGTTCTTATGATGTTACAAATTCTGTCAGTATTCGACAAATGATTACAGCGTATATTGATAAAGAACGTCGACTAAGGGCGACAACAGAAGCTATTGACGAAATAACATTTGTGTCAAATACAAAAAAACGTAGAACAATTAATCTCTCAGATAATTCAAGTACAAATTCAATACAAGATCACTCTTGTCTTTCACGTGAAGAAAGAAAGATTCAAGCCATTATGAAAACCTTTGAAAAAGCAGAAAAAAGAAATCGAGCAAGAAGACAAAGAAAAGAAGAAAATAAGAACGCAAAAGCATCTGTAAATAGCACAAAGAAACGTAAATTATCAACATCAAGGGAATGTTCTGTTGAAGTAGATCAAGATCAAAAGAAAAATGGAAATATAGATTTTACTAAATTAGACCCGCATAAAAAGGATACAAGTGGCCGAACACATCTTCATCGATGGTCTATTCGAGGAAATGTGCAAGCTGTTGAATCTTTATTAAAAGCAGGAGCTAATCCATGTGAAAAAGATAATGCAGGCTACACACCATTACATGAAGCTGCTCTTCGTGGAAAGACAGGAGTAGTAAAACTTTTATTAGAAAACAAGGCTGATGTAAACTGTAAAGGCGCAGAATTAGATACTCCTCTTCATGATGCAACTGAAAATGGTTTTCCTGAAATAGTTCGCTTACTTTTAAAATATGGTGCTGATAGCTCTGTAAAGAATATAAAAGGATTAACACCTCTCCAAATTGCAATTGAAGAAGAAAATACAGAAATTGAAGCAATTTTGAAACAACATAAAGGTAGAGAGAATCACATGTAAATTTATATTGATATTTATTAAACAAAAAAAAAATATGTATATACATGTATATACTAGTAGATGTACAATCAAAGAAGCCAAAATTAGTATTAGCTAATCCGAGATTTACATTTAATTCAAATGAAGCTTTACAATCACCTACATCACCTTTCAGAGAATTTGATATGAGTAGCGCCAAGGCGCATGCAAGACAATTATCTGGACAGCATTTACCAAAGAAGAGTTTCATACCCTATCTTGTTAAAACAGAAATACCTCCAGATGGACCACATACACCTATACCTACACCACCACCAGAAAGATGGCAACAAAAGATAATCAAAAGAGAAGAAGATGATATCAGATTATATAATAATCAAACTGAGGTGTTATACCCTTCTATTCATTGTGCATCACGATATCTTCCTCTTTATACTACTCAACTATTAAATGATCACCCAAACAGCAGTCATTTCTTTGTTGTTGATTTACAAATTAGTTTATTACTAGGCATTACAACACATCAACTAATAAAACGATATCCTCATTTACAGAGACGACCGATATTAAGTAAGGAAAAAGAAAGACTATGGTCACCCTTATCTTCTATGATTTGTTCTCAGTATGATCAAAAACATGATTCATCTTGGTCTGAATTCAAAGAAAATGAAAAACAAAGATTTTTGAATACAGATATTTATTTTGTTCGTCTTGATCAAGTTGTATCTATGATTAAAGATGATTACAGTCATTTAAGTGAAAGTTTGATCACTATCACCCTAGATATTGGATACACGTCACCACTTTCAACTATTCGTAACAGCGCTAAGGATTTGGATAATGAAAAAAAGAAGCAGCAAACTGTCAAATTACCACCCAAATTCGCCATGAAGATGCGAAAATGTGGATTACTTTGAAAAAAATATATAAATAAATATATCCCCTCTCTCTTTTTTTTTTTTCTTTTTTTTCTTTATATATGTTTATATGTGTGTATATATATATATTATATACATATTTATAATAAAAGATAAGTTTCTTTTAAATATATAAATATGATATACGTTTTTTTCTACAAAGAGTGTATCTTTATTGAGTTTTAGAACTTGAAAACATGATCTTGAGAGTAGCCTAATTCTTTAAGGATACCACCAAGTGGACCTTGAGTCATCTTTATCTTTGAACCTGCAATTGAGTTAACCATCGGAGGAGGACCACAGACGAAGATAATGGAATCTTCCTCGTCAGGACTGGGCAAATGAGTCTTAACGACTTCCTTAGTCACATAGCCAGTGATACCCTTCCAATTCTCGGATGCTTTATCAAGGGCATATACCACCTTAAATCGATCAGGATTTTCTTTAGCGATCTTATCCAATTCATCCTTTAATAGGATATCATCTTCAGTTTGATTTGCAAAGATCAACGTAACCTTCGTCTCCTTATCGGTTGAGTTGACATCAAAGACACTACGGATAATTTGAAGCATAGGCGTAATACCTGTACCACCTGCAATCATACCCACTTTCTTCTTGGGCATTTTCTCCCAATCGTATTTGATCATAGGTCCCTTAAAGTCAAGACTATCTCCAGGCTTTAAATCATGAATAATTGGTGTTAATTTACCATCATCGTATTTCTTGATAATAAAATCAACATGTCCATTTCCCTAAATAAAAAAAATAAAATAAAATAAAATAAAAAATAATAATTAAGATCTAAAATACAGGGGGAGAAAAAAAAAAAAAAGGAGATGTTATATGTTACTTCAGCAACAGGAGTATAAGGTCGAATAATAGGTTTTAACCCTCCATCTTTATGATATTTGGCAATAACACAAGAAGCTACAGGAAGTTTACCGTCTTTACCTTCAGGAACAGCAAAACGTAAAAGTTTTGTATTATGACTGAGAGATATAGTTTCGATCAACTAAGAGTAATAATAATAATAATAATAAAAAGGACGTTAGTAAGTTAGACAAGTGTGCGTATTCCCCTTTATTTCATATTAACCTTGAGTGAAACAAATGTAGTAGGGTCAAAGGCAGTTGTCTTTGCTCTTTCTTTCATGGGGAGAACCTTAGTCTGGCATACATTATACATGATACCTCCTACTATGCCTGCACCCATGAAGGTAGCTAATAAAATTTTACTACCTTTAGATTTCTTTGGTTGAACTTGGCTCGAAAATTGACGGATACTACCTAATGTTTGTCTCTATATATATATTTTGTTCCATGTTATAAATACACTTTTATTTTAAAATATGTCTATAGTATTTATTTTGTACCTGAAGCATATGATAAGTAGTAGACTTTTGTTGTAAAGCTGTACGAAAAACACTGGTCATAGTAGGTGTAGTAAAAAGCATATTACTATTATTATTATTAAAAAAAAAATAAAATAAAAAAAAAAAGTTAAATAAAAATAAATAAACTTTACTTGAATAAACAAAAGTTGGAGAATATTTATGCTATCCACGAATGATGTCACAATCTGTAAAAAAAAAAAAAAAAAAAAAAAAGTATATATTTGTATATATTAAAATATAAATATTCATATAAGCTTACGGAAAATAAAATACAGAAAGTAATAGTAGTTTATAGCATCAATTGTTCTCTATTTTACTTGTTAGATATTGAAAAGCATTTTAGGTTTACTATTGGTAATTAAAAGAGAGATAAATAAAATTGAGCCATTTACTCTAATATTATTCACAACTGTAGAGAACACCCTTGGCACGGCTAAATTATGTTTGTTTCCGTTTATCTTTATGATTGTGAAAATAATAATAATAATCAACTACTTTCTCTCTCTTCATTACAAGTTGTTTTTTTTTTCCCTCAAATCTTTCAAGATATTTTTCAATAATATACAAATATAACTAAATTTAATGTTTGGTTAAGAATATGATAATTGTTTTGAGCGTAAAAGAATAGGGAAGAGGAAACAGAAAAGATAAGCCTGTGAAAACTCGGTAAAGTTTATTGAAGAAAAAAATAATACAAAAATTGCACCAGAAGAAAATAATATGGAAAAATGACAAGGGCTATTTATATGTTTTGCAAGGTAAGTGATATTAATAGCAGTGTAATTTAGATAAATGAATACTGCTATAACAAAGCCTTTAAGCACAAATTTTGTCTTCAAACAATTCTGCTTGTAATTAGATATATTTTTATCTTTATTCTCCCTGAGCTGTCACTGTTACTAAAAATATACCCAATTATTATTTCTGAGGTAAGCAACGCGTTAATATTAATTCACAGTGAATATTCCCGCCATAACAACACCAAGTGTTTATATGCTACTATTATTATTATCATCCTCTAAGATGTTATTACATAACAATATTTAATATTATAGATGTATATATAATATGTATGACTTATATAACTAATTATGTAATTGAATATAACAGTCATAAACCTATTGAATTCTTCTTATTATATAATACAAAGTATATAATCATTTCTTTAAAACTGAGTGTAGAATGAATATTATGTTGTGAAGTTCAATATATTAGCTTTATGTGAATAACATCTTTATTATGTAATAAATGATGGTTTATTTCTCTTAACTTAGTTATAAAGACGACTACAATCATAACAGTGTTGCTCAAGTTATGAGAAGAAATACCATTGGTGCCAGTACAGGGAACATGGTAAGGCGATTTATTTACTCTTATCTTTAAAAAAAAAAAAAAAAGCTGATATTTACATTAAATATCATAACGAAAAAATTATAAATCCTTTTTAACTTTGTTAATGATAGTGTCATGTTGACTTTGAATCTCTCTTTTCAAACCAGATGTCATGATTTTAAGTGCAATGTCTTTTGCAACTGTTTCATCATAAAGTGAGAGGAGAAAGCAAGGTGTTTTGATCTGTATAGAGCCAAGAATATGAATTAAAGATCCTATATGACTATCATTTTTAATCTTTTTCAAAACATCAGACATCTCGGCGAAGTTTGTTGGTGTTGTACTGACAGCTTTCATCTTTGTTTTGAAGAAAGGTAAGCGGATCACGAGTGACCAAAGGGCTTCCAAATCATCGTCTTTTATCGCCTTTTGGAGACAAAATTAGATGAAGAACAACAGAGTTAAAATGATGATTATTGAGTTTCCTAAACTTCTGACTAGCATGATCCATTAGCTCAACAGGTGAAATAGGGTAAAAGCCTTTTGCAAAAGATCGTGCACAATAAAATCCCCATAGTTGACGAGAGTGACATTTTACATATTTATTCAATAGACGCGTGGTAGAAATGTACTCTGAAGCAAGAGCAGGTATTTTGATACTTGTGGTAGTGTCTTCATCTAGTTTGAACTTGTCCATTGAAGATCCTAAAAATGGGGTAATTGACCCATGCCTGTGAATATATCCACCAACAACCAATAACTCGTAATGTCCAGCAAATATTGAAATTTCCATAAACTGTTTATCTGTGTATGTTTTGCGAGATACCTTGGCTGTGGTTACTCGGTCAATTCTGTTCAAGGAATGAGCACAATCGTCATAATACCTGTGATTATGGTAGAACACATCAAAGCTATTGACTAATAATGAAAACCCATTAAAGTTAATGATACAGTTTAGGAATTGTTGGATTTGAGAAGATGCTTCATCAAAACCTCAAGTAAAGAATATCGAAACATTTATAGTATCTGTGTATATAGTGATATGGCTGATGGTGGCGAAGGGTTTTTCTACATTGTTGTTTGCGCTTGACGGGCTTGAATCTGTCATCTGTAGAATGTGCTCTAATAGAAACTTCTGTCTTAGTCGTATATCTTTGGGAACTCGCAGCATAATGAAGTCATCTTTAGAACGTTTCCTCTTAATGAGTTTCGATCCACTCTGCTTCATTTTGTACTCTTCGTATTCTTTATGGTATGTCTTGATAAGCATGTAAATAATATCGTTCATCTCGAATCTACAGGGACTAAGTATATCCAAAGTCATTCCTTTCTTTAAAACTGTGCTACATATCTTTTTGATTGTTGTCAAGTCGTTCAAGTTATTAAAATTGATACCAACGACAAAGCAGTTTGTAAGAGAATTTATGATATGGTCAAAGACAGCCTCCTTCGTGGAAATATTACAGTCAATGTGTACTACCTTTGCCATTGTTGAAGGAACTGTGAACTTTTCAAAATCGAAATCAGTGTTAATGTGGAAGGGGATGTTGATTGCCTGTTTCTGTCCAATGTAGTTGAATTGATGACAAACTAATAATAATAACATGACATCGTTCCAACTGAATGTATGATGAAACAGACCTGCGATAAAATCATCGACCAAGATAAAATCTGGTGGACCATCCATTTTAATATGAAAGAAGAGTGTTAAAAGCAGCCTTACTATAAAATACGTGGGCTTATAACCATCATTTCCGTTACGCTTTTAAATCAATAATTTTAGGTATTTACGCGTTTACAAGTTCTATGCACCATAAATTCGCACTATGACAAAGCCTGGACTCTTACATCTCCTTAAAATCAATTTATAAACAATCAGCCACCTTGCACTGCAAAAAATTTGTCCGTTGTACGTATGGAGTACTATACGTCGTACCCACGTACTGCATATATGGTGTACGGTACGTCGTATGTGTGTACGCCGTATAGTACTCCATACATACAACGTATAGCTTTTTATATTTGATTGGCTATTTCTTTGAAAACAATGAAGCATCATTGGTATTTTGCAGAATAAATAACGTTTATTTATGTTTAATCTTTATTAGTTATTGGCTTATAAAATACATTTAATACATATTAGGCTTTTATTATTGCCTTGTTTATTGGACGTTATTTAAAAATAAACATATAGTTTGTTTACATAAAATGTGGTTTTATTTACATTTAGAATAGTAATAATAATAATAATAATAATAATAATAATAATAATAATAATAATAATGGAAATATATAGCAAATGAATTGTTGCAAAAAATAAATTGCTTTTGAAATAATAAAAAAGGATATTTCTTGCAATTAGAAAATACGATTGCACTTACCTTTGCATCTTTAAAAAGAGATAGTACAATTACGCAGTAAATAGATACAAATAAATAAGAGAAAAAGACAGAGATAATAATGATAGGGGCCTAGGAAGCTAAATTACAGCAGTTAAACAGAAGAAAACAAACAATCTATAATAAACAAAATTGATTAGTTAGTAAATAAAAAAATAAAAAAGAATATTGGTATTCAAAAGAATAAAATGCGTACCGAAAACAAAAAAAAGGGGATTTTCAAAAAGGACAAAAGCTATTTGAAAAAAAAAAAAAAAAAAAAAAAAGTAAAAAGTCCTAAAAGAAGAGAATAAAAGGTAAGGTTGATATATTTTATATTAGACAAAGAAAGTATACTTTTGGAATCAATAGATTAGATAAATGTTATGTTTTATTTTACCTTTTTATATACATTTATTTACCTGTTTAAAACGTGTTTGATTAAAGATAATAGACAAGTCAGTATACGTGTTAATATGAACAATAGTTATTATCTTACCTTTAACATATCACTGAAAAATGCTCTTATAAAAAGTAGAAAAAGCTACTACCAACATAAACAAGACTCTTTTGCTAAGAAAGAAAAAAAAAACTGGTCAGTATAAATTCGTTAATAAGGATATTCTAAATCTTTATACTACCTTGAATATAATAAATATCTATAGAAAATAAAATAATAGTAAGTAAATAAGTATTAATCTAAAATAAAAGAAAAAAATTATAAAAGAAAAAACGATAAAAGAAAAGAAATAACAATAGTAATTTTCTTAACTTTCTCTATGATCATATAATTTTCTATAGATCCATTTTCGAAAAAAAAAAAAAGTATTTTTTTCTGTAATTTCACAATGCAAATAGTGTGATTACCTCCCCCCCCCTTTTTTTTTTCTCTCCCTGTAAAAAAAAACACGGCCAAAATAGCTGTAAATTTAAACATTAAAAAAAATAATGAATATTAGCAATAGAAATATCGTTTTTTTTTTTTGATATATTTATTCTATGATAGTATATTAAACATAATATATTTTTTATTTGGAAGTTTTATATTAAAAGTTAGTAGAAATAAACAATTTAAGCAGTGATAGGAGCATTATCCATTACAATGTAAAACCCTTTCATTCTTGGATCCTTATCCATTTCGTTCGTAGTTTTTTCACCATCTTGCTTGAGTATCTTCACTAATTGGCTTTCCTCTTGGGTTGTTCTCAACTCCATTTGAAGAACACCTCCCGGAAATATTGCTCCAATCACTGAATGTATTTTGCTATTACTTGATCCGTTACCTTCTAAATATGGTTCTTCACCAACAACTTTTGTCCAAATTGCAGGTGGTGACAAGTTTATACTGAATCCAGATTCATTTACAAAAACACAGTTTGAAAGGTATTCCATATCTGTTTTATCCCATTTTGTAGTTCATTCGTATCTTGCTTTAATGGTATCTGGATGATTTCTTTTGTTCGGCTGAGGCGATGTTTTTCTAAAAGTAAATCTGCATTCTTGTTTTACAAAATTTCTAACCGTTGTTTCTTTCACTACTAAGCTTTGAAAACTGTTTGTCAAATTATCCATAATTTCGCTGATTACTGCCCTACGGTTATTATCTAAATAGCTTATAATATGTTCTTTATGGACTTCATTCAAAATTACTTTGTTCTTTTTGTCCATATTTGTCAATTTTTGATAAAAATTCCAATCTGGCTCTTTTTTTTTTAATCGTGCTGGCCAAGTTTGACCTGTATTTTCATTTATACCTGCACGTCTGGATGCAATGACAGTTTTAACAAGTTTGATTTTCAAATAATATAAAAATAAGACTTTTTGTTCGATTGTGTACTTGGTATATTTTCCTTTAACCTTGACATCCCTTTGATGATCAACTTTGTCTTGAATTCCTTTTATTTGATCTTGAAGATCCTTTTCTACTTTTTTTTTTCTTTCTTCTTCTTTTTCACGATCATTTTCATATTCCTTATATGTTGTGAAATTAGTTAATGTTTGTAAATAATACGAATTAACTTCTTCCATTGGTACATCCTCATTCTCATCAACTAACTTTCCCTTTCCATCTTCATATTAAAATCGTGCATGCTGTGTCATTTTGTGTTATATTTTTTTTTTTAAAAAAAAAGTAACCTCTTTTATATCAGAGCAGTATTACCGCATTCAGAATAAGGCAGTACTTTTGATTGGTTGACAATCACTCATTGCCTGAAAACAAAATTATAAGTAGATTGCCAAACTCATTTTATAAGATGAAACTTACAGTAAGCTGTTAAGTACATCACTGTATCCATTGATTCCATTTTAACTGCGTCTTTTCAAGTAAAACGACTCTTTATTTTTTTTTGAAAAACAAAAAAAAAAAAAGTGAATTGATGGATTAAAAATCGTAAACTGGTTGCTCAAAATCGTGAACTGAGTTTTCAAAAATCGTGAATTGAATTTTCAAAAATTGTGAATTAACGCTGCGACTACTATACTTTCTTTGGGGCTCATAAATAAAAAAATTAATATCCTATATTGTCCAATAAAAGGCAAGCGTAGTATCTACAAAAGAATGAATAGTGTCTGAATTCCAAGTAATAAAATCTAATCTATTTTTCTTAACAAAAGCTACCTTTCAAATCATTTCTTAATCTTTATATATCGTTATCTTTTGTCTCAAGATTATTATTCTAAAACCCTCTTAAAAGTTTTAGTTTTCATCTTGATCTTTATCTTGTCTTCAATCTTAATATATAAAAAAATAATAATAATAATAATAATAGTATTAACAAATATCTATAAAAGGAAATTTGGTTAGTTTAAACCTTCATCACCAGCTGTGTAAATTGAACAAATTCTATTCAGTAGTATGCTTCACACATTAATTAAAAAAAAAAATTATATATGAATAAATATAAACACTTTAATCTCCGTCATAATTGTTTGATACGTCATCAAAACTTATCCAATGAGGACCTTTTATTTGAAATAAATTTTTTTTTGGGTAATTTTCGCACAGAAAAAATGTTTTCCTTTTTATATTCCTCCCCCCTTTTTTTTTTTTCGCCCTTCCTTTTTTTTTTTTTATTCTATTTTATATTTTTTCCATTCTTTACCTTGTTAAGTTTTAGAAGTGCTGAATTTGGCAACTCCCTGTATTGGAAATATTTTTTTTTTAGGAAAGAACTTTTATTTTTTTTAAATAAACATATATCAAAAAAATGAACCCAGACTTAGCAGAAAGTCAAAGACTTCAGCAACAAAAACAACAACAGCAATCAACCGAACCACATATTGAAGATCCAAGCATTTCTGGTGGTGAAGATTCGGATAATGATAAACCTGCTCGACGTTCTGGAAGAAGAAAGATTAAGATTGAATACATTGAAGATAAAAATAGAAGACATATTACGTTCTCAAAGAGAAAAGCTGGTATTATGAAAAAGGTAAATTATTATAAAAATATAGGCTGTCAAAGAACTATAATAATACCTATTTATTTATTATTTATTATTTATTTATTTATTTATGTATTTATTTATTTATTTTAATAAAAATCCATTTAGGCTTATGAATTAAGCACCTTGACAGGGACACAGGTTCTTTTGCTTGTTGTTTCTGAAACAGGTCTTGTATACACCTTTACAACTGTCAAGTTACAACCCATTGTTACAAAACCAGAAGGGAAGAACTTAATTCAAGCGTGTTTGAATGCTCCTGATCCTGTGTCTAATGAACAATCCGTAAGTTAATTTTCTCTTTTTTTTTTTAAAATAAAATAAAATAAAATAAAGCCAAAAAAAAAAGCTAAATTACTCCTCTTTTTTATTTCAAGAATGGAGACGCGTCTTATGGTAATGCCTCACCACAAGTTGAAGATAAAAAATCAATTTATGAAGATATAAAGGTAAGATAAATAAATAAATAAATAAATACAGATAAAATAATCAAGTTATTTTATTTTCCTTCTTTCTTTGATATTATAGACTGAGCAACCTACATCTAATCAATTGGCATCACAACAACAGGCACAAACACAGCCTACTAATGCACCTAGTGGTTATACTGGAGGTAATGGATCAAACGGCGGTTATCAGCCACAACCACCTTATACTCAACCACAACCAGGAAATAATGCCACTAATGCATATAATGGTCATCCCGGCTATATCAATGCACATAATCAAAATAGTCCCTATCAACCAGCGCCTTCACAAAATGCTTATGGTCAAATGCCTCCACCTGCTTTTTATAGTAACCAACAGCCTCATTATATGCAACAACAACAACAACAGCAACAGCAACAACAACCTCAAGGCTATTGGCAACAACAGCAACCACAGCAACAGCCTGGCGGTCTTCCTTTACCAAAACAAGACCAATCACCTATTATGGATAACAAGTCAAATATTAAAAAGTAATGAATTAAAGAAAGAGAGAGAGAGAAAGAGAGATAATATTATGTGCGTTGATTCCCTTTTATATCCTTCATATTTCTGTTTATATATGTGTGTGTGTGTGTATGTATGAATATATAATACGTATACATATATAAATTAAGAAAAAAAAATAAAAATAAAAATAAAATAAAAAATAAAAATATTTAAACAAATATAAATCTAAAAAATAAAATCCAGCTTGTCATGACCAAAGCAATATAAATGCCTGCATAAAGATAATTGATCTTTAACTTGCGATTCATCAAGAATCGTTTACCACCATTGTTAATATGACTAGGCTTCTTACATGCATCCAGGACATTTTCATACATCTTTTTATCCAAGATAAAGAGAATAATGCCAGACAAGATAGACAAACCAGCAATAAAGATAAAGAAGATCATAACACCTTTGTAACCCTTATTAGAATCATGATCTTGTAAGAGACCCGTCATGATATCAAAAAGGGACGCGCCAATATTTGTACCTGATTTAACCAGACCCATACCTGTGCCTACTAAGGAAAGAGGAAGGATGATAGGAATAGAGGACACTAAAGAGACAGGGCCTAAAGCTAAACTAATACTAAAGCTAATCATGCCTAAAATAGGATGCAAATTTGTATATTCAAGTAATAAAATTGACATCAAGAATGTCAGGCCACTCCCAATCACTAATAAATAAATAAAAAAAGGGAGAGAGGAGGAGGGAATATGATTAATATGTAATGCAATGCAATGCGTATTTTCAACAACTTTACTTAACCAAGTACGTTTGCCATATTTGTCGACAAAGAATCCCAAGAATGGCATTATAAAGATTGGTAATACTTGAGATACACTAGCAACTGCAGCGGCCTTATCATCTTCATAACCAAATCGGAATTTAACTAATTCACTGGAAAAAATAATAATAATAATAATAATAATAATAATAATAATAAAGAATGAGTAGTTTTTTTTTTTAAAAAAAAAAAAAAAAAATTCTTATTTTTACCTATTAATGTGAAGAAAACAGCCCCATGCACCACCTAATAAAAATTCCATAGAAGCAATTAACCAGTAAGAATGAGGCAAGTACATAAGCTTAGACCAACTAAATGATCGCTTGCGTTTAACAATGGTGTGTTGTACTTGACAATGTTTTTGTTGATTTTTTGTAGTTACATTTTTTAATAAAATAATATAGATAAGATTCACAAATAATGAAAATACACACAACATAGCAGAGAGCTGATTATAAAAAATATAAATATGTACAAGTGTATAATATGAATAAAATATTGATGACTAAGAATATTGATATATATTTATGTATGATATAATTACCCAAAAACCATAACCGTACCAGCCTGTCCATTTAGCAATAGGTACGACTGTCGCTTGAGCTAAAAAAGAAGACTATTATATTTATAAAAAAAAAAAAAAAATTATCAAATGATTGGAGTACAAAAAATAATAATAATACAATAATATTACCAGTCTGCTGATAGTTAACATAAATGCAATTACAGCTGCAAGACTACGACCCTGGAACCACTGGCTAAGAATGGTTTCTTGAACGATAACTACTGTACCACTGCCGATACCATATAGAATACGTCCCAATATCATCATATATAAATTCGTAGTAGAGGTTGAAATAGCTACTAGAATATTACCAAATGTAATCAAAATGGTAGTTAAAATAGAACCTGGAATCGTTCCAAATGCATCAATAAAGATACCACCAATCAATGGTAGAATCGTATTCACGATAGATACACTAGATTGAATTAATCCATACTGAGAATTACTAATACCAAATTCCTATAAAATAGATATGTGGTGAGAATTAATGTCATCTTTATCCTACTATAATAATCTATTCTCTATCAATTTACTTTCTTAATTGTGGATTTCATGGCACCTAATGTATGAGCAGCAAAATGGCTGCCCACTTTTTTTTTTTTTTTTTTTTAATTATATATAATAGTTAAACGTATAGATTTTATATATACACATTTTATTTACTTGCTAAAAACATGGCACATAATAAAGCAATTATTTTATATTTCCAAGGCTGATTTGATAGTTGACAAATTGGGTCATCATTAGGTATATCTAAATTTATATTTGAACTTGTTTTATCTGTATTGATATTATTTCTACAACATCCTTCTTTTGAACAACAATTAGCTGTAGAAGATGAAGAAGATAAAAGAGGTGTTACTTCATCTGTAACTTGATTCGATATTCCTTTTTCTTTATTATTGATGACCATTGATAATTAAAACAAGAAAAAAAAAACAGAAAAAAAAAAAAAAGGAATGAATGAAAAAACAAAACAAAAAAAAAGGATTATTAATTATTATATCTTCGTTGTTGTAGTTAAAAAAAAAAATAATCTGATCTCAGCTTTGTATAAAAAGATCTGATAAAATATAATCCGCAAAATAAAAAAATAAAAAATATTTATCAGATAATAATAAAAATTAGAATTGTATTGAATACAAGTTAAAAAGCATAAAACATACATTTAATATGATAAAAATACGTGCCTTTTTTTTTTATTTATTGTTTTATTTTTTTCGAGGTTGAATTCTTTTCTCTATAAGTATTTATAAATTAAAGTTTCCTTTTAGTATTTCTATCTACAAAAAAAAAAAGGGTACGATGTGTATTTAGAGTTTCACAAAGATAAAACAAATTTAAAAAAAAAAAAAAAAAAAAGTACCGAGTTCATTATGTTTATATGAACATGTAGGCAATGATGGTAATAAAAGAGGACATTCATCTTATCATCGGTCACAGGGAAAAGGAGGATTAATTGCGGAGATTATATCTATATGTTCTTATTTTTGTACTGCTATAATACCCTTCTTTCTACAAGTCAACCCTTACATTACTCTTTTTAAAAATGTTGAAAACTTCATTACCCTCATTGCACTGTCACATGAGACATTCTCTGATTAGACTTTCATATCGTCCTTTAATGACAATAATAGGTAAAGTGTATTTATGCTTCTATTCATATATAATTAACTTTTTTTTTTCTTGTATAGAAAAAGATAAAAAATCAAATGGCAATGTAGGCATCTTCCTTTTTTTTTTCTTTTCTTTTCTTTTCTTCATTATGGTTACCATAATACATTTATAATTATTCATTAATGTTTATACATGTAGTTTCAATTGAAAACACCAAAGGGAACTCGAGATTATAATGAAAAAGAAATGACAATTAGACAAGGTCTCTTTGACACTATTACAAAAGTATTTCAACGACATGGTGGTGTGACGATTGACACCCCAGTATTTGAGTTACGAGATATTTTAAGTGAGAAATATGGTGAAGAAAGCAAGTTAATTTATGATTTGGCTGATCAAGGTGGAGAGAATTGTTCATTACGTTATGATCTTACTGTACCATTTGCACGTTATTTAGCTATGCAAGGTAAAAAACCTGAGGGACTGCAAATGAAACGGTATCAGATTGCTAAAGTCTATCGACGTGATCAGCCTATTATGACAAAGGGTCGTTTACGTGAATTTTATCAATGTGATTTTGATATTGCTGGTCAGTTTGATCCAATGATTCCTGATGCTGAGGTATTGAAAGTGATGTGTGAAGCCCTGGATGCGGTCAAGGTTCCATTTAATATAAAAATAAATCATCGTCAGATATTAGATGGTATGTTTGAGGTCTGTGGGGTTCCTAAAGAGCAGATTCGATCTATTTCAGCAGCTATAGATAAACTCGATAAACTTCCTTGGGAGAATGTAAAGAGAGAAATGATAGAAGAAAAGAAGTTGGATGAGGCCGTAGCAGATCGTATTGGTAGTTATGTTCAACACTTGAACACGACTCATTCTATCGACGCTTTTAATTTAATTCATTTACTCGAACAAGATACACATTTGATGGCACACGAGGGTGCTTCAAGGGGCTTGAATGAGATTAAACTTTTATTAGAGTATTTAGATGTATTTAAAATTCGAGATCGTGTTAGGTTAGATTTAAGTTTGGCGCGAGGATTAGATTACTATACTGGTATTATCTACGAGGCTGTAACAGATAAAAGTGAAGGTCTAGGATCGATTGCTGCTGGTGGAAGATATGATCATCTCGTCGGTCTATTTTCAGGCACCAATAAGACAGGAAAGCCAAAGACAATCCCCTGTGTCGGTGTTTCAATTGGAATTGAACGTCTATTCTCCATCTTATTGGCTAGACAAAAGATGGATACTATCAAAGCCAATCCAACCGAGGTATATATCATATCCATGGGGGATGGACTCTTAAAGGAGCGTATGGACATTGCACAAGAATTATGGGATGCAGGTATCAATGCATCCTATATGTTTAAAAATAAGCCAAAGCTTGAAAAGCAATGGGCCATTTGTGATAAAGATCAAATACCTTTTGCCATCATTGTAGGTAAAGAAGAATTAGAAAAAGGCCAAGTTAGGATTAAAGATATGAGATCAAAAGATGACAATCAAAGGGGTGGAATTATATTAAATAGAGAGAATATGATTTCAGAGTTAAAAAATAGGCTAAAAGTATTATAAAATAATGGGTTTTACTTTTGTAGACGTCTCTTCTTGTATATATTATGTAATACACATAATCCTGTGTGTGTGTGTGTGTGTTTTTTCTTTATTTTGTACAAAAGCAATAATAGTAAAATGATAATAATGCAGCGATATCGGTTTTAGATACATACAAATACGTATGAGTTGAAACTGATTTGATAATAATTGAATATTTATGATAACATATGATTCCTCTTTTTTTTTTTGTTTTTTTTTGTTTTTTTTTTTCAATTACTCTGCGTTAACATTCTATAATCTTCTTTCTGAATTTTTTCCAGCAAATGATCATATTCATCGAGTAACTTTTTCTGTTTTGTACTATAATTTATCTATTCAAAACAGATATTAATACTGATAGTTATCATAACTTCTTATTTCATTTTTTTTTTACCTCGATCTGTTCTTTATATTTTTGTTTCTCTATATTTTCTTCAGAATCCTTATTTTCTAATGAATCTTTAATTTGTTCATTTAAATTGCCATTTCTAGACACATTAGATAAATCGGTCATTTCTGATCCAATTCTTTTTAAATAATCATCATTTTGAACGAGTTCTGCTCTACGAATGGTGATTTCGCGCGAAGGTAATTTTAAAACATCGATCCTCTTTGAATAATTTCGTCGTAATTCTTCTAAATTTTCAAAGCAATATGCCTTTAATCGTTCAATCGTTCTTCTTTTTCGAAGTTTAGCCTTTTTTTCGATTTGATATAAAATCCTACTTGGAGGTTTATATGTAGGGGTATCTGCTGGTAAATATATATCAGCGTTACTTTTTAGCATGTATATATATATATATAAGTTAGTACGAGACATTCTTTCATTATTGAAGCACATGTCATAAATAAATAAAAAATGACTTGATTTCTATTTTGCATACCTGGTTACAGACTCTTGTTCAAGCCAAAATAAAATTGGATCGACATTAGACATTTAAAGAAAGAAAGAAAAAAAAGGAAGAAAAAGAAGCAACAAGGACAATGATTTATTATAGATTTAGAAGACAAGTATAAATATAAATATTAATATCTATTATACATGTATAAATTAATGGAGTTTTTTTTTTTATTTTTTTTTTTTTTATCATTATATTACATAAAACCCTATCACAGCTTGCTTTTTTATTTATTTAATTTTACTGTCTGTGAAACCCATTACAAGACCAAGATAAATGCTATTTGTAATAAGCAACTGATAAAGACAATAGATATACTAGTCAGTCTTCATACTATATTGCGAAATAATCATTTCTCATACATTATTTTGAAAGAAAATACAGAAAAAAAAGGTATCTATTTAAATGAAAACATTGTTTGTATTGATACGATTAAAAAAATAAATAAATAAATAAATAAATAAATAAATAAATAAAGGAAGGTAGAATTTAATATCAAGGGAGTTCATAAATAAACGTATTTTGTCTTCTTTATTATTATCTTTTTTAAGAATAAAAAAAAATACAATATAAAGAAAGAGGACATAAAAATATAAATCAAGTCAAGAATTTAAACTGAAGGTGTACCAGCCTTGGCAAGAGCAGCAGAGATTAAGGAAGCATGAGACCAAGTTAAATCACGAGCCCCAGTACAGAAGCCGTCGTTACGACCAAATTGTTCGCTCATGGAGCCATTTGGATAAGCATGGAATTTAACAGTTGACAAAAATCGATCAGCAGCATGAGCAACATTGGATACCATGTTATTAAAAGCTGTTGTGCCCACCTTATAGTGGGTTCCAGACGTAGCTGACGGATCGAATTTCTTAAAGTATGCCAGATTGATATTATTTACAGTTACACCACCGTTGTTATACCATTCTTTAATTGCACGATAGTAAAGCTCTGCATAGGCATTCGTGGCTAAAAACCATGGGTTACCTTGGGAATTGCCATTCCCATTATAGGTATCTTCAGGGTAACGACCAATTGCATTACCAAGATAATTTGGTAAATTGGCATTGTTAATACTGTAGAGAGAGGCAAATCTGGATTCAACAGCAACTGCGGTAGCTAGAATCTAATCGCCATGTTGTTATATACATGTATAGATAGATAAATAAATAAATAAAAATTAGGGCAAACCCTTCTGTTTATTATCTATTGTACTTGTTGAATGAATTTTACCTTATCAGAACCAGGAGTATAGAAGCCATCTTGAGTGCTACCCACATTAGCAGCAATAAGATTAGCAACATCATAACCAGCCTTACTGACACCCGCAGTTACACTTTGACTAACAGCGACATAGTTATTGCTAGAGGACCAGAAAGAGTCGATCTTTGTCTTGATAGAGGCAGCTGTTTTCGTGTAGGTATTAGCACGAGTGGAGTCATTGTTACGAGAAGCAAAATGAGCACCGCGAACCAAGCTCTTACGCATCACCATCAAAGTATAAAAATGAACACCATTGACTTCTTCCCATAAATCAAAACATCCATTAGACCAAGTATTAACAACATAATCCAAATCCTTAAAGATAGCTAAATAATAATTTATGTTATATATATATATATTTATGTGTGTATTGAATGTGAATCTAATGATGCAAAATGGCAATCTATTTTTTTTTTTTTTACCTGGCTTAAGGGTTCCAGTAACATAGTTAGCATCACCGGTTTGCTTAAGATAACTATCAGCAAACAAAATAAAAGTAGTAGCTCGTTCAGCAGGACCATCATTTTGTGGTCTAAAAAAAAAAAAATGTTAGTACATGCACAAAGACTCTATCTACAATAAAAAAAAAGGGGGGAGAGGAGTGGGAGGGATATCTTCTTTTGATACATACCTTCCCCAAGCACCTGTATAACTAGAGCCATCAGGATTAAATTTAGGCTCACCTAGACAGTTACAAACGGTAGAAGTAGATTGACTTTTAACAGAAAAAGTAACGTAATCTTTCAAGATTTGAAGAAGGGTTGAATTACCAGCCAGAGTAGAATTATAATCATTAGCAATGACATATGAGGTTAAAGCTGAATCACGAGTCCAGGCATAATAGTAATCAGGATTGGCAGTTGATAAAGAAGCGGCAATAAAACCTTTAGCAGAACCTGGAGGATTTATGTTACGGAGCATAGCATAACGACTGGTTTCAATCTGAGTCTTGAGCCAAGAAGTAATAGTGGTATTACCTGTAGGGAAATCAATAGAAGGAATAAAAGTAGGACTCGTCGTCGTCGTCGTCGTCGTCGTAGTAGTAGTAGTAGTAGGTGAAGTTTTTGTAACTACATATAATAAGTTACTTTTTTTTTCCTTTAAATCCTTTTATACATATTTAATTGAACTCATTTACCTTGATAATTTGCATTATTATTATTATCATAATAAGTTTTACCATTCACATTATACTATAGGTTAATAAAAAAAAAAGAAAAATGAATATCATTTATCCAACGTCTATGTAATTTAGCTAATTTACTTTGATGTAAAACTGTTTAATATCATTAATAGAAGCAGTAAAATCCCAATATTCATAGTTCGAGCCTGAAATAGCATTAGAATAAGAAGCAGCAATTTGATTTCCGTTATTATTCCAGTTGTTAGAGCCATCAGAGTAAATTATAGCAACTGCTTTTGTATAAGCTATATTTTGAACCTAACCCATTCAAGTCATAGATAATAACATTTAATAAAATAAAGTAAAACCAAAATGAAATAAAATCGATTATTTACATAAATTTGACCAGATAAAGTAGAACCATTCCAAGTATAAGCCTTGAGCTTAACTTGAGAAGTAGTAGGAACAGTCTCTGCAAAGACAGTAGTAACAGTTAAAAAAGCAGCAACCAAAAGCGTTGGCTTCCTAAAGAGATTAATAAAGTACTTCATAAAAAATTGTTTATTTATTTTTTCTTTGTTAATAAAATAAAATAAAAAGTTGATTGATTTGGTTTTTTTATAGTCCCTCTCCCTTTTTTTTTTTTTTTTTTTTTTTTTTTTTTTTTTTTTTTTTCCTAATATAATTCAGTCAACTGAAAATATGGAAGAATACGGTATGAGCAACCAAGTAACTTATAAGATTAAATTACACATGCACAAAAGGGAAGGAGAAGAAAAGAAAGAAAAAGGCAATAAAGAAAGAAGACGAAAGTAATGCCGTCAAATACCGTCTTTTTCAATATGAAAATATAACTTTCCCTTTATACAGCTTTACCCAGGCACAAAATAATGATTGTTATTTAATACAACAACAGCGATAAGTACACGCTGTTAATCCAATTTTATGTATATTACCATAGTAACACAAATAAATATGGAATTTACGATTATTCACAATTCTATTTCGATCGAATGTACAACAGATCCAGTCAAGGAAGTACAACAACTATTATATATCCACCAAAAAAAAAAAAAAGATATCATCGTTATAAGGACTCTAAAAATAAATTTGCTAAAACTATATCATTAGTTGGTTAAATAATGAAAGTTTTGGTCTGTAAAATAACATAAATGCAAGCATATTAAAATTAAAACAATGCCAATAAATAATTCTATTGATGAATTTGAAACATGTCAAAATACACAACATAGAAAAAAAAGAAAAAGAAAAAAAAAAGAGCATTAAATAATAAAGTATTATTAATAAAGAAATGCTTGAATAAAAGGGTAATAAATATCATGATGAACACTATTATTCATTGACAACAAATGTTAAATGACGATACATAAACAAACAAAACAGACCCAAGATGTATGTATGTATGTATATATTTTATGAAAGTGAAACCAATGGAAAAGTTTCACTCCATTAAAAAAAAAAAAGAAAAAGAATAGAGGATTTGATTATTACTGCTATTATTATTTTTTCTTCTTTTCTCTTTTCTTATTTATATGTTAATAAAGAATGCAAGAAAAAAGAGAGTATGAAAATAGAAGAGGCTCTTTGTCTATATCTGCTTTATTAAATGAGGATACAATTGATCCAATAAATTCAAACCCGTCTATAATAATAGCTGAAAATAATCAACCTCTTCCTTCTCTACCTTCACCTTCACCACCACCACCACCACCACCACCACCACCGCCACTGCTACCGCCATTGTCACATAGGCCATCCAGTGATGCAATAACAACAACAACTTCTACTGAATCTCATCTTTCTAAAGCAAAAAGGAAAAGAATTTCACCTCATCAATACAGTAGATTAATGGAAACATTTCATTTAACTGATACCCCAAGTTCTGAGATCAGAGAAAATCTTGCTTTAGAATTAAAAATGACTAAAAGAGAAGTACAAGTAAATATAAACTGAAACCAAAATAAAATAGAATATAATAAATAAAATGAACATCTTTCTTTATGTTTATAGGTTTGGTTTCAAAATAGAAGAGCAAAGATGAGTAGGCTAAAGAACATGAATAAATCTCATCACCAGCAGCAACAACAACAACAGTCATCAACTATTGATTGTTATTCTATGAAACCTACTAGAAGACCATCTGCACATTCTTTACTTGAAAGTCATTATCATAATCCATATCCACAGCCTGTTGTAAAGAATCTCCCTTCATTACATAATCATCCTTATTTATATAAACAACCTAAAGAATCTGCAATCGATTTACTAGCTTCTGCTGCAGAATATGTTCAAACTGATAGTGCAGAAGAAAAAGAAATAAATTAGTTGTATCTGTACTATTCACATTATTACATAATATATGCATATTATAATTAACCGGTTACACGAATAAACTATATTATTGCACAGAATGCATCTCTTAATTATCACATTCATGTTTCTAGCAAGTCATATTTTATAATCCAAACAACAGCACTTGACAAAATTTTATGTCTGAGTTTAATTTAATCTATGTATATACACACATATATGAATATTATATCAATCTGTATATTTTTATAATATTTTTTTTTCCTTTCTTTTCCTCTTTATTCTAAAATATTTTTTTTTAAGAAAAAAAAGGAATCGACTCATTAAGTAAAGAAGAGATTATATATTGCAAATCTTATTTTACCTTCTCATAAACTATGGATGACGATCAAGGTAAAAATTGAGTTCCTTCTCTTTCTAGAATTGTATAGATTGATTCTATTTATAATTTCCAAATGTAGAAATCTGTAGGGTTTGTAGAAGTGAATCTACGCCCGATCATCCTCTTTACCATCCATGTAAATGCTCCGGTAGTATTCGTTTTGTGCATGAAGACTGGTAAAATTATACTTCAAATGATGGATTAAAATATATATACATGTATATTTTTTAGATTAATTTTCGACATTGATACTAATTCTTTTTATAGTTTAATAGAATGGTTATCGCACAGTAAAAAAAAGTAAGGAGAATGAATAAATTAAAGGAGGTAAAATAGATGTGGATATGAATACTAAGCACACTTTTTTTTTTTTTTTTTTTTTTTTTTTTTTAGGTATTGTGAATTATGTGAACATCCTTTTACATTTTCACCTATTTATCGTGATGACATGCCTGAAAAAGTACCTTTACATGTTTTATTTTCACAATTAGTTAATCGTTTGACAGCTTTACTTAAAACTTGTTTACGAGGATTAACTGTCATAACAGTTTGGTTAATCATGCTACCTAACTTTACTCTTTGGACTTGGCGATTTTATTTCTGGAGCGGTGAAAATATTGGATTTAATACACATGTTTCAAATTTACTGTTTAATTCAAATGAAACCAATACTATCCTGGATGTTAATACAAATAATACGACAAGCATTTCAACCAACGATAATCTCGGATCTCAATCTTTCTTAGTTCAAACATTAAAGTAAATTTATACATATACGCATTTGATTTTTATTTTATTATTCATCTTTTTTTTAATAGAAACTTTTTATCAGATTGTGTTGAAGGACAAATTATTACAGCTTTCGTCATTATTATTTTTGTTGCAGCTTATTTGTTCAGAGAATGGGTCTTGCAAAATTTACCTGCTGAACAACCTAATTTACAATTAAACGATGAAGATTTTAATATTAATCAAAATAATAATAATAATAATCAACAATTATTACAAGAACAAGAAGCCATCGATACTTTGTTGAATGCAATGCAGGTCATAAATCCAACTACTGATAATGGGATGCATCATGGTCATCTTGATCCGACACAACGTCAATTAAACCATTTACGGGTTGAACTCGAAAATGAAATGGCAGAATTAAATAACGATGAAAATCATTATCAACAACGACAGCAACCTAGTGAATGGTCTTCCTCATTGGATAATCGCATTCATCAAGATGATGAGCAATTGTTTGGTGGTATGGATGGCAATAATCAGGATGTTGCTTCTTCTTCAGCGGAGATGGATACAGAAAATAGATCTTCCTCAAGTCGTACTATTTCTAAACCAACCTTGGATTCTATTCATGACGATGATAAAGACTATTTTATTCATAATGATACTGAAAACAAGGAAGAAGAGCAAGAAGAGGATTGGTCTAATAATAATAATAATAATGGTGTTGATGATGACGAGATGGATGAACAATGGGAAAATGATGATGATGATGATGAAGATAGCTTACCTGATTTAATTGATAATGATCATAGACGTCTTAATAATGATACCATTCGACGAATTCTTCAAGATCATTTGGCAGGTAATGCTAATCTTCATATGAATCAACCTGCTGAACGTCAAAGAGATATGGTGGCTGCACTTGAACGAGAATTATTACAGAATCGTCCACGACAGCAACAACCTCAGCCTCGTGATCCTCCAGTAGCTGTAGGCGCAGCTGCTGCTGCCGCTGATGATGATAATGAACCACTGGATGTAGGAGATGATATTAATGGTGTTCTTGAAGCTATTGGCATGAGAGGAAATCCATGGATGTTGGTTCAAAACTCTGTCTTAATGTCACTCATGATTAGTTTATGTCTTGGTATTGCTGTTTGGATTCCTTATGTTGTAGGGCGCTTAATCATTTTGGTAAGTATATATATATGTATGTGTGTGTTAATACTATTAATACAGTGTCTAATTCTTCTTACTTCTTATATATATATAGGTTCGACCCATTACATTTATTGAAACACCTATCTATATGATGAGATTGATTACAGATCCTTTAGTTGACTTTGCATTAGATCACATGTTTCCATTTATTTGGTCCTATATTCAAGATTTTATTCAATTAATAATGCCAAAAAAGATTCAAGTAGCACTCCAAACAACACAAAAACAGATGATTCAAATGATGGAATCTTCTATATTATTGACTTCTTCTGAATCAAATCAGCCTATTAACATGACCTTGGATTCAGTACATGATGAAAATAGAATAGTCAACATGGATTGGAGTATAATTCAACAAAAAATAGAAGAATTAAGTTTAACAGCCTTGAAAAGATGGCATCAATTTGCTATTGGACAAACAGGATTAGATCGTAGTGTATGCGTGATTGTGGGTTATTTGGTTTTAATTGGATTAGGATCATGGTATTTAACACACGGTAGAAATAGAGCTCATTTACGTCGTCGTCCAGCTGTAAGAACAACAGCAGAAAAGATTCAGGAAATCATTCATCAACAAGGAATATTCTTAAAGGTCCTTTTTTTCATTTTGATTGAACTTGTTGTCTTCCCTACTGTGTGTGGATTTTTATTGGATATGTCTACTTTACCTTTGTTTGCAAATGCTACAATTGGGTCACGTTATGCTTTTCATACAAGGAGCCCTTATTCTTCTTATTTCCTTCATTGGTTTCTAGGCACAGGTGTTTTATTTTATTTCGCTATCTTTATTACCGTCTGTCGAGAGATTATTCGACCTGGTGTTATGTGGTTTATTCGAGATCCTAATGACCCACAATTTCATCCTGTACAAGAGATGGTAGAACGACCTTTGCCAAACCTTTTACATAAAATCAGTCAATCAGCTCTTATTTATTCTGTCATACTTGTCTTTGGTGTTGGTACAGTCACGTATACACTTGCTTATACACGTCTTATTTTCCCACTTTCTTTACCTTTTAATGCACCTTTATCCACATTGGCGATTGATCTGCTGATTATTCAATTCTTATTGCCTCCTTTGTTTAATTTTATTAAACCCCGTGATTATTCCAAGAGAGCACTTGATATCTGGTGGCACTTTGCAAGCCGTCAGTTACGTTTAACTTCCTTTATGTTTAATGAGCGTAGACCTGAAGAAGAGGGTCATCATGTTCGACGATCAGTAAAGGCCTGGTTAACGATGGCTAAAGCAGAGATCCCTACTGATGAATTTTCTGAAGTGGCCATTCATGATGATGATGATTCACTTCAACAAGATGTTATATTCAGACGAGATGGTATGATGGTACGTGTTCCAAAGTATGATAGTGTACCTGTTGATCCTAAACGTCGTATGATTGTGCCTGTTGATCCTGTTACATTTGAGGCTATTGATGAAGAAGAAAGAAGAAGAGGACATCCTGCAGCTGCTGATACTGTGGATGAATCACAAGCCACCATTGTTGTTTATATTCCACCTTACTTTAAACAAAGAGTAAGAATTCGAAAAGAATGGTTATATATATACATATAGAATCAAAAGGAGAAATTAATCGATTCATTCATTTATTTAGGTTATTATCTTTTTATTATACATGTGGTTTTCTATTTCAGTTTTTGCATGTTCAGTTACAGTTTTGCCATGTAAGTTTAACACATAGGATGAAAGAAAGAAAAAGACATTAAAACCTATTTCATTAGTGCTTATTGGACGTACTCTTTTCAAATTATATCTTGCCCCTGAATCAAGTGTAAATGATTTTTATTCATTTGCTCTTGGTATTTATATTATGGTGGGTATCATTCTTGTTATTCGTTGGATAAGTGTATGGTATACTATGATAAACAGTCATCAATCAAACCAAAATGAAATCATGACCTTTATAAAGGAAAAGACAAGCAAGGTAATCATAAGATGTAACTCTATGGATTGAATGAAGCTAATCTATTTTTTTTTTTTTTTAAAAAAAAAATAGGCTGGTAAATTTATTTATTTGTCAAGTATGTTTGGATTAGTGATACCTCTTTTAATTGGAATTGCTGTTGATTTATTTGTATTTATGCCTATTCGTAGCATAAATCCAGAAAGCAGTGATTTAGTTATTGATATTACTCAGGTAAGTTTAAAGGATGAGTTAGAATGAAATAACAAGTATTCACACCTTTCAAATTAGAATTGGTCTTTTGGTGTTGCTTACATGAGTATCATTCATAATATAATTCATGTACTTCCTGCTAATAATAGACTTCGAAGAAAATTGAACGAGATTATAGGTGAAGGTATTATGCAAGCTGATTTATGGACCCTCACACGTACAATCATTATTCCTGTGATCCTTTCTGCATTACTTGCAATAACTATACCTGGTATTATTTCTTGGAGTATACTTCAAACATTGGGTAAAGTCATTTCTTTTTTTTTATTATTATTATATTACTAATAATAATATATACTATACATATTAGATTCAAATATGAAAAATGATCCTTTTACTCGAATTACTATTACAAGATACACTTATCCAATTGTATTTGGTCTATTTGTATTTGTCTTGATTGGTTTAGCCTTGAAGAAACTTTTTAATATTTGGACAGAAACTGTGAGAGATGATACTTATTTAATAGGGAAAAGATTGCATAATTTGCAGACTCATCATGGCCCTGCATCAACTATAGACAATGCAGCCAATTAAAATCATGCATAGAAAAAAAAAAAAAGACATGTTGTTATTATTGTTGTTGTACATTTATAATAAACATTTATATAAATATGTGTATATAAATGACCTTTCTTTTATAGACACTTTTTTTTTTTTTTTTTTTTTTCAACAAGTACTGCTAAGCAAATAAGAATACGACTCGTGATATATTTATATATGTATAAGATGACTGTACTCAATAATAATATGAATATTATTAAACTTCCAACAAGTAAAATTTAACGATAAAGTGCTGTTACATGTATATGAAATCATTCTATTTATTGTTCACTTGATATACGTGTAACTTGTAAAAGAATATAACCCATGACTACTTTTATATATAATAGATAAATTGTTGTATCATTATTAACCGTTTATTTTATTTTATTACTACTATTTGTTTATTTTTTTTAAAAAAAAATGAGTATAGAATCAGGAGTGAGTATGATGTATCGAAAACAAAATCCACTTGTTCTATCTCAGAAGCAGCAGCAGCAACAGCAACAGCAGCAACAACAACAACAACAACAACATCAACATCAACATCATCATCATCAACAAACCTATTTTCATAAAAATAGATTAAAAGATCAGCAACAACATAATACTAATAATAACTCACTTTTATATAAAAAACAATTAACATGGAACTTTACATGGCTTGTGTTTATGAATGAAAAATGGGTTCCATTTGATAGCATAAATCAAATTAAACTTGAACAAACATTAACTGTAGGTGGAACATTTGCTGATATTCAAGATAGTCATTTTCCAGATGTGAAAAGAGTTCGAGTATTTCCAAAGAATAGTTATCTTAGTTATTTGGGCGTCAAATATAGATTGTCTCGAATAATGCAACCAGACGCCTTTTTAGATCATGTGAGCATTGCTGAAACGAGAAAATCAAATAACAGAGTTATGATTTCTTTGTTAGAATAATAAAAATTAATTGAATCACAACATCTACTGCTTTACGAAGAAAAAAAAAAAAAAAAGGAAAGAGGGAAACAGCTATTAATACTAAATAATTCACTTGTAAATAGATTATTATTAGCTTCTTTTACGTACTATCTCATTTCTATCTATTTATTTATTTTTCTTTATATGCGCATTTGAATAATTAAAAAAAAAAAAGCCTCAAGTGCAATTTGAATTAAAATATTTACATTGTAATCAAATTACAAGATTGATCTTTACAATGTAAATGTATTTGATCATACCTCATTTCCAATCTCCCCCCTTTTTTTTTCACAGAAGAAAATGATTGGTCAACTTTTTTTTTTCAATTTTTATAATGACAATCAAGGAATTTAATCTATTAGAATGTATAAAGAAAGTTTTGATTGTATTATCTATATAAATAAAGTTTTCATAGACTTCTGATTTTTTTTTACTGCAACTTGACATATTTATTTTCAAAAGCTTATTTTAACTTTTAATGACTACGCGGTCAAAGTCGTTACAATAGCGTATACGGGGGAAGACTTTTTATTTTATTTTATTTTTTTTGCAAGTACTTGTATAGTGTATATTAAGAGTGTTAGTATAGTTTTTTTTTTGTTAAGCATTTTAGTGTACACTTTTATACCAATATATTCGTTATAGAGGGGGGGGGAAATCGAACGTAAATCTCCAAAGAGCTTCAATCCCTTTATATATTCATATATGCGAAGACCAATCATAAAGCTTACTATATGTTTTGCCGTCTCTCAGTTTTCATTAACAATTATACAACATTAAATTTCAAAAAAAAAATGAAATAAAATAAAATAAATATTATAGATATGACACTCTAATTCGCAATGGAGGGGGTAGTCTGCTTTGCACCCTCCTCCTCTCTATCATGAATCTATTTATAGTCTATACTTTTCATGAGCTGCTGTAAACGTATAGATTTAAAGTTTTTTTTTTTTTTAACTAGTCTGTCTTGAAGGATATTTTTGTATATTTAACTAATCTCTTATCTTTATTCTCTTTTACATTTTGTCTGACAAAGTTATTATTAACACTTCAAATTTTTTTTTTTGTATAACATTACTCTAACCAATGTATACATGTATGTTAAAAATCCAACGGATCGATACATAATAGAAGATGGATAATAGTTTATAGACATGTTGATATAGGATTTGCATAGTTTTTACTAAGCAACAAATGTATAGTAACCTATTACATAAATTTAATTGGTTGTTTCAAAATGGTCCCATTTTAGGAATCCTATAATAGCTTGAAGCTTCTATTTGATTGGTTTAAAAATAAGGGGAATCTAACAACAATAACAGTAGCAACGAGAATAACTGGATTTTTTTTTTTTTTTTAAAAAAAAAAGAAAAAATAACTATTGATCTACAACACATAAGCAATAGCTATTATATAAGTAGTAAATAAACATACATACATAATTATACGAACAACAACGTACAATATAGATGCCATATATGTTTGTACACCATGCTCTTTTTTAATAAAAAGGAAAAGAAACGTGGCATTTGTTAGTACAACTTTTATAAAATACAAGTAATACTTTTTTTTTTTAAAAAAAAATATGACATAATAATAATAAAAAAAAAAGGAAAGAAGATAAATACATTTTATAATTGACTTTTTATAAATACTCATTTATTAATATACTAAATTGCGTCATATATACAATTGAAATCCTTTACTAATACGTGTATTTAAAGGGAAAAAAAATACTTTAACTCATATTAAAGAATAAAATAAACGAGTTCTATTTTCAATTTAAAATAGAAACATGGGGACAATAGTTTAATAAATTTCTATAAATTGTCAACCTATTTTTGATGAGTCCATTCCTAATATAAGAGATTTTTTTTTATTAAAAAAAAAAAAAAAAAAAAAAAAAGGTAATAAATCAAATTGTTTTCTGTCTTTTCTTTTTTTTTTAATTTTCTTTTTTCTTCACTTTTCTTTTTTTTTTCTTCCAAATAAATATATAAATAAATATAAATACATATTTTTTTTTTTAAAAAAAAAAGAGAAATATGACAAGTAATATGGACGCCTCTTTTTCTCAAAAAGTAATTGAAAAACCAAAAAGAAAGCAAGTAAAAAATGCATGCGGTAAATTGAATAAAAATAATGCCTTTTTCTTTTCTTTTCTTACTTTTTTGCTAATTATCATTACACTTAGTGAATTGCCAAAAGGCATGCAAAAAATGTGATGATGGTAGACCATGTAAACGTTGTATTAAACTTGGTTTAACTGCAACTTGTAAAGATTCAGATAGAAAGGAACGTAAAAAAGGTGTAAAACGTGGACCTTATAAAAAACGTCAAGCCTATTTGAAAGATAAACCAGGTAATGATAATACATATACATTTATATATTTAAAATAAAAAAGCACGTTCTTATTTTTTATTATAAATAGTTTACCCTAAATTAAGAGAAATAGATGATAAAGAAAAAGAAGAGAGCAACAACCATTACTGCTGCCTATTTTATATGAACAACAGCAATCATTATTAAATCTGAATAATGATTCCATTAAAAATCAATCTTCCATATTTAACTCTTCTATCTCAAGACATCAACAATCGCCTATTCTAACAACTAATAATTCAATGATTCATTTGGATGAAGCGTCGTCGGATGAAACGTTACACTACTTTACATATGGTCTATTAGACCATCGTCAGCAAAATATAACTACGGGTTATCATCATCATGATATTATTATACCTCTTCCTTCCTTTGATTCCTCATTAAATGATCCTTCTTCTTTATCACCAATCGATTATCACCCGAGTATGACCAATTTACAGCAAAAAGAATCTATTTTACCTTTATATAACAACAACAGTAACAATGATATTCATAATTTGACTACCACTACTACGTTTATAAATGAAGAAGAAGAGAATAATATCAATTGGTTAATAGAAAGTAATTCGTTTTCTTCCTCTTCTTCAGCTTCTTCTTTTTCTAATTTTGATTTGAATTCTACTTTACATAATCATTTTTGGTCTTTTCCACCTTGTTAAGATAATATGTATGATTTTTTTTTTTTTTTTATGAATTTATAATATGATATGCCTCTTTTTTTTTTTTTTTTTTTTTTTTTAACAAACAAAACAAACTATTATTCTAGAATGTATATATAAACATGTATATGTATTTTTATAGTAACTGTAATACCAATATTATGTGTAAAGTAACCTAATTATATAAAAAAAAGGAAATTCTAATAATAACAATAAAAAAAAAATCTCCTATTATTATTTGATATATAAAATAGTTTATTACAAATTGAAGGGGAATGAGTTTTTTTTTTTTTTTCTATTATATTTCCTTATAAATATACATGTATGTATTATACTATACAGCAACTGCTTTATCATAACCTCTCTTCTTTTTACTAAAGAGACCACAGCCACGTTTCCACCAACAAATATAACTTGTAAGAGCAATGACAAAGACAACACAAACAACAATGACAGCAATAAGCCATCCAGGCATCTTGAAGCCAGGACGAACATAAGGTCTGGGTCGAGTAATGGTTACATAAGGAGGATCTGATGCATTGACACTTAATTGATATGCGATTAAACCTTGAAATGGTGCATTGTAATCAAGTGCGACCTCAGTTTGAGCATAATCATTACGTATATCATAAAATCGATCTCCCTTATCAGGACCGCCCACAACGGCGCCATATAAGATATATTTTTCCTCAGGTGGAGAAGAATTAATGTTACTAATGTCTGTACCTCCCGAGGCACCAGCATGATGTGGGTTACGGGGCGAATTCATGTGAATACCACAGACATAAGGGGTTAGCATGAAATTATCACCAAGAAGATAAGCAATCTGTCTTTCAGCAAATTTCGTATATTCTTCAGATGGATGTAATCGACTATAGAGTAGAGCCAAGAGAGCCATATCTTGAGCGGGGACAAGGGAATTTTCGTCACTATAGCCATCGCACCATAAGAGACCTCCCTTTGTATAAGAACAAGGTGAGGGAGATGGACCTGCGTCACGAATGATTGTCTCTAACATGTTCTTGGCTGCTGTTGCATATTTTGTATTATTCGCATCTAACTCTGCACCCAACACATAGACTCCGTTTGTTTGATCACTCCAATCCATAATCCCAACTGGAGTCCTTGATAGATTAAACTGATCAAAATAATCAGAGGCCTTAAGACGATAAGTATCATTGCCGGTCGCTTTATACATCCAAAGAGCAGCAAAGGTTAATTGACTTGTATAATTATTTGTAGCATAATAATCAGAGATAGCAGGAATTGCATTTGTATAGACATTACGAGGCGTAGCCGTATCTGCTAAATTAAAAAGAGAGGTAGCCCCAGATAACAAGGTACTTGCATAATCTGTATTATTAAGATAATTTCTAAATAAGTATGAGGCTGATGCTAAGGCTGCAGCAGAGATTGCAACTGCGTCTGTGCCGATCGCTGTTCGATTTACTTGGTACGACGGTCGAGGTGTTGGAATGTTTGTATCAGGACCTTTTAAGAAAATAAAAAAATAAAATAAAATAAAATAAAATAAATATGATGATTATTGCTGCTTAATACATCAAAAAAAAAAATCATTCTCTTTTACCCCAATAATTATTATCAATATTTCCATCACCTACTTGGACATAAAATGTATTTGCATTAGGATGCGCTTTCAAGATCCAATCAGTACCCCATTTCATCATATCTGATAAATAATTCACTTGATTTGCTTTCTGATAACCATCAAACCAAGTGATCGCTCCCCAAGAAACGATGGTTAAAGAATAAGACAATGGTAAAGAAAATTTTAAATAATCTCTAAATAATAAATAGGATTAGAATAATATCACGATTCATTATTACTTATAAATACCCTGCATCATAATAACCACCTGTTAAATCAACGTTATTATCACGTCCATCTAATAAACCAGAATTGGATCGCCTAAATATAAATGAGTTATTATTTTACCAAGGAAAATTGTAAAATTAAATTATATCCCTGAACTTTAAAAAAAATTCAGTCAAAAAAAAAAAAAGAATGCGATGAAACATTCCCATTACTACTGATTATGAATTTTTACCAGGTAACTCTATTATTAGAAGGCAGTTTGCCACTACGTTGTGCTTCATAAAACCATAAGGAAACGTTCATTAAATTTGCATAATGAACATTGCCCGTCACTCCAGGAGGGTTTAAGGGTCCATCTGTTATCAATGTTTCTTCTTGAGCACACACTGTGCCAATGATAACAACAATACTATTCAAAAATATAGAAAAGAGTCGCATATTTCGTATGTAAATAATCTACAATTTTATTTTATCCAAAAAAAAAAAATAAAATAAAATAAAATAAAAATAAATAAATAAATAAATAAAATAGATAATAATAAAAGAAAGAGAAAAGGTAAAATTTAAAAAAAAAATTAATCATCATCATAATAATAAAAAAAGATTAGCGGCTACTGCTGTTATCAAAGTTACCGACTGCATTTTTTTTCCAAGAAAATTTCTACTCTAAAAATAGTCTTTGAAAGGCCTCTTTAATGATTATAGTTTTTTTTTCAGTTATGTGGCTCTATTATCAATTATGCACGTATGATCTAAATAAATAAAAAGGTAATAATACAAACAGCAAAAAGGCTATTTTGATATGCATAAGCTTAAGAACTTTATTAATGAAAAAAAAAGGTAAACTTATCAAAAGGTCAGTTCTTATTTAGTTTTCTTTTGCCCTTCTTTTAATTGATTTAGACGTCGATCATCTACTCTCTGTAAAAATGCAACTTTCTCCATATATCCGTCTTTATTTTTATATGTTAATTCATCACGTATTCCTTCTCGTTCTACATATCTTTGCCAATCCAGTTTACTCTTTTCAAGCGTATTTATTTTTGGCTCTTTAATATTGTATTTCGAAATTAACGAAGATAATTGAGACTGTGGTCTTTGTGGTTTCTTTGATTTTGATTGGATTTTCAATGTATCTGTATTGTTCACTTGATTGGTGTTTCTATTTTCAAGTTTTGGGGATGATTTATCATTATTCATATCGGCCCAAATAGCGTCTATTCTTGATTTTTTATTAAGCTGAACGTCTTGTCTAAAAGGGGGAAAATAAAAAAAAGGGTATTAATATACAAATCAAATGTTTATGATTATATACATGTATATATGCTTCTATTTTACTTTAATTCTGGTGATAATCCTCTCTTATTGCTTGTTATTGCTGTTGCTGTTTCTTTTTCTCTTTCTTCTTCTTCTTCATCATCATCCGTTAATTCTTGATCATCACTATCATTTTCTTTCGAGTAATAATAATAAATATTTATATTAAAAATCAATGAATATATTTTTACATGTTTATGAATTTTACCATTAGGAACAAAATCAGAATCTTCTTCAGAATCTTGTTCAGTTTCTTTAAAATTAGTATAAAAATCTTTTAAAATTGACATTCTTTGAAAAAAAATAAAACAAGATAAAATAATATAAAATACGGAAAAAATAATAAATTAACCGTCCCGTCAAAATTATGGAATTTTGTAAAATACTATATTACACTTTTTTTTTCCTTTTATTACGTATAAATAGATATTTATGTAAAGACTACTATATTAAATCAAAGACTTCTTTTCCCCTATTTGTTGTATGTAATATAAGTGGTATTATTGATGATTTGTTTACTGAGAAATATGAAGAGAGTGATTGTAGGTCCAAGCGCCAGAATCTAAATGATGTTTAGAATCAATATGCTTCTTTAATTCACCATTCTTTTGTTGATATGCATCACCCTTAGAAGCATCGATGTCCTTTTGAAAGGTAAATAATTTTGGTTGCCAACTTTCCTTCTTTTCTTCACGTTCTTTACGTACTGAACGTTGCCATTCTTCAATCTTTGATTTTTCAGCATTTGCAATTTTATAATTCTTTTCTTGAAGGGCCTTTGTAACTGGGCCCCAAACTCGATGTGTTTCATATTCACCTTGTTCTTCAATTGGTACTGTCTTACGTTCTGCCATGGGTTCTGCTTCAGCATCAAATAAAAGTTCCTTTTTAGAATCCTTTTCATTGCTACCTGCCTTTGAATAATAAGACTGATGACTCCAACGACCCGATAAAGTATAACACAATTTGTTCCCTGAATAAAGTGAACCTTTAATATGATTGTATTCACCTCCAAACCATGGCTTTGGAACAAATTCAATGATCGCTTTTGTATTATTTGAACCAATAATTGTACATGATCCACCTAACTCAATATAAGCACCACCTGTTAATACACCCCGAATTAAAAGATCGGGGAAATCAATCATGTACTGTTCATCAAAATTCTTGAGATATAATACAGCTCTGCCAACTTGTTCAACCTTGATAGAAGTACCTTTAAACTTTGACTTTTGTCCACCTAAGAGAAAAGTTAGCATCAACGACAACGACAACAGCACACACACACACATAAAATAGAGGCATATCTATATAAATATGTATATATTTCAACTTACTGTGTCCATTTAAAGAAACACCCGCCTTTTCATCTTCAAGATAGAAAGCAGAAATTGGGGGATGATGACATACTTGTTCACAAACGCATTTAGCGTCACCCATTTCACAGAAGAATTGTTCACCCAAAATAGGATTATAAGGTTTCTTTTCATATTTACCACCTGTACAACGAGAAGCATAACTACCCCATAAAGTAGAAATAAACCAACGACAAATAGCCAAAAGACGTTCTATATAGATATATTATTAGTGTATATTATATATCATTTTTTTTTTTTTTACCTTCTGAATTTTTAGCATCATTAATAGCAGTAAAAGTTGAAGGATGATCACCCCAATATGTACTAAAATGCAGCTTATAATTAATACTCATCACACACACACACACACACACACATACATATAAATATATGTATATGTCTATTTTATTTTATTTTTTTTTGGGGAAGAATCACTTGATACATATATATGTATTTATAGTAAAATGTACTTACCCATATTCTAATAAAGATAGTCCATTTAAAAAAAAGGCAGGACAAGTTAAGGAAGAAAGGTCACCAGTAAAGCTAATAACGGTTTTCAAAAACTCTTTAAACTCTTTAAATTGTCCTTTATCCGAAGATTCCAAGTTTTTCATTGAGAGTTTATCAACGTCACTAGTATTAGGTGTTTCGTCGTCTGATGCTTTACTCTTATTAATCTTGTTATTACTAAAACCTAATGCCATTATATGTGTATTCTATCTATTTGTATGTATCTTTATATATATATAACTATATCTATATATATACGTGTATGTGTATGTGTATGAATATGTGTATATGTGTATGCGTATGTGTCTATTTATATATATAAATGTATATATATATGTATATTTGTATTTTTCTTTCTTTCTTTTTTTACAAATAAAAAAAAAAGAAAAAGAACAGAAATAGGAAAGAAAGAAAAAAAAAGCTGTATACTGAACAACTGTTTCTTATCGTGTAACAACAATGATGATAAAAAAACAATTGGATATTGAGTTTAAAATTAGTTGCTATGACAAGGTTTTTTTTGGTTTTTTTTTTTTTTTTTTGTTTTTAGATTTTACATCAAAAAAAAAAAAAAAAAAAAAAAAACTTATTGTGTTAAAATAAAGATAATAAATAGAATTAAAAAATTTAAATGTTTTTATTATAATAGCCGCCTCCGTCTTTGTTGTTATTGTCTGTATAATAAACAAACAATAAAAAAAAAAAATCGGACATAAATACAGAAAAAAAATAAACATTGCCTTATGACTGTCTTTTAACCTTTTTTTTTTGTTTTACGTAATAATATTAAAAGCTAATATTATAAGCTAATTTAGTCTAAATGGTATTATTAAAGTAGGAGTAGTAGTCATGCTTCCTTTTCCTTTATAAATACATCTTTTTGTTTTTATTCAATAGAAGATTTGACGACAACAACAACAACAACATGGTTCACTTTTTTTTTTTTTTTTTTTTTTTTAAAAAAAAATTCATTTTCCGCTTGACACGTTTTATGAATAAAATAACAATGAAAAACAAAAGAAGAGGGTTATTAGAGAAGTGTAATAAATTTAATTAGTCTAGACTTCTCTTTTAGCAATTAAAAAGTTTTTATTTATTTGTACTTTATGGAAAGAAAAAAATAGTAGTTGTCTAAAATGGCTTTTCATTCTTTGCATATATTTTCAAACAAACCATATTATACCGTTTTATCTATTCTTTACAGTCAGTCAATATCATCATCTTCTTTGCAGCCCCTAATAATACAAGCATATATTTCTTGTTTCTTCTTAAACTGCCAAGCTAGATATTTGACCATGTTTCTTTAATAGGTTTCAAGCATGCTAAATGCGATTGGGAAGGAAGAGAAGGTTAGATATACTTGTAGCTTTGAGAAGGAATCAACTTCTCTACATTCCAAAAGACTTGTAAAAGTAGGCATGTTATTCATAATGAGATACGATCCATTTACTCTCTTGGTGATCAAAGATACAGTTCAAAAAATAATAATAATAATAATAATAATAATATAATACTGTGATGCAATTGTTTACAAACGTGTATAATATCAAGATACTTACTATATTCTCATTCAGTGTAAAAGTGCCTTTTTGTTTACAAGTGACGGTTGTGGAAAAAAAAATTATTTTATAGATTCTTTTGTAGATTCTATCCTAGTAATGAGTTATCAACTATTAGATTCTTTTCTTTTCTTTTCCCCCTTTGTCAGCCATGATAAGTTGAATAATAAACGCCTTTTTTTTTTCTTCTTTTTATTGGATTGCTATTTGTATAATAAATTGATACTTATTCAATGGTCAAGAATCTATTCTACTGAACTAACGTTCTCGACTATAAGATATTAAAGGTAGTAAAGATGCGTGTATTTTACTATTGAACTCTAATATATCTTTCTTTTGATCTAATACATTAGACGGAATAGAAGCAATCTAGTTACTGCTTATATAGTATTATTATATCAATATCTATGTTTATATGTGATAATCCTTTTGTTGCATGTCATGTCCATTTTATTCTATTTAGGGTTTTACATAGAATAGATTACTTATTTACCCGGCTATTTCTATCTCACCCATTTTGTTTGAGTTTTTATAAATGAATTGCATATAATGACTAGTACACTTTCTAGAGATAAAATGAGCATTTCTTTATGATTATTAGAACCAAAGCTTTATTTTTTTGTTTTTAACACTTGCTGTAGAGTCTTGAGATCCATTAATGTAACATATCTTGTAGGGATTGTTCTTAAGAACGTGTGCAATATCATCACCCTAGTGGGAAGTGTAGTTACAATAGCTTGTGTGTGTCTCTTCTTAATTACTCTCCGGTTGGTGGGGTTTCAAGTGGATGCCATCCATTTTCAAGAAACTTCATATTTATTACCTTGTGGCTCACATAAAAAAAATCATCTCTGTCTTGCTCCAATCCTCAATAATTAGCAAGTTTCTATTTATTATTTCTCGATACTTGACCTTGGATTATCTTTTTTGAATGAAAGCCTTTGACCGCTTTCCATAAAGTTTCTGATACTGGCATCCTTCTTCGAACCAATATTTTCAAATTCCTCAGGAAATGAAGCATCCGTATATCACTGACTCGAGTTTAATTGAGAGGGGAAAAAAATCATCCATTGGCGTTACAGCTATTGAGTATTTTCAATTGACTATTTTTTTTTTTTTTTTTTTTTTTTTTAATAAAAATATTTTCTCACTTATTTGGAAAATATATTATTTATACGGTTTGTGATAAGCTGTCATTTTAAGAAGAAAAAAAAAATTCATCCACATACAATACATGTCTCTAAATCAGTTTTATATTGAATTGCCAAAGATTGAACTACATGCTCATATTAATGGTAGTTTAAGTCCTACTACCCTGTATAAATTAGTTGAAAGAAAGAAAATAGATAAACCTGAATTAGCTAATTTTAAAATTCCTGAATCCCTCGAAAATATTGATGAGTAAAAGTATATTCTTATTTTTTATATAGATCATCAAAATGACTGATTTTTTTTTTTTTTTTTTGTTTTTCCCTTGGAAATCTAGTTTCTTTCCATTATTTCATTTCATTTATCAACTTACTGACGATGAAGAAAGTGTTCGGATGGCAACACGTGATATTATTTATGAGTTTGCGAGAGATGGTGTAAAATATTTAGAGTTAAGAACAACACCAAGAAAGAATGATGAAACAGGTATTACAACATAAATAAATCAATAAAAAATGACCATAGCAACAACTTCGTTATTCATCTATTATTATGCTAAATGATAAGGCATGACAAAGAAATCCTATATTGCTGCAGTTTTATCTGCAATCCAGGAAACACAAAAAGAAAAGGAGATTGACATTATTGTTAAACTTATTCTATCCATTGATCGTCGAAACGATTTAAAGGAAGCAGAAGAGGTCGTAGATTTAGCTGTTGCTTTCAGGGACACAAATAACATTGTAGGTATTGATCTTTGTGGTGATGTAAGAGCAGGGCTTTTTGAAAATTTGAAACCTGCCTTTAAGAGAGCTAAAGAAAAGTATGGTTTTCCTATCACTTTACATTTTAATGAAGTACAAGAAAACTTGATGGAGGCGCCCTCTTTATTATCAATTCAACCAGATCGCTTAGGTCATGCAACAATACTAAATGATTATTGTCGAAGGATGATATATGACCAAAATATCCCTATTGAAATCTGTATGACATCTAATATCTTATGTAAGACGGTCCCTAATTATGAGGTACATCACCTTAAAGAACTCTTCTATGATAATCATCCATTTATTATATGTGTAAAGTGACTTTATTATTATTATTATTATTGTAAATAACTAATCTCTATCAATTTATTTCTAGACTGATGATAAAGGTGTCTTCTTTTCAGACTCCTCAAATGAATATAGATTAGCCGGTGAAGCATTTAAATTAACTCGTGAAGAGCTATTTAGAATTTCATATCGTTCTATTGATGCTATCTTTGCTAGTAACGATATTAAAAACCAGTTAAAGGCAAAATGGATTAAATGGAAAGAAGAGCATGAGGATTATTTTGTTTTATAACAATAAATAAATAAATTAATCAAATTTTTGTTCTAAAGGACGAATATAATGTTTTGGATATTCTACAGTTAATATATATATATGATGTGTATCTAATTCAATTCTTCCTGTATTAAGGTCGAAACGTGTAGGTATATGATGAGCACGTCGATCAAGAGAGACATGGTAACCTCGCTCCGATAATACATCCATAACTATGGCAGCAAAATGATTATTTCCCATTAAAGCTTCCTCACTTTTTTTTTTTTTTTTTTTTTTTTTTTTTAAAAAAAATAATAATAATATGTTAATATAAATACATGCATACTATCATGATTATACTTACGTTCTTATATTAACATGTCCACAAATAGAATGACGATGAACTTGAGGCATAACATTACTATCGATAAAATGAATAGCCTTTTTTAACATAGCTGGTTCAATATCTTGATAATGTTCTAAGCGGCTGATTAAATCCTATAAATAAATATTTATATATATATATATATGCTCTGTTAGAGAGGATACTATACACAGGTATATTAGTTTACTTGACGAGCATGAATTCCAATCTGTGATGCAACAGGAATATGAGAAATTGAATCATAAGTCTCTGAATCTAATTCTAGTGAAGATTGATATTCAAACTCTTTTAATATAATCTGTAACACATTTCTAATAGTATCTGTTGCATTGATCAGGTCTATTATCGTCATTATTAATAATAGTAATAATAATAAAAAAAACTTGAATTTATATGATCGCTATGAATAGTTAATACTTTACGAAAAGGAAACATTTTGGATAGTTTTAAGAGTGAACCATAATGTGCTTTAAATATCGCATATCTTTCACGAATTAACTTTTTTCACATAAGAAGCTTCATTAGTAAATGAACATAATAATAATACTATACTCCTTTTTTTTTTTTTTTTTTTTTTTTTTTTTTTTTTTTTTTTTTTTTTTTTTTTTTTTTTTTTTTTTTTTTTTTTACTTACTTACATTTTCATCGTTATCTGTTACACGCTCAGGCCAAATTTCACCTTGCCCAGTTTTCTTTACATTCATGTTATGTTCACGAATCATTTTACCTCTTGCTATTTGTCTTTGAACTGAAATCTCTTCATCAACATAAAGTACACAAATACGAAATACAGGTCGACTAAATAGAGATAATAAGTTTAACATTAATTTACTATATAAATATGTATATATATATATTACGGAAATTGATCCTTTTTGTCTGTGTTCCAGAACTCGCGTCTCAGTTCTGTCATACGATCATATAATAATTTCAATGCTTCAACCTGTATATCAGTACGAGGAAATCCATCTACAAGAACACCTACAGTTGGATCAGAGCAATTTAGCATAGCATGTAAAAGTAACTCAATCACGTATCGATCAGATATCATTTGACCTTGATTTATTAACTCTTTACATTCAGGTGTTTGAAGTAATTGGGAGACGGTAATAGGAGAGTTAGTAATACCACGTGCACGTAATATAGAGTTGGTATGGGTGCCTTTTCCAGATCTATGTATATTTATTATTTAATTATGTTTGTTTGTTTATTTATTTATTACATGTATTCTATTATTACCCAGGTGCTCCCATTAAAAATATAAATTCTCTGGGTAAATGAATATTTTCTTTTCCATAGTGATTCTCGATATTTTTCCATGCTTGATTAAAGATTAATTTTGCATCCTTAATCTCTTCAGCTCTTATATGTTATAATAATCAATTATTAAATAAATAAATAATGCACATATATATATTTCATCTTTACATACCTTGTTGAATCATGACTTGCTATTGTACGAGACGAACTAGATGCTAAATTAAACCTTTATTTTTTTATGCCTTTTTTTTTCTTTCTTTCTTTCTATATGCTTACCTGTTGGTTCAGGTACTGCAGATAGTTTCCTCGGTAAAGATAGGGTTGTATAATAAGCTAAACTTTTATACTGACTAGCAAATATCTTTGAAGTAATTGGTTTATTGCAGTTATACGGTCTACGTAATAAGAGAGACAACATAATTCTACCTGTAATTGCTGGCATTTTTTTTTATACAAATAATGATAAAAAGAAAGAAAGAAAGGAAATAAATAGAAAACATGAACTTTTTTTTCCCTCTCTTTTATTATTTCTATGTAGACCCTAGTGACTCGAATTACACACATCATAGATCAAAAGAGAATGATATCATTAAGAATAAAGGGGAAGTTGGGAATAGGGAGGTTTCACTAATACTAAAAATAGAGCTAATGAATTTAAACAATTAATCACATTATTTTGTAAATGAACGATACTATAATAGATACAATATCTATATACATATACATATTTATTGAAGAAAGTACATGGAAGAATCTTTAGTTGAAGTATTAAATAGAAGTAAAAGTAGTATCCTTTTTTTTTATCACAAGTAACGAAGACTATGAAAAAGTAGCATAATTCACAGAATCAAAATAAAAAGAAAGAATGAACAAGTTTTGATAATTCTATTTTGTTTAGTTAATTGATGCAACTTATTTTTGCTGTCAACTTATATTTAAATTATTGAAGAAGAAAAAAAAACCTAGTAATTACTGTTTTAGTTGCTTCTTCTATTAAAGACTTTATTAATAAAGATCTGTAGTCATAAAAATAGTTTAAAAGCCATAAAAAAAAGGACTATAATGAGATGCAACAAAATTCATTTTTATCTTGCATTAGTAAATATAGAGGACAATTTACATAATTCTAATGTATTAAATATGATAGACCTTAAGGAAAAAAGAATCGGTTTCTTTTTCAAAATATATTTCGAATAGATGAGTTTAGAAAATTAACTACTAAGAAATATTACAGGATCTAAATATCGCAAAGGATAAAGGAGTATGCATTGGTCACTATAAGGCAAATTTATCAAGACAATATATAAATTCCAGTTATAGTCTTTAGGAATAAAGATACTGTAAAGTTTAAGAGTGTAAGAATAGAAACCACTAATATACTGTAAAGAACATGATTGGACAGATAAGGGTAGGTAGAATATGAGGATTTGATTGTTCATGGCTTTGAAACTTACAAAGTAATAAATTAGTATTGATCTCTTAACCTCAATACAATATGTTTACTTTTATATATAAAACACAGTTAGTGTCTATGTTTTGAAAGAAGTTTTATACCTGCAATAATAGGCTGTTATGATGTTTTAACATACCAAAGCTGTAAGGTGCTGTAGCAACGTGATTGCGAAATATATTTATCCATTATTCAATGAGATACTAACTAGTTGCCATCAGATTTTCTTCATTCCCTTGTTAGAAATAATAATATGCCTATCTCGAACATGGCGTGTTTTTTGTTCTTTTTTTTTTTCTAATGAAAAGTTTGAAGTTTTTGCATGCAAATATGTCTATGAATTATCTTGCTTCTTTTCAAATTTGTATCTAATTGATATATACACATATATAAAGCTTTCTAACCAGTCTTGAGTTCATCCGAAAACAACGTATTATTCTTTTTCGGGGAGGGGTTTTTTTTTCTACCTTTGACCCTAAAGAGAGTGTTTAACATATTATGCCCAATTCAAGTTGTTTTTTTTTTAAAAAAAAAAAAAAAAAGATTGTTTAAACGTGTTATGCTCATCATTATTTAATTTAATCTTGCTGCTGCATAAATGACTTTAGACTCAGCCCATATAAATAAAAAATAAAAAAAATAGATACTGGAAATATTATAGCCATTACTGTAACATTTATCAGAGTAGCATCATTAAACTAATAACAATAATAATAAAAGAATATGTAGCAGCCTGTTAACCTTTTACTAGTGTTTACAACTCACTATAGAATAAGTTCTATTTTATACAAAAGACTCTATTTTGTCGTATGCGTAGTATGTTTATATATAAATAAAAATGATAATTGTACTCTACTTTCATTTTGTCAAGTTGTCTTAGTAGCAAATAAAAGAGAAATATTATATTTAAATACAGACATTCTAAACAAAGTAATATGCAAGATTCATTAGAAACTATTTTTTCCACACTTAATATAGACGGTTAAAAAAAAAATTGTTTATCAAGATCTAAGCAGTCTTTGCTAGATGAAGGAGAAAAAAAAAATAGATATTTAACTTTAAATAGTAATGAAAAAAGGGTGACGTTATTATTATTTTACTAGTGTTAAAAATTCCTATTTGATTCGTTTTATAATTATTATCCCTTCAATACGTTATTGTACTTCATGAAATGTCTTTTTTTACAAGACGGTTGTTACACTCAACGCCAATACGACTAGCATTAGGGACCAGCTTAATTGGTACAGGCATCTTCACATATGATTATAATACAGAAGCACAAGTTTTAACAAGAAACGTAAGAACGTTTTACAATGGTATTGCATTAGCCATTGATTATAAAGTAAACTTTCAACCTGGACATACAAAAGAAGAAGCAATGAAAATTGAACAAATACATGAGCGAACTGCAAATCGTGTTTTCGATGTTTTTGAACGTAACGCTGGATTGTACATTAAAGTTGGACAAGTGATAGGTACGCAAGCAGCTGTTTTACCCTCAGCCTATCAACGAAGAGCGGTACAACTATTCGATTCAGCTCCTGCAGTTCCATTCGAATCGGTTGAACGCGTATTCATGGAAGATTTTAATGGACTTCATCCAAATGAAGTATTTGCTGAATTTGACACGATACCCGTTGCTTCTGCATCCATTGCTCAAGTCCATAAAGCAAAATTAAAAAATGGCGATCTTGTAGCTGTCAAGATTCAAAAACCTGCAATTCGAAAACAAATGGATTGGGATTTAGCTGCTTTTCGCCTTTTACTTAAACTATACGAACATATTTTTGATTTACCTTTGTCTTGGTCAAGTGACTATATTGAAGAGCACATGAGAATGGAGGCCAATTTCAAAATTGAAGCAAAGTAAAGTTTATCTTTCTCCCTCTCCCTCTATTTATTTTATATATTGATTAAGATTAAATAATTATAGCAATGCAAAGAAAGCATGGAAGCATTTACAAGAAGAGAAAGCACTAAAAGATAGAGTTTATGTACCAAAAGTGTATGATGAATATAGTTCTGAAAGAGTACTAGTATGTGAATGGATAGACGGTATTCAATTAACAGATATAAAAGTTCTTAAAGAAAATGGCATTGATTATACAACAGCCATGAAAACAGCAATAGAAGTATTTGCAAGTCAAATATTTCGTAGTGGATTTGTGCATGGTATATAAATATCACGAATAAATATATGCATATATATATAAAGAAAATGATTCTGGATACTTAATATAAATTATATTATTTAGGTGATCCTCATCCTGGTAATGTATTAGTACGAAAAAATCCAAATAATAAGAACCAAATTCAGGTTGTGTTGATTGATCATGGACTTTATATTCAGGAAGCAGAAAAGTAAGTTTTTTTTTTTTAAAAAAAAAAAGACAACGAAAAAAAGTATTACTCACAAATAAATTAGATTCCGTTTAGAGTATTGCCAATTATGGGAGGCATTATTCATGTTGGATATACCAAGGATGTCAGAGATATGTAAGGAATGGGGTATACATGATGCTACGATGTTTGCAACAATCACGCTACAACGACCCTTTTCTGGTAAAAAAGCAGTTCATATAGACCAGAAAGTTGATTTAAACGAAATGTATGAATTACAGACGCATATGAAGGAACGGATAAAAAACTTTTTATATGATCAAGCGTTATTCCCGAGAGAATTGATTTTTATTTCGAGAAATATGAATATTGTTAGAGCAAATAATAAAGCAGTTGGTAGCCCAATTAACAGAATCAATATTATGGCTCGTTGGGCTGTTTTAGGTCTATCAAAAAAGAAAGGATCTTGGCTTAGTTGGAGATCCGTTGTGTTTGAGTGTACATTATTCTTAATGAGTGTAGGATTCTGGTTAGTTAGACTTAAAAATGCTGCAAATAAATTACTTTTTGATAAAAAATCTCGAGGTTTAGAAGATATTTTAGACGAAAGAATGAGAGATGAGGTATAGCTTATAATGGAAATGAATAAGAAGGATTTCTTAGCTAATTACTATTTTTTTTTTTTTAATTTTTTAATAACACTTACTAGATGTTTAGACAATTTGGTGTTAAAGTAGATCCAGCTGTATTCGATGGCTAAATCCTTTAAAAGTTAGAATAAAGAAATATATATTTTTAATGACTAATAACAAGCTTATTTTAATTAAATGATTCATTTGGCAAATTTATGTATTATCAAATGAGAATATATTCATAACTTTGGTTTGCTTTTTTTATTTTTTCTTTTCCCTTTAACGAAATTGCATAAAATAAATTGCTCCGGCCCGCATACTAATTTTTTCTGCGTCTAAACGTGACGATGATAGAAGCGGAATTGGAATAGTGACTCCTTTTATCATGGAATTTTTTTCTGACCTTTTAAATATTTTCTAGAGTTCAGAACATATTGTGTTCCCTCCCTAACTTCTATCCACTAAAGGTAATGTATAGATTTAAAGACGATATTCATCCATCCATCCATCCATCGAGTTGTGCTAAACAACCATTTATATAGTTTATCAAAATGGGTAAAGAGAAGACTCACGTTAACGTTGTCGTTATTGGTCACGTCGATTCTGGTAAGTCCACCACCACTGGTCACTTGATTTACAAGTGTGGTGGTATTGATAAGCGTACCATTGAAAAGTTCGAGAAGGAAGCTGCTGAACTCGGTAAGGGTTCCTTCAAGTACGCTTGGGTTCTTGATAAGCTTAAGGCCGAACGTGAACGTGGTATCACCATTGATATTGCTCTCTGGAAGTTCGAAACCCCCAAGTACCACGTCACCGTTATTGATGCTCCTGGTCATCGTGATTTCATCAAGAACATGATTACTGGTACCTCTCAAGCCGATTGTGCTATCCTTATCATTGCTGGTGGTACTGGTGAATTCGAAGCCGGTATTTCCAAGGATGGTCAAACCCGTGAACACGCTCTTCTTGCCTTCACCTTGGGTGTCCGTCAATTGATTGTTGCTATCAACAAGATGGATACCACCAAGTGGTCCGAAGCTCGTTACAACGAAATCGTTAAGGAAGTCTCCAACTTCATCAAGAAGATCGGTTTCAACCCCAAGTCTGTTCCTTTCGTCCCCATCTCTGGCTGGCACGGTGATAACATGTTGGATGAATCCACCAACATGCCCTGGTTCAAGGGATGGACCAAGGAAACCAAGGCTGGTTCCAAGACTGGTAAGACTCTTCTCGAAGCTATCGATGCTATTGATCCCCCTACCCGTCCCGTCGATAAGCCTCTCCGTCTTCCCCTTCAAGATGTCTACAAGATCGGTGGTATTGGTACAGTCCCCGTCGGTCGTGTCGAAACTGGTGTTATCAAGGCTGGTATGGTCGTCACTTTCGCTCCTTCTGCCGTCACCACTGAAGTTAAGTCCGTCGAAATGCACCACGAAACCCTCGCTGAAGGTCTTCCCGGTGACAACGTTGGTTTCAACGTTAAGAACGTTTCTGTCAAGGATATCCGTCGTGGTAACGTCTGTTCCGACTCCAAGAACGATCCCGCTAAGGAATCTGCCTCTTTCACCGCTCAAGTCATTATCTTGAACCACCCTGGTCAAATCTCTGCTGGTTATGCTCCAGTTCTTGACTGTCACACTGCTCACATTGCTTGTAAGTTCGCCGAATTGATTGAAAAGATCGATCGTCGTAGCGGTAAGAAGCTCGAAGATGCTCCCAAGTTCGTCAAGTCTGGTGACTCTGCTATCGTCAAGATGGTTCCTTCCAAGCCCATGTGTGTTGAAGCTTACACTGAATATCCTCCTCTTGGTCGTTTCGCTGTCCGTGATATGCGTCAAACCGTTGCTGTTGGTGTCATCAAGTCCGTTGAAAAGGTTGACCGTGCCGGTAAGGTTACCAAGGCTGCTGCCAAGGCTTCCAAGAAATAAATTTCTTCAACTTGAAAATTGAATAAAATAAATAAAAAAATTATAATCATGGATTATTTTTTTGTTAAAATATTTGAAAGTTTATTTTTTTTATACCAATATGCAAGTATACTAAAAAAAAAAAACTTGTATGCTTATCGGATTTTATCTTTACATTAATAAGGAGATTTTCAAACGCTATTTTGATATTCCAATTGTAACTAAAAAGTATATTCTTAATGACTCAAATAATAAACGGTTTATAAGTACTTTATCAAGTTGATGTCCTTAATATGAAACTATGCTTCAAGATAGTGAGCATTGAGTAATGTTCTTTATTCTATTCCATGTTATAACATCGATTAATGTAACAGCCCACTAAAATTAAAATTAAGCAATATAACATTTTTGTGATTAACGATAAATAATTTGAACTTGAGATAGTTTCACTGCACACAAAAGAATAATAAATACATATTAATAATAGCAAGATGTTCATTTTATGAATAAGGAACTTTATTTTTTTTTTTTTTTTTATATACATATTTGTGTGTATAATTCTTTAACTAGGAAACAATTGTATTATTTTTAATATTATTAGTATAAAAAAAAAATAATAATGCTTCTGCCTGAAGATTATTTGGTATGTATCGGATAAATCAAGATAATTTTTTTTTTTTTTTTGTTTTTGTTTTAAACATGTCGGGTTTGCAAGTTATTTTCAGGGAAAACACAGTTTCACTATTGCTATTGTCTTATAGCATATTTATTACATTATCAAGATTTTTTATTTCACTAATTTCTTCAGTTTTTTTTTTTTTTTTCCTGCCATTTTTTTTTTTTTTTTTTTTGTCATAATTGAAATTATACATGACAATATAAATGAAAACGTTTTTCAATTCAACTAATCTAGAATCAGTAATCAAAGTTACCGGTTACCATTTTGAAGAACCTACAATATTAGAAGGCGTCGATAATGTAGTTATCGCTCATGGTATTAGGTAAATACTATATTTTTTCATGTTACAGAAAAATTTAATAATAATCCTATTTGTAGAAACAGAGATAAATTGCCAGTGATAGCTAAATTGTCACACCAACCATTACAATTAGAAAGAGAATATCATATTGTACAACGTTTATATAAACAATCATCGTCTAAAGAGCTTTTATGTAAGCCCTTAGACAAGGCAACTTGTACAAACAATGATATGATTGCATTTATTTATGAAGATTGTTTGGATAACTGCTTAACTCACTATTTCCAACCAAACTATACCATAACTGATTTACATAACCAACAGCCCTATATTGCTTTAAATGATTCAACAAATATGACTACGAATATTGTAAAGCCATACATTTCTTTAAAAAAGTTTTTAGAGTTTGCAATCCAGTGTTGTAATTGTTTAGAAATGATACATAAACATCAAAGTAAGTTTTTTTTTTGTTAATAATGTATTATTCATGATTACTCATATATATATTTATGTATATGTGTGTATATTTTTAGTTATTCATGGTGAAATTAAACTAAATAGTTTTTTATGGCCAAAGAATGGTTCAGTAAAAATTTGGAATTTTGGTTCAGGCTCTCATAGTCTTGAACAAAGTTTAACTTCAGAAGGTTGGAGAAAGGCAGTACAACGTAATGGAGCTAATAGTTTATTACAAAGATTAACTTATGTCAGCCCTGAGCAAACGGGTAGAACATCATTTCAGCCTGATCATCGTACTGATCTTTATAGTCTCGGTATTACGTTTTTTGTTGCTTTAACTCAAACATTACCTTTTGCTCATAACAGCCCTATGGAAATTGTACATAATGTTTTAAATAAGAAGTTACCCTTTGTTCATGAAGTGCGTCCAGAAACACCTGTAGCTATTTCAATGATTATTGAAAAATTAACTAATAAGGTAAGGTATATATGTATATGTATATATATATATTAAATTCATATACACATATATATATATATTTATGAATTATTCAAGTCACCAGATGAAAGATATACAAGTGCTCATGGTTTAAGAGAAGATTTAAAAGAATGCTTAAAGCAACTTGAAAGTAATACAGCTACAATTTCACCTTTTCCCTTGGGCAAATATGATATTGCTAGTATTTTTACTTTACCCAATAATGGATGCTTTGGACGAACAAAAGAATTAAATTTAATTAATGCCATTATAAGAAGGACAGCTTATATGTGCGGATTTAATATCAGAAGATATAGAGCAAATTCAGATGGTACTACACCAACAGCAGCTGCTATTTTTACTCCATTCAAACTCACAACAGAAGAACAATCACCTTCTTATAAACGTGTTAACAATAGAAATGAAGCAGTTAATGGTCAAAAAAGTACGAATAAAGTACATCATAATCGAAAGAGACCAACTGAGATTATAGCTATCTATGGTAATACAGGTGTTGGAAAATCAACATTGATTAGAAATATTCAACAGTTTGCTCGAGAATATGGCTATATTGCTGTAGCCAAATTTGATACAAGACAGCCGACGCCTTATGGTTGTATTTTAAGATGTCTATCTATCTTTTTAAAAAATATCTTAACTGAGCCTACAACAGAAATTGAGCGTTTTCGAAAGATGCTCAAAAATCAGTTAGGTGTTGAAACAATTGTTCAATTACCTACTCTTTTGGTTGATAACGTACCCGAATTAGCATCTTTTTTGGATCAACCATTATTACAAAGAGCTGCAAATAGTAGTAATTCTTCTTCAACTACAGGCTGTGAATGGGATATGGAAGGTGGTGAGATTAAGTTAAGATTTCATTCTGCCTTTATTGAAATTTTTCAAGTGATGGTCAATTTTAAATTCGTAACATTGGTAAGTAATTATCTATTATTTAATATGTAAATTTTTCTGTATTTTTCTGTATTTTTCTGTGTGTGTATTTTTTTTTTTTTTTTTTTTTTTTTTTTTTTTTTTTTTTTTTTTTTTTTTTACCAAATATTAATTTATATCACGTCATTTTTTTTAAAAAATAATTTAAAGTTTTTGGAAGATCTACATCAAGCAGGTAAATGAACAAAAATAGTAAAATTACCCATAATAATCTTTATATATATATTTTTAAGAAAAAATCTGTATTACTCTAATACTATTTTTATTTTGTAGATGAAGCATCTATTGAGTTATTAAATTCTCTTATCTCATCAAAGCTTGATTTTCTTATTATTTTAACTTATAGAGACAATGAAGTATCTAATTTAATTACAAAACTTTTATCTAATGAAGATGCAGTCATAAGCTACGTTAAAATTGAAAATTTAGACCAAACAGCTCTTATGGAGCTTGTTCGAGCCACTATGCATCGACATGAAGAAATAGATATCGCTCTATTAGCTCCTCTTATTGAGTTTATTTATAAAAGAACTCATGGAAATCCCTTTTACGCTTGTCAACTGCTCATGACATTAGAAAAGAAAAATTTAATTTATTTTACTTGGGAAAAGAGACGCTGGGAATATAATTTACAAGAGATCGATAAAGCACTTTTATCGGAAATGAAAGAAGATACAAATGGGGATATGAGTATAGAATTTTTAGTTCGTCGATTAAAGGAATTACCAAGAGATGGTAGAAACTTTTTAAAATGGGCATCATTTATCGGAAACAGTTTTAATTATGAAACTGTTAGGAACTTAATGATGGAACATGAAGGTATTGATGAAGATGATGAAGACGAATATTATTCCGAGGAAGATGTCAGTGAGTCTGAAGAGCGATTCGGGAAGCAAATCATTGTATCATCTGCAGACACCACCTCTACCTATTCTGCCACTCATAATAGTGGTAAACGTAAATATGATGCTATTAACGGTCTTCAATCAGCCTTACAACAGGGCTATATTCAAACCGTAAATAATGATGAATTTCGATTTACACATGACCGATATTCACAGGCAGCCATGATGTTAGCTTCCCCCGAAAAGCAAGATTTACTACATTTAAAAATTGCTGTTCATTTCATGAGAAAAGAAAAGGTCGACAAGTTTTGGGTAGCGGATCATGTAAAAGCCGCTATGCATCTTATAAAAGGGGAAGATGTTAAAACACCCTATCGTAAGGTACTTTTACAGGCAGGAGACAAAGCTTTCGACTCAGGTGCACATAAATTGGCCTTTAGTTATTATTCAGCAGCTTGTCAGTTATTGTCTACAAAGGAAGATCCTTGGAAAGATGGCGATGATTCAAATTATGTAGAGACACTTCACTTATATACACGTCTTGCTGAAATTAGTTGGTTTATGGATTATGATTTAACCCGTGGTTATCTTGATGCAATTTTACATCATGCGCAATCTGCTATTGATCGTGCAGCAGCATATCGTGTACAACATCGTTATCGTTGGTCCTCTTTAGGTAGCCACAAGAGCTCTTCTATCCTATTAGAATGCCTGCGTGAATTAGGTGTAAAAGACATCGATATAAATCTTGACAAGAAACAATTAATGCAACTTTATACTACTACACGTCAAGAAGTTCTTAATGTAGGCATGGAAAATATTTTAAAATTACCGGTTTGTGATAGCCGTTTGATTCGTACTCGATTCTCTATTATGGAAGAATTTTGTCTTTGGGCTTACTGGACAAATGATATGCGGGCTATGCTTTCTGTTGGTTCACGCTTTGTAATAAAGACTTTAAAGAACGGTACAACACCTACGACTGGTGTAGGTTTTGTATTCTTTGGTATTGCTGTTATGAAATTATTCAAGGCATATAAATTTGGTGAGCAAATTGGCGAGATAGGTGTTGCACTTTGCAATAATTATGGTGGAAATTCTGAATCAGGTCGTGCTCGTTACCTTTATTCTGCTTTCCTAAGTGTATGGAAATATCCATACCACAAATCGATTCCGATGACTCGTTTAGCTATGAAGCAAGGTTTATTAGGTGGTGATCGTATATATGCTACATTAGCACATTTATATACAATCAGTGGTAGCTTCTTTATTGGCGAGAATATGGCTGATGTATTACGTGATGCTAAAATGTGTCTAGAGGAGAGTGATAACCATAGGATGAATTCTAGCATGATCATATATATAACCACCATTATTCGTGCTATCTCGGCGATACAAGGGAAAATAACGTTGACAGATGAAGCACTGATTTTTGACGATAAAGAATTCCAAGAAGCGAGCTTCATCAAAAATATAGAAACACAGCAATTGGATGTAGGTTTTCTTTTATATTTTTATTATGCAATGAAATCAATAGTTCTGGGGCTTTATCAGTTTGATTCTGCAACGATCCAACTTAGTTCTCAATATCTACATATGGCAGATTCTTTACCTTCAGCTCGTTATACACATTTAATGTTTTTCTTCAGATGTATTAGTCTTATTCGAGTTATCAGAAATAAAAAGGCAAATCAGAAAGATTTAGAAGAAGAAATGGAAAGTTGTCGTACTCGTCTAGTTGAATGGGCAGAGCATGCTCATTCCTTAAATATCCAATTACATGTCACTTGTATAGACGCTGAAATTGCAGACTTAAATGGCAACCAGCTTGAGGCTCAAAGATTATACGACCTTGCTATTCGAAAAGCTAAACAAGGCAAATGGAATATTGAAATGGCTCTTTTCCACGAGCTTGCAGGAGATTTCTATCTTCGACATGATCTTTCTTCTATCGCACTTGTTCTGATTGAAAAATCAATTTCTGCTTATCAACATATGGGTGTTTATGGAAAAGTTACCCAAATACAGCTACGATATAAGGCATTGCTAAAGGAAGGTCTTTCTTTTGTTCATGCAAAGGAAATCAGTGTACAAACTAAGGCTTATCAACCCTCTGTTAAACGTGAATCAATTGGTGACTTGGGCGTACCTAGGTCTAGCTCAACCGACATGTTTGATAATTATGATAAAAATGTTAGTGATAAAAATTCGAGTCCTGAAGAAACTTTATTATCGTTAGATGTAGTTGATTTAGCCTCCATTCTTAAGAGTTCACAAGTTATATCAAGTGAAATGAATTTTGAGCTTTTAATGAAACAAATGCTTGGTATTATTTTAGAAAATTCAGGTGCTGAATCAGGTGTTATCATTATTCGAGAAAATGCTTCGTTTTTGATCGTTGCTGTTGGTTCACAAACAGACGGTTGTGAAATTTTCACAAAACCAAAGTTGCTATCTGAAGAAGCGGATTCTATTATCACCCGTATCTCTCAGTATGTGATTCATTCTCAAGAATCCTTATTTATCGTAGATGCACAGCAAGATTCAAGGTTTTCTGATTGTACTACATTAGCCAAATCATGTATCTGTACACCTATTATTCATAAGACTGCTATTGTAGGTTGTATATACATTGAAGGGGCTGTAGGTTCTCTAACGTCTCGTCATGTGACCGTAATGCGTTTATTGTCTCAACAAATTGGTATCTCGATAACAAATGCTTTATTATTTAAGAGTGTTCAAACAGTAACTCTTGCAAACGTTCGAATGATCGAAAACCAAAAAGCAGCCTTAGAAGAGGCTCGAAGAAGTAAGGAGGCAGCAGTACATGCCATGAAATTAAAAGCAGACTTTTTGGCAAATATGTCTCATGAATTGCGTACTCCATTTTCTGGTTTTTATGGCATGATATCACTTTTGTCAGAAACAGCGTTAGATGCTGAACAGCAAGATATCGTACATACGGCAAAGGAAAGCTGTGAAATGTTATTAAAGATTATTGGTAAAAATAGCTAGATGAACTAGTTATCTTTTTGTTATTATTATTTTCTTTTGTACCAAAATATTTACTTACGAATTGAATTAATTATAGATGATTTATTAAATTTCTCAAAGTTAGAAGCAGGCAAAGTAGCATTAGACTTGGGGCTGTTAAATGTAGAGGAAGTAATTGTAGATACTATTGAAATCTTAAGTTCATTAGCTGCTCGTAAAGGATTAGAATTAGCTTATATTGTTGATTCCAATGTTCCAGACACTGTTGTTGCGGATTCCTCTCGTTTGCGTCAAATTTTGACCAATTTACTTGGAAATGCTATTAAATTCACTCATCATGGTGGTGTTGTTATAAAATGCCATCTAGTTACTGATGATACTGAGACAGCAAGTAGGGATGACTTTATTCGTTTAAAGTTTGAAGTCATTGACACTGGCATCGGTATTCATCCTGGACAACAGCAACAATTATTTGAACCCTTTTCACAAGTGGATGGCAGTACAACACGTATGTATGGTGGTACAGGTCTTGGTTTATCTATTTGTTTGCAGCTTGTTCGTTTGATGAGAGGCCAGATTGGGGTTGAATCAGAGCCCGAAAAGGGATCCAACTTTTGGTTTACAATTGTGGTTAACAAAGAAAAAGAAGAGAGTAATCCAAACACGAATTATGTATCAAAAACATCTGCTCTTCGATTTGCTTTACGTGATCAGACTATTTTATTGGCCACACACAGTGATCTGAATGCTAAGATGTTCCGTACTTTACTAGCTGACTTTAAGGTAAAGCGTACGGCAGATGTACATCAAGCAGTTACTATAGCCCTTCAAGAGCATCATCCTATTTTAATCTTGGATATTCCTCCTAAGCCTAGTAACTTTATAGCTCCTCAGCTTCAAAGTGTTGATGATGATCCAGAATGTGAATTACATATTATCTTATTATATACACCATCCACTGAAGGTCATAAACTAGCTGCGGAAGCTACTAATTCTGCTTCAGATCGACGTGGTCGTTTAGTAAAAATGGCAAAACCTATACGTAGAGCAAAGCTTTTATGCATGTTAGAACAAGTTCTTGGACAAAAGCGTGACTCACCTTTACCAAGATTACCTATGCCTCTCGGAAATCGTATGATTGATTATTTTGAGAAAAATGAGCTCTCTTGGTATGCTGATAAGCATGTTTTAATTGCTGAAGATAACATGGTAGCTCAAAAATTACTTCGAAAACAACTGGAAAAAATGGGATTTATTGTTGAATGCGCAAATAATGGTGAAGAAGCAGTTAATCTTTGGAGAGAAAAGCCTCTAAACTATTTTTATATCGGTTTCTTTGATCATCATATGCCAAAGGTATATATAAATATATATATATATATAGAAAATATGATAATTACTTATATTGATACCATATAAATATATTTGTATAGTGCGATGGGGTTGAAGCTACAAAACGTATTCGTGCTTATGAGGCAGGAAAAGAGAGTCGATTACCAATTGTAGCATTAACTGCGGATATTCAAGCATCAGCCAAAGAGATATGTGTAGAAGCAGGCATGGATGGATATCTAACAAAACCATTGATACCAAAAGAATTAGCAGCAACTTTACGACAGTTAAATCCAGTCATTCAAAAACATTATGAAGGCTCTACTTCATCTTCTGTATAATATTTGTATTTCGTATATAATTTAAATAATACTACTGATGTGCAATCCTTATTATTATTATTATTATTAATTTAGACTATAGATTATTTAACTAATATATTTTTTTTAATAAAAATGCATTAATTCCTTATTATACATGCATGCAGAGTTTTGGATAAATTTATTATACAAGTATGAAGTACAAATAAACATAATGCTATGTTAATAATACATGTAGATTAATAAAAACTAACAATTAACATATAAGATATTTACAAATCAATAGAAAAGAAGAAGAAAAGAGAGGTGAGGTAAAGTTAGTTCTATAATATATATGTGTATATAAAAAGAAAAGAAAAAGAGTCGATTAAATCTGATCTGGAAGTTCTACAGTGTCTGGAATATAACTATTAATCATTTTATTTGTCGCTGGCGATGTTGTAGTTGATTCTATTTTTCTCTTTTTAATTCTTTCTGAAGGTAATACACCGCCATAAAAGCGTGTGCTTGTATCAAGACATTTGCATCTCCAAATGATATGTTCCTTTGACCATAATTCTTTTAATGTTAACGTTGTATTATCTAGATCATCTTTTGAAGATGAATTAATTGTTATTAAAGATTCCACATAATAAAAAGCAATTGCAGCTTTTTCATAATCATAATTTTTGCGCACATAATATTCTTCTAGTTTCTTCCAATGTTGTTTTGTCCATTTAACTCCATTATCGACATTAATATCACTAGCAAAGGTATCAGATCGTAAAAATGATTCTGTTAGTTTATTTGGAGAGTGCTCAATAGTGGGACTAGAATGCTTTCTTTTTAAAGGTGTGCTAATTGCAGAATCAGTGTTCATTATTTCAGTTGCTTTGAAATTATTTTGAGATGATGATGACTCTGAAGATGGACTTTTATATTTTGGACTTAAGTCAGACTTCTGCAAATTATTGTAGGGTTGAAAAGGGGATTTTTCAGTCTTCATATAATATTGTTTGATCAAACTAAGAAATGAGAAAAAAGAGTTTTTTTTTTTTTTTTTTCTAATGTGACTTTTTCAATATTTGTCATACAATTTATTATATTAACTTATGCACAAAGCTATTTAATGATTATGTTAATTTATTTCATTTATGCATTGAATAATATGTACGAATACATAAAGACCTTTCCCCTTTATTATTATTATTATTACTTATTAACTCCTCTCTTTATTGTCGTTATTATGATTCACTTTCTTGTTGGTGCTCAATACTTTGGTAGTTATCATCAAAAGGATTTGATACATCTCCTAATGATGTTTGATGATTCAAAGGCTGTGTCACGCTTTGAATCCAATAGGACGGCATAGTATGATTAGGAGCAAAATTGAGTAAATTTGGATTATTAATTCGTCTTCCAAAATTGCTTGTATGTGCAAAATAAACAGGAACCCACATCGAAGGTATAGGAGCAGCATCTTGATGATACAAATCATTCACTGATGAACTATCGCTCTCTTCACGTAAATCTCGAATTTGAGTCACAATAGCTTGTTCATATTTTGGTGGTGATGCATATAAAGATAAATAAGCAGGAAGAGGCTCACGATTATTATGAATGGATGAAGTATCAGATGATATATTTGAAGAAAAAGAGGGTTGACCTGTATAAAGATATGCCTGATGAGGCTGGCGTAAAGTTGATAAGTCTGGTGATATAGAAGAAAAAGAAGGTGGAGCAGAATTAGGAATCGAAGAGAGTGAAGCATGATCGATAGATTCCATTTCTGACAGACCTTTTTTTCTCCATAATCTACCTTTTGCTATTCTTATATTTTGCTGCTTTGTAAATGGCCACCATCTATTTTTTATACATATTCGAAGTGTCCATAGTAATGCAATGCTTAATACAAGACAGCAAGCAGCTGTTAATGCAATTACAGCTGGATTATGAAAAGATGATTTGTCAGAATAATAACTTTGGCTATTGTTATGTTCTATTCCTGATCTATTATTTTCACTATGAGAATTACTATTATTGCTCTGTAAATTATTATTATTTGATGGCTGCTGCTGCTGCTGTTGTTGTTGTTGTTGTTGTGGTGGTGGTGGTGGTAGTGGTTCAGATATTGGAGGTGGTGCACCATCGCTTGCTATTAACATACAAGTCGATGGATTACATGTCAGATTGTGCCATGCATACATTACAGAAGGATTTGAATTTTTACGATACTGATAGCATTCTGTACTTGTTGCACAATAACCTATTTATATTATTCCTTTTAGACTTTTTGTTTCAAGTATACACGATAACAATAAAGTCTATTTTACTTCCATCTTCATCATTTTCACTTGATAAACAATAATCATACCAATTATACAAGTTATTTATACCAAACTGAGTTGCATTACAATTAATACTGTTGCTATTAACAGTTTTACTTAAAATACAGGAACTTTCAATACACATAGCGCAGTATTTACAAATCCCATTTTGATCACATCGTTGGCCTGAAATAAATGCACAATCATCATCATCATCATTATCGTCCATAGTATCGGCTTCATCTAAGGCAGAATCTATTTGTTGATATGTAGGTAAAATTATATTAAATATTAACACAGAAAATATTAAAATTTTCAATAAATACTGCATTATTTCTTAAAAAAAAAAAAGAAAAGAAAAGAAAAAGACTAGTTCTTTTTTATTTTATTTTATGTATTTATGATCTACAAAAATTTTATACAGAACGATTCTGATTTATTTGCAGGATAAAGTTCTGCTAAAATGACATATAAGTCAGTATTATATTTAACTGAAGAATAAAGTTTTCAGAGAAGTTAATTATTAAAAAGGAAAAAAAAAAAGTCTGTTACAAGCAAACTGCAAATAAGAAAAAAAAATTAGAAGAGCAAAATACAATACAAAAGAGAAACGAGAAATTGGCAATTGTTAATAATCAAAAGGAGTTAAAGGGAGGGAGAAGAAGACATACAAAAATAAAATTTCAGGAGATTTAAAGGAGACAAATGTATAAGGTTAGAAAGTATATATTTTCTCCATGGCTTGACGTTGAAGTATGCCATGTTGAAATCTATTAAAACCATTTAAAAAGGAGAGTATTGCAATAAGTTAATAAGCTTACTTTTTTAATGATTCATTTTCTTTTAAAAGTCTTTCTACTTCTGATAATAATTCATTTTGCATTTCCTTTAAATGCTGTAATTGCTGTACAGCTATAATATTAAAACAAACAAATTAGTTATATGAATGTATACATTTAATAATAGTAACAATAAAAGAAAAAAAAAGATAACATACTTCTTGTTAACAAAGCAGCTTTACTCATTTTCTTGTTATTACATCCTGGTAAATGTTTTCTTAATTCATCAAATCCATCCTTAATTTGCGCACGTCTTTTTTGTTCTGACTGAATATGAATTTGACGACGAATTTCAGCACTAGAATAGTTTATGATATGTTGACTATATGAGGATAAAAAGAAAAAAAAACGTTAGAAATTATATATTTGTATACATTTTTAACTTTTGCCCCTAATTTACTCATTCAAAATTTTATCTTCTTCATCAAAACCTTCTTCATAATAATTACCGTCGCTTGTTGTATTCATTTTCTTTTTCTTATATTGGAGATTATCATGATAAACTTGTTGTTTTTGTTGAGAATATCGTGTACGTTTGTTACAACGTTTAGATTCCATCTTTTTTTCATACGTTTCTTTAGAATACTCTAAAAACTCAGTATGATAGAACTCTACAGGAACTGCATTGGCACGATTGATAATATCCTTAACTCGAGCAGTTGTAGAACCATCCAATCTAGGACTGCTAATGCTACTTTCAAACATAGCAGTACTAGTAGCAACTGCTTTATCAATATTCTGAGGAGAGGAAGAGGATATTAAAGGAGTAGTAATTAAGTTGTTATTGATAGATTGTGGAGTTATGACACTGTCAGTACCAGATACAAATCCTACATTATTACTATTGTTATTATTGACAGTAGTAATTGAATTTGAAGTTGATGGTGGAGGGGTAGTAGAAGATGAAGAAAAAGATGGTGATGGTTCAGGACTATTTGGGTTTCTTTGGATTGCGATTGTAGAAGATTCATTAAAATGTTCCATATTACGATATTGATAATCAGGTATAGAAGAAGGAAGCCCTACTAGCATTGATGAAAAAGCATAAGCTATATAATTTGAATATAATATTAATACTGGATTCTCCTTAATAGTGTTCAATCACAATATTTCGCGTAACCAACTTATTCTAAAACACATTAAATATATTTACCTGAATATGGTGCATACTGTTGTTGTTCATAAGATGTATTTGAAGGTAATTCTTCATTTGTATTTGACTTTTGAATCAAACGAGGGTTAATATTAATCATCATAGTTTCATAATGATTTTTTGTTGAGTTAGGTAAAATAGTTTCTTTACTCATATAAAGGACTAGTTTGGATGGTAATAAAAAATATTTAAAGGAAGGTAAAGTATAAAGGAAAGTAAAATAAATCAAATAGAAAATATATTCGTATTCTTGACAAAAAGTAATAAAAGGAAAAAAGAAAAGGTATACAAAAAGAAAAAAGATTTTCATAATTTATAAAAACAGGGACACAAAAGAGACAGCAGAATCCAAAATAAGATTGTTTGTCGTTTTTTTTAATCTAAAAGAAAAAAAAAAGCAATTTTGGGGACCCCCTCGGAAATTAAATATTACAAGAATAGCTAATTTTTTAAGGCACCAACTAAAAAAAAAAAAAGACTTTTTTATACAGCCATAGTACATCTTTCTTGGTATAATTTGACGTTTTTTTTTTTTTCCTGCGTGTTTAAAGAAAAATTTTATTAAAATGGCTAATAGGCACGTAGTTTGTATAATTACTAAAGTGCGCTAATTAGTTTGTTGGCTCTATTAAACGACCAATCAAGGTAAAAATGACAATATGACAGACGACTATAAGCTAACCAACAGAGACATTGGCTTTGATTGAATTGTATAATGGGCAACCGAAGGATAGAATCGATCATTGATGTCTTATGACAGTCAGACAAATATTTGGAATAACGAACAGCATATCTTTCATTCAAGTTGTCAAGAAGGAAAATGGAACAAATAATTTTGAAAAGATATATGTCAAAGACTTTCCGTAAAAGATATATATCGTTTCCAAAGAGGTATTTAGTAAAGATAACATCATTGTGAACGATTGTCAGAGTGTTGAGGAGAAGGCAATCGTCTTTCTCAGTTATGTATCTTCAGGAGGAGCAAGAGATCTAAAAATAAATCGATCTTACAGTATGCTTATACTTTTTTTTTTAACATAATAGAGAGTTTGGTAGAATGTAACATTGCTTTTATTGAAGATGTAGAATGATAACTAAATATACGATTTTGACAGTCGTTAAGAGATATTTATGTTTTTTTTTTTTTTTTTTTTTTTTTTTTTTTTTTTTTTTTTTTGAGTGAAATAGGTCGATAGCTAAACAATATTCTAATTGTGAGTGAATATTTTGTGCATAGAAACAAGAGGCAATTAACTTGTCAAATCTCAATTTGTTGATATTGATTAAAGTAACTTGTTTTATTGTTAATAAAGTCTTATCAACCTTATTTATCTTATTTTTGACAAGAATAGCCAACTTCTGATATTTGGGTTGGGTAAATGATTTACAATATCATCTACAGTCATGTCTAGAATTTATATTAATATGTGCTAATAATAATGATATCTATTATCAATAAATTCCTCTCCCAGCATATGAAGAAATCTAGTCTAGATTCTACTTTTCAGTAAGTTTAATTTCTTTACCGCGCACCACTTGCCAAAACTTTGTATACTTTTTTTTTCATTTAAGACGTCTGTATGTTTCCAGACTGTTCCAAAAATATCATTCATATTCAAGCTTTTGCATTCGTAGATTTAGTGAACATTATTTGGATTAACAAGAAGATATAAAGTATTCAAAAAATTAACAAGCTTTAGCCGGTTTACAAAGAGAAGTGTATGACAAAACTCATATACAAAGCATTTACCCATTTATTGAAATTTACCTGTTTTTGGAGCTAGCTGTGCTTACCTATCAACAGTAGGGGGTTTGTTTGCCTTTGAGTATATGCGTATATTATAAAGATCTGCATAAGTACTACTGTTTGTATACACATAGTTAAAAAAAAAAGGGTTATAGAGGATCATCTTTGTAGCAAATGCTGACTTCTAACTTCAGTTGGTTTGAGTAGTTCAACTGTTTCATCCTTATTGTATGGTTTGTGTTAGAGCATACAAACAGATTGTTCTCTGATGATTAAAGCTATTTATTATACAAAGAAAAAGTGAACAGAATGGACATAATGAACTGAAGTTAAAAAAAGGAGGTTATGATGTCTCTAGTAAGACACCAGAATAAAGACAAATCTAGTACTAAAAGTCAATTATAGGAATATTTGAGATCAGAGAGGAATTAGAAAAAATATTTAGTTGATTGAATAATATTAATAAAATATACAACATCCTTATTTACAGATTATGAAAAAGATGAAATCTTTTCCTTTATATTATATATTCAGGTGCTTTTAATCTAGAGTGCAATAAAGGGCTATCGATTCTGAATATTACCTTTTTTTTATGATTATCGAGTTATCATAAATAGAACTTTTTCAAAACAATTGTATTAGAGAGATCTTTGGCAGAGTACTTTTCCTGCAAGATCAATTCATTTCCCGTACTGATGACACATTATTTACCGCACTAATTCCACATATCCAAAGTTCAAATATAGATATTCAATGGCATAATCTTATTAAAATATCGTGCTAGTAATTTTATGTTACGGAATCCAATACTCTAGATGAATGCTCCTTCCAAAAAAAAAAAAAAAAAAAAAAAAAAAAAAAAAAAAGAAGGAATCGTCAATCAACCACCTCTCCAAATTCTTTTACAGTGACTGGTAGTACCGTATTTTATTATAACCTGATTATCCATTTTATGACAACGTACTTCATGATATTGTATCAAGCCTTGGCAACCGATGCTATGTTCCATTTTTTTTTTTTTTTACTATTATTGATGTTTTTCTTTTACCAGGATCTTTAATAATTTTACTCCTTTTTAAGTCTCTTTCTCCTTTTCCTTTTTTTTTTCGCTCTTCAAGGAGGTTTTTTTTTTTTTTTTTTTTTTTTTTTTTTTTTTTTTTTTTTTTTTTTTTTTTTTTTTTTTTTTAGTTTCTTAACCTGTTATACCGAATTGACGCGAGCAAGATGATATACATTCCATACTATGTGCTCACATTAAGTTCTTTTTTTTTTTTTTTTTTTTTTTTTCAAATATAAAAATAAATTGCCACTCGCGGTCAAAGGGGCTCCGCCCAGAATTTGTGTATGTTTCAAATTTACAACAGCACATACCAATTAAAACAAAAGTAAAATAAAAATAAACAGATATTTTTAATATTATTATGGAGTTCTTTCTTGATTTATATTTCCGATTTTTTTTTTTTTTATCCTTTTTCTTCTTCTTTTTCTATATTTAAATGGGACTAAAAAAATTATTTTCAACTAAAGAGGATAAAAACTTAAAGGCATATAGTCAAAGGCAAAATTCAACTAAATCCTCCACTGTGACCTTACCTCGCTCTATTAGTCAATGGGTGCATAAAGACAATAAAGAGAACGAAAAACGTAAATACAACACTTTAGGTGCTAATAGAAGAAAACATCACTCTCAGCCATCTCCTATACCATCATTAAATCTTTCAAATATATCACTTCGACAACAACAACCGCCAGCAACAAAAGAAGATGATAAAAATTCATATAATGATCCTAGTGCAACTACACAACCATCACCACCACCACCACCACCACAACAACAACAACAACAACAACAACAGCAGCAGCAGCAGCAGCAGCAACTGCCAACAACAAGAGAAGATGATAAAAAGTCATATAATGAACCTAGTGAAAATACACCACCACCACCACCACCATCACAACAACAGCAACGTAATAGTGCCAATAATCCTTTTACAGCTACAATCCCCATAACTCCTTCAGGATCGATGAAAGACGTTAATGACGTAGTGAATGTTCTAAGAAGTTCAATCGCCTCTGATGAAATATCTATTTCAACAAATAATTCTGAAGATTATTATATGTCACAACAAGAGGTTCCCAATACCATTCCTATAGCAATTGAACGAGTTGATAAAGGCAAAGAAGAAAATACAAACCCTTTTATAACTAAAGAAAATAAAAGACAAAGTCAGCTCTCTTTTCTTTCACAGCATGATTCTAATAAATATGCAGTTTCAGATAGCTCTCAAAATAATGTTACACTTGACTCCGTTTTAGGTATAAAAATATTTATATTTCTTTTTTTTTTTTTATTCTTTTCTTTTTTTAGAAACTAATAAATACAACTATACATTTATTTTTATTTTTTTAAAGAAAATGGCAATAATAATCTATACTCTGAATTACTTGAGGTTCAACAGGTATTAAATCACATAGATCCAAAAAACCTGTTAGAAACTAAAAATCGACTGGATACGGTGAATCAGTTGTTGGTGACAGCTCTGGATCATAGTAATAATTTAGAAACAAGAGTGAAATCAATTATAGATTCCTCAAAGCGAACAATTTCAGTCATTAATGATGAGAAAAGAGCATTAAAAGAAAATGAAGAAAATATGAGAACAGAATTAGAACAAGCTAAAGGACAATATAACCTCTTAATGGATGAATTGAAAGAAAAATATGAAAATCAATTAAAAGTAGACCAAGAACTAAAAGAACAATATGAAAATACAGTAAAAAATAATCAAGAGCTTCAAAAGAAGGTTCAAGAGTTGAATGATCAATTAGAAAAATATGCAGCTACTCGACACACTATCTCATTATTATTAATGGATAATGAGACAAATCCTTTACATAATGATAATGAATTACTAGACAAAATTAAAAGTATTTTGGCTTTATCTGTCTCTCAACAAGTATTGAATAGTAAACTTGAACATAAACTAGACGATATTGAGACGAAACATGCAAATGAACTAGCTGACATACAATCAAAGTTTGAGCAGGAGAAAAAGCAATTACAGGATAATCTTGAAGCTAATCATCATATGATGTTACAAGAAGTTCAAATAAAATCAGAGAATGATGCCAAATTAAAAGACGAAAATCATCATTTTGAAATGCAAACATTAGAATCAAAGTGCACTGCTTTAATCGCTGAAAGAGAAGAGCTACTATCGAATCAAATACAAAATGAAGAAAAGTTAAAAGAACAACAAGGGATTGAGTATGATGCACATGTTGAAAAATTGAAAGAAGAGCAACTAGAAGATAAATTAAAATTAGACTTGTTTTCCACACAAGTTGAGGAACTTCAGAAAGAAAAATCAAATTTATTAAAGGAAATTAGCATTTTAAAAGATAACACTACTACTGAAGATGTACAGAAGATTACTACTGATGAGTGTAATGATTTAAAACAAAGATTAAAACAATTTGAAAAGGATGAGGTAAAATTGAATCAGTCAATTGAAGAAAGAAGTGAATTGGAAAAAGATTCTACTATATCAACACTAAGGGAAACATTGGATTCAACAAAAGAAGAAAATGCTGAATTAAGATCAAAAATCGAAGAAATTCAAAGACAACTACAAGAACTTCAAACTTCTAAAAATACTTCTGATAAAATTTGGGAAGATAGAGTTCTAATCATCAAAGAGCAGTCTGAGCAGTCTGTTAAAGATGCTATAGAAGAAGCTCATAGAGTAAAGGCTGATTTAGAGTCAAAATTACTAGACGCCGAGACGACAAATATAAAATTGAAACAGGAATTAGAAGATATAGAAAGAATATCAAGAGAAGCAGCACAATCAGTTATAGATGAAAATCAACGTTTAGAAAATCGTATTCGTCAAATAGAAGAAAATTCGAATATAGCTATTTATGAAAATGCTACTTTGAATGAAGAAATTGAGACGTTGACTAAAAATAATAGTCAAAAAGCAATTATATCAGAAAATCAGCATTTAAAGAATGAATTAAAGGCATTAAATAATATTCGACAAGAGAATATGAACTTGACCGAGTTAGTTGAATGCTTACAGGCTAAAATTAAAGAGTTATCGGTAGAGGATAGTATTATATTAAACAAACATGATGATTCTTTGAAACTAACTGATCAAGATCAACAAGAAGAATTAATGCGTATGCACACTAGAGCACAGCTTGGATTAATAGAATATTTAGAAGGAGAAAGTGATGTGCTATCAGCGATGGCGAAATTTAAGAAGCAATTAGAAGCTGAAGTAAAAGAATTTGAATCAATAAGTGAGTGAGTGAGTCTAGAAACAGACATATTGGGCCAATTCCTTTGATTTCGACCCTTCAAAAAATGCATTAATTATTTTATCTTATTTTTTTTTCACTTGTACATCATTCCTCAGTGATATCAACACAATATTCTATTTTAAAAACCCCTTTCTGTACCAATATAGAATATTTTTTAATTTTATATACCATATTTTACATTATACATGATTGATAAAGGTCTGTACTTTAGAACAAATATGTATATACATATATATATATATATATTTTAGTATTTGAATAAAATCTGTAAATTGTAATATTGATTAATCAAACCAAGTTCGTAGCAACAGTAACAAATAAGTAGATTTTTGTTATTATGAAGTAAACATATAATAAATGACATGTACCTAATTTTCAAGGTTATCATTTTTTTTTCTCAATGTTAAATAAAAGCTCTAGAATGTGTCACAGTCATTTTATATAAGTCAATTCAAAGAAGATAGGAGTAATATACATTATATTATATGTAGTTTGTATTACTATACCACAAGTATAAAAGAAATAATGTGATACAGATAACCTTTTTAATAAATCTTATAGTACTTTAGAGCTTTGCTTAGTTTATTTATAATGGCCTAATTTAGCGTTCACGTATAGGTTGACAAGTAGTAGATTAATATTTTGTTTCTATGGTTCTAAGAAAATAAATATGCTAGTTTGTTATATTGCTGGATAAAATTATTGTTTCTACGTATTTATATCAAAGACTCATAATCATACTCTATAGTGTTCTTGTTTACATAACATGCTCTCAAATAATATTATATAGATTTCAAATAGCATATATAGTATACATAATGTAATGTAGTCTATAAATAAAATGTTTATTTATGTGATTGATAAAGTTACAAAATCATAAAAAAAATGAATATGTATAATATATAATAAATAAATGAAAAAAAAAATGTAGAAAATGATATTAAAAATATGAATATGAATGGATTTGTCTGTCTAACTAAACGTAAAATAACTACTGATATGCATTGATACCCAAACAATCAGAAACAGTAACAAAAGAATAACGTTTTGATATAATATAATCAATCAACCAAGGGGTAAGTTCTTTAGCTGAAGACTCATGTACATCATGTTGAAGGGCGATATGACCAGGAGTTTGACCAGAGACATCGGCCTCTACTACTTCTCTTACAAGATTTTGTTCAGATTCTAAACCGTGTAATTCATAATCTTTAGTATCGACATCCCATAAAATGTTGCTATAACCAAGTCTCCTTACGACTCTAGAAGCAGTTTCATCGAGATCACCTTCAGGAGGCCTCATAAGAGCAGGTCTATTATGTAAAAATAATTTAAGTCCTAAATGTTGTATGTTTAGTTTTTTTTTTTTTACCTTACTCCTGTTGCGCTATAAATAAGATCCGATTGCTGATTCATTTGATACTCTACTTCAGATTCCGATAAACCCCTTAAGACTACATGTCCATAAGTATGACTAGCAATCTCATGTCCAAGGTCATGATAGTGTTTAAGCACTTCCATGTATGATTTAGTACCATCAATTGCGGTGGCCGTTGTTGCTTGAGCAAAATTTTTAACGAAATTATCTCCATTAACAAAAAATGTTGCCTTTATTCCCCTAGAATGAAGGTATTGAGCCAAATCCCATGAATATTGAAATGGTCCATCATCAAAGGTTAAAGCGAAAACACCCGGTCTATTACAATGTTCATAGATAGTAGCAAGATCACCTCCAGCGCCACTATCAACAGAAACTGGAGCAGCATAGGCAGAAGCGGTTAAGAGAAGAGTAGTAGTAATAAGAGGAGCAAGCACACGCATTTTATACTTATAGATAAATATATAATGAATTAATTGAGAAAGAATAATGTTAAAAGAAGCTGTTGATTTTGGGCTGCTTATATATAGCTAATTTTTTTTATTTTTATTTTTTTTTTTTTTTTTTTTTTTAGTGGGTGAGTGGGTGGATGGGCGGTGGGCTTTGCTTGATGAACGAGACATCTTTGAAAGTGTTACAATAACAACTTATGTCCTGCGCCATAAAACAATCCGAAAATTACTATACAAATCAGGTGGAAGGCTTATTGTTATATTTACAAAATTTTGAATTTTTTAGATACACGTACACATACATTTACATAAAGCTTTGCTCCTGAAGCAGAATGGCATATTAAGACTATAATTTTAATAAAGAATCTATATAATTTAAAATTTATAAGCGACCCATTTTAGAAACACCAACTTAAATCCTAAAAATAACTCCATGTTATTTTATTTTTAAATTTAGAAAATTACTATTGTTTACGGCCATCAAGTTAATGATACAGCCATGTACAATATGAAGATATTATAAAATTAAACATATTCTAAAGATAGTATCATGTATACATATGCAGACTAACAAAACAAAAGAAAATTATGTAGTGACAAAATGTATATGTTCAAAACACTCATTGTAACAAATATCTATAAAAAGTAAGAATACATTGAATGATTGCTTATTTATACATGATCTACATATCATTTATATCGATTCAATACAGCAATGTATTCTATAATGACTTAAAAATGACTTTATTAATAAAATAATAAAGATAATTGTTTCTTGATCAGAACTAGTTTATTACCTTCACAAAACATTTAAGAAGTTTTATTAAAAAAAATGTTTAAAAAATAAAAAAGAAGTAAGGAAGATGTGTAACCGTTAAGGAGACATAAAAAATAACAAATGAAACGCTTCATTTTAATGTTCAAAGTAAAAGGAGTACATCTCCCATGATTTAAGAAATAATAGATATTTCCACATATCAATCAGTGGCGGTAACAATAAGACTGCTATGCTTGGTAAAGTAATATTTCATTTTACTTACTTGATAAATAATTATACATGTCTTGTGTTTTAGTATAAAGACCTTTCATAACTATCGAATATTAAGTTTACTGAGATAGCTTTTTCTATTATTATTATTCTGTAGAAAAATGTAAACTTCTTTAAAGAATCTCAATAGAGATTTTAGGTATTTCTTAGAATAACTTTTAAATACGTATGTACAACCAAGAAAAAAAAATACATTTTTTAAAATAAAGAAACTTTATGTCTAGATACAGAATATAATAGCAGGAAATATACGTTTTGCAATTCAATAGTTCCTTTTTCTACCATTATCAATTAAAGTGACAGAGATCATTATCTATAGATTTGAATTAGCTAGTAGTCTTCTCTGGCAAAAATTATAAATAATTACATGTGAATCCAACATACATATCATCATTAAAGAAAACTGCATATTTTGATTCGACTTCTTTCTCTTTTCTTTTTTTTTTTCAGAGATAATATAAAAGTTAGATTACCCAGTAAAGTAATTTATCGAGTACTTTGTTACTAATGTGCTACTTGAATAGAAAGTAAGACTTATTAAGGAATAATTAGAAATATTAAATAAATTTTTATGCGTACATAGTATGTTGGACACTTTTTCAATCATTGATTATGATACTTTGCATCTATTTCGACTTCTGCTTGATTATTGTTCTGAGTATTAGTACTCGGATCGATTTGATACCGTCATTAAATCCTCTATATTAAAACAGCAGAGAATAATAATTCTTTTTTTTTCTTTCCTCATAATTTAAAATGATATGCATTAGAAGTACAACAAACATGTCATCATGATGATAAAAGTATAAATAATCAATCTTTACACGATCCTTTTTTTTTATTTATATATTTATTTAGAAGAAGAAGTTTAATATAGAAAACCTTTCTTAACCCTCTCCACTTTTTTTTTAACCCGGAATAATAATAATAATATAGAGGAATATGCTTTTTGTTAATTTACTGCGAAACTTTTGAATATGATTAATAAAATATTTATCAATAACAAATAGAATATATTCATTTAGAAATAAGTGTAACAATAATGGTAAAAGTAAGAACTTGATTTTTTTCAAGTCAAATTCCTACCAACAACAAGCAAGATAATGTTTGATTATAACTATGCAAAATAATAATAAGCATCTTATTATGATTATAAATGGTAAAATAAAGGGTAATAGACTATTTATAAAGGAGCTTCTCCCGTTATGAAGGTTATACAATAAATGACGTTTATTTCTTTTTGTTGTAACCTGCCAAATAGAATGATAAATATGAAACAAGAAGAAGCATTAAAGGATTCAAAATTATTGGCCTGTGCTTTAATGAATGTAAAATCACCTTTGTTAGCTTTGTTCCAGATCAAATAATTAAATATTATCCTTGTCCTTTTTTTTTTCTTTTTTTTCTGTCAAGAAAAAAGGGACAAGTCCCGAGATTTAAATCACGTTTATTTATTTTTATTTCATTTCATTTTATTTTATTTTTTGTTTATTTTCTCGATTCTTGTTCTTTTGTCCTTGTTTTTTTATTTATCTTCGATTTCATTTCAGTGTATTTGAAAAGAAGTTGTTAAAATAAAAACGTCCATAATGGTAGTATTGAATATTGTTTTTTATTTATTTTAAAAAATGATACCAATTAAATTATATTTTCAAAAGAGTTAGTACATATTAGGTAATAAGGGATAAGTTGGGATTCAACGGGATTCATTACAAAATAGGGTCTAGTCTGTTCATTTTTTTTTTTTTACCCTTTTCTTTTCTAATATTGAACTTTAACTGGTTAAAACGGGAAATGTAGATTAATATTTCCATATAATACATGTATAACTTCTTTACCGCAAAAAAAAAAAATGAAATAATGTTCGCGATAAAAGTAAATGTTACACTTTACTTTAACATATTTAACATTAAGGGGAGGAAAGTATAGTGATAATCACGATCAGACTACTTTATACCGCAGAATAGAATGGAACCAATAATTTTTTATTATGTCTTTAATAAATGTATATAGCATACAAGAACCACTTCTTCAAATTTATTTCTAAATATGGCAATTTGGGTTGAATGGGTTGTCAAAAAGAACATGCAATGACTGTATAAATTTAAAGTTATTATGTAATCCAAATTGTTATTTCTTTGGAGTATTTTTATTACTTCTTTTTTGAATACATATAAATTTCATTATTTATTTTAATAATAGCAGATTTGCTCTTTTTTATATTCAAGTGATATATTATATGATAGATTATATTGGTGAATCTCCCTTTCTTCTATTCTACCACTTAAATACATTTTTTCTAAAAAAAAAAAAAAAAAAAAAAAAAAAAAAAAAAAAAGAAAGAAAGAAAGAAAGAAATAGAAATAGAAATAGAAACTGAGGCTAAATTCAGGTACCACAAAAAGGTTTGATAGACAAATTTGACTGGTTCTTACATAAAATAAATTTTAAAATCTCAGTTTTCGGGTATTAAAGATGCTATTTCCGTTTTTGTACGTGGGGTAGATTATGGAGAAACAAAATATTCTGGGATCAATTTTTTTTTTTTTTGAAATAAGTATATATACTGGCACATTTTTTCCCGTTTTCAAAAGATGTACAACTTGTTCTATAAAATAATATTCTAATATCTATTAAATTTTAATATAATATAATAATAAATACCCAAAAAAAACAACAAATTAAAATGAATTCTATTGATATGAAATTACCAGGCTATATGGTCTACTGTGTAGTCATTGCATGTCTTGGTTCCTTTAGTAATGGTTGGGTAATTGGATCTGCTAATATTCCTGGTGAAGTAACTCATGCTTGTGAAAATGGTTCAGCTCATGTTGCAAATAGTGCTTTCCCTGATTGTCTTCCTATGAATACAAGTCTTTGGGGTTTTGCTGTTTCTTCTTTTTGTGTAGGTGGTTTAATTGGTGGTTTCTTCGGTGGTAATATTCAAACAAAATTTGGCCGTAAAAAGACAATTATATTTAATAATATTGGTTGGATTGTGGGTGCTGTCTTGATCGGTGCCTCTGTCTCTCCTGCTATGTTCATTATCGGTCGTATCCTTTGTGGCCTCTCTTGTGGTCTTGGTTCATTAGCAACTCCTACTTATGTAGGTGAAGTATCTACTGTGAAAGCTCGTGGTATGATGGGTACTTGTAATCAATTTGCTATCGTCATTGGTATTTTACTTGCTTCTGTTATTGGTCTTCCTCTTGCTAAGGTGCCTCTCTGGAGAATCAATTATGCTATTGTTGCTATTCCTGCTATTGCTCAATTTTTCTTAATGTCTGGTTGTGTTGAATCTCCTCGTTATCTTATCTCTCAAAATCGTATTGAAGAAGCTCGTGTTAGTCTTCAAAAGCTTCGTCCTAATGCTAATATTGATCAAGAATTTTTTGAACAAGTTGAAGGTATTCTTGGTACTTCAGCTGCTCAAGCAGTTAGCGTATCTCCTAAAGAAGAGACAGCTACTTCTAAAGTAGAAGATCAAAAGGATGCCTATGATAATCAAATTGAAGATGGTATTGTTGTAAATGAAGAAATAAATCGTGACTCTATGAACATGATTCAAATCTTTGTTGATCCTGTCATTCGTCGCATCGCTCTCACTGTCCTTGCTCTTCATGTTATTCAACAATTGATTGGTATGAACGCTGTTATGTATTATTCAGCTACTATTTTCAATATGTCTTTTGATTCTGATATGTCTAAATATATGGCCATTGTAACTACCGTTGTTAACTTTGTATCTACCATTGTTTCCTTGTTCTTAATTGATCGTATGGGTCGTCGTCCTCTTTTATTAATTGCTGAAGCTGGTGCTTGTATATTCTCTGTTCTTTTGATCATTGGTTATGTTTATAACATCGGTGCTCTCTTAGTTGTTTCCGTATTCTGTTATGTCGTTTCCTTTGCTATTGGTGTTGGTCCCATTCCTTGGATGATTACATCAGAGATGTCACCTGTCTATGCTTCATCTGCTGTTGGTGCTATTGCTACTGCTATGAATTGGGCTATGAACTTTTTAATTGGTCAATGTTTCCCTATCATCTTTGATAAGATTGCTGGTTATTCCTTTGCTATCTTTGCTGCTATTGCACTTATGGCTTTCATTTTTACTTGGATCTTTGTTCCTGAAACTAAGAACCGTTCAATTGAAGCCATTGTCAAATCTTTCCAGTCTTAATTCTACCTCTTTTTACATAATGTATTTTTATTCATCTTCCTTTTCTTTTTACTATTTTTGTTTAGTTTTGTAATTTTGTTCTATGTATATCATTTAAATTGTTTTTGTAAAGTTTTTTTTTTTTTTAAAAAAATAAAAAGAATAATAATAATAAATTAAATAATGCCTTTTTTTAAATTACTTTATACAAATATTCATATTTGTATACTTGTATAAAATAAACTTAATAATTTATATCTTGTTACTTGTGTATATTATTTGGTAATGCCTCTATTATAGGCAGGCAGTAGCGGAATTTCATATTTATATTTCAATTTTCGGTTTTTTTTTTTTTTTTCTTTTTTACATATACATTTTTATTATGGCAAGAAAAAATAAAGAAAATAGTGAAGAAGAAAAGAAATCTCGAAAACCACAAGGTAAAAGAAAAAGAAAAAAAAACCCGAAATATAAATATTTACTCTTAACAAAAAAAAAAATGTAAAGATGGGCCTTTTCGACAACAACGATTACCAGCATGGCAACCAGTTTTAACACCTCGTACAGTTTTGCCTACATTATTCATATTGGGCATTATCTTTTGCCCAACAGGTGGATTATTATGGTGGAATAGTAATAGAGTAAACTTGTCATTAGATACCAAGCTATTTTGTTTTTTTTTATATATATATAAAATACTTACTCATTTTAAATAAGGTCGATCAAATTATGATTAACTATTCATACTGTAAAGAATACACTAGACCAGTTTATTTAGCACCTAGTCTGTATAATTATCAATTATCAGATAAAAAGTTCAACATTAGTACAATACAAGCACCAACATACTATTATAAAAACGTATCTTCCTTTTTAGATCCTAGTTGGGGAAATCCAAATAATTTAAGCATTCCTCAATGTACAATTGACTTTACTGTTCCAAAAACTATGAAGGGTCCTATCTTTATGTACTATAGACTTACAGAATTTTATCAAAATCATCGACAATATATAAAAAATTTTGATGCTAATCAACTTTATGGTGACATAGTATCTGGTTCAACACTTCATACAAGTTGTGATCCGTTAGCCTTTAATGATGCTGGCAAGATCATTTTCCCTTGTGGATTAATTGCCAATTCAATGTTTAATGGTAAATATACAAATAGTTCTTTCTTATTTTATTAACAAATCATGATAATAGATACTACTTCAGAACTTATATCAATTGACGATACTTCTTCACAGACATTTGTTATGAGTCCACATAATATTGCTTGGCCAACTGATAAACGAAAATATGGTCCAACCAAGTATCAAATATCACAAATTGCACCACCACCCAATTGGGCTCTTCGATATCCAAATGGTGAATATACAGAGGAGTATCCTCCACCAGATTTGTCTACACAAGAGCGTTTTATGGTTTGGATGCATGTGGCTGCTTTATCTGATTTTCGCAAGATTTGGTCAAGAAATGACACACATAATTTAGAAGCGGGTCGATGGAGAATACATATTGATATGAGTACTATAATATATTTATTAAAAAAAAAGGAGGGGGAATTCAATAGAATATGATTTATATTAAGTTGCATCCTATTTAATAGATTTTGATACAGTGCAATATGGAGGTCAAAAATGGCTAGTATTAACAACCACTACTCCAATGGGTGGCCGTAATCCTTATTTGGGTATTGCTTATATGTCTATTGGTGGTTTATGTATTCTTTTAGGCCTATTATTCACAATTAGACATTGTATTAAGCCAAGAAAATTAGGCGATGAATCTTATTTATCTTGGAATCAACCTGGGGGTGGTTTACCAAGTGCTAAGCGTACACATCTCCACAAAGAATAAAGATATCGCTTGTATAAGATTATAATAAATATTAAAATATAACATTAATCATATACAAATACATACATATAAGAAACCACAAAATGTAAGCAATTAAAGATTTGACTTTTTTATTAGGTTAACGCTTAATCATTGAATTTTTGAGTAGCAAGCCTTAGCCATTAAAAGTATTAACCTTCTTCTCGACAGTATTTATTATTCTTCTTGTTTTGAGTTGTTAGTCCTGTGTATTAAACTTCTTTCGTATACATATTACAACTCAAGTTCTTGTTATCTTCAATTGTATGAACAATAATAAAAATATCATTCATTTTATGGCCTTCAATACCCTACATACACACATAACTAATAAAAATAAGCAAACCGACCCGGGCAATTTTGATATCTTTGTGTTTAAAATCATTTATTTATTTAGACGACGTGTTTATTCCTTTTTATAATAATAATAATAAAAATAGATGAATATGAAAAGCTTACTTAGTATAGCTTTTATATTCTATTCAAGTACTGCATTAGCACTTCAATATTATTGTGAACCAGGATTTAAGCCGATTAAAGATAAGGATCTACAACTAGATCTATCGAGATTAAACAAGTAACTATTGAAATAGACTTCAACATCATTATAATAAATTAAATTAAATTATTAAATACGTTTAGGGAATTTGATATTTATCAAAATACATCTACTCCTCCTTCTACAACTTCTATTTATACTCAAGTTAATCTGTGTAATGTTCTTCCTATTCCCGATGATTCAAATAACGAAAATTGTTTAAAAGGATCTGTAAGTGTTTTTTTTAAAAAAAAAGATATATATATTTTTCTTTATATTTGCATATTAGACAAGTGTATAAACTTAAACTATTTGGTTGCATAAGCTTATTTGTAGAAGAACAATTCATATCAAGGATAATAAAGAAAGTATTGACATTGTGCAAACAATTGCTAGAGATGCTGAAGAGTAAGTATTATATGTAAGAAAAAAAAAAGAAAGAAAGAGAGAGAGAGAGAGAAAACGAAATATCGTCTTTATTAACCTAAAACAAATAGTAAATTAAATCCTGAATTTAAACCAATTAAACCTGAAGAGGATGCGACAAAAAGTAATGATAAAATAGAACTAAATAGTTGATGATATAAAAGAAAAAAAAGGATGTTTTATTAACTTTCTCTAAAAACATACACAAATTAAAATCATTTAGGTGGATATGAATATGTTTTGACTTTAAATGGAGGTCAATTTGGAGATAAAGCTCAATCTGCATTAATTACCTTACAATGTGATGAATCTCAATCTCGTGACGTAAGAATTTAAAATAGAAAAAATGTTAATTAAACTAATGAAACAAAATAGAAAGATCCAATGCCGCCTACCATCATTTCTTATAATAATAATGTTTTAAGTCTTCACTGGAAAACTGTATTTGCATGCGCGTAAGTAGTAATATGACTTGTATATATTGGAATCAATGATAAATTTTCTCTTTTTTTTTTTTATTTTAATAGTACAAAGGCTAGTGAAAAGGCGCCTGAACCTAAAGAGCCTAAAAATGATGATAAAAACAATGATAATGAAAAGAAGGGTATGTCAGGTATTTCTATCTTTTTCACCATAGTATTTGTATCGATGGCTGTTTATTTTGTTGGTGGAATGATTTATAATTATAAAGTGTATAATGCAAGAGGATTTGATCTTATTCCTCATCGAGGTAAGTTGGTTATAATATTATCACATGTTGGATAAATGTGACTTACATACATAATGTGATAATAATAGAATTCTGGTTTGAACTTCCATACCTTATTAGAGTAAAATATACAATACCATTTATATAAATGTTGACGTATACTTACCCTATTTCTATAGGAGCTCTTTGGACATATTGTTGATTCTGTCATGTCACGTCGTCGTGGTAGTGGTGGCTATGTTGCTGTTTGATGTGTATTAATATTTTTTTTGTACATTTAACAGCAGAAAAATAAAAGAGGAAATAAAAATTATATAGTGTAAAAGAAATTATTAATATTTATCTGATAATAGTTTTCGTCTTTAAGTTTTTTTATTTACATTCCATTGTTACCAATGTAAATGATTGTTCTTTTATACTACAGAAAGAAATTTATTATTGTTATTACTATTATAAAGATTCGGGGAATGATAATGTATTATTGTTGAATGTCGCTGATAATGAAGTAACAATAATGTCAGTGCTTTTTGATGCCATGATATGCTGAGTTCGTAGTTTTGAAAGCTGCTGTTGCTGTTGCTGTTGCTGTTGCTGTTGCTGTTGTTGACGATCAGGCACAGTAGCAGAGAATAATTCAGGTAAAGACTTTGCCGTCTTTAATAATGCTTCGTCTTCTTTATGTCTATCTTTAGCAGTTTTTATATTTTTCTGTTGATTCTCTATGACTGTTGGAATCACTATCTCATCTTTTATTTCTTCTTCAAAGATACCACCCATGCCATTTTTGGTCGGGAAAAAGACGATGTCATCAAAATAAGGCGCCACCATCGTTTCCGTAATGAATTCCTGTATCTTTGTTTCAATTGCCTTTACAACGACCGAATAGCCTACACGCTTCTCCCAGACAACAGGTTCTACCTTCCATTCCATTTTAGGACATTCATAGAACGCATACCAGAAACGATTTGTAGGTGGTTCCTTAATCTTCATTAGCATTTTACCTTGAATTTCCTTTAAAGTGATATCTAGGATGAGGTCCATCGTGAGTGGTTTAAGTCGGTCCGAGTATTTCCATTTTAATACAGTCTCGATTTCAATACGAAATCCACCATCATATTGCATATGAGCCTCTGCTGATAATTCACCAGTTGGACTCAAACTGAGTAATTTAGGATGCGTAAAACGAGGCAAGGAATGGCCTGGGTCAACGGACCGAACTGTGATTTTACCTAAAAAGGGAGGTCGTTTTGCATTTATCTTATCGAGTTTTGTGATGACTTTTTTATAGAGTGTGTCTTTAATATCTTGTGTACGGTAGATACTTAGAAAGATTCGACCGAGGATGGCATTGAACCATTGTGTTTGATAATGATATTCATCACTATGAACTCGTTTAATTAAATGATTCATATCTGACTGATTAAAATAGTAGTGGGCCCTATTTGTATTATCTTCTTCTCGTTGTGAAGAAGAGTATTTAGAAGCACGAAGAAAGATAAAAAACCAATCCTCCTTTTCAATGCATTTATGACAGTTGATATAGTAATCATTTTCTTTCCCCTCTAATTTAATTAAATGTGGCTTTGAAAAGAGTTCAAAATCCTCGAGTCCAGGAGGATGTGTCTTGACGGTATAGTTACTCAAATTAATGACTCCCTTACAATCGAGTTGTTTCTCCGATTCGTACAAGTAAAGAGTATTATATTTAAGCACTGAAAAATAATAACCATTATTCGTCATCATCTCTCCTCCTCCTTCTCCTTCTCCTCCTCCTCGTCTATTTTTACCGGAAATATAATTCTTTACTATCTCCCCTATTATAGACTCTGTTGTTGTTGGTTCCTCTTCATTTCGTAATACCCTCAACCATCCTACTTTATATAGCAAATAGCCTTTATCATCGTTGCTTAAATCGAGGTGCTTACTCTGTTTTTCTAATTTGTTTGGCTTAATAGAATGAGATTGTTGATTGGTTGTTGTTAGATATATAATACGTTTATGTACAAAATGATAAATATATAAAGATAATAAAACAAATGGAATAAATGTAAGTCCACCTAATAGATAGATGGTGATGAATTTTAATGTAAAAATCATTTAAAAAAAAAAAAAAAAAAAAGAAAGACACACAGGAAGAAATATTATATCATTTAAGAAAAAAAAAAGGTTCTTTTAAAAAGGAAGAAAGAAAGAAAGGAGAAGGTAGGAAAACATTTGTTATAAATATAGTAATAAGTTATTGTGTATTATAAACTCGTGCTTGTGACTTTATTGCTTACTGCATACATTATTACTTATAATCTTAGCTATTACATAATTATAATAAAAAATCTAAAGAAAAAAAAAGGGGGGGCGGCATATAATACAAATTATTATTGTACAAAAAGGGAAAATATAAACTAAAGAGAATACACCTGTTATTTTGCTTTTTCACTTGTATCATTATTAGATGAAGAAGGTTGACAATATTTTCTCAATGATTCAGCAAGTATTTTTTGATTTAATGGTTTAGTTAAATAACTATTTTACACAGTAGTTAGTATTATTTTATGGCACTTTTTTTTTTACAATAACAGATGTATATATATTTACCCGTCCATTCCTGCATTGATACATATATGTCTTGCACTTTCTTGAACATCAGCTGTTAAGGCTACAATAGGAAGTCGACTTGTTCGTTTTTCTTCATCCTCTATCTCTCTAATTTTTTTAGTAGCAGCAACACCATCGCACTATATATACATATACATATATGTATATATATAACATTAATAACATTAATAACATTAATAATATTATCTCCTTCAAGATAGATATTTTGTGTGTGTTACCTTTGGCATATGATGATCAAAGAAAGCCATTGTAAAATAACTTTCGGGATGATTGATCCATGCATTTACAGCCTCTAACCCATTATTTGCACATTCAACTTGGAAGCCAAGTCGAGTAAGTTGCTTTAATAACAATTTCTGTGCAACAGGATTATCTAATGATGATGATTATATTATAAGGCAAAATTAGGGAAATTTTTTTATACATGTATTGTTATTATTTACCTTCAGCAATTAAAATATTCATTGTACTGAATAAGTTTCGTTCTTCATCCGTAATAAGTTTGGCTGTCGTTGGTCGAGTATTGTTGGGAACAAGTTTGGGTAATTTCTTATCTAGTACTTCACCAATTGTTCTTAATAGTTTAAGTCGTCTTAAAGGTACTGCCATACGAATTGCTTTACAAGAAAGCTTCTGGTTCGAAATATGATCAATTAAGCCTGATTTCCCATTTACTAAACCACCTGCAGGATAATTCATGATGATGATTAAACAATCTTTATTGATGATGCTTGCCTCTTCAAGCCAAGAGTTGGATAGTTGTGTAGTGGTATTATCTGGATTCATATAAAGTCCCACAATAATAATATCATATTTTGTTTGCTTTAAATATCTCTTAAAGTCTTCTATTTCATTTGCACCATCTACTCTAATACCTGTTAAAATAAATCGAATCATATCAATTGTAGCTGGATATCTGGAAATAGCCAACACTTTGAGTGAGGATAAGTATTGATGTAATACTTTGCGCTCATCAAAATAGGATTCAATTTGAGGGTTTTTACCGCCAGCTTGCAAATGAAACTTTGATACTCGAATGCTAAAATAAAAATCGGATCCTTTACCAGGGACGCTAGAGACATTGATTGAACCAGACATGAGCTCAACAAGTTGAAGACAGATAGAGAGCCCAAGACCAGTGCCTCCATACTTGCGTGTTGTACTACCGTCCACTTGAGAGAATGGCTCAAAGAGGACCTTTCTTTGTTCGTTACTAATACCAATACCTGTATCAATGACTTCAAATAGCAATGCTACTTGATCGTTTGAAGCAATCTTTGTTGTTGTATCCAAAGAGCATTTAATTCGAATTTCACCTTCATGTGTAAACTTGATAGCATTACCAAGTAAATTAATCAGAACCTGTCTTAGACGATTTCCATCAGTAATAACAACGGTAGGTACATTATCAGCTATCATATAGGCAATATTGATATTTTTTTGAATAGCCATAGCAATCAGCATCTCAACCACATCAGCGATCAAATCTTCTATTATTACAGGAGCTAAATCTAGTGTTACCTTGCCTGCTTGCAATTTAGAGAAATTTAAAAGATCATCAATGATCTGTAAAAGGATCTCACAGGATTCCTTTGCGGTTTTCACCAAATCGCGTTGTTCAGGGTCTAATTCTGTCTCTGCTAATAGTGAAATCATACCATAAAATCCAGAAAAGGGTGTCCGGATTTCGTGACTCATGTTAGCAAGAAATATTTCTCGAAGGCGTGTAGCACGAACGGCTGCCTCTTTACTCTTTCTTGCATCTTCTAATGCCTTCTTTTGCATTTCAATCATGCGCATATTCGCCATCGTCACACGTTGTACAGACTTAAACAGGAAAGCATTTGTGATAGAGATACCCATTTGTTGACATAAAAGGCTAAGGACAGTAATATGGCGTTGAGTAAAGATGCCACTTGAGCCCTCCAAGAATAAACAACCGGCAAGAGCACTCTTGTGCGTGATGGGCATGCAGATGACAGATTTGTTACCAACACGGTTATACCATGGGCCCACTGCAAATCTTGCATCTTGATCTATGTTATGAATAAAAATACTTTCTCCAGTGTTAATTGTGTGATGAATGATCCGGCTTGAGACTAATTCATCATCATCCATAAGGGGACGAGGAGGATCAAAGGTCATAGAGCCCTCTTGCTGACTACCATAAGCACACATACCGTATTTTTCTTCCTTAACAATAATTGCTCCACAATCTGCGCCTGAATTTTCCAAGATGATAGACATCATCGATTTAAGTAAACTGTCAAACTTGACCTCGGATGAAATAACTTGAGAACTTTTAAGAATAGAAGCCATATCAAGAATATCTAGAGTAAGCAATGTTTGCTCAGTTGTAACAGGGGGGATTGTTTCTGATACAAACGGTTCATTAACAGTATTGACTGCACCCAGTGAAGATGTACTCCAGGTTCCTTGAGGACCCAAGAAAGGAAATGGATCAGTTTGGACACCAGTGTCATGAGATTCAATACGACCATCATCATATTCTGTCAATAGGGTAGTGTATTTTGTACTTAATTGTTGTGCTTTACCATAAGATCCATGATGAACATACAAGTCAATTGCCTTCCTTAACATACCATAAGCTGCATTCTTTAAACCGGAACGTTCATAGAACCCACCAAGATATCCATGACAGATACATAACTCTAAAAACCAATCACCTTCACGTGCCTGATCAATGGCATCTTCATAAAGTCGAACTGCTTTAGCCAAATCGTTGGAGAGTGTGGCTACCTTCTCTGCCTCTACTAAAGTATACCACATAGCATAATTAATGCGGGAATGTTCCATCCATGGTCTCAGTATAGCTTGGTTAGCCTCGATACGTTCTATATACATATTAATTTCTTCCTGGGATAGTTCTTCTCGCTCTACACGTATCTTTTGAAGAATAGCCAGTGAATGTAGATAAACAACCATACGAGTATGTCGATGAGATGGATGATTGTGCATGCCACGAATACACATATAACCTGTAGCGATAGCATAGTTGTAATGTCCATATAGTACAAGTGGCAGCATACGGAAAGAATCATACCAATTTAAGGGGACATTTGGACTTGGACTCTGTTTACAACTTTCAGCAATAAAATGACTGTCACAGAAACCATCATCTCCATTAAAGATTTCCTCAGGTGTGTTATGAAAGGTATGACCTTGTAATGCTTTAATTGTACGAATCACACTCATGATCAAGATATTGATATCAGCAGATGAAGACCAGTTATGAATATCATCATAACAACTTTCTGCTTCTGCTAGTGTATCCGATAAATTATTACCTATGTAAAACAGCATATCTACTATATGCAAGTGCGAAAAGGAAGCGTAGATACGATCACCTGCTGACAATGAGTAGCGTAGTGCTTGGCGATAAGCAGCAATGGATTCACGTTGATGGTGTTTCCATACAAGCCCAAAAATATTATAGAGACAGAGGGCACGACCTTTTTCGTTATTGCTACCATATTTTTCGGATATCGTAACGCCTGCCGCACCTAGTTCCTCACCAAAGCTGTATTCATCATAAAATTCAACAGCACAAAGATTCAAAAATGTCAAAGCCACACCTGTTGCAGATGAGATACCTTGAGTCAGTGAGTAATAAACTATTTTAACAGCATAATAAAACATTTCAGTTTGATTGCCAAGCCAATATGCACTTGTGCACATCTCCTCAAGGATACTCATAATCGATCTTAACTTTGGATCCTCACATAGATTCAATTTTCGCATCTCTTCAATACCTATCTCCTTAATCATGCCTATCACGAGTTGGTACTGTTTATCAAGTTCCTCACGAGTGATATTAAAATTGAAGTCATCAATATTGAGTTCTTGAAGACAGTTACGTAAAGATTGAGCACCTTCTTCATGCATTTGTCGAGAGAAAAAATACTTGTGCTGAATACGATAGGCTATTACGCGATCCATAGGATCCGTTGTATGTTTAAAAATAGCCTCAAGGTATTTCTCAGTTGTTTCATATTCACCGACAACCCAACTGAGGGAAACAGCATTGGTGTAAAGATAATGTGTTCGGCTGTATTTTTCGCCTTCCCAACAATCAGATTCTAATAAAGAAATGGCTGCTTTGTAGTAAGAGAAGGCCATTTTATGAGCACCTGATGCACGAGCCTTATTGCCTGCCTCGTATAATATATTCCTATACATTGCCTTATTTTCTGACACACATATCAATTTCATAGACTTGAGCAAATGGTCAGCAATAAGAAAATTATCAGCATTCTCTTCTTGCATAAGATATTTAGCAATCTTAAGGTGGATCTTTTCCCTACTTTTTGGATTAGCAAGTTCCATAGCGGCTTGCGAATAACGATCATGCGACCATTTAAACTCATCACTCTCAAGTGGTAAGATATAACCCTCTTGTAAAGCTGCTTGCAAACCATTGATAGGATTATACAATTTACGCGAAGCTGATCGAAAAAGTGTTCTTTGACTTGATTTTGACGTGATAGATGTTGATGCTGTTAAGGAAGATTGTGCTTCATTATTGGCCATAGAAAATTTGATCAATGGATGTTGAATATTTTTATGGTGCATAGACTCGGATGAGCTATTATCATCATCATCCACTGCTTGTGAATTTATTTCTGAATTGGCTGCGTCAGAATCAGAAAACTCTGATTCAGGATCTGAATGTAGCATTAAATATTTGACGGTATTCCAAGAAAATGTATCACCTACAAAGGAAGCCCATTTAAGCAAACGTTGACCATCTAATGGTAATTCCTTTAATCGATTTACTAAAAAGCTAATATCCAACTCAGCATCACGTTCAGCGCCATCCTTGGACATAATTACTTGTTGAATATCGGCCAGGTTATAATCCCATTCATTTTCTTCCCAGTTGAAGAAAATCATTTTCTTCTTCTCAAGTGTAGCTAGCAGTTGGGATGTATAAAAAGCATTACCTCGAGTCTTCTTATACACAATATCTGCTAAGGGTAAAATAGAATCACGATCTACATCCAAAGGTCTATGAAGAGCATCACTCACATAGTCAACTAACGAATCAAAATCAAGTGCATCAATTGGAAGATTATGAAATACAGCATATTCATTTGTAAGAAGTTTTTCTAGTTGTGGAGTAGCTTCTTGATCTCTAAAGGCAATAAAAAGTAAAAGCTTTAAACGAGAACCAATCATACTTTCAATTAATTCCAATGATGGCTCGTCTGCTAAATGAAGGTCATCCAAAAACTTATGTCGTTAAAGAAAATATATATATATATATAAATATATATATTAAATAAAACAGATTCTATATTAAAATAATTAATTCATCTATATATCTTACCAAAGTCACCATACGCCATTGAGTTAAAGCTCGAAATACTTCAACAAATAAATTATGAAAACGAACACGAGTTTCAACATTATCCAAATGAATTTGATCAATAGGTTCTTCTGAATCCTCACTATCAACTGGGTCTAACAATGGCTTTAATTCAGGTACTAGATCGGCTAAAAGTTCGATTTTACAAAATTGGGAACCTAGGTGTGTTTTAAGATGGTTATAAAATGCATGAATTTCTTCCTCAGACTCGGATAAAACTTGCTGCAAAATTTGAGAAAGAGATTTTAGTATACAGCTATAAGGTACTTTATGTCGTGAATCAAATTTTGTTGATGCAACATAACTTTATAAAATATTTATCGTCAGTAAAATAATAATTCATTCTGTATTTAATATTTACCCATGCTGCCTAGCTACATTTTGAACGGCATTAAATAAAGTAGATTTACCTACACCACCAGGGCCAGAAATACAAACAATTTCAACACCCTGTTTTATACTTTGTACTCTACCATTCCCACTAGATATATCACTTCCATCAAATCCACTACAATAGCTTGGGGAGGTATTTGATTTTGTACCAGTATTGATGGCTCCGTTAGTTACACTACCTTCATTACCTGATAAATGGTCACTAGTATTATCACTTACACTTGCATTACTTATATGAAAATCACCTCCACTTGTGATTGTAGGTAATGTAGAGCCTGTAGAATATGATTTGTCTTTACGATTTTTCATTGTTTTGTATACACCAGCTACACGTTGTATAATATAATTCATCTCAACAATAGTTCCCTGACGTCCATAAATCGCTTTAGGTAATGTAAAAACTGAAGCAACATCTTTTTCTGCTAAAGGAAAGGATTCAATGACCTACATAAAAAGTATATATTTATATATAACATTAGTACTATGACCCTACTCCTACTTTTCTTTTCTTTTTTTTTTCTTCTTTTTTACTTCATAACTAGTTTCAGAAGCAAACTTTAAACGTTTTAGACATTCTTTTAAATCAGCTCTAATACCATAAGCGCTATTATATCTTTCATCTGGTGACTATAATATGTACATTAGAAGAAGAAAAAGAAGTTGATTAGAAATAATGATAATATATACAAATATATAAATATGTATACGGTAAGAAAAAAAAAACTCTCTCCTACACAAAGCCACATAATTCACTTTAATACCTTATTTGTCATTTTTTCAACAATTCTAGCAACTACTTCAGGCACTTCTAGTTGGATCTCATGAATAAGCGGTATTTTTTTACTCAAGATACTGTTCAATATTTCTAATGGGCCACCATCAAATGGATTTTTTCCAGTTAATAATACAAAAAAAACGATACCCAATGAATAAATATCTGAACGATGGTCTGGGACATAGGTTGTTCTACCGGTTTGTTCTGGACTTACATAAACCAATAGATTCTGTAACATTTCCATAGATTCCTTATTATTTGCAGTCTTTCTCCAACCTTCACTTGTAAGATAAGTCTCAAGAGATTTTGTTCCAGAACCAAAATTCCACATTTTCACTCTTGCTGAGTCTTCACCAGTCCATTGAAATGCAGATAATCTAATCTCCCCATGCACAACATTATTTCGATGAATAAATTCCAAACAATCTGTACACTTGATAGCAAAACGGAGAAATGTACTGAGATCGTAAATAGGACCATTATTTGGTAAACCTGCAGAAGGTAAAGGTTGATAATAATGACTGATATTATTACTATTAAAATTACTGCTATAATCCATAAATATATTGCTACTATCATAATGAAACGAACGATAGCGTTTCTCTATTGAATGATCGCTAACTGAGCTTCTATCTGAATAAGCTGTTGCTCTAGATGTAATTGAATTATTTGATTCATCGGATTGCCGTTTACTATATTCTAAATAGTTCTGTCCTTCATCAGCGTAAATAACTATAGTTAATCCACTTGGTAAATGAATATATTCTAAAGGTCGAACTATATAATAACTATTAAATGAGTAACTCCGCACTCTTCTATATTTATATAATCAATACGTACCTAAAAAAGATGATCCATCACTCAGTTGATATAATCTTTTTATGATATAATATTCTCTTTCAAGTCTTAATGAATTAGGAGACATTTTAGCCACCACTGGTTTTTTATTTGATATTCTACATAGTAATAAATAAATTATCTTTTTTTTTTTTCTTTTTTTTGTTTTTCTTTTTTTTTCTTTTTTTTTTTTTTTTTATTAACAGGTTACCTATAGCCAAAAACAATATCCACACTTTCACCATGGGCTAAACTCGGTATCGGGGCAGCTTTAAAATGATAATTTGGTATTTGTAAAGCATCACCCAACATACTGAATCCAGTTGAATCTGTAATTGATCCAGTCGATCCAGAATTAGACATTATGTGTTAAAATGGCTTTTTTTTATTCTTTTTTCTTTTTTGTCGTCGTATATATTTAGCTGTTGTCGCTATCCGGGATATATGATAAAATACACAGTATTATTATTTATTTATTTATTTATTTTTTCAACTATATATTTTATTCGTAGGTATTTTAGCTTATAAATAAAAACTTGGAAAAATAAAAACAAGTTGATATAAGCAATTAAAAAAGGGAAAAATAAAAAAGGAATTAAAGGGGGAAAATACTGTTTTGCCCAGGCTGTGTGGAACGAATGATACTGCGAAATATTCTTTTTTTTTTTTTTTTTTTTTTTGTGAATTACTTTTACTGCTTAATAAGTGGATAAACTATATCGACCAGAAAAATAAACTTTATCCAATCTTAGATTTTCTTTTTTATCTAGGCATTCAAGTGTCAATATTATCTAATATATTCCTTTTAGCTTATATTATTTTATTTTATTTTTTTGGGGGAAGTATGATTCTGCCCTTTAAAATCAAATAAATGTCTCTTTTTTTTTTTTTTTTTTTTTTTTTTTTTTTTTTTTTTAGTGGTTAGAAGGAATGCTTTTTGATATTCTGAATCACTGTTTTGTATATAATATTTCAAGATAATGACACAATTTTTCTGTTTTCAATATGTATGTGTATGTGTATATTTTATTTAATCATAAATACCAACAATAGCATTAGCCACAAGAGATTGATCAAATTTAGCTTTTGAAAGATTTAATGTAGTTTCTTCAACCTCATTTACTTTAAATGTATTATTTAATAAATTGTCCCAGTAAGCATTTATATCCTTTTTAAATGAATCGTTCGTATTATCAACAATCTAAATAAATAAAAGATAAGCTTGCTTATTTTGTATAAATGACATGTTTAAATACTTTACTTCTTGACGTTCATCTTGTATAATTTTCATTATAGTCTCTATATTCTTTTGTTCCAAATAGCCTTCAACATTGGTATCTTGAATAGGTTGTCGATGTTCAAGTCCACCCAAATGAATGGTTCCTAATTCTTTTATCAATACTTGTGTATTTACTCCTCCTTGTGCTAAAAAGTAATGTCTATTATATAAATACATATTTCATTTAATCGTTTATATTACTTGAACGTTAAAATTATATATGTGAAATATTTACGCTCTAATATCTACTCCTTCATCAGTATTTGTTGTTTTTACAGAGAGTTTCTTTGATTGTGATTCAATTTGATTTAATCCTCTTTCAATAAATGGCAATTCTTTTGGAAGAATTTTATTGTTAGTTAATTTGGATCGTTCGAGAATTTGCTTTAAAGAAGCAGGTGGTTTTTCTTCGTTGTTCTTTTTATCGACTAGTGACATTATATATTGTATGTCTTGATCGCGTATAAATATTTGTTTAAGGAGAATAGATAGATATATGTGTATATAAAAAAAAAAAAATAAAAAAATAAAAGAGGGAGAGAGTGTGTTTAAATATTTCTTTGAAAAGATAGTCACATACACTGTATTATCTTCGAGCCAATTTCAATGAATGATTTGATCATGTATAAGTACATAAGGTGAAGAAATGAAAGAAAAAAAAAAAGACATATTATTTTATAGTTAATTCCCCAAAAAAAAAAATTGAAAGTTTTTGAGTCTATTATTTATTTGATATAAAATAGTTAAAGACTTTAATGCTGTATGAACTAGATAGAAGCACTGCAGTGTGAAATTGCATATTAAATAAGTAATTATTTTATGTCAAAGGGTAATTTTATATACGGCTACTTTACCATTTCACCGGATAAATCTCCCACTTTTCCCAAACTTTGGTCTTATAATAGTGATCATTTTTAATCAATTGCTCTACTTCATCAATAGAGTCAGCATTATACAATACAAAGCTTCCTTCCATTTTACTAGACTATTCAAGTATCGTTAACATTCTATTTATATACACAAACTATCTTCTTTACTTCATGGTTATCTAAAAGTGCACCACACGTTATTATACCTCCATTCTTCTTTGCAATACGAATCTCTGAAAAGTGCTTATCACGTATCCCCATTCGACGTTCAAGGCATTGAGGGTCTTTATAATCTTTAAGAACAGCCAAAAACTGCTTCTTCTCTTTTTTTTAAAATATATATTTATATATATACATATATACATGTATATAAATAATATAATAATATGCAAATAGCATTATATTATAATATACCTGTGGTAAAGTATCTGGCTTGGGCACGATTGAGAATTAATCTTTTACTTAATAAGCTTGATAGTAACATTAATAAAGAAAGAAAGGGAAGAAGAAAGATATAGGATAAAGAAGATCGTGTGAACATATAAAAAAAAAAAGGAAGGAAATTCGGGAGATGAAATTATAAAATATAAGGATAAGCTCTTTCTCCAATAGAGCCATTCTTTTCGATTTGCTTATTTAACTTGGACAAATGAATTCTTAAACAGAAAGCAGCTAGAGCAGCAAGGAGCATTGCACCAGCATTGATCATATTAGAGCCAATATATCTAGGTGCATCAGATGGCCAACCTGAATAAAGAGCGAAAGTACAGATTAAGGCACCAAAATTGGCAATAGAAGATACAATACCCGTTGCTGAAGCAACAGCTACAGGATCTTCTTTTGAATTAGCTGTCCATGCCATACTCTATATTTCATATAAATCTATAAGTTACTCCTTATTATTTCAACTCATAACTTTAATCATCTTACCAAAGGTACAGTTGGGTAAGTACCGGCTGCTACAACCATTAATCCGAAATAACGTGCAGCAACAGGCTTTGTAAAACTCAAGATACAAAATCCAATGAAGGACACACAGGAAGATCCAATAATAAACCAGCCTCGGTTTTTATAATAATCACTTAATCGAGTAATAATATAGACCATCATCATACCAAAGACATAAGGAGGGATACTCATTAAACTGACTTGGATTGAATTAAATGTACCGATTTCTTGAACAATTTTAGGTAAGAAATAGCCTAAAGAGGTAGCTGCCATTACAGGTGTGAAATACAGTACACAAAAAAGCCATACTTTAAAATCCCTCAATTCTCCGAATACTTGCTTTAGATTACGTTTCATGTTACGTTCTTCAACACTCTCTGTTGACCTTGGTCGTCGTACTACTGTCGAATTCTCAAGTCTCTTTTTAACACGTGTACGTTCGTCTTCATTTAAAAATCGAGTAGACTTTTCAGGCGTTGAAGGTAAATAAAAGATAGTAGCAAGTCCAAAAATAATAGATATAATAGCAGAAATTAAAAATAGCCATTGCCAGCCATATAAATTACCACGAGTATCTATTAATTGCACTCCAGCTGAAATAAGTCCTCCAAATGCACCCGAAGCAGGTCCAGCCAAATAAGTAACACCAATACGTGATGATATTTCTTCTGGTCTGTACCATAATGTATTATAATAAGCTATTATAATAAATATTTACTATATATGTTAAAGAAAGAAAGAAAGAAAAAAATTTACTAATGCCTAAATATGAATATATTAGTTATACTACTTGTATAAATGTCTGTATTTTTTTTTTCTTTTACCTGGCCAAAATCCCGCTTCAAATGCTCCTAATAAAAAACGTAATAAATAGAAATGCCAAGGTTTAGAAATGGCTGCCATGCATCCAGTGACTATACTCCAGGTAATCATGATTCGTGCAATCCAATGAGCAGGATTCACATGAGCCATCATCAAATTAGACGGCACTTCAAAGATCTTTTTTTTTTTTAAAAAAAAAATACATGTGTAAATATATGAAGACTTAAATGAGCATATTATATATGGGCATATTTACAATATAGGCGACATAAAATAGGCCAAGTCCAATATTGTTTTCGTGACCCGTTAATCCTGCTGTATCCATTAAAGTATGCTTTTCTGATTTATTCATTGTCATTGCATATCCAACGTTAGATCGATCTTCCACAGATAAAAAATAAAGCCAAAATATCCAGGGAACAATACGCCAATCTAGTTTTCGAAGTAATTTTTTTTCTTTATCCATGTCTATTTCATCTTCATCACTCGAATCATGAGGAATATCTTCATTAAGCATATATGTAGTATTAGGACGCTGTCGAATGTCTAAATTGTCTTTAGTCTTAAGCTCAATAATTGATTGATCCATTTTAATTTATAAAAGAACAGAGATCATGAAAAAAAAAAAAAAAAAAAAAAAAAAAATTAGTATAAAAATATTTTCAAGAAAACTATTTATTTTTATTACTGATGTGCTTAATGAGCAGTGTGTGTGATATAAATTATTCAACTGAATTAATTATTTAAAAAAGAAAAAAGATATAATAAAGGCATATGCAATAAAGAGAGGCGCAGAATTGTTATCATTAAAATGGTTTTGTTTTGCAATGGGATTAGATATAATATAAAAATCTCATCAGCATACGGGGGTAAAAAAGGGGGGAGAGAAAACATAAAGTAACTATTTATGCAATCAAAGGCAGCAGGAGAGCATAAATCTATTTAATCCTGATTTTAAAGCATAAATCTACCTTCATTTTTTTCACTAAGTTTAGTTTATTGACTTTGTCAATAATGGATATATTATTAGAGGCTTTCAGTAGTAGAGTAATAAACTTGAATTAATAAAGAACTTTGCAGTCAGTATAGTTAAATGACTAAAAAAAGAAGCTATAATTGGGTGTTTGTTGAAATGGAACTTCTTGGTATAATTGACAAAGCTTATGAAATCAAAGGTTATGTGTTCTTCAGAACTATCTTGTACAATGATTATGATATAAAAGTGAAGCCTCTTAAATTAGCTTCATATAAATTCTATCTTCTTCTAACTAACTAACAACTGGTTAACACGTATAAGATTAGCTAATATGAATTTGAATTATTTGGCAGAAGAATCGGATTGGATAAATTCAAGAGCTTCCTTTATTAGTAAGTTTTCCTGGAGTTAGTATTACTATTTTTAAAAAGATAGGTTATGTGTTTCAAAATGATACTCTCGAATAATAATAAATTAACTACTAGAAGTATTAAGGTGTAGTGACAATAATTAGCTAAGCTAATATTTTTTTTTGTTTTTACAATAGAAAAGGTAGGATTGTAGCTATTTATTCTTTTAATATATAACTATGGTTACTACTCTTGACCGCAGTTTTACTATATACTTTTCCAATGTTATTATTGACAAAAAATATATATATATATACGCGTATCAATAATCCGGTCATTATTTGAATTTATTACATCTATGTGTCATATACTATTTTTGATAACATCATAATACATGATATCTTAGGAGAAGCTTTTCATTGTCGTATTTCAGCTGTCAAAAAAAAAAAAAAAAAAAAAAAAAAAAAAAGAAAAAAAAAAAAGAAAAAGAAAAAGGAAAAAAAAGGACAAATTAGATCCAAATAGCGTGTTCAATTTGACTATTCATATCTTAAATAAGGATTTTAAATTTAATATGAATATTAAAAATGAGTTTTAAGCTACACCATAGTTGTTCGTTCGTTAGATATAAATAATATAAAAAAAAATTGTGACAATAAATATATTTTGAATTTAGTAAGCACATACATCTATATCCTTACTTTGGGTCTCCCGGACATTACGTATCATGTTTCGTAATTTAAAGGCATTATTAAAAGAAAAAAATACTTTCTGATGATCAGAATAAAATAAGGGGTAACTTTGTAAATAATTGACAAAGGTAGGATAATAGAATAGTCCATTAAACAATCATTCTTCTCTTCCTAATAACAAGAATATAAACAAGCTGCAGGCTCTAAAATATGTAATTATTATTCTTAATTTAATTCAACACACGATCGTATTACTGATTGATCGCCTGTGTTCAAATATAAATGCTAGCAACTGCAAAAAAAAAAAAAAAAAAAAAAAAAAAAAAAAAAAAAGGCTAATTATAGTGATGAAATAAAAAAAAATCCTATTTTTATGGTCTTTATTTATGTATTAAAGATGAATGATTTATAATTCGTAATTGACTATTAATAAATATTATTTCTTTTTTTTTCCAGTTACTTAGCAATAAAATATAATCTTTGGCTTTACATGTTATTAATAAATACAATGTGTTGCTATGCCAAGTATTGATGTTTTTAGCGGAAAAAAAAAAGAAAGGGAATGATTTAACTGTTTGTTTATTTAGTTTCAGATAAAAAGGTGTATTGTTACACGTAAAAAAAAATAGAACTTGATAGGGTAAAATTTTTAATGAAAAAAAAAAAAAAAAAAAAAAAAAAAAAGAAACTTGAAAGACTGCTCACTTTTAATAACATTAAACTATTCATATTAATGTTATAAAAGGTATACATTAGGAAAAGAAATTCACCACTATAAATTCTAGTTTGTCAAAACAAAGTTAAGAATAATAAGAAACAACTCCGCTTTGAGTTAGTTGTGAGTTACATAACTTGAGAGAACTGAGCAATAAGAAGCTTAATTAGCGAAAAAAAAAGGAAAAAATAAAATAACAAAAAAAAAAGGAAAGGTTATTTCCTTTACCATAGGTTCTGTTAGTTGCATAATTATAAAATCTTGGTAAACGATTTAAGAAAGAGCTTAATGTAAATTATCAATCAATCAACTGATTTGATTAGTTTCCATTAATACTGAAAATAAAATTAAAAAAAAAAAGAGATAAAGATAAAGGAAAAATTTTAATTGGTTTACTCTTTAGAAACAGTACAAGTGACGCTTGCTTTCAATTTTTATTACCTGAAAACTGAAAATCATTTTCTTTTTTTTTTTTTTTTTTTTTTTTTTTTTTTTTTTTTTTTTTTAGCCATTAGTTTTTCTTTAAAAAAAGGAAATCAATAACAAAACAGCTATTACAGTTTGTTGTAATATTACTACAACAACAGAATCTTTACTATGTCAAATTGGATAGATAAATTAAATGATAAAGTGGCTCACTCTTTTATTGGAAAGTATTTCCAATTAGAGAACTCTGGACATAGAAGAGAAAGAAAGGGTACCAAGTTTACAACTGAACTTCGAGCGGGTATCACTATTTTCTTTGCTATGGTAATAACGAATATAATATAGTAATAATGCAGTCTTTATATGTGTATATATTTATTTATTTTATGTATATTATGTATAGGCTTATATTATTTCTGTCAATGCTTCCATTATTTCTTCAAGTGGAGGCACTTGTGTTTGTGTGCCAACTGCCGATGACCCTGCTTGTGATAACGATCCAGATTATATGGCCTGTGTTTATGAAGTTAAACTCGAGATGATTATGGCTACTTCTATTATTGCTATGATTTCTAGTATTATTCTCGGTGTTGCATCTAACTTGCCTCTTGGAATGGCTCCTGGGTAAGTTTATTTTTTCTTTTTAAAAAAAAAAGGTCATATTTAATATTAATCTTTTTTTTTTCTCTACCTATAATGTATATAGTATGGGTTTAAATGCTTATTTTACATACACAGTTGTTGGTTATCATGGTACAGGAAAAGTCCCTTATCAAACTGCTGTAGCAGCTGTTTTTTTGGAAGGTATCATCTTTTTTGTTTTATCTTTGTTTGGTGTTCGTCAATGGCTAGCCCGTGTTATTCCTATGAGTATTAAGGTAGCTATGGGTTGTGGTATTGGTCTGTATCTCTGTTTTATCGGCCTTCAATCATCAGCAGGTATTGGTTTAGTTTCATTAGATAAATCCACACTTGTTACCTTAGGTGGTTGCCCCCCTTCCGCTTTAAATGATGGTGTATGTGAATGGGGACGTATGACATCACCTACAATGTATATGGGTCTTTTAGGGTTAGTCATTATGTCCCTCTTATTGATATATCGTGTTCGTGGTGCTATTTTAATTGGTATCGTCGTGATCGCCATTACCTCTTGGCCACGTAACAGTCCTATTACTTACTTCCCTTATACTACATCTGGTAATCAAATGTTTGATTACTTTAAACAAGTTGTTAGCGTTCATAGTATGAAGCATGTTTTAGGGCAATTTGATTTTAGCTTTAATTCGAAAGAGATCTGGATTGCTTTAGTTACTTTCCTCTACGTTGATATCTTGGATACGACAGGTACTATGTACTCCATGGCTCGTTATGGTGGCTTTACAGATAAGGCTGGTGATTTTGAACACTCTACTCGTGCTTTCTTAGCTGATGCCTGTTGTATTACCGTTGGTTCCTGTTTTGGTAGTTCGTCTTGTACTGCTTTTGTAGAATCTGGTGCGGGTATTGCAGAAGGGGGTCGTACTGGTATTACCGCCATCACTGTTGCCTTTGGTTTCTTTATTTCTATTTTCTTTTCACCCATCTTTGCTAGTTTCCCTCCATGGTCTACAGGTCCAGCCTTGATCTTGGTGGGTTCCATGATGACATCGAGTGTTCGTAATATCAATTGGGATTATCCTGGTGATGCTATTCCTTCCTTTATCACTATGGCAGTTATGCCATTCACATATTCTATTGCATATGGTGTTATTGGTGGTATCTTTGCTTATATTATCATCAATGGTTTTATTTATATTGTTGATAAACTTTCTCGAGGACGTATTCATCCTGATTATTCTCAACGTGAAGACTGGTGGACAGCTGTGCTGGGTCGCTCATTTGTACCTTTATGGATTCGTTTCTTAATTGCTAAAGCTCGTGGTAGAGACTTTGATTGGCATCAAGATGATTTTGAATTTGATGATGATGATGTTGCTCAACCTGCTGCTGTTCAAGAACAGAGAGCTAAAGAAATTGGAAGTGAAAGTCCTACTGTTATTGTGAATAGTTCGATTCATGAAAATTCCTCAGACACTGGTTTAGAAACTGTAGATTCCATAGCTTATGAAAAGCGATAATAATGATAATCATAGTTATTATTATATGTATTTATAAAATCCCTTGTATAAAATAAAAGACAAATAAACAATATAAATAAATAATAGAAGACATCTTTTTTTTTTTTTTTTTTTTTTTGATCATGAAGAGCTTTATCCAATTAAATATTAGATTTGTTGACTATTTATTTTTCTGTTTACGTATGTTATGTGTCAAATTTTCTCTTTTTTTTTCTTTTTTTTTTCTTTTATTTTTCTTTTATTATACATTTATTATTTACAAGTAAAATAATGGATACAATTGCTACCACAGAAGACTTTAAAGAAGAAAATCGTATAGAGAAATTAGAAGAAGCTAATACAAAAATAATAAGAAAATTTCGTAAAAGGCAAAAAAAAAAAACAAAAAAAAATAAATAAATAAATAAATTAATAAAAAAAAAAAAAATAAAAAAAAATAAAAAAAAATTAGAGCAGAAAAATTAGGAGGATATGAAAGCTTACCTCAATTATGGGAAGAGTTTGCACCTATAATTTTAAAAACTATTCATTTGAAATCACCTATACAGCATTTATTAAATTTTACAGGTGACTTCCATGATTATTGTGATGCGTTTAAAGAAGATACGGATTTATATGAATACAAAGAATACTTTGATGCAATGGATTTTGCCTGGACTTGTGTCTTGAAGGATAAAGAAGCGAGTGAAACTGATAAAGTACGTATTATGAATATATTAAGAGATGGACAGGATAGAGCATCCTTGCTTGGTTTACAAGAGGTCTACTCGCATGCAATAGATATTATTGAAGACGATAATGATAACCATTTTTAGCAAATTTCAATTTAAGAAATAGTTATTTATACACGTACACACAAATAGAGATGACGGGTTATGGTCCCTTCTCTCATGAAAATGGATCTACTTTAAAATAAAGAGCGGATCAAAATGATTAGTAGATAAATATAGACAAACGAATCAAATTGGAAGCTACAAAATAGAGTATAAACGTGAATAGTAAACTACCTCGCTTTACTTCTTTAATGCTTTATCATTACAACAGTCTACACTACCCTTATTTGCTCTTCTCTTTTAAATACTTTATAAATAAATAAAAAGACGCTTCTCATTTGACAGACACAAATAACAAGTATGACAAGTAAATAAGAATAGTAAGCGTTATCATCAGTTACTGATTCTCCTGAAATTTGTGTGGTATTTTTTCTAAAAAGGAATACCAATTATAATAAATTATTCCGCTTAAAACCCATGTTTTGAATATATAACATTAATGAATTAAATAGACACAATTGTCAATTAATAATAATTTATATTACCTGCTATAATAGACTATTATCTATAAATAACCCTCAAATAATTTTCATTATTTTATTTTATTTTATTTATTTTTTTCCCCTTCTTCTTATTTTCTTCTTTTTTTCTTTTTTTTTTTTTTTTTTTTTTAAAAAAAACACACACACACACACTCTCTCTCTCTCTTGTATATATTATACACACTCACATATCATTTATATTTATATACACGCATAGTATTTGTATTTAGAAAATGAAGTTCTCCATTGCTGCTATTTCCGCTCTTATCCTTTCGTCTGCTATTTCTTTCACAACAGCAGATTCTTATTCGGATGCTATTAAGGCATGGTGTGGTGGTAAATAAATAACAAATAACCATTTGATTGTTCTCGGCGTGGTTGGTATTGATTATATATTATTATTTAGGTCTTAAAGTGACTGCTCCTACTGCTTCAACTGTTGTTGTTGCTGGCCAAAAGACAAAGATTACAGTTAGTAAGTTACAATAAATAGATTTATTACTACATCAGAAACTAATAACATGTATATCTGTATATAGCTAGAAAAGCTAGTGATAAACACACAAAAACAATTACTGGTCTCGATGTAATGTAGCACGCAACAAAAATAGATTTTCTAATATTTATTAAATTAAGCTGACACCAAATTTTATTTTATTTTATTTTTTTTTATATTAATACAGTTATACTCTGTCTCAAGCACTGGTAAAGCTAGTTATGTTCAAAATGTCTGGAAGGGAAGTTATGCCTTAAAGAAATCTGCTAGTATTACTGACACTGTCCCAAAAAATATTCCTGCTGGTCTCTATTATTACCGGTATGTTTCCTTTTTTTTTTCCTCACTATTAGATAATTATTAATTTTACCTTTTATTTGAAATAGTGTTTGGATTACTAACATGATTGACGGTCAACATGGTCCAGACTGTCTCGAAACTTCCCACACCTTTAAGGTTACTACAAGCTCTCATACAAATGCTGCTGGTGAAACTGAATATGCTGAATATCTTCATGATGATAGTATCTATCCTGAAAATCATTATAATGGTTGCTTCGGTCTTAACGTTGACTATCCTTCAGCTGGTAGCACTTTCAATACAAATGAACATGTTCTTATTCAACTTAATCGTGATAGTGCTTCTCAAACTGGTGAAGTAACCAAGGTTGAACTTTATAAGGGTGACAAATTAGTTAATACTGTTTGGCAAGGTTCTGAATTATTCCAAAGCTCTTTCAATTTGAAAGATCATTTAGCATTGAATAATGTTGACCCTAATGCTGAATATCATTACAAGATTTATACTACTAGTACTACTGGTGATAATACTTGTACTTTCAAATCTAACAGTTTCAAGATTCAACAATCTTAGATTATATGTGTATTTGTGTAAACTTATACTGTATAAAAAGAAAAAAGAAAAAAAAATAACTCAATAAAAGCTGTTATCATATCCCCCACACACACACACACTCACTCACACTCACCTCTTTTCCCTTCCTCTTTTTTTTTTATTATTATTATTATTAAAATTAAAATGATTTTTCATATCTTTCTTGGGCAAGACGCCATTGTCTATCTTTTCTAGTTTCATTATGAATGATGGCATGTTGTTGAGAACCTAGACCTGATCTATCAAGTTGACTTGTGGGCATTAAAGGCTCCAAGATACCACTTTGGTTTTTACCAAGTCTTTGACCTTCTTGCCAACCTAATTTTTGTAACATTTTATTACCAATACCTTGTACTGGTTGTATTGCTGTATGAGAAGTATTTTTATTTTGGGTATCCTTCTTCTCTGTTGATTCTTCTATTCTAATAAATTTTTCAGGTAATAGCGTCTTTCTCCTCATCTCTGCTCGATCTACATAATTCTGTTGAACTTGTTGCTTTTTATCAAAAGTATATAATCTTTTTGCATTTCTATTCCATTCTCTTCGACGTAATTCTAATTCCTCTGGTGACATAACATGGGTTGTCATCTGAGAGACTTCCTTTTTCTTCTTGCCTATACTGGATGTATCGATGGGTAAGCTTGTAACACAACTTTGACAAGGCCAATCTATTGAATGCTCATGTACTTCTATGCAAGTAGATCCAATTTGTATTTTATCCAAATGTTGTAATTTATAGGGTAAACTACTTTGTTTTGATTCTGATAATCTTTTATTATTAGCAAATGTACCATGTTGAGAGCCATTATCAACTAAATAAAAGACTTTTTCTTTTTTATCAAAATAAACAAGTGCATGATATTTACTAACTATCATTTCTGGTAAACGAAGTCGATTGTTGTCCCATGAAGATCGATCACGACCAATAGTGATCCCGTTTTCATCAATAATCACTACTTGTCCAGGTTGAAAATGAGGTGATGATAAAATAACGAAACGTATTGAACGTGTAGTTTCCGGTTGTCCAGCCCAATACTCTTCTGTTAATGGGATATAAGATTGACTTACTTGATCGTAATAAAAATGTTCTTTAGTTTCTGTATTAAACCAGGATTGAGAATCTGAATCATAGATGTATGGATTAGATTCATAAATGGCTTTATAATCACCACATACCCAGCCACTATTGTTGTAATACATGACAAGTCGTTTAGAATGAATCACATATACCCCCATGAGTTCATCGTATGTCCAATCTTCTTTATTTTCTTCTTCATCTTCTTCTTCTTTAACCTTTGATTGAGTTGAATTTATGTAATCATCTATTTCTAAATTAAAATCTTGATCATTTGACATTTCCTTTAAATGTATATTTTTATATGTATATATGTGTGTGTATGAAAAAGGAAAAAAAAATAAATATATTCTTTTAAAAAATAAATAAATAAAGAATGGGTTACTAATAGCGAATTTTTAATAGATCTGAAAATTATTGCAGTAAATATATGCAAGTGTTTTATTGTATGTTTTGACTATCTCTGTGCGAAAAACCTTTAATGTTTGTTCAAGCAATTTTTTTCTTTTTTTTTGATAGAGCATATGAGCATATTTATATTCTCTGCCTTCTAATCTGATTAAAAACTATGTATAGGCGTATCAATTTAAGCTGATATAACACTCTTTTTTTTTATTCTTCATTTCTAGAACGAGGCTGAGAACACAACACTTGTAAATCCTACTACATAATTTAAAATGATAATATAGCAGTAATGATTTGTAATTGTCATATATGCTTTTAGTGTTGTTGAATTAAGCTTTCCTTATTAAATGATATAGTATGTGATGCACGCCCCTTTATCTCTATTTTAAAGAAGACTAGTCTAGTCTGGTCTAGTTACGGTAAATGTGTTGGTTAAGCTTATGTGTTATTCGTTTAAATAATGACACATATTACGTAATATAAATTCATTGTATGTTTCATAATCTTAATTTTTACTGCGTTTTAACCATCCTATTTATAATAAATTAATATAATATGACGGGCATATTATGCCAACAATTAGTCTATTCTTTTCTGCCCTTTTGTTCTCTCTTTTCCTTTTTTTTTTTCACTTCTTTAAATTGTCTACATTATTATTTTTTTGTTGAAATAAGAATATCTTGGCGTGCCTTGAAAAAAAAAAAAAACTTTTTTTTTGAGTGAAACAATTGATTTAATAAAAAACCAGTAACCTGTTTAATATAAAAAGATGGAATTTTATTTTTTTGGATTCGGTAACATTGTAACTTTATTTTTTATATTTTGACATGCATATTTCGTCAGGTAACAAATAAAATAATCTTGTAACTATATATCTTATAGACTCATTCCAAAGTTATTATTTATTTATAGCTATAACTTTTTTGGTAGCTTCTTTGATAGCAAGTGCTTCTGCTGCCATTATTCCATGCTCCGATGTTACATATAAAGTTATCGCTGCTGTGCCCAGTAATGAAACCGTTGGCGTTGTTGTGGATGATACTGTATACCCTTTAACATCTACAAGTAAATACTCTACACTACTTCATATTGGTGAAGCCCCTATGGCTAGTTCAGGTTATCAATATGCCATTCTTAATAAAGCTAATAATGAAATTATCAGAAAAGAAAATTTCATTCGCCAACCTGTCGACGATAGTACTTTAAATGAAGTCTATGATAGATCTTGGAATACTAAATCACTTGTTCAACTTCCTACTATTATGAAACCTCTTCCTATCATTCATCGTATTAAGTCCAGTCTTCATGTTGATGGCCAAATTCCTGTAATTCATATCACTGGTAATCAAACAGCTGTCGATTATATTCACAATCATCGTGCAGAAGACATTGAGATTACTATGAACATGACTTATATCAGGTAGAATGATAAACATATGATATGTATATATGATATTGAAATTAACTCTTCGTCTTCTTTCCCTTATATATATATATAGTCCTAATAAAATCAAAACTTTTAAAGAAATCACAATGGCTATCTCTGGTTGTAGTACACGTTTAGCCTCCAAGCTCTCTTACAAAATAAAGATGCCTGAAGGAAAGAATCTCTATGGTTATAGAACAGTTAAATTGAGATCCATGGCTTTTGATTTGACATACATGAAAGAAGAATTAGCGTATAATATTGCTGAGTCTGTTGGTCTCGCTACCACCAAGTACAGCTATGTTCGTGTCTATATTAATGACAAACCTATTGGTCTCTTTGGCCTCGCTGAGGCTTTCAAGGGCCCATGGATTCGTAATGAATTTGCAAATGGTAATAAAAAGTATAAACAAGGTGCCCTTTATATAGCTGATATGAATGGTGGTGCAGCGTGCTTAGCTAATCAATTGAACGCGCCTAGTCATAATTCTACGGCTCAGCATAATGAAGCAACGGTGAATAGGAATACGAAAAGAGATGTTGCCATCAGTACACATCCCTCTCCTGATTTATCTTATTTGGGAACCAATCTTACTGTTTATAGTCACTTTTATCTTGCTAAGGATAAATCCTATAAGGGCACCACTGACTATGCTAAACTTATGAAATTAACCAAATTTATTTCTAAACAACCTAATAATATAACCTTAACTGATGCTGTCGTCCCTCTCTGGAAAAAGAAATTTGATATGGAAAGTGTCTTGCGTACCTTAGCTTTTGAAATCGTTATTTGTAATGTTGATTCTTATCTTGTTACAAGCAATAATTTTATCTTATATGAAGATCTTGCAGCCGATCGATTTATGATGTCTTCTCAAGACTTGGATCTTACTATGGTATGTTTTGTTTTTGTTCTTTTTTTTTTTTTTTGTTTTTGCTTTTCTCTACTTTATACTAATATAATATAATATAATATATATGTAATTAGGGAATAAATATACTAAATCCTAGTATATTTTTTGGAGGTAATTGGACAGAATATCCTGGTGTCTTAACAAAACCCTTAACTTCACGTTTGATGGCTGTTCCAGGCTTTAAAAAAGAACTTGGTCGTTTGATTCTTCGCTATACTAAAAAACTTGTAAATCCCAAGGTCTTATTCCCACGTATTGATCAGCTTTATGATATGCTTAAGGGAGAAGTAGAATGGGATTTGAATATACAATATAGCAATAACGCTAAGACCTTTTGGTCAATGGCTGAAACGGAAATGAAGCTGGCAAATACGACAGACTCTAATTCAACATCAACAGATATCAATACAAGTAATGTTTTCGACATATGTGTTAATGGTGAAACGCATATACCAATTTTCATGGGCTTAAAAGAATGGATCAAACTTCGTAGTTCAAATATTTTAACTTTCTTTAACCAAACTTTATAAAGTAAAATAATAAATAAATGTACATAAAGTAAAATAAATCATTTTATATATTAGATAATAATCAACCACCTTTTGTTTCGTTTCGTCTTTAAAACATTCTCGATTTTTTTTTTTTTTAATTAATAGAATCAAATAATTGTTTGGTCATTTTATAACGGGATCTATACTCTCTCCCTTAGAGAGCCTTTCTAACCATCATTATTCTAAACGGCGAAATGCATTCAAAAAAAAATATATATATATTCAAATTAATATTCATATTTGGATATATTATACAAATATATTATACACATATTATACATATATTATATCTATTTATATATACTTTTATATTGGTTGGCCCTCTTACTTCAAATGCATATCTATATTAAGCGCTTCTGTAAAATGAAAAAAGTGAGAGTATCATGCTATTAAAATAAGCTTACCAATTCTTCTCTTGCTAATTCAAGTGTAGAGAAAGAATAGTCATTGAAATACATGATTAAAAAAAAAATTGGATATGGTCAAGTAAAAAGTCACTGAGCTGTACTGTTTCTAGGTAAAGGCAGTTCGATCATTTGCATTGAATTCATTAAACAAGACATATGCATTGCTTTGAAAGAAGAAAAAAATATACACTTCCAAATCATCATGGCTTCACGTAGGGTGGAACTCCTTATTTTATTTTATTTTTTTTTTCTCCCTTATTCGTTAACTGTCTTCAGCTCTTTAGTAAAAAAAAAAAAAAAAAAAAAAAAAAAAAAAAAAAAAAAAAAAAAAGGGGAATACACATTTTTATTGGCTACAATATTATATGATTAAACTTTTTTTTTTTTTATTATTTTTATAAATTAAAATTTATAAAGCGACCTATGGGCACATGATATCTTTATTATATTGGATTGCCCAGGTCAGCTCAGATTATGTGAAAAACAAAAAGGTATCTAAAAACCCTCTTATGGGACAAGAGGTAAAAAGGTAAAGGAAAGGAAGAAGAGAAGGTGAGAAAGAAAGGGGGAATATTGCTAACAAGTTTAAAGAGACAACCAGTTGAGTCATTTCCTGCCTGGATCAAGAAGTGGAGGGGGTAGTTTATCGTGCATTAAGTAATCTATTTCCTGTAGAATGGTACACATAACTGGCCAGCGATAGAACCAAGCAGAAACATCCTGAGAATTTCGGTGCTTATGCTGAGGGAGATGATTTAAAAGAAAGGAAAGGGGATCTGCAATTGATCGTGGCAAGAATAAACGGGTGTGCATATACAAGCATTCAGTGGCGTGTGACCGACTAAAGTGTACATGAGGATGATATGGGCAGGCTTTAGGTATTCCTCCGGGTAACCAACCAAGGCGCCATCGAATAGTTCGACTACGCTCACTGTGTGTCATGGGTAACCAGAGTATCGGGTCAATAATCAGATTAGGGCGGCAAGAGGAAAGCAAAACAGAATGTGTCTCGTCACGTAGTTGTTGAAAACTCTCTTCAAGAAATTCTCGACGATGTTTTCGAAAGGCTACAAGATTATATAGTTTTTACACTTTAAATTCAGATGATGTTAGTTTTTTTCTGAACGAATCCAAATTAAATGTTCAGACTTTTTCTTTACCTGTAATAATCTGAACTCCTTTCGGAGAACCATGTTTAATACGGCGATTTATGTAAGACTTAACCTCTTTTAAACGGAAGAGGGCGCTCTCCATCTCTCCAAATCGACTGAGCAGTCTTCATTATGTTTAAAGATGCATTAATATCCCTCTGCCACAGTTTTGACATGTCTTGCAAACAAGAACACCACAGCCACGAACACCAGTAAAAACATCCAAAGTTCTTGTCATACATTTAGAGCATACTTGGGAGGTAAGATACTCATCGATGGTAACAACTATCAAGTCACCATTAATTTCTCTTCTCTTTAAAGTCTTGTAAAAGAGTTCAGTGATTCCACTTCTCAATCCCTTGCAGTGCACTAAATCTTTGCCAAACATTCCGACCCCAAATACGACCAAGGGTACCTTTGATTTGTAGTTTTTATATTTAGTCTCTCTATCAGATACATTTGTATACATGCACTTTTTCAGTAAAAATAATAATAATACTAATTTACTGGGGTTTTTTTTTAACTACAAATACCTTGGAATACATTTCTTTTTAACTTCTTTTCCCTTTCTTTTCTTCTTGGTACCCCCTTTTTTCTTCTTCTTCTTTTTGTTTTTCGCTTTCTTTTTCTTTTTGCTTCTTAAACTTCTGTTGTACTTTTTAGTTCCGTTCAGCAACATATTTACCATTAACTCTGGCGCCCTTTGGTTTCCTTGGTACAAGAAGAAACGGTCCTTTGCCGTAGCAGCGTTATAAAACTCGAACAGAGTATCTAAATTATTGAAAATATAAGTGGCATGCTGCAAGTACTTTTCTGAGTCAGAAGTCTTGTTGGTTGGTATAGAGCTTTCTATGATGTTAATGCCACGCTCATTTTTTAGTCTGTTCAATTCAGAACTGAATCTTGCTGAACCTGTCAAATGATAATATTCCTTGGTTGTGCATCGTCGAACATCGCGATCTAAATCGGTAACTGCAGTAAAAACGGTTTTTCTTCCAGGGTCAATTGCTATTGGAAGATATGACTGTTCTATTTCTTGACTCTTAAAGTCATCGACTTTGAGGTGTATTTGGTTAACTTTGACAGCCATATCATTTTGATCATTTCGTCTTTTGTAGAACAAAAAATCAACACTGAAACCGTCTGATCTGATCAAGTTTCCAAACAACTGTCTATTTCTGCCATTCGGCATTATACTTTCAATTCTGGAAGTATGTTTGCTTTAATTATTATGATATCACCCTTTTTTTTTAACTTACGTTTTAATTCTCAATGACTGGAACTTTAATACTTTAAAAAAGAGCCGAAGTTGGTCATTATAACCTCTTGGCAACTTTTCACGAGGAAGAAACGCAGATAATGCGTTTACTGACAAAGTTATAGAACGCCAGTGCAAGGAAGGTGTTGGGAACAGACTAAATCGCCGCGGAAGAGACAGTCTTCTTACATCGTATTCACAATGGTTGTCGTGTTCAGATTCAATGATAGAGAGCAAGTGTATCAACAAAGGAGTAAATCTACCAGGGGATTCCGATAGAGTTTTCACTGTTACTTTGGTATTTAGAATGTCCCTCAGAGGCTGGCAAAATTGAACAACTTTTTGTCTTATTGTATCATCATTCACAGTTTCACTTGTTGGCCACACTGGATTCCCTTGACAGATATATTGATAACAATGTTTTACAGCAATATTATGAACGTCGTTTCGATTCATACTCTATATTTATTTTTATAAAATTCGTTTAGTTCTTTATTACTATTTATATACATACATTTTTTTTTTTTACCCACAAACATGATTTGAATCTTGTATCGAAGATAATAAATCAATCTATTTTCAAAGGTCTCGACGATTACATTCTAATACAAGGTGACTACCTCCGTACACGCCTCAGCCAGACATTGACTTGCACCGCTTATTAAAGTTACGGCATGGCATGCCTTGGGGTTTTCTCTTTTGAAGTTATCCCATCGCTGTAAAAGATTTAGACTGACTAGAGTGCTACTGGTAGGCCTTCTGTTATTGACCAATTGGCATATAGTATACCAAAATTGTTGCATAAAGATGAACCCTGGGGCAGGCTCATTGGGATTTTGTAAAAGATAGTAATTTACAAACAACTTTGCTCTGTAGATAAGGTGTCTTATAGAATTGCAGCAGGTGGTAATTTTTTCTTTCAGGACACCTTTGTATTCTTCTTTGATGCAATTATATCAAAAGGAAGCTTCCGCGTGTACGCAGTATAATTATACCCAAGGCTGAGAGCCAAGGTTTTCGCTTTTGATAAAATATAGAAAGAGCATTCAGGGGAGCCATGCAGAGCTATGACCTGAAAGCTTACATCTTGAACAAACAACTTCGGTACTGGCTTGTGTTTTCTGTCTTTTAGCATCATTTTTTTTTTTAGCTTTTTTAACGTTTTCTGACTGTTTTCGTTTTTTATTAGTACTAGTGCCAACTATTCTTCAGTAAATTAGTAGATGTTTAGCACCTTATTCTACATACGAACAACTATACCTTTGTCACCAGTCTCGGGTGAATATAACGAGCATTCTTTATAGTTTTTTTGTTAAGTGTCCCTTCTGACCACAATCAAAGCATGTGGCATCGATGATGTTATTGTTAATTTTGATTAGATATGTGCACTAATAATAATACTTGCTTGAAAGCTCATTCTTCTCTAGACGACTGTCATAAATAGCTTTTTTCTTGTTAAAAATAAATGATCGATGCATGTCTTTGTATGAAATAAGCAAAGATTGGTAAAGAAGGTAAAGAAAATGTGATATATTTGTGGAAAATTTAAGGTTGATTTGTAATTAAAAAAATTAAATAAGAAGCCAATAGAAATCGAGTGTAGTCCTTTTTGGTAAATATTCCACTTATTAAAAAGGCTAAGGTCTTAAGAAAAAAACAAGAGCAACCTTTTGATATGGCATGTAAATTATTTCTCTTACAGTGTTCATTATTAGCGATGTCATAACAATATCTTGAGTAACATCTTCTATTGTTCTGTCTGTCACAGCTATCATCTGTTGGATGTAGTTTGAACGCGAATCAATATAGAGTTGTTAGTTATGCAGTAAGTCTGGACTCAGCTGGAGCTAAATAATCATGCCTATATGTATATTATTTGAGATCTCTGGATTTCAGGATTCTTTCTGTTTTCGTTTGGCTGATGTATGATATGGTAAAAGCGCACGATATGAATTACATGTTGTATCTGTGTATATTATTTATTAATTGTCGGTGTATTTCACCACAATATTTACCAATGCTGTATCTTAAATATGACTGTCAAATCTATACTTTCATATAACTGTACACACGTAGTCTCCCATGTATGTATGTGCACCTTAGAAATATCAGTGTGTTAACCTAATTGACAATATAGAGTTTATTGGTCCCTCAAGACAAAACCTTTTAAAATGAAAAACAACCTAATAGGAATCCAACCATTTGATATTCACTAGAGCCATTTATGACACTTGACAAAAAGGTGTTAACAGAACCTTATTCAAAAGGGATTAACAATGATAGGGACCCTGTCACAACTTTTGGTGGACCTATTTTATTAGTAGATGAGCAAACCGTATCTTAGAAAAAAAAAAAGAATAATATGCCTGAAAAGTCCCCTGCTAATATCAATGCCATTGGTAATGTACAAAGCTTATGAGTCTGGTAACGTAAAAAAACAGTTCCTTGAACTTATGTAGAAAAAAAAATGACAAATATGTAAAACAGATGAAAAAAATCATGAATGCATATCATATTGTAGCCTTGGTTTGAAAAATATAATGGATGTTTTGAGTAAGCACACTAGGTATTATTTTCACATTTTCATGGACAAGTGTAGGGTGCATTATTCTCCGTTTGTCGTAGATGCCATAAGCCAGCGTGACTATGAACCGCTATTAATGAGCCCCCATATTCACTCTTTTTGTGCTCTATCAAAGATGTTGGTTCAAGATCATTAAAAAAAAATAAGAATTCTTTTTGGAAAAAACCAGACATGCATACATCTTGTATTGCTGAGCATTATAAACAAGTTTATGCTGCTAATTGCTAAGGACGGATGTGATATACAGAGGCTTTCTGGGATCGAGGAAGTCCTCTGTGTTTTTAAGTTGTGATTTATCAAAGAAGCGTAAGGTTAAAACGTACTTCATTAAATTAGACACAATACTTCTGCAACGTCTGTGATTCACCTTTTTTTTATATAAAGAAACAGGGATTTCCTTTTTGGGATTTGACGATTACAGGTGAAGAAAAAGTCTGAACATTTACCATCAAAGTGTCTGATTTTATTTTTCCTTTCGTCCAAAAAGTGTAAGCAGAGTGTCTCCTTTACTTCTTGATCCAGGCAGGAAATGACTCAACTGGTTGTCTCTTTAAACTTGTTAGCAATATTCCCCCTTTCTTTCTCACCTTCTCTTCTTCCTTTCCTTTACCTTTTTACCTCTTGTCCCATAAGAGGGTTTTTAGATACTTTTTTTTCACATAATTTGAACTGACCTGGGCAATCCAATATAATAAAGATATTATGTGCCCATAGGTCGCTTTATAAATTTTAATTCATAAAAATAATAATAAAAAAAAAAAAAGTTTAATTATATTAAAATTTTTTCAAGCGGCGAAATATAAGCTTGCATTTGTAGAAGTAAAGTTTTTTTTTTTTATAGACACACAATAAAAGGAGTAGTGTATATTAATATATTTATATACATATTTTGCATACTATGACAACACCGATAACAACAATAGCACAAAAAGAAGTTCGTGTAGGTGTTGGATGTTTAGTTACATACAAAGACCCTAAAGATAAACAAACACGTATTTTAGTTGGTCAACGTGCAGGGTCACATGGAGCAGGCACCTGGCAATTGCCAGGAGGTCATTTAGAAATGTTTGAAGAATTTGAACAATGTGCACGACGTGAAGTACTAGAAGAAACTAACTTGAATTTATCTTTAAAAGATATTAAAATGATAACAGCTACTAATGATATTATGCCTGAGAATAAAAAGCATTATGTAACCATCTTTATGTGGTGTCAAATTGAACCGAACGACATTACTCAAGTTAAAGTGATGGAGCCACATAAATTGCAAGGTGAATGGGAATTTATTACTTTGAACGAGTTGAAACAAAGAAAACCATTATTTTCCCCTTTGCAAAAACTTATTGATCAACATGATTTAAGCTTTTTAGATTGAATATATCGCTAATCTTTCAAAATACTATGCGCAATAATAATAATAAAAAAAGAAAAAACCTGTAAAGGATTAAAGATATTACTTGTGTATATATAATAGATATTATAGTGTAGTCACATTTGGTAAAACAGGATGATACTATGGAATAAAGTTTACGAATATAAGCTACTCGGTAGCAATAGTCATTTTCGGACCCAGAAGAAAATGAATGATGTCGTCAGCCGTCCTGGAAAAAAAAAATAACTTCTTTTTTTTTCTTTTTTTCTTTTGTTTGCATACATACAAAGATATAGATAATTTCCTACCTTTATTTAATTGTATATTATATATATTCACATATATATATATATATATATACATAAAAGATATATATTCAAAAAAAAAGGAAAGAGGGAGAGATATACACAATATGAGAACAACGTTATTTGTAGCTGGCTTTGGTGGACAAACACGCGCTAGAGATCTCGCTTACGAATTCGAACGGTAGAAATTTAACTTTTTTTTTTTTCTCGAAAAGAATCTCGAACATAATCCACTTGAAAAAAGAAAAAAAAAAACTAAATCAAATATTATATTAGATATGGTCGATTAGTTCGTTGTGACATTCCAGCACCAAAATCATTTCATGCCAAAGTGTAAATATTATAACAATTCAGTCACTTGATGTAATGTAATTATGTATATTAACGACATCAAAAAAAAAATAGATATGCCTTTGTTGAATTTGAAGATCCACATGATGCTGAAGATGCTTTTAATGAAATGCATGGTAGACGCATTGATGGATATACGATTAGTGTTCAAGTAAGGAAAAGGAAAAAAAACATGTGATATATTATTTAATAATGAATATAATACCTGTTATAGTGGGCAAGAAATGCGCCTAGCGCATCATGGCGATTAGGCGGTCCTTCATATCCTCCACTACCGCCACCATTACCTCTTCCACATCAACGACGCCATCCTCCTCCTCATCACCACCATCATTCTCTACCACCACCTCCTCCGGGACGTATACCACCACCACCCTATTATCACAGATCATATAGTCCATATCGTAGTAGAAGTCGAGGTAGACGACGTTCAATGTCTCCACCTAGAGGAAGGTCTCCTCTTCCTCCTCCTCCTTCTCATTATTATCTAAAAGAACGACGATATTCTGCTTCACCACGTTCAAGATCGCGTTCACCTATTCCAACTGTAATTCATACCACTGAACATCGTTCAAAGTCACCCTCAAGACATTATCATTAGTCCACCTCACACATTGAATGGACTATTAGATATGAATTATACACAAGCAAATGAAAATAATAATAATAATAATAATTATAATAAAACACACACACACACACACACACACATACATACATACATACATACATACACACACAATACGTCTATCTATCTACCCATATAAATATATATAAATATATATATGTATATATGTATATATATATACATACATATATATATGCATTTATATATCATAAACTAGTGTTATTTTCTTCAATAACTTTTAAGACACGTTGAACAAATGGACGTGTTCTAGCAATTTCACCGACTGGAGTTTTAAGTAAAACTTGAATTAATCGCATCAAGCCCTCTAATGCCTTATCTTTAATGGGTGTATTTTGATCAACATGATATAATAGAATCTCACATGCTTGTTTTAACTCATGGACACAAGGTCTAAAATAACAATCCATATTCACTATCCAATGATCAAACAAGTCAACTAGGGCAAAGGCAGCTGTTGTGCATCGCTGTACAGACATGGGAGTTGGTAAATAAGTCTGATGAATTAAGATCCAATGCCCATGATGACGAATCCATTGTTTAAAGAAACATCTTCGTTCCCATATATCACTATCATGTATCATTCCTTTATGTAGATTAGGTAATTGCTTTTGAAAGCTTAATAATCGTTTCTCGATACGTTCAATTTCATCATACGCTGTCTGTCTCTCTTCAGGGTGTGTAAAGATAGTACGTCGGATATCACGAGTGATTTGACAGGTATGAAATTCGATAAATTGAAAGAAGGCCTGTTGTTCATTTATCTCACTCGATAGCAGAGCAGCAGGGTTCTTTTTAAAATAAGTTGTGGTACTGACATGATCATCCAAATGTATTTCGTAAGGCTTATTATGATAATGAGAGGAAGCAGTGTCCAAGAAATACATAAACCAAAGTAAGGACCTTGCATATTCTTTTACTATCAGGACAGGGGGACGATAAGCGATTGGAAAGAGGTCTATCTGCTGCTGAGCAATTGAATCAAGAGCATCTTCACGATAGAGTTGAAGTGATAATGCCATTCGTACTGCCATACCCGAATAGATATAGATGACAGATGTATTTCCATTCTCAATATGATAAAGGACAAGGTTACAGATGGCATGACATGTAGTAAGACTAGGTGCGTCAAAATAAATAGATGATAAGAGCCGCTTAGCCCATTTGTAGTATTGTATCGAGAGATGCACACATGTAGACTTGTCCATTAAATTTTCAAAAATTTCTTTGTGCCAATAGAATGCATGAGGTAGCATATGACAAATAATAGAAGCATAAAGTAATTGAAATGTAGGAGATAAGTTATGCGGATCTAATAAGAGAGCTTTAAAGAGAGTATCAAATGGTTGTACAGCGCCATATAATAAACATCTTTTGTAAAGGGATAGCAATCGTTCAACTAAAATAGGTGACAAAGGTTCTGGCATCATTTCCTCTTTTTCTAAAGAAGAAAAATTATCTTCATCCTCTTCTACGTCTATTGTTGAATTCTTTCGTGGATCATCATCTGAGGTGTCTTCTCCGTCATGAACATCAGGTCTTAAACTTGTAAAATGACTAAGACGTACATTTGGAAATAAAGAATGATTACGTATAAGCCAAACTGGCTTCTTTTGTTGTTCTGGTTTAGGGTATAAAGTAAGAGTATTTGTATTATCTTTTGCAAATTGAATTAAAGTTGAATAAATGTCAGTAACATGAAACATATGAGTATCTATGGACAAGCCTCCTGGGCTTAATTGGTGAATTTTCCATTTCTGGAGTGAATTAGTTCTTATATGGGATGGAATGTCTAAAGTGGCTTTTGTTGATTCAGTATTAGTTTGATTATTGGTAGTAACTGTTGATTTAACAATTTGTTCAAGGTGTCCAAATTCATTAATAAGTGAATGAATTTGATTCTCTAGTCCTGCAAAACGGTCTCGTAATGCTGTGCTTTCAAGATCACCTGGTGCTTCTAAATAAACACAAGAAGCGCCTACAGCTGAACATTGTTCACATTCAGGTCTTGAACGAGAACATTTTGAACGATGTTTACGACATCTAATAATAATAATAAGAAGAAGAAAAGGAAGGAAGGGGAGGGAGGGAAAACAAGTAAATGCATCTATATTTATATATAACTAAAACTACCTTTGACAGGACAGTGCCATACGAGCTCTTCTTTTAATAGGTCGAGGTTTATTATTTTCTTCATCTGTTTTTGGTGAAATATCACTTTCCATTATAAAATAGAGTGAAGAAGAGTATTAATTTCTCACAACAAAAAAAAAAAAAAAAAAAAAAAAAAAAAAGTTCAAATTTCAATTTCAGCCTTGAAAAAAAAAACATTCGAATATTTTTCTTGTTACGTTATAAGTATTGCTGTTTGTTATCTGCTTAATTTATATTATTATAAATTAGTTGAAATTCATGCCTATCGACCTGATATAATGAATTATGGTAAAACTCCGAAATTAGCTTTACTCTGACATGAATAATTGTTTAAAAGCACCTTTCCTTTTGTAAAATAGTTAATTGATTGTTTTTTTTTTTTTTTTTTGCTCATTGTTTATATAAGTGTGTGCATAAGTGTGCGTATATATGAATCAATAATGCATATAAATTCATAAATACTTGATTTTTTTTTTCTTTTCAAAATCAATAAATTTCCTTTTTTTTAAAAAAAAAGAAACCAATTATTAACATGTTGGAAATTTCAAGAAACGAATATCAAAATAATTTGTCAAATGTTCATTCTTATATGATCCATGAAAAGGTGAATACCTAAGAATGCATAAATAAATATAGTATTTAATTATTTTTTTTTCTCTCAAGATGCAATTACCTATCCATGATTTTGAAACCTATTTATTTCAATGTACTGATAGTTTAAACTTGTCACGCAAAAAAATGATCAATCTGAAGGAATGGCTAGACTTTATAGATCAATATAATGAAAATAACGAAGAATATATTTTAAGTGATAAACAGATATTATTCTTGCAAGCTTACTATGAAGAAAATGAGGATTTATGGTTAACTCCTGAAGAGTTTTCTCAATTATTGTATATGATTCGTTTGAAAGATGAAAAGACATCTAGATCAAGATCTACAATTAAAGCAAATATTCGCCCAAAGAATAATAAGTCAGATCCTTATTTTGTAGACGATATAGCAAGTACTAATCATCCAGATTCAAATGTAAGCATATATTAAAAAAAAAAATGATAAAATAAGCCTAATGTTAAACTCTTTTTTATAGCAAACTTTAAATAGTTGCGTTACTAGAAAATTAGGTAAGTCAGGGAAAAAAAATTAAAAAAGATGAAATAGATACTCACTTTTTTTTTTTTTTGTAATAGAAACTTATAATGAATTGGTATGTAAATATTATGTTTATAGTTGTGTTAAAATAAGCCAATTTTTATCCATAATATTAGGAAATTAACAAAAAAAAAGAGAAAAGTGGAGAAGCAGCATTTGATTTATCAGAAGAATATAAACAGTATATTTTGGAATTAGAAAACAAGTTACAAGAGATGCAATTTAAAATTGAACAACAAGATACTATTATCTTGGAAAACAAGAAAAAGGACAAAGAGAAATCAGACACGATAAATGATGTAAGTTGGAATAAGAGCATCATATAGTTTATAGTATTAACTATGTAAGAATAGCTTGAATTAGCTAATGATCTTACAGATATAAGAAATGAAAAACTTAAAATGGAACTAGAGAATAAAAAACTAGAGATAGACAAGTTAAAAAAGCATTTAACAGTTTCAGAAGAGGTACAAAATAGCACAACTCTGACTGAGCTTTCACAAGCCAAAGAAACAATCCGAGCTTATGAAAAGAAAATAACAAATACTAACATGCAACTTGAACAAGAAAGGCAAACTCTTCTAGAAACAAAGAAAGAGCTCAAGACACAGGAAACAATAAATGCTGATTATTCAGTTCTTATAAATAAACAAAAACTAGAGATCGAAGAATTGAGAAACAATGTAAATACACTTACACTAGAGGTAATTATATACATATACACACATATAAAAAAACAAACTTTCCTATCTTTGATTATTTTCATAGGAAAAGAAGAATTTAATTCTTGACGAAACAAATCTTGCTAGAGAACAAATAAAGGCTGAATATATGACAGAAATAGAATTATTAAAACAAGAACGTGATGAATTGATACAAAAGTTAAAAGAAGGTATTACAATTAGCATTGATAAATTTGTATTAAATCACTAAAAGTGTATTATGTTTAGTGTCTAGGAAGTATGACGATCAAAAACAACGTGTAATATCCCTTTCGCATCAATTTGATCAACAAAGTGAATTAGTTTATATTATTCAAACAAATCTAACTTTAAAGCAATGTCAGCGACAAGGAGAAGAGTCAATACAAAACACAAGATGGTCTGCTTTTATCTATTTACTCCCATGGCTCCTTTTCTTATTTTGTCTATTATTTAACGTTCTTAAATCATATTCTTTGCAAAACTTTATGGCTGGCTCCTCTTATTACATATATTATAGTCCCTTAGAACTCTTAGATGAATTATACTACTTATATACAGAAGTAGCGCGTTCTACTACTAAGTCACTGGTTGATAAAATATTTCATCATCATGAATCTTTTCTATAATAAACAGTATATTTTCATTAACAATAACATAAATAAAAATGGTAGTATTAAGTAAATAATTTATTTTATATTATTTTTGATATATAGTTTTTCATAACTGAACAACCAACCAAAGAAAAAATAAAAAATTGCAAAATATGAATGCGTCCTCGGGGAATCGAACCCCGGCCTTCACCTTGGAAGGGTGAAATTCTACCATTAAACTAAGAACGCTTCTATGGATGTGTCGGTGTCAATAATACAACTGTTCCCATTATGGAAAATCCGTTGCACTGCAAAAAGTTGGCGTACGACGTATTAAAGTACTATACGTCGTACGCCACAATTTAAGCACCGATTTTTTAAATTGTTTATTTCTACTAATTTTTAATATAAAACTTCCAAATAAAAAATATATTATGTTTAATATACTATCATAGAATAAATATATCCAAAAAAAACGACATGTCTACTGCTAATATTCATTATTTTTTTAATGTTTAAATTTTACAGCTATTTTGGCTGTGTTTTTTTACAGGGTAAAATTTTCCAAATAAAAAAATTAGCCAATAGAATTTCTAAAATTTATTATTTTGCGGAATTTTAAAAGTACTTTTAATTTTTCATTGTATTTTTTTCCCTTGAGGCAAAATTTACACATGCATTATTTTTTCAGCCATGCAAAAAAAAAAAAAAAAAAATTCAACATGATTATGTATTAATGTTTAATTCAAAATAAAATACATTATTTTATTATGTACACAAATATAAAATTATTTTGTCTTTTATTTAAAAGTGAATACAATTTAAATTAAAAAAAATGTTCGAAACAATTAATTATAAAAGTAATCTTCATTTCCATTATAACATTGAAACTGACATTTCGAAATGTTGGTGGCAATTAAGTTGAAATGCCAAACGAATATTAAAACATTTAATAAATAACATTATTGAAGAGAAAAAAAAATTATATTATTTACATTTTCGAGTTGAGAGAAAAAAAGTAATTTTCCTATTTACATCGTGAGATTAGAGAAAAAAAAAAAAGAAATCACACTATTTGCATTGTGAAATTAGAAAAAAAAGGAAAAGTAATCACATTATTTACATCGTGAAATGAGAGAAAAAAAAATACTTTTTTTCCAAAAATGCATCTATAAGAAAACATATGATCATAGAAAAAATTAAGTTTAAACCCAAATAGTATATAATAAATGCATTTGCTTTAACTTATTGATCTTAGTTTCTTTTATCAATCTATTATTTTATTTATTCATTACAAAGCATCCTATTATATTTAAAAATGTCTCAATCTATTAAAATCAGAGTAAAGTGCTATTGTTCTCAATGCAAGACTGATTCTCGCCCTTTTCGCCTTGTTTCTAGAACTACTAGAGCAGAGCATAAAAAAGACGATGAAGTTCGTGCAGGTATATATTATTCTTATTTATATATAAATAAAGCCTTTTTTTTTCGATCAAACTGTTTAATTAACCACTAATATATGATATCTAGCTAAAGAAAATATGCAAGAAGATTTAATGGAAGTTGATAATGAAGATGGTATTTTTTTTTTTTTTTTTTTTTTTTTTTTTTTTTTTTGCATGACAAAATACTTACACAAATATTTGGTTCCCTCAAATTACAAATATAGACATTGACGATTACTTTGCTGATGATGCTGACATTGATCAAGACATGAACATTAGCAATGATGCTGAAGAGATTAGTGAAGAAAGTAAATAAAAAAAAATTAATATTTCTTTCTATTTAAATGTCTAAATATAATATCCTATTTAATATCTAACAGATTCATACGCTGGTTTTTTCAATAATGGAAAATTCCCCAAGGATCCTATTGCTATGAATATGTTCATGATGCTTGTTATGCTTATCCAGGGCAATCAAGTTACTAATCAAGCCCTCGAGTTGATGATGCGCTTCTTAAACATTTCATTAGAACATACTACTAGTGAGTACAGATTTCCTTCGAGTGCCAGCACATTCTACTCTTGGAGCCAACTTGGTGAAATTTGCCATGATGGCATAAAAGAATATGTAAGCTGTGAAGATTGTCATGCAATCTATCCATTTGCAACTGCTGAAGAGAAAGCCAGGATCATTGGCAAGAAATGTCGTGCTCGCGAAGATAATCTCCCATTTGCTTCTAGATGTGGTGCTGAGTTGTTTGATCAAGTTAGTTTGAATCCTGTTCGCTCCTTTTTCTACAATTCAGTTATCAACACTTTACGTAAATTTTTCCTTCGGGAAAAATTTGTTAAAAACATTAGTAGTTGGAAGAATCGAACAATCGTTCCTGGTCGTTTGTTTGATGTGTATGATGGAAGAATTTGGAAGAGCTTCAAACTAAATCCTGGCGATGAAGAAGCTTTTGTTGAAAGTTCAAGGTTCAATTTGATGTTTTCATTAAATGTAGATTGGCTTCAATTGTACACCAATAGCCAGTATTCTTGCGGTGCAGTCTATCTAACGATTCTTAATTTACCAAGAGAAATAAGAAATCTGCGTGAGAACGTTATTTTAGTTGGATTGTTACCTGGCCCATCAGAGCCATCAACATTTGAAATAAATAATTATTTGAATCCTTTAGTTGATGAGTTCTTGCTCTTACAAGATGGTGTGCTAATGAAGGTTAGAGATGAGGAGGATCAGTTAGTGAAGGGCGCATTAGTGTTGACGTCGATGGATTTGCCGGCACAAAGAAAATGTCTTGGATTTACTGGTCATAACTCAACACGTGCGTGCCATAAGTGTGATAAATCTTTTCCTTCGCTGCCTGGTAATGCTAATAGAAGAGATTTCAGAGACTTCGATGATGCTAATTGGGTTGGTCGTTCGGCAAGTACCCACCGTGTAAATGCAAGTAAGTGGTTAACTCTCTCGACGAAAGATCAACGTAGTGAATTTGAGAGAAATACTGGTACTCGTTGGAGCACGCTCCTTCGTTTGCCATATTTTGATCCTATCCGTTTCGCTCCCGTAGATGTAATGCATAATTGCTTTCTTGGGACAGCCAAACGTGTCCTACATATGATCTGGAGAGATGAAGTTAGATCCGTTGCTGGCGGTCGCCGCGAAGAGTCATTATTGATTACGAAGAGCGATTTAGCGGAGATGTCAGAATTTGCAAAAAGCCTGATACTTCCCTTTGGATATGATGGTGGTAATGCTGTTAAACGCAAGATAACAGTAGGTAAGGATGGTTTTAGCCATTTAACAGCTGATGAATGGCGAGTGTGGATTATTGCTATGTCACCTTATCTTTTGCCCTTGAGATTGAACATGCAATATTATAATCACTGGATGAAGTTTGTTGAAGCCAATCGTTATATAGCCAATACAAGTATTACTGAAGAAGAAATAGATTACGTTCATTCTCTATTAAAAGAATTTTTAAGCGAATTTATGGAAATCTACCATGATGCCAGTTACTTGTCACTGAATATGCACAACCATTTGCATATCAAAGAAGGTCTTTTGGATTATGGGCCAGCCATGTCCCATTGGCTTTTCAACTTTGAAAGGTATAACGGTGATCTTAAAGTTATTAATACTAACAATAAGGGATCCGTTGAAAATACGATAACGAAGAGGTTTTTGGAGTCTGTTTTTGCTGGAGACTATTTGATTGTTTGCCGGTAGTTTCTGATGATCAAAAAAATTGGAAATCAATTTTTTGTAAAAATAAAAGAAATGATGACGAAGAAAGTGAAGAAGAAGAAGAAGATAATGATATGTATGACTCAAAGTTTGATATCAGTCTGTTCTTGGAGAATGAAGCTTCTGGTGACGGCAAGCTATATGGTTATGAGTGTGTCCCTGCAAGCATCGTCAAGAATGTGAAAGCCAAGGCTCGGCCTTCAAGAATGAATGACGAGGATTTCGGATGCCTATTAGATTATTATTCTAATGTCTATTATGGCTGGACATTTGTTGAGGATTCTGGTATACCTGGTCTCACCAACAGTGTCCAAGGTGGTATTTATACTAGTAGGAAAATATGGAAGTTCTCTTCTATAGATATCTTTGCTAATAAATACAAGTCCTCGGGAGCTAATCCCTCTCGAA